GGCGGAACTCCTCCTGTCTGACTGGGGCCAGGGCCAGGTGGGATTCCACCAGTGTGACTCGGACCGGGGCCCGGCGGAACTCCTCCTGTTTGGCTGGGGCCAGGGCCAGGTGGAGGTACACTCCCCCCACCACTGGGAGTGGGTGTAGGAACGCATGCCGTTGCAATTGTAGTGATGGTCACCGTGGAAGCAGTAGGGCATGAAGGACATGGATGACAGGATCCTGTAAGTAGCACGGTTAACTGCTTAGGTCAATATGCGATGATGGGTTTGGAGGGGCATTACCTGGATGAGTTGGGGCAACGCTTGGGCTTGGTGTCGTTTCTGATCTTGTTGGCCTCCAGCCCGAGGATGTAACGCCAGCTGTCACCCCATGAATAAGACTCCATGAGGCGACAGCAAGAGTGATCATACCCATTGTGGGAGGCATTCTTGACAGTAGAATCTATCCCGGAAGAAGTAGACGGGACTAATCAATAACTGAGGTGCAGAGAGGATGCAGTAAGGGAAACAACAAGTACAAATACTTGAGCGATGACCTGTGCTAGATGCGCTCATGATGATTAGGAAAAGTTGCATGCGTACTCTTTCCGGAGTTTAATGAGCATGACATATTTGTGAGCCGTCATTGTGACGGGAATACATCTCAAAGATGGATGCTCAATGCACATTGAATTCCGGGAAGATCAAAGCCAATCCCAGGGACCGTTGGATATGGGCGGAGGTGCTCTCCGGGGTAAACCTTTGTTGATAACCAGCCCCTATGGCTGGCCGGGATTTTCATAACCAACGTCCCCTTTCCATACAACGATCAATTTTGATGACTATAGACATTAATACTTTGTCGCTTACTGCTTGGTAAAACTTGATCCATGATTCGGGTGCCCTTTTGGACGCAAAATTTTAAAATATAACGTCACTTTTCGATAACATCCATTATATTTTGTTGGGTAGAAACTCTCGAACCCAACGGTAATATGACTTTAGTAAAGTGCCCAGGGCTGACGCCAGCCAACGTGAATTATCTTCACGGCGGTGACACAGATAAGGCCGAGAGCATAGCAACATGTCGTGAAAGTAATGAGTCCCCAATATTCTCCATTACATCGAGACAGGATTTCGCCTGCAATCGGTATGCCAGTAAGGGTACTAAAGCATAGGATCGTTAGCTCCTGCTCAGCATACTACGTGGCCAGTATAGACCTACCCGAAGCTCACAATCGTGTACGAAGTGGCATAGTATCGCCCGTAGTGCTCAATTTTGCAGAGTTGAGAGATACATACAGGGGTGAGGCTGATGTTACTACCACTCGCAAAACCAAAGATAACGGAGTAGACAACAATAACTGGCACGCTATTGCCAGCAGGGAGCCAAAGGCATGCATTGCAGACAAGGCATAGGGCAACAGTGGCAATTAGAGTGTTATAGCGCCCTAGGTAATCGGCGACAAACCCAGGGATCCATCTTCCGAAGAATGATCCTGCATTTAGAATTGCCAGTAACTGATATGAAAACTGGCTGGACACACCGTGGGCCAATGCATATGAGGAAATATAACTGAGTGGAACGAAGAGGCCCCATTCGACAAAGAAGATCCCGGCTGTCGTGAGAGCAAACTTGGGCTCCCGAAATATGCGAAAGTCAGGAAGCACATTTTCTTTGGAAGCCGGCTTCTTGGGCAATCGAGACTTGACCAAGAGGCAGGCAATAATCAGTAGAATTAAACAAATTAAACCGACCACACGAGTTGCCCAGGGAAATCCGATCATTGGGAACAACTTCTCCAGAATGAGAGGAAACGTAATGCCTCCAACAGAACCGCCTGTGGCAGCAATGCCAGTTGCGACGCCACGCTTCTCGTTGAAGAAATGGCCAATGGCAGATATTGCTGGTGTAAAGATCAGCGACGCCCCCAGGCCGCCTGTGACACCAATCACAAGCATGAAATGCCAGTATTGGGTGCAGAATCCCAGAGTGATCATCTGTACGACGACCAATACTGATCCTGCAAATACCAGGAACCGTGGGCCTTTGGCGTCGAAGATGGGGCCAATCTGTACACCACAGAAAAAGGTGAGGAACGCGTACATGCCAAAAATCCAGCCATTGCTTCCAGAGCTATAATCTTTCAGCTGATGGTTTTCGAGGTAAGCCTGGAAGGTTCCTATAGTATTGACTAGACCAAGCGAAGCGAATAGACCCGCCCAGCACCCAAATACTACCAACCATGCCTCCAGCCCGCCTTCGGGGTAAGTATTCCCATCGGCGTCAGTGGTCATACGGCTCATAGGGGCTCTGTGCACAGAGTTGTCGGTTTGAGATTCGAAGGACAGCCTGTAATGGCCATGCTCAAGGGAAATTCTCGCTTCCTGTGCACCCTCATAGCCTGATATCGAAGTCTGACGCCTGGCATCATCAGCCGAGCTGAGAGGTCCATTCGAGGAGGCATCGGTCGATGGTTTCTCGGACGACTGGAGGGGCGCTGTACCATGAGGGGCTGTTTTGGTCGTAAACCCTCTGGGGTCATCTTGCTCTATCGCGCCTGTTTGAGGATTGCCATCGAGCCTGGCGTTTGTCGACATGTTAGTAGACGTATAGGGCGGAAGTGGACTACGGTTGACCTTATTCGATTCCGCCTTGATTTGTTTTACCCTTCCTCTCGCGATTCTCCGAAAGCAAAACTAACGGGGGTGAAGGATAGCGCTAGTAGAATACGTTGACTAATATATAAGTGAGGAGCACAGAGGGCGATATGATCAATTCTCAAGAGAGGAACGTGGTAAAAGAGGCAAAAGAAAAAGAAATGTATGAACCCAAAGACGACCTGACCTCTTCGCCGGTGGAGCCAAGTCGGTTTTTCGGTTTTTCGGAAGTGTTCTACAAGAGGAATAGTTCCTATTGGTGTAGTGTTTCTTTTCCTTTCTTCATTCAAGAGAATTTTCGAGCCTTTCCCCGCGGCCGACAAGCAGCACTAGCCGGGATCAGGAAGGTCCCTCGAGAATCAGGGATGCATATTGAATCATTCAAAAAAAGCCACCAGAAGTTCAACTTTCCACCTGATAAGTCGGTAGATGGAAGAGTTTCCGAGCAACATTCAGAAACAGATGACCGAGAAAGAAAGGGTTTGAGAAACCAAGCATGGGTGGGACATTGGAGATAGGAAAAAGTGGGTCAAGAATGCCCAAGCTCGTTGTAGTCGAGTTGACGACTCGGAGTCTTGATTATCAATCCGCACGGAGAATGACACCATTGTCACGGTTATTGTTGGATATATCGTATAAGTCAATGACTCATTCTTCGTTGGAGACTGAGACGTGTCGATGTTATCCGAGGCTAAAACCAAGTTGATTTTCTGGGCATTAACGCACCCTGCGGAGAGGATTTGTCTCCCGACCTTCTTCTTAGAAACCACCGAAGTCGTGCGACATTCTTCCATTTAACGTCAGCCGTGGCGCACTTTCGATGGGACCAGGACTTGCCTGTGGGTGTAGGCGCGAGCGTGTAAGTCTGTGTGTGGCATCAGAAATGAATGAATGTACCATGTATGTATGTATACATGGATCACGTGGTTTATATAGCTAAGGAAGGCAAGTCCGACTGAAGAATATCATTGGTCAACTCGAGGAAGACAATATCTACTTATTGGATTACTATTATATGTTGCTTGGTAACCTTTGAGGGCGGTATTTGGGATCTCGGGGCTATTGTGAGGCTAGAGAGAGTAATAAAAGTTCTCTCTAGATATAAGTGTAACTATAACATTGAAATTCAGAATACCTAGTATTACCTTGTATATGCCTAATAGCTCACCATCGGCCATACTGTAGCATATTGGATACTCAATCCTTTATAACATGGAGCCTACTGCTTCTATATTTCGTCCTCTGACAAGGATAGTGTATAATAAGATGGTATTGGTAATAATTTCAAGTAAACGATTTGTCGATGCACAGTAGTACCCGGAACCTTGAATCCTCAGTAAACTAGAATACCGTGGCATTAACGAAGTATTCAAGCAAAGTAAATAGTTAAGTCTAGAGTATGTAATGTGCATGCATAGTTAATAGGCACTGAATAAAAGTTCCAATACTTTAGTAGGTCCATATGACTTGTCCTTGCTCATCAGGTTTTAGAGGGATTCTAGACTAACAATCCAATTTTTTTCCTTTCCTTTTCCCTTCGATGAATAAGTATAAGAAAAAGAAAAAGAAAAAGTAATTAACAAAAATAATAACGATCATGTACTTTTTTGTCGGAATAAAGTTCCCATCAGGGTTACATTCGGTGGGTCAGGAATGGATTTGATTGATCCAGACCGATAAGATCCATGGGAAGAAGCAACACACCCTCCAATCTTTTTAGGACTTCTTTTCTTCCTATGAATTTCTCATGACATGTTGAGGGTCGTGACCAATCTGAATGACAACCATCCACCGCATTCGTTGATTCTATGGAAACACATGTTCATCCGGAGTGGATACTCATATTTATACCCAAAGCTTAAGCGTCTTAACGTCTGAATCAAACCCCGGTTAACTGATTTCATTTGGCAAAAAAGAGAACAAGGAGAACATTTTCCGGAATCACCTGTGCAACTTCTGGATGAGCTCTATGCCATATTATCGTGGAATCTTGCTCGCGAGCAGAAAAGCAAGAAGGGTCTTTTGACACCGCCTTTCCTTAAAAAGAAACGATACGCCGCACATTGAGCAGCTTTGTCTATGCCAGGAACCCCCGGTCCCTTGCTGTTGAAATAACCATGGCAGATGAAGGATCATAGGTAAATTTGAACAGCTAATTGGACGTCTCGATCGGCCTAGAGCCCGGTCAGGCAAGGGATACTAAACTTATCGACCGGGGTAAGCTATCAGCCGTTAGGTTAGACTTCTCTTTCCAAGATAGAGACAGATATCCTTCTTATTGGTTCCCTTTTATACTCTCAGACTTCCAGAAGCCTATCTCCTTCCCCTGCTAAAAGATATTTGTATCGTCAGCTTGCAGAGAAGCCTTAAAATGGTACCGGCCATGTCTTAGCATGCGTGTAATTCTGCCGTATGGATATAAATAACCCCCTTTCTTCCCCGCGTCAACCTGAAATTGCCAGTTTGCCCCACAAGCTTATCGCAGCCCAACGTTTGCTGCTCTACTCAAGATGCGAATTCAAGGCCTACTGCCAACGGCTGTCTTAGTTCTCTCACTATGTACGGACAGAGTGTGCTCTATCGGATATGGACGCTTTGGTCGCTACGTGTGCAAATCAACGAACCTAGGCAAACGGGTCTCGTCGTCTTCGGAGAAGCCACAACATCATTCACATGATAGCTTTCGCTTTCTCAGCGACAAGACGAAGCGTATGAACTCTCCTTCTCCATGGATGTATGAATACTGATGTTGGTATATGAATCGAAAGCCTACCTTGTGGAGAGCTTGCCTGATGTGCCTTTCGATGTCGGTGAAATGTATTCGGGTTCAGTGTCTATCGATAAAGGTGATAGCTCGAGAACTCTCTTCTTTGTATTCCAGCCAACAGTTGGGGAACCTGTGGACGAAATTACCCTCGATCTCAATGGGGGCCCGGGTGCTAGCTCCCTCGAAGGGTTCCTCCAGGAAACTGGTAGATTTACCTGGCAGCCAGGAACTTACGTACCAGTGATTAACGAATATTCATGGGTAAATTTAACCAACATGCTATGGTGCGCTTTCATACATTTTTCTTTCTTCTGGGTAGCTTTTTTTTCTCTTGGTCAATTGCTTTTTCTATGGTTGGTGCTAAGTTAATCCTTTCACGATAGGGTTGATCAGCCGGTAGGAACAGGGTTCTCCACGGGTGAGCCCATTGCTACCTCCGAGGAAGAGATTGCCAGCGACTTTATAAAGTTCTTCAAGAACTTCCAGGAGATCTTCGGAATCAAGAAGTTTAAGACCTATGTCACCGGTCAGAGTTATGCCGGGCGCTACGTGCCATACATCGCTGCGGCCATGTTAGACCAAGGTGATAAGGAGTATTATGATGTTCACGGTAGGTTATCTATTTTACAATGGTAGAAGTTGACCCCTGCAGATATACATACTTATGCAGTACAATGTAGGGGCATTGGTTTACGACCCAGTCATTGGCCAGTACGATTACGTACAACAGCAAGCGACTGCAGTGCCATTTGTGCAGCAGAACGCCAACATCTTCAACTTCAATGCAAGTTTTATGAACGAGCTAGAAAGTTTACATAATTCCTGTGGTTACCAGGACTTTGTCGAGGAATACCTTACTTTCCCTCCGTCAGGAGTTCAGCCTCAAAAGTCTTTTAATATTACTAGTGACACTGATTGCGATGTCTTTGATATGATTAACAACGCAGCTTATTTAGTTAACCCTTGTTATAACATGTATGAAATAAACCAGATGTGCCCGCTTCTTTGGGATGTGCTCGGAGGACCTACGAAGCTCGATTATCTACCTGCCGGAGCCACGGTGTATTTCGACCGCGACGATGTGAAGAAAGCTTTGCATGCGCCCAATATGACCTGGTCTATGTCCTCGCTGCAGCCTGTCTTCGTTGGCGGCGACATCGGACCTGAGAAAATAGGCGATTTGTCCGCCAACCCAATCGAACATGTTTTACCCCAGGTGATCGAAGCGACAAACAGAGTTCTACTCAGTCACGGAGACTATGATTTTATTCTCCAAACCAACGGAACCCTCTTGGCTATTCAGAACATGACCTGGAACGGGCAATTAGGATTCCAGACTGCACCAACTACGCCGATTAACATTGGTCTGCCCGACCTCCAGAATGCGGAAGTGTTTGAAGAGAACGATCTCTCTTCATGGAGTACCGGCCAGGGTGCTATGGGCATTCAACACTACGAGAGAGGGCTGATGTGGGCGGAGACATTCCAGAGTGGACATATGCAAGCTCAGTACCAACCGAGGGTCGCCTACCGTCATATACAGTGGCTACTGGGGCGGACTGAGGCATTATAAATATAACGAGGTATGCTAAATGGGGAAAAGGTAATGATATGCTACATACAATGGTTTCCTGTTCTGACCCTACACTACCTGTTATGTATGTCATAGATCAAAGACAAGATAACGATACAGGGGTTTTGACCGACGGGAATACATTTCCTAATTCAGCATATTCTTAGAATCCGCTGATTGGCATCCATTGTTCCTGATATTATTTTTTAACCCCTCAGGGTAAAAAGTTCATGGTAGTCTATACTTATCTTTATTAAACTTCGAGATATACTTCCCAAGCAAGTCATCCCATCACCATTTCCGCCAACCAACCTCAAAATCCCCGATGTGTAACAAACTGGGATAAGGCAAGACAGCCACGGCCGATAGGGAAAGACAGTCTATCCCGACAGGACCTCGACGTTGGATCACTATGGATGTAAGTACTGCTGTAGACTCATACATGTACCGGTACGTACAGATATTCATACATGTTTTAACATGTACGGACTCCGAGCGGAGACTGCAATACATGTATTGTACTTGTTTCTACCTGCCCGGTACAACACGTGAGATATCGATGGTACGAGTATGACGCTGGTGCTTTTGATCGATAGTCAATCTCGAACTTGTACTCGATTGTTTCATACACGATTGGAATGAGTAAATTGACAGGGCACGTAGGATGAGTACGGCTCACCACCGTGATACTGCCCCAACCCTGCACATCAACCTCTCACGGAAAGTTCGATATCCCGTGACCAGAAAGAAAGGGAAGTTCTCCTTCATTCCGAGGAAAACTGGAGACCATCACCTCCATCAGTGGATATGTTTTCGGTTACTCCCTAGCTCCCTACTCCGAGGTCCCTTTCTGACATTCTCCATAGGTGTCGGACTTGATACGAATCTAGAGTTTGGGTAGTTAGGCTTTCCGGTGGAGTTATACTTGGTGTATGCGCTCCAGTCGCAATTGACTGTCACTGTTGTGGTCTTCCTGCGCTTTGTACCTAGGATACGATGCCCACATTAGGCCCCATTGCAATTTGTAGTACCAATTATCCTCACTATTTTCATGGTGTAAGTGTTCGTAAGTCAATCAGACCATACGTAGGTTTCTTTCTTTTGCCTGTGGTTTGAGAGTTCATCAAACCATCCCGGACATCGTCTGGAGAGAGTAGGAATAAACAATTTTTTCTCTCTCTCTTCATCTTCTCCTCACCTTATTTTCTCTTTCCCCCCATGGTTTTCTAGATTTCTTCTCCCCACATTGTTGCTGATCTTTTGATGCCACGTGCTTCTTTCTTCCGTCTTGTCATCTTCATTCATTGAAGGTACTACAGTGCTACCATGTAGTACTCAGAGTTGACTTGTCGGATTGGGAACAAGTGGTTGCAGTTCAGAAAGGCCCATTCCCGAGATGGTGGGGCAGGATTTGCATTCTAATTTACATGGAAATGTAACACTACTACGAAATACTCTACGATGAAAATGGGATGTTCGTATTAAGTATCTAGTTGCCTAAGTACTAGAATCGGAAGTTATGCAATTGTATTTCCGAAAAGGTACTACTATTAGCATTCTCATTGCGGAAATATTCGCTTTGATATTTATTTTTCTAATATATATATATTGGCTCGTTCTACTCCGTATCGCTCCATACTTTTCTCCCAATATCAGGAGTCGAAAAAGGTAGTATTGAACAGCCACGGTGAAAAAAAAAAAAACTGAACCCTAGAATGAGAAAGCTACCGATTGGATCAATCTCAAGGATAGATGTGGAGTTCTCGGGCAAAGTCCTAGGCCGGCATGACGGATGCGGAAATGACCGCCCTCTCGCTTATGACGATCAATACTTGGGTGGGAGAAGGAATGAGCTGCGCCTAATGAGACAAAACCTCGTGTTTGTGAGGGCATTGCTTTGTGTGGATTGATTGAAGTCCACGCTATATGCGTTTTTCTCTCTCTCTTCTATGTGTACTTTGAAAGGTCTTTCATGTTCTTGAGTGATGGAGGGTTTCACATCCAATTTACAAAGTACTCACCACCGTGGAAGTAGTTTAGTCTACGGGAGAGTGCAACAGGATCTTTTGCATAAAGTGTGGTGATTTTTATTCTCATTTTATTCTCATTTTATTTTACTTTTTTCGCATTGATACTCATACACTGGCACGACTCAGCTTGCCGGACATGGCTGAGTCTTCCCTAAGTGGGACTAGCGTGACCATACCAAGTACTATGACGTAGGGGTAGCCACCACCTATGACCAACTCGGCACGTGGACTCATCTTTTCCGCCTTATGCTACTTATGAGTATGGTTTTCCCCTCATGCTTCCTTTGATCTCGAGCTTAATGATTCAATTGCATGATCTACAAAGGTGGAATCTAAAAATGAATCCTCCTGGATCCTCCAGCTGAAAATGTATTGTGGTGGACGAGTAGGTAATGGATGTCCCAAGACGGAGCCAAGAGATGACCACTGGCTTTGTCCAATGAGCAGCCAGGAGCGTTCTCTAACCCGTTTCCAACTAGCGCCCCCTTCAGCGTTACCGAACCATGAATCGATTGGACTTTACAACTATAGCAGTACTCTTTTGATCTCACTTTTAAGAGCAGTGACCATTTACGGTCGCTGCAGAATCCGTTTCAACTATGGTTCGACATATGTCGGAACCCCCCGAAACACATTTTGCAAAAGGGAAAAAAAATTGCCCTTCTGGGACGGTTCCATATACATATCAACATCCATTCCAATATCTTGTAATGTTCACCCCGAGTACAGTTACAGACCGAATACCAAGCCTTTTTGACCGGCAGGCTTTTCAGCCTTCAACCTTGTATCGACGATCGTCTCACTCTCTACTGTGCTAACTTAGCGCACTGTGTATAATTTAACTGAGTACAGATCTGCTCCATGGTCAGACGCGAGATGGGGCCAACAGGCTTGCTTTTATAGGTTAGTCTGCCCTCGCCGGACTCGCCGTAGTGTTGGCTGGTTGCAACTTTGCATGCGCCAAGGGCCGTGGTGTCCCTCCACCATCAGTCCTAACTGCTCTTCCCTCCAATCATCTTCCCCGCAAAAAAACCCATCGCTTTCGGCCGGGGTGGATCTCCCTCAAACCTATCAAACGGTCCGTGTTCTGTTTCCTGCTTTAGGTCGGGTTGGTACCTTTCCTTCGATTAGTATGTATGTATGTATGTATTATTCATGTATTGTGCATGGTAACGGGGACGGTATTGTACCATTTTAAATACTCCATAGGAGCTTTCATTATCCCTAGGTGAAGTAGAGAGGCCGGGAATCCACGATATAGGTGATTGTGATTGCGATTTCTGGTAGAAAAAGCTGACCTCAGACGTCATCCCATGGAGCGACACAGAAAAGTTGGATGGTAGCGAGAGTGGTATCAGGCAGGATTCTGTGGTTGCCACTTACGAGGTCATTGCTTCCACCAAATGAATGAATGTATTGTTACCAATACCGTCGAGACCCCATCGGCACAAAAAAAAAAAAAAAAAAAAAAAGAGCAATACCTCATCCAAGATTGACTGATAGGAAGCTCTATCTTTCTCTCATGCTTTTTTCCTTTCTTTCTTTTTTTATTTTTTTATTTTTTTATTAACCTCCCGCGTTAAACTGAATGCTTATATAGGCCCCAGACATCCTCAATTCTTCTTCTTCTTCGTCGCCTTTCCTCATCTCTCTTTCCTTTACTTCATACTCTTCCCGATATACTTCCTCCCTCTCCCTCTTCCTTTCCCCCCAAAACCACCTCTTACCCCCCAAACCCTGAATACTGGAACCAATAGCTATTGTAAAATAGCCATTCCGGAATCGTTACTCTGTTTGCAAACCAGTTTTGCGATCCAGGGAACGGACAGACGCCATAACCTCAAGTCCACATATTATCCTGTCAGATCAGCGGACTGTCAAAAGTTCTCTGGTCTCAAATTCTCTTCTGATCTATATACCATTTCCACTTGTTGTCTACACCAAAGCTTCCATCGGCGTGACAGAATACCGTCATATCTCCAGCTATACGACAGTAGCAGCTACCTCGCTCAGGTATATCCGGAATTTCGACCAGATATCCGGACAGAAGCACGAGCCCATTACCATTATTTTTATTTTTATTTTTTGCTCGACATCACGGTCCCTAGCGACAACAGATGATACCCTGAACGGTCCACAGCCCAGTCCAATATCCATTGCACCTTGCCATTTTGGCCCTTGAGCGTCAATTGCCCCGGTTTGCTTTCCCAAGAGCCCTTGACTTTCCAGGGAATTCGATAGAGATTGCCTTTGCGACCACCACGGACCAAAGTAGACCTAGACCCCTTCGAACGGCTTGCCAATCGACACCCCAGATCTCAGACGATAGAGAGTCATCGCCCAACAGCATCGAAAAACTTCCCAGCACGCGCCAACCCATCTGTCCATAGCAGCAAACCGGTCCGGAACTATGGTTTTCAACCCATTTAAGAGACACGATCACGACTTCCCCGGGGTGGTCGTACCCCTCGGCAGTGCCCCTGCGCATTCTCACCCGAACTTGGCGATAGATGAAAAGAAACTTGGCCCTGACGAGAAGACTGACGACAGAAGCGATAGAGCGCCCTCTGAAGAAAATGGTGTTGCCACCTCGCTCCCGGACAATGCCCACCTTACCCTTGAAACCTTGCGCGCCGAAGTTGAAACAGATGTTGCCTCCTCAGGCCATGACTCTGCATATGATCGTACGTTCCTATACTGTTGCCTATGAAATAGTTTTTTGCCCTTGAAAAAAGAGGAGAGAAGGAGAAAAGCAAAAAAAGAACCTCTTCCCTTTTGCGTTGTCTTTTGAGACGCAAATCTAATGGTTGTCTACAGGCAAAGCAAAAGTTATCAACCGAGCCGTCCAGGATATCGGCATGGGCCGTTATCAGTGGGAGCTGTTCGCCCTCTGTGGGTTTGGTTGGTTAGCAGACAAGTAAGCTGATATTCCCATATCTTTGGTATTGAATGTGCCACTAACTTGCGTTCATCAGTCTCTGGTTGCAGGTAAGAGGGAGGAATACGCTTCGTTAATAATATCCTGTCATGTACTAAGGTTGTATAGGGCGTTGCCCTCACCCTGACTCAACTCTCCCTAGAGTTTGGTGTCTCTGAAAGTCGCGTCCGTTTCACCACCTGTGCGTTGTTCCTGGGTCTTTGCCTGGGTGCCTCGTTCTGGGGTGTTGCATCTGATGTTATTGGACGTCGTCCTGCTTTCAACCTGACTCTCCTTATCACCGGTGTGTTCGGTCTGGCCGCTGGTGGTGGACCCAACTGGGTCGGGTATGTCTTTATTTATTTATTTTTTTTTGGGGGGGGTTATTCTGACCTCCAGTTATTAATGACTGCTAACGAAAAATCTAGAACCTGTGCCCTATTCGCCTGCTTGGGCCTTGGTGTCGGTGGGAATCTTCCGGTTGATGGTGCACTATTTTTGGAGTTCCTGCCATTTGCTTCAGGAAACCTCTTAACCATGCTGAGTGTCTGGTGGCCCGTTGGTAACCTTATTGCCAGGTATGCTCGATCATATATATTCATGCGCGAGAATTTTGACTAACAGCACACGAAGTTTGCTCGCATGGGCATTTGTTCCGACTTACTCTTGTGATAGTGACCTTCCCTCCTGCCACAAGGTTGCCGATGGGGTACGTTGCTGTAGAAAGGAGGACAACATGGGCTGGAGATACCTGGTTCTTACCTTGGGTGCTCTGACTTTTGTCATGTTCCTCTGTCGCTTCTTCCTCTTCCACCTCTATGAGTCCCCCAAGTACTTGCTCTCCCGTGGTCGCCAGGCCGATGCTGTCGCCGCGGTTCACGGAATTGCCTACAAGAACAAGAAGAAAACTTGGCTCACTGAGGATATCCTGAATGAGATCGGCGGCTACCCGGAAGAAGAAATCAAGCAGACGCTTACTTCCAAGGAGATCGTCTGGAGATACCTGTCCAAGTTCTCTATGCAGCGCATCAGACCTCTGTTTGCCACCAAGCGGCTCGGTATCAACAGTATGTCTCCTTCCAACTATTTGCAGCACCGCAGCGTGAAGCTAATTTAATTTACAGCCGTCCTCCTGTGGTTCTGCTGGGCCACTATTGGAATGGGTTACCCCCTCTTCAACGCCTTCCTGCCCCAGTACATCAAGGCTGCCGGCGGTGCCACCGAACAATCCACCTACATTGTCTACCGCAATTACGCCATCACCTCCATCGTCGGTGTTCCGGGCTCCATTCTAGCTTGTTTCACCGTCGACATCAAGTATGTGGGCCGTAAGGGCACCATGATCATCTCCACCCTGATCACCGGCGTTCTCCTCTTCTGCTTCACCGCCACCACCGACCCCAACATCCAGCTCCTGTGCTCCTCCCTCGAAGCCTTCTTCCAGAACATCATGTACGGCGTCCTCTACGCCTACACGCCCGAGGTCTTCCCCGCCCCCAACCGCGGCACGGGAACCGGTATCGCCAGTTGCCTGAACCGTATCGCAGGTCTGTGCGCCCCCCTCGTCGCCATCTACGGCGGTTCCTCCAGCCCCAACGCCCCAATCTACGCCTCCGGCGCTTTGATGCTGGCCTCCTTCGTAGCTATGTGCCTCTTCCCCATTGAAACAAGAGGGAAACAGACCCTCTAAGTCCACTTTCTCTTCTCTCTTTAAATCCCCCTCCATTTAAAGGAAACAGAAGAAGAAAATCTGGACCTTTTGGGCGGCCCAATCCATTTCACTTCTTGTTTATGTTACGTTTACGTGCATGATGCCATTTCCTGCAAACACCGCCCTCCCTCAACTCCGAACCGAAAATATTCCCTTTTCTCTCATGTATACATTGAATCAGTTCATGTGTGTTATGTTCACGATGCATGAATGATCGAACAATTCGAAGGCGAAAGATAGTATATATATCTCAATATATACCCATGTGCATACATAGCGAGTCCGCGAGCTAGCTAGCTAGTTGGGCACTGTTGAATACCATTTCTGTGTTCTACTTTTTAAGTTTTATTTAGGCACTTGCCGAGAATCTTGAGTAGATATTCCTCTCAATTGGAAATTCCGTTAGTTAGATAATGGAATGGGTTGAGTTATTAGGATTTTACTTCTTAAGTGCCTTGATGGTAGGATCGACTGAGGACTCATTCTTCCTAACTAGTAAATGCGTCAATGGAAAGACAGACAACCTTATGTAGTGCCTTAGGACTAGAGATCAGGTGACAGGGAGTAAGTACCGCACTAAGTTTCTACACTGTACTTGTATCTAGGTAATACTTGTCTGTATATTGTGATCAGGCGAGAGGTGAAAAATCCAGTGAATTGTGAATATATCGATTTCTAGATGCACATGTTTGTCACTTCTGTACTGTACAACGTCGAGGGGAGTTTACGCGTAAACGAGACAAAACAATTACAAAAGCAGGCCAATGTAACAGACGAACTTCTTCGAAATGCAAGTAAATCCCTATGGCCCGGATTCTCCTTATGCTGCGGGGGTGTGGGAAATAAAATAGAATAAAAAGTGCATAAAAAACAGAAGAGAGAAAAAGAAAAAGTAACGTTAGATATCCCATAAACCAGATAAAAGCCCATACAATATGCTTTGCCCGAACCTGAGTAATCCAGAAAAGAAAAGAAAACAAAATAAAAAAGCCAAAAGACGAATAACACCCGAGACAAATGCGACCCTACCACCCAATACTCATGGAATAGAATTCATGGCCCATCGTTTTTATTCGTTAAAAAGAAGTCATCTTGGAGAGGTACTGAAAAGCTTAGACAACCTGGTGCCGTCTCCCTCTCCTCTCTAACAATGTTGCATTATCCAGACTAAGTTCGAACGGTTGCCGCGAGGACCGAGCAATATTCTGCTTCGCTGCCGCCGCCACCTTAGCACTATGTGTACCGTAGCCCTGCTGCGGCTGTCGTGCTTGGGCAGCGGCGCTCGGGTGAGCGCCCAGATTCGTAGATCGTAATTTGGCCTCCATCGCGGCCACCTCCCGAGCCTGATGCGAGCCCTTGTGGACCTTCGGCGCCGCATACTCATCCTGATGAATGGGCTGGTAGGTGACTGGCGGGTTCGGTTCCTCATCGAAGTCCTCATTGAGGGGGTTCAGAGCCGACCGGAATCCGGTGGTGGGGTTGGCCCCCCGGGCGCGATATGTCTTTAGCCGCTTGCTTTCTTCTTCTTGCCGGTGGACGGCATAGCCCACATCGAAGACTTCGCGCAAGTTGATCGCTCCAGGCGATCGGAAGTCCATAGGACGTTCCAAACCGGCGGAGGGCTGATCCGAAAGTCGAGCGCTAGCCGGGGCGTACGGTGCCTGGTCCGCAGCAAGGGCATCCAAAGGTTGTTGGCGTGAGGGTAGCGGTGTGGTCAGTGGAGGAGCGTCGGTGGCCGCCATGGTCTCCTCGTCGCTTCCACGAATCCAGGGGTGGGCCAAGAATTCTTTGATCGAGTATCGTTGGTCAGGGTCTACCGTTAGGAGATGAGAGATCAGATCCTTTGCCGACTTCGAGATGTCATCCCACCACGGCGACAAGAAGGTATACTGGCCTCGAGCCACCTTCTCCGTGAGGACTTGGATGCTCTCGTCGTAGAAGGGAGGGAAGCCGCAGAGGAGAGTGTACAGCACACAGCCCAAAGCCCACATGTCGACACTCTTCGAGTATCTCTCATCCTTGACGATTTCAGGGGCCGTGTAACCGACGGTTCCACAAGGAGTCATCGTCTGGCTGTCCCAGATGACCTTGGAGAGACCGAAATCGGCAATTTTAATGACACCGATCCCGCCCGAACCCTTTCCGGGGATGAACTCCCCTTCATCGACTTTGTCCTCATCACCCGGTTGGACAGGTTTGGGGTCCTTGCTTGGAACAAACGGAATCGGATAGAACAGAAGATTTTCTGGCTTGATATCACTGGAGACGCCGTCAGCATCACGTCAAATGGCCTCAGGGGACTTGAGAGATCATACCGATGAACGACGCCGGAGGTCTCGTGCAAATACTCAATTGCTTTTGCGACCTGGGTGATGACATGACGACTCAGATCCTCGCTGAAGTAGGTTAACCGTACGATCTGATGGAACAGCTCGCCGCCTGGGCAGAGTTCCAGAATGATATAGTAGTACTGGCGGGATTCAGAAAATGACACGAGTTTGACGATGTTCGGGTGGTCTATTTGGCGCATAATTTGGACTTCTTTCAAGATGTTGGCGCGCTGCAATCGAGTTAGCAACGTTTTGTTTAGTAGAAGAAAAGTGGAAACGGAGGTGAATGGTCGAGACGAGATAGGAAATAAGAGGCAGTATATTTGCGCACCTCCGTAACCTTGGTATGTTTGACCTTGGGATGCAGATGGGCGGCGGACTAAAGAGAGATGGCGAAGGAATTGATTTAAGCACTCAGAAAGAGAGAAGGCGCACAATTGGAGGGGGTAAATGGGGAAGTGTGCGTAAAAGGAGAAAGAGGTATGGCAGGAGAGAAACGAGGGTGTAAATCCAATTTGGCCTACCTGGTTGCTATTCATTTCAAACTTTCGGACGACTTTGATCGCTACTTCGCCGTACTCTCCTGTGGTGTCTTTAGCGCGATAGACGTTACTGAAGGCGCCGTCCCCCATCTTGTCCATCAGGATCCAGCGCTCCAGTCCCGGGTACTTGGGCATTTTGTTCCGTTGGCTTCTCTCCTCAGCCACAATCTGTTCGATTTCAAGCTCCCGAACTCGTTTTGTCTGGGAGTCCGCGGGTGACTTTTGAGGGGCCTGGGCCTGACCGTTGCCCAACCTGCTGTCAATGGCATCTAGGTTCCCCGCAGCAGGAGGGTAGGAGCCTTGAGGTTGACGTTGGTGTTCGGCATGTATGGGAGAAACATTGGTGGTTGGCTCGGCATGGGGGGTCACCAGCCGGGCCTGTTTCCCATGACGTATGAAATTCTTCAAATTTTGGATGGTACTCATGGTGCTGAGTAATCAATCGGCACAGAACAGAGAAAAAAATAAGGGAAGAAGAAGGGAGGGGAAAAAGAGAGAATAAGGAGAAGGGGGGAAGTGTGGGGGACTATTGTGTCGGGAAGGAGGATGCAAGTTAAAAAGAATGGGAATGAGAAATACGGACAAGGGAGGCAAAAAAAATAAAAATAAAAATAAAAGAATAAATGATAATAATGATGATGAGAGATTATCGGCCAGAATGACGTTGGTGATGATGGCACGGGCAAATTGAATTCCTCTCTTTTTTCTTTTCTTTTTTCTTGTTTCTTCTATTGAGTTTCTTTCCCCAGTTAAGGTCTTTGACTCTTGGTGCTTTCCCTTATTTTACTTTTATTTTATTAGTTTTTTTCTTCCCTTGAATTTGTGAAAATTCCTTCTCTTCTTTTCTTTTTCTGACCCCGCCGAGTCTGGGCTGGCGTCAGTGGGAGTTGAAAATCAAATCGATAAGCTTGTGGTGGATTTGCCGCAAGACAAATCAAAATTCTCCAGTGGGAATAAAGGAAAAAAATCCAAGAGAAAGCAAATTGCTCACCAGTATGAGCCCTAGCGAGTAAATGTCGTCAGTCCAGGAAACTGGGGCCTCTAATTCTTATAAATGAAATGTGACGACGGGGTAGGAAGCGAGTTAATGGCGGGCGGGAATCAATGGTGGGGAAAAAGCGAGAATGAAAGGTGATTTAGTTCAGTTCGTAGTTAAGTAGTAATAATAGTTAAACAATAGGAGTCGAGTCGGTAGTCTTCAAGAGATCAGAGACAAAGAAAGAGAAGAGTAGTATAAATGTTCCCTCCCCATCCATCTTTCCCAATAGCTTCATTAAAGAGGATAGATAATCAACCCAATTCTTTCATTGTTCGCTTTTTCCGTCAATATTGTAACTTCGCTTCTCCACGCCATGACGTCGAACGGCCGCGGTTATGTCATCCGATGACTCAGCCACGGCTTTTTGGAAGGTCACATCATAAGTTACTGTACCATACCAGTACCTACCTATCGAACAGGGACAACGGATACCACCTAGGATTCCAACTACTACTTTCCAGTCAAGGGAAGATTGATATCATCCGCTAGTCCGATCCTCTGGCGTCATTCGTCCCGATACTTGACTTGAACTCCTGTAGGATCATTCTTTAAAGAAAGAGAGAGAAAAGGTGGGGGGGGGGGAGCATGGAATACTTAAAAAGACATTGAGATGCGCACATCCGTATGGACATGCACATGATATTGACATCCATATGCAAGGTACATATTGTATGTACTTCTTCTACGATCTAGATAGGATGTGCTTATGGTATGTATGTGTGGATGTATGTATCTCGGAGATCCGGATGTTCTGCACACGAAGTTTCAGTAACTTGTCCTGGAACATTAAAAGAAAAAAAATTAAATCTCCTGCTGCAAAGGGATTCAATGGAGGTTTAATAGTATACCCTCTGGAGAACCGTGGGCATGAGACGCCACACCCGAGAATAGATTTTTGACAATAAGCATGATTAGCATTATCGATGACATGACCAGAATGACAAACAATTAAGAAATTAAGAAAAGAAGAAATAGAAAAAGAAAAAGGAAAGGAAAAGAAAGAGTGAGACAAGAATTACTAGTAATACATACACACACATCGGTATGTACATATCTACGTACCATGGGGACCGTCGTACAGCATGAGGGAAAAGGGCTGCAGGGGTGTGAGATTCAGTCACGAAATTAATTAATTTGAAAAAGGACTTTGACACTGCAGGTTGACTACCACTCCAACCACTACCTACTACAATGGACGACGACACGACCCCACGTTATCTCTTGCTCCCATTTCCTTCCTCGCCTCTTCATGTATCGTGTCCTCATCTTTGTTTAAACGAAAGACAACTTTCCATCAACAACTGATCTCTACAGGTAACTCATTCATCCTGGATCATCCTTGTCTGTCACTGGTCCATTAGGGAAAATTAACCCACTTAACGCTTCGGATCCGCAACGTGGAATGTCCCTTTCATTGCCTCGCTGTCGCACTCTTGGTCTCTTTTGGTACCAACACGCTTGCTCCTGCGTGTCGCGCCCTGCCTCTTCACATTTTTAAGTTGGGTACAGGACTCTATTTTCGGAGTTCTTCATTCAGCCTCTGGATTTATCCACTGTGAAGAGTGGATTTCTCACATCTGTCGTTGTGAGAGACACGCTTCCTGAGTACGGTACCTACGCCCTTACGCTGCTGCCCTTACTCTGTTTTTTATTCTAATCCCGCCCCCTTAACTCTTGGTCTCTAATCATTCATTTTAAAAGACAGAAGGCACTTTGGTGGTCTATTCTTTCAAAAAGTTTTTTTTTTCTAAATTCTTTCCCACCCTTTTATTTTAAAGCCATTTTGGACCCCTCCGGTTGGACCGTAGCGTCGAAACTCGACCCTACGGATCGGATCGCCTTGCTTTTCGCTATGCGACGCCAGCATCAACCATCCTGGACCAATCTTATTTGAAACAGTCTTGGTATCATGATATTACTTCCCAGTGACCCCGTAGTTTGGTAATATTTTTTTGGCCAACAATCCGGTGACCCAACAACGGTGAGAATTTCCCGGCTTACGGTGGTGTAGTTGGGCTCTTCGGTCAAGATGCCCGGCATTGCTGGCACGTCTCCCGCCTCACTAGAACACTTGGACCGGCCGCTATTCAGGTCCCACAAGTCACTCCCCCGAAGGCCTAATGGCGATCCGAGTGTCCATGTCATCCACGCGTCTCCATCCGACCCCATCGTTGACACTTCAAATGGCGGTACGCTCGCAACGCCGCCCGCTCTCCCTTTAACACCCCCCGGTGCGCCTCCAGATGAATCTCCAACTCCCAACGAGTTGGAAATGCAAAAGTTCCCTTCTTCGCTTTCTATGTCCGGAGCCGTGACTCCTTCCAAGCCATCGCATCCCCCGACCCCCGAAACGACGCCCCCTCGACTTACTACGACTACGTATCGACCCGGAATTGGCGGTCAATTCCGACAGACATCTTGCTCGTCTCGAGCGGAGTCCTTCCAAACTGCATGCGAAATGATCTCGGATGGTGAAACGGAGACCCCTCACAGATCATCCCCACCATCGCGTCCCTCCACTAGGCAGAGATCGTTTCAAAGAAGTGTCCAGTCGGAACGCAGTGATGTCCGGCCAGACGACACCCCGGCTTGCGAGGAGCATCCCGATGCCACGTTATTAAAGCCATCTCGGTACGAAGGTATCAATGGGGAATGGGCAACGGAGAACACCGACAGATTTTCCCCCTCTCGCCAGAGGCAAAGGCGCTCAAGGAACCATTCCTCTGACACTCCGACCGCAAATACTCCTGAACAGCCTCGCGATGTGAACAGTACCAGGGTGTGTGAATTGGATGTCTTACGAACACGCGGGAGGAGTGTGCGGGTCCGGGTCCGAGATACTCATGGCACCAGCGCCAGTCCGTATCCGGAACAGTTCTCGGAGAAGATCGACTGGAACCCTGCGGAAAGCCGGGTTGATTCTTATGACGCAGACGATTGCCGCCGATTTTCGAATGTGTCCACGTCATCGACAATCGAAGTGATGATTGTTGACACACCCGAACCGTATAAGCCCTCCCTGCGCCATACGGAGAAGAGGGTTTCACTGCGTTCAGCCAGCTCTCCGGTTCCGAGGTCTGAGCGTGGGTCACTGGTCTCGAATCCAGATTCGCAGCACCGCTTGGTTCACAAGGTTGCGCGGATCTCGGAAAATGACCGCAAAAGCATCGCGTCGGAGATGTCCATCTCGGAGGGCTCAATCCATGGTGCTGGGGGGCCTCAGCCGCATGTGGAGGTCGTTCCAGTCGTTGTGATACCAGAGCGTCATTCTTCTTTGAGATCCTCGACCTCAACCAGCAGAAAGCCGTCCAGTGCTAGCTCTCAGCCATCAAGCCGCCGAACGCGCACGAGATCAGGGAGCAGGCCAGAGTCGTTTGATCGTCCTCCCCAGAAGAGGCGTACTCTATCTAATTCGAGTGCGCCCTCTCATCAGGACACAGACTCCAGGGGTCGCAGCGTCGGTCGACCTGCCATCCCTCCACGCAGCTCCTCGTTATCTGCGCCTACCAGTCAGAATAACTCCCGTGCCGCATCCATTACCTCGGATACTAGTTCACGAAATCACCCATCGGCGATAGAGACCGAAACGCAAACCCGGCCTCCCGAGCCATCCATGCCTGAGCCCGCCAAAGTCAGTCATGTCCGTGGCCGGTCAGACATTCCAGATGTCGTGAAAACGCAGTCTATCCTGATCGGAGTGGAGGACATGGCACACTTGCGCTCACCGTCAGGTGCTTTCACGCAAGGGTCAATCCCGTCGTCATCGCCAGGCCTAGTGGAGATTAATGAAGCTACCATGGTGGCATTTTCTCTACACAACAATGAGTCTGTTCTGCTGGTTAACCCACAACGGCAGCCGGCACCTCATGGGCTAGGGCTACGCATGGAGTACCAAGACAATTTGGCAAAGCCAGAACTTCCTCAAGGCTCGGAGCAGTATGAGGTAAACTCGCCGCTGCAGAACCCGCGCCAGCCACCAGAGCCTCCAGTATGTAAAATCATTCCACCCACCCCGGTGAATGAGGCAGACCGTGATCCCGAAAGAGACACGAGAACTGGCGAGACCGGCGAGCACCCAGCTCGTCGATTTGGCTCTGTTCGGCGCCCTTGGAAGCTCCGACCTCGATCCGATTCGTTTAATTCCATTGCCCGATCGTTTTCAGTGACGTCGGCGAAGAACCGCATGGCAGGGAAAGATCTAGACGGCAAACTCCACCCGTTCTGGCGACCTCGTCGGTTCTGGGAAGATACATCTGAATCCGAAGACCAGTCCCCAAGAGAGCAAAACTTTCGCCCTTCCACCTTGGAGCCGGAACAGGTCATCAGTAATTCACTGGGGATGCCCCAACAGCGGGTTGTATTTCAGGGGCCTCCCATTTCTCCTCGTAGCCTTGAAGCCAAACGGTCCTTCGATGAGGCAGCGTCCCGTCGTCAGGCTAGGGATAGTCTTGTGGGCAGCCGAGTATTCATGCCTGAGGCGTTATATTCACAAACTTCTCTCCACCAGCGACGATATCGCTCCCTCTCATGGTGGCGACTGCGGCTTCGGTTTGGTTCGGTACGTAGCTTCCGCAAGCGCCTGAGACGCAGTTGGCAGCAGCGTGCCGAGGGGAAACGAGAAGCCCGACGCGAGAGGCTCAAGCAAAGTATTGGTGAGGCTGTCCTTGTCGACTCCAGCACGCAGACACGGAGTATGGTGCAATAACTTGCCATATGGTCGCTTGGGTATGATCAGCACCTGACCGATATGATGAATGATGACCATGCATAATGGATCGGTGTTCCTCCCCCCCCCCCCTTTTTTCATCTTTTTCTTGTTACGTTTATTTTTCTGTTGCAACTATACTTATGCTTGACGATTCACGATTGATGGACCCCACAGAACACGCAATGATTCTTCGGATGCTATGATAGCTCGCATTGATGTGTCTATTCTCTGTATCATACAATGAGATTATAAAATTGCCCGTTCTGAGAAGTATAAAATCACAAATAACTACCATAACAAGAACTTATTTTCGTTAAACCCACAGAAATACACTGCATAGACAATATGAGATATAATGGTCAAAAGAAGAAAAAATCATCTCCACCTTCCCATCCTCCCTCGAACAGCCATTCCCCCAAATTCCGCTTCTCTCTCCTTCTTCCTCCTCATCTCCTCCTCCCTCTCCTTGGCATAAGCATCTCCCAGCCCTTCCTCTCCCTCGTCCCTCCACATTCGATCCACCGCCTTCACATTCTCCCACAACCCAGGATCCAGGAAAGGCTGCGGACCCGATGAGAGATCGTACTCTGCGGTCGTGGGTCGAGATCCCCTGATGTCCCCAGACTGGTCCTTTGAGGTAGGTTTTAATTTGGGCTTGGATTTGGGTTCAGTGGCCGCTGATGTGGAAGTAGAAGCTGATGTTGATGTTGATCGGATATGGATGGGCGGGTAAGTGGCGGTAGTATTGGACAGGGAGGGTTTTTTAGGAGCTATGAGGGGCCGTTTAGAGGGGATTAGAAGGGTAGAAGGTGAGCGAGATGTTTGAAATGTCATTTAGCTTTATCAAGACTATAGATATATAGTATACTATTGGACTGTTGTGATTGACTGGGAGTAGTGGTGTGTAGTACGGCACTGACTGTATTACTACTGCATCATGGCTCGGTATGAATGGATGACCCCGCGCTATGCCCAAAGGGGAACGTAGCTCTGGCCCCCAATATTTAATCATAAAATCTGACATCCAACCTCTATCTTGAACTGCAACAACTTCACAAGACACGGATCTTCATGTCGAAATGGGCTCCAAAACATTCGAAGGAGAGAGCAAGAATGGCGGTAGTATGAATTTACCTCCCCTGACATTACATTGTTCTGCAGTTATGCTTATATTCTCCAGATGGCCCGTCCAACACCGCAAAGCCTAATGCCGGTGGGGAGCCGCGAGGAGTCCACCTGTCCCGGGACGGTGATGGCAGTCTTGGGGAGGGAGATGGAGACGAAGATGGCGATGGCGACAATAAAGCCTGCGCTGCTACCTTGTCGCTGACGCAACAGCTTGCCTCAGAAACCACCTGTAAGAAGAAGAAACGAAGAAAGCCCAAGAAGAAGACCCCAAAGACCCAGTCGTCACCGCCCCGTGTCCCGTTGGGTGACCTCTTCCCTACGGGCCAGTTCCCGGTCGGTGAGATTCATAATTACGAGTCCGTGGTCGAGGGCACGGCTCGCGTGACGGCCGAGGAAATTCGATACGAGTCCCGTTGTTACCTTCGGGACGACAGTGTCCTCAACGACTATCGCAAAGCCGCAGAGATACACCGCCAGGTCCGACGCTGGACGCAGGAGACTGCCCGGCCCGGACAGACCCTCACAGAGATTGCCGTCGGCATTGAGGATGGTGTGAGAGCGCTACTGGATAATGCTGGCCTTGAACCGGGCCAGTGTCTCCAGTCGGGCATGGGATTCCCCACGGGGCTCGCTCTGAACGATTGTGTTGCACATTACACGCCCAATCCTGGCCAGAAGGAGATTGTCTTGCAAGCGAGCGATGTGATGAAGGTTGACTTCGGCGTTCATATAAATGGCTGGATTGTTGACAGTGCGTTTACAATGTCTTTTGACCCAATCTATGACAATCTGCTTGCCGCCGTGAAGGCCGCTACGAACACTGGTATCAAGGTGGGAAAAGGCCCAGTGTCGCGTGTTTAAGAGCATGGCTAATTTTTCTTTTCTTTTCTTTTTTTTTTGTTTTTTAGAATGCTGGAGTTGACGTTCGTATTAGCGATGTCAGCGCTGCCATCCAGGAGGTGATGGAAAGCTATGAGGTTGAGATAAACGGTAAAGTGTACCCCGTGAAGCCGGTGCGAGACATAAGCGGGCATGATATCAAGCGGTATCAGATCCACGGTGGGAAATCGATCCCGTTTGTGAAAAATTCTAGTCAAGTAAAGATGGAAGAGGGGGAGATCTTTGCCATCGAAACATTTGGATCGACGGGGCGTGGTTCTACAGTCGATGGCGTATGTCTCCTTTTCCTACGTGACACTGAGAATATTGCTGACATACATTCCAGTTTGGTACCTATGGATATGGGAGAAACCCAGACGCGCCCAAGAGGGTGACGTCACCTCTCGCCTCGGCCCGATCCTTATACAAGACGATCAATGAGAATTTTGGCTCAATTGTTTTCTGTCGCCGCTACCTCGAACGGCTTGGCGTCGATCGTTATTTGGCCGGCGTATGTATCCATCATCCTGCTCACGGAATAGTGTGCTTACTCTGCGCAGATGAACAGTCTCGTGAAAAATGGAATTGTCGAGGAATACTTGCCTATGATGGACGTGAAGGGGTCGTACTCGGCCCAGTTTGAACATGTACGTACGCTCTTATAGTGAACTATAGGGGATTCAAGCTAATTCTAGATACAGACGATTCTGTTGCGAGAGTCATGCAAAGAAGTGATCAGTCGCGGAGACGATTATTGACACCTGACATCTGTGATATCGATATCTGTCCTTTTGACTCTCTGGTTTTGACGCCATCCAACATGGCCCATGTCCAACATTCGTTTACAATCTACATTCGTGTCCATTCATCCATTCAACATGGTCCAGTATATTACTTTCAGTACTATATGCACGATCTATTATGCTTCTTCAATACTCTATCTCATGAGTCGTATTCTAGTAACTGCTTTAAGTAGAGGATTTCTCAATCCTCTGAAACCAGATCAACTCCCCATTCATTGTCGGCTCCAGACCAACGCCCACTTCACGAACCCCGTCTGGACCCAGTCTGAATTCCGCCCGAACAACCTCATGATCGCGAGGATCCTTATTTTTCTCTTGCAATCTCGCCAACCAAAACTCCCCACTTACATGCTCCATCACAATCAGCATACTGAACTCCTGACACAGCCGATCACCAATCAGTCCCTCCCCATCCGCCCCAACCACCAACTCCATACCCCCATACCCAGGATGCCAATATCTCCCCCCATACTCTTGAATCCCCAAGGCCGGTAAGACTACCGGACACGGCACTTCAGGATAAAGCCGCTCACGAGCCCTCGCCAGCGCCGCCCGCCGCCCCTCGACCTTTCCCTTGATAACCCTCCCCCAATCCACCCTCTCCACCCCCGGCGTCCCCAACATCTCATCCAACAAATACATATACAAAACCTGCTGCATCATATTACTCCTCACTGTCGCATTCCCGAAGATAACAACCCCCCACTCCACCCCAGGAAGAAACATCACCACACTCCCAAACCCCGCAATACTCCCTGTATGCCACACCACCCGCTGCCCCCGATACCCATCCACCCTCCACCCAAGCCCATACAAATGCGTCCCGGGAAACAGATTCGTAGGCCCCTCACACACTATCCTCGGCGCCGTAAGCGCCTCCCGCGCCCTCTCACTCAACACCCCACCCCGCATCATACACCGCACCCACGCCGCATAATCCACAACACTACTAATCATGCACCCGGCCCCAGACAGCTCGCTGTACTCGGGATATTCTAGCGCGCTATACCCGGACCCAGAGACCCACGCATATCCCCGTGCTATATCACCCCCGTCCGCCTCCGCCTCCCCAACGCTCCAATATGTATTCCGCATACCAAGTGGTCCCCAGATCCGGGCGCGGAGAAACGACCCCAGCTCCACGCCTGTGATCTTCTCGACTGCCACCGAAACGGCCGTGTACATGAAGCTGTTGTACATGTATTTCTCCCGTGGGGTAGCGGTTAAAGGTAGATGACGGAGTTTGCGGACTTCGGTTTGAGGGCTTGCGCCGGAGGGTGTGAAATGGTAGCTGTGTTCTGGGAGGCCGGTACGGTGGGACAGGGCGTCTTCGAGGGTTATCTGGTTTGTGGTTGTGGGGCTTGCGAGGATGAAGTCGGTGGGGAGGAGGGTGGAGAGGGGGGTTGTCCAGGTTAAGGGTTTGGTATGTGATTGGGAGTCGTCGATTAGGAGGGCAACGGCGGCGGCTGTGAAGGATTTGGTGGTGCTGGCGGTATAGTAGAGGGTCTCTGGGGTGGCTTTGGTGTTGGGGTATTGGGAGTGGCCGTAACCCTTGGCTTGGTTAGGTTGGTTGGTTTAAGGGGGTGCTTTGTGCATAGCATACCTTGGTGAATGTGTTGGGCCCGTCAATGATGGCGATAGAGGTGCCTGGGACGTGCCATTCAGTTAGGAGGCTGTTGACTAAGTCGTCGAAGGCTGGGGTGAAGGGGGATGCTCGTGGCATTTTGAGGGTTGAGGGTTGAGCAGAATGTAGAACTGAGGTAGGGGTTCGAGTAGGAGAAACACTCTACTTATGATTCAATATAGTTTGTAAATAAGCACTAGTATTAGTGCCGAGGCTAAGCCTCCCTTAGTGACTGCTTCTCCAAATTCAATCTCAATCAAATCATCGTTTCTTCGTTAAAAGTAATCGTCTGAAGGTCGTCCCGATTTGAGCGGTCTCCGACAGAAATGCATTATGGAAACAGTCCGACCAGACTCCTCGCTCCCCGTCCAACTTAAAGTGGCCCGCAATTGGGATATATATACAAATACACACAAATACTATGTAGTCAACCAGTCGTAATAACGCCAGTAGTCATAACACGGCAGAGAAAAAGAACAAGACATGATGGGGCGAAAATTATGCGATACCTTGAGCCTCCATCCCGGACATGGTAGAGTATGAGTATGGCAAATCAACCAGCCCATCCAACAGCCAATTCAATGGGTCAAAAACCTCGTAGTTGGGCTCCATAAACCCGCTGGGCAGTCCGCCAACGCTGCTTCCAGATTGAACCCCCATGGTGGCTTGCCCAAGCAAAGGAGCAGGAGCCGGCGCCAGACTAGGATCTCCACCAGCTACACCAGGGGTCGAGTTGGTGTGGGCGGCTCCAACGGAGGACGACGCAGATGATTCTGCGTTAGAATCCGGGTTGGTCGGGTTTTTGAGATAGGCTGCATGTCGGGTCAGTTCCCATTAAGATAGCGCATCCATTAAGGAAGAATCATACCTTCTAAGTTTCGGCCTTTCGTGCGTGCGTCTTCTCGCCATCGCCACACCGAGTCGAAAAGAAGTGACATACTCATCCGGCACCGAACTTTCAACATCAACGAATCATCCATCTCGGAGCTTTCGGTGGACGGCTTGGGGGTTGGCGCACTTCCCAGGCGCCACATCTGGGCTAAAACTTCGGCCAGCCGCTCGGGAAGGTCGTTGCTAGACACGGAATTCCCTCGGATAGCCCAAATGGTCCGGTTGAAAAGATTCTTGGTGTATTCCATGTTGATATGAGCAGCGAAAAAGCTGGTGCCGAGCTTCAACAGTGTGCAGCCTGCTGCAACCATCATCTGATAAATGTAATATGGCGTGTAGGACAGCGCAGGCCCAACTTCCGTTTCCAGGTTCATAGCAGCCTCTAGGAATGTTCGAGTTGCAACATATAACGAGAGAAGGCGATCACGATAATCCTTCCCGGTAGTATCGTCGAAGAAGACGGACAAGTGTAGGTGCAGGTTGGATGCGCGGAGATAAAGATCCGTAATGCCTGGGAGAGTTAGCATGGGGCTCATGTGAGTAGCTATGTGCAAGACTCACAGTCGTTCTGTGGCTTTAACTGAGACTCAAGTTCTTCAAAATCTCGGGAAAGAAACGAGATCAATGTGGACCGTTCCTGGCCATTGCAAAGCCCGACAGGATCCCGCTGGTTGGTATAGAGTGCTCTAGTGACCTTGTCACAGAACTTCTCGATCTGAAGTCGCGCGCGGATTCCTTCAGGCAACTTGAAGTTTGGGTCCGACGATTCGCTCGACAACGTCCAATCATACAATGTGGACGGCGGTTGCCCATAGCCGGTTGCGACCCTAGATAACTGGTCAGGACAACAAGAACCCCAGAGATTTAAAGCAACTAGGAGAAACGTACCGTTGCGCAACGATATTACAGATAGCCCAAGTCCTCACTTTATCCTTCAGCTCTTCTTCGATGAGTTCCACCCGAAATTTACTGAAATCCTGCGCATAGGACGGACGATGCAGACCGAGCTGCATGGCTACCTGCATCATCATTCCGCAGAGCATGAAGGTAGGATCGGTGGAGGTACTGCTCGTTGGGAACGGCCAAGTGCAAAGCAGGCAGAGAGCTTTTACAACATGGTAGCTCTGCGGGATGTCCGCCAGTGTACTCCATACCAGTCGCGAAACGGGACCGGCGAGAGAGTTCAAAAGGTGCGTATCGGTCTGATAACGCCGAGCGCCAACACTAATGATTGTCCAGAATAGCAACGGCGAGGCATTGTAGTACTCGTCAGGCGGCTGTCCTCGTTCAAGGAATGGAAGAAAAGGGTGATAAAACGTAAAGAACCTGGCAAGATTAATACGGGGCTCCCTACAGTACCATATCTAGCTCATGACTCACAGATCGAATAACTCGGTCACCCTCTCGGGCACAACCACAACATCTTCGATCCGCTTAAAATGATGGTTCCCATTCCTCATGTAATTGGAACCATCGAAGCCCGAACGTAGGTCCAGAAGCGATGCGACTGCTTCATGGGAACCCATGTACTGATCGGAAGACATGACAGAGGGCGTATGGTAAACACCAGCGGGGCTAACATGACTCGAGGGTTCTTGCTTTGGAGTATGTTGGGCAGATTGCAACGGTGGCGGCGGTTGCTGATGCTGTTGGGAAATGGACGTGGCAGGACTCGCCTGGACGCTGGCTATCTGCTTCCTCAACTCAATGATCTCTCTTTCCATCTCCGCATTGCGACTGCGCTTTCCGACTCTCTTGAAGTTGGACTCGATTTTGCAGTCGAGTCTTAGGCGACGACATCGTGAGCAGTCCGTCCATGGGTCTTGAACGACATCGCATCGCAACTGCCAGAATGAAGTCATGGATTAGTCTGGCCTGTGAGGGGATCGATCGACATGAGAGTTTCAGGTACTCACCTTCTGTTGGCGACATTCGTTGCACGCACGCTTTACCGGCTGCCTTTTCTTCTCCTCACGAAGCTCTGCATCCTCCACGTCATCCACGCTACCAGGAGAGCTATCTAACCCCGCCATGGCGACGTTGCGCTTCCTGGCTGGCCCCATGCCATCGGGTCCGCCAGTAGCCGAAACAGATGTATGGCTGACACCTCCCATTACGGGACTGGTGGCAGCAGAAGCATTATTCCCTGCACTGGCCTCCAGATTTTTTCCCTGCAGGCCCCCGCCTCCGATTCCGCTGGGTAATGCTCCGAGTGACGCCAGAATGGGTTGCGGGCGAATTGACCGATAAAAAGCTCGGACGGCAGAAAAAAAAAGTTAAGAGGATTGGAACTTGGCGTGGCTAATCGCCAGGCAACTCCACCACAAAAGTAGTAAAGAGGGGTAACAAAATAAACCAATAATGGTACAGGGAATATGCAATACAGAAACAGAATGTAATTCCAAGTATTCAATCTACAGTCCGGCTCTACCGTTGTGATCGGGAATCCCCTCAGCGATGGATGAGTAACAACAGTGGGGGGAAGCGTTTGAGAAGCTGTCCGATCTCGCTCTCACGTGGCCTGCCAGTGGGCACGTGATGATAACGCTTTTGTTCTTCCCCAAATTGGTATAGCGGAAAGTATGACCTGTCTTGGCTAAATGCCATTCGCAACTCATTGTAAGTTGTAGGTGTAGGTATACTTTTCTCTATCAATATCCAAAGGTTCCTTTGTTTCCATCACTCGGAACTTCGGCAAATTACGGAAGTACTACTTCATGTGTATTTCCCGAGCCTCAGTACCATGTCTTAGCAGAATGCCACTAGAACATGGTGTCGAAGTCAGCCGACGCTAACTACCGCTTCGTATCGTCATCTTCCTGCCTGATTTGCTAAGGATCACCACCGATAGCAGCTGCGTTTCGTATTTGGAGGCTGTGTCACTGATTGCCCCATGATGGGCAGTTATTGAGCCTTGCACTGCCGCTAAGAGAATTCTAGCTCTCGCTTCTCTATTCTTGTTGGGGAAAGCAAAGCTTAATAGTTGTGGTTGCAAGGCTACGTTAGGTTGCCCGGCTTTCTAGAAACATGCAGGACCCTGAGGTGTTCATTCGTTCTTCACAACCATCCAATAAGATATTCTAGGTTGTTGATTCGTTCGTCCATGGGACATCGCCCCGTTTCATTGTTTGCCCTGCTACTACTAAGTCATCCATCATCTTACATCACGATGGCCCTTTCATATGTGTGATTCTCAGGTATAAAGCGGCATTGCTCCTTCCGAATTGATTGAAGTATGCCTCAGCAATTTACGACTGCAAGCACATGAATTTATGGTCTTTTTAGCAGGATGCAATCGTCTTCTGTTGATAAGTCCACAAAAGTTGTCGCCGAAGTCGACCCTCCAGCGTACGACCAGGTTGACGAGCCGCCGCTAGTAATACCACCACTGGACTTACTTCAGACCGCCGGGCCACCTGTCTGTTCGACAGTCACCCAAGATCAGTGTATCGCTCATCTTAAGTTCTTGGCCGCAGTCGCCGATTTGCGCGACAGTGTGACTAGCATCGAGGGTTTATTTGATATCAAAGACCCTGACCCAGATGTCTTTGGGGATGATATCAATGAAGCTTGGGCGCGTGTCAAAGAAAAGCGATGGGCCGTATATACAACCAGGGCGGTCGACCGCTACACGACTTGGTGGAAGGAGTGTGTCCGTTCTTACGGAAAACGTCTTAAGCAACCGGAACTTGAAGATAAACGTTATGAATTGATTACCGAACAGAGTCGCCCCTACCACTGGTCTCCAAAGACCATACCCCCGTTAGGTGAGCACATCCTTGGCCCAGCCTTTGTTACCAAGTTCAAGCTACTGACAGGCCTTCCGGTCAGATATTCTAATGGTGTGGCATGCACATATGCTGAACCCTAGAGCCTTTCTTGAAGATTGCATTCGTGATGGAGCCATGGGGCTTTGGGCAGGTGGTTTCCCTTGGGAAATTATTAACTCCTGTATCGATGATCAAACCCTGGAATACGACGCTGGCCAGCCGGCGGAAACTCACTTTCAGTATAAGACAAGCCTTCCCTGGGACAACTTACAAGGGGCATCGACAAAGTCCCTCGAGTGTCCGAGCTGTAGACATGAGCTGTCCGTGCACTGGACTGAAGCGCAGATATCTGTCCCGCTCGATGAAGCATTCAACCACTGCCACGGTTTCGCGGATAAGAATTTCCGAAAAACATGTCCAGTCTGCAACTTCGAGATCACACACGAGAGACTGAAGATTGAGAAATTCAGGAAAGATGTCAGAGCATTCTGGGCTGCGAACACACCAATGCCAGGTACCTTATATGACTTTAGGGGCGTGCCCAAAGGTGTTATGGTCTCAAGTCGACGGAAAAGCCAGTCGATTTTCCCTAATCGCTTGATAAACGCGATAGGCCCCATTATCCTCAACCAGACTGACCCAACGGAGAATAACTGCAGAACGATGCAGGCGCTACGCGATAGGCTACAGGCGGGAATCAAGAGTCGGAGCATGATGAGAAAGGTCAACCCAGATTCCGCCCAGCTCTCATTATTTCCTGAAGAGAAAGTGGCATTCCGCCGAATGATGTCTCGGTATTGGGACAACGTCACTCCCTTTGCTCTCGACCTGGTTGGTGCGGTAATTCGACAAGGCACTTTTGTCCAGAAGATGGACAACATTGACTGGCTTCACTCACCGGCAGTGAAAGCAACCATGGACCGTTTAATCAAGAAGTATGAGGTCTTCTTCCAAATTATGGCGCGTAACCCACGCCACATGGCCGTCCCAACCCTGGATGTCGATCTCGCATGGCATACGCATCAATTGTCGCCTTCCAGATACTTCGACTACTCCATCTTTACAACACGACAGCACACCAGGGTCTCAATCTTCATTGACCATGACGACAAAGTTGAAGAGACTAAATTATCGGATGGATTCGAGTGGACCAACAAAATGTACAAGAAGATGACTAATGGTGAGATCTACAGCGAGTGCACGTGCTGGTACTGCGAGGCCATCCGCGCTCCAGATCTCCGCGACGGCATCTTTGTCTCCCAGTCTACCTCCAGAGCTCGGGAAGCAGTCGCCAATCTCCACAATCGGGCAGACATATCTTCCAATCCGGACAAGAACCCACACATCTCTGCCCACAGTGCTGTGCCGGCAGAGACTAAAAAGCCCCGTTCTAGCCTCGATCCCAGACAGATGAAGTACCTGAAACTTCACAGCAACTACCAGAAGGCACGCCGTCGCGCAGAGAAGCGGGACCGTAAGAAAGGGGACAAGGAACAGGATCGTTCTTCGGACGCTAGTCTCTATGTCATCCCCATGGCATATGGCTATCCGGTGTACGTGCCATATTATGCCCCGTATATGTGTGACCCTTGCGTGCACTCCAATGCATACGCGACGAACCCAAGCTGCATGAGCCTCGTTCCAGGGGCCTATGGCAACTGTGCGGCAGGAACCTGTGGAGGGGCTGTTGCAGCGGGCGGCTGCGGTGGGATGGGAGGATTATGTGCTGGCGGGTGTGCTGGTGGGGGCGCAGCAGGTGGCTGCGGATCTGGAGCTGGCGGAGGCTGCGGCGGGGGTGGCAGTAGTGGAGGCGGCGGTGGAGGAGGCTGTGGTGGTGGTGGAGGTGGAGGAGGTTGTGGTGGAGGTGGAGGTGGTTGTTGAAGAAGACCCTTGAGTCTGTGTGTGTCCTTGCTTTGATCTTTTGTCGTGTCGCTCCAGCGAGTTTGAGATCCAACTTGAGAATGGCTCCATAGTCGATGCAAGCCCAGCATTGATTATTACAATTGTTTTTTAATGCGAATAGAAGAAGAGAAATGATTCATAGCGATCAAGAATATGATCTAATTTAAACAACGATGAGAAACACCATTCTTTTATAAGGACCCTAATGAATCGAAATCATCCCCTCATCAACACATCTACGGAATCAGCAGGATAATTCAGGCACTACAGCTTATTCTCTCACCAGCCAAAATTCTATAATTTAGGGCTAACTTCACATACCACAGCCTTCTTGTTAGGGTACATAATGGCACAGGGCGGAACAGGCGCAAGCCTATATCAATAGTACTCAAAACATCTCCAGCGAATAATTAATTTTTAATTCTTTTTCAAAAAAAAAAAAAAAGAAGAGCAATCAAAAAAAAGGGAAAAGAAAACGAAAAGGTCCAAAGAACAAAACTAGTTAACCAGAAGGTACGGTTAGTAATACATAATAAAAGTTAGTTAGCATCATAGACGCTCCAGCTGTAATCATAGAGTCTCCATAGAGTTGCCAAGATCCACTATCAGTCTTGCTGCATTCGGAAGTCGACTGGAACTCCTCAACTCCATTTCCATGGTTACGTTGTCGAAGTTGCATCAGGAAAGCTCTTTCTACGTAACCATTAAGTGATGCTGATAACCTCTCGCTAGTCCCCTAGATATATAAAATAAACCCTGGTGTGCTTGATAACTAATCTACATACTGCACGTCCCCTTGCATATCTCTCTCTAGATCGAGATATATATATTCTTACAACTGGTATGTCGATTCTATACTCTAAATGGTTAGGATACTGACAAAACCAGAAAGAAAAATGGATCAGCTCAAGAAGAACTTCAACGACCTTAGCGGCTCCGCCAAAGAGCAATTCGATAAATGTAAGTGCAGCACATACATAACGCGATGAGCAGATCCCTATCCTGTGTGTTACATTTCAAGAATTCCCAACTGATCAATTCACAGTCTCTCGTAAGTAATGGACTTGGAGGAGCTGGGGCACTGCTCTCCCTTCACCATATGATGCTTATCCGTTGTAACAGAAAAGCCATCGGAATCCGCCGGTGACATCCTGAACAAGGGTAAAGACCAGGCATCCTCCGCTGCCGATAACGCCAAGGCGAGTCTGGACAAGGCTCTGGGAAAGGAAGATAAGTAATGATTGATGGATGTTCTTGTTTTAGACGCCCACTCTGCTATCTGCTAGATTCCCGCTAGGGTAGTACTAGTTAATGGAAATGGTATAAGCCTAGAGTCATGTAATTCAATGGTTCGTGGTAGAGGCCAGCATAGTACACGCGTTTTAAACTGCGCTGCGCTGTACGTCTTGATTCCGAACAACGTGGGTATATCTAATTTTAGGAATACGAAATGAGAAGAGAGAGAGGGAGGGAGGGAAGGCGGAAAAGTGAGGAAAAAATGGAGAGAAACACCGGAACCAATTGCTATGAAGTAACCATTCAACGGGACGACGTCATTTACATCACTATACACTTATTTCTTTTTCTACTTCTTTCGTAAATAGTGCGCTCGTTCCACTCCTCAATCCGCCGCCTCCAGAGGTCGTTTGACGGTTGGGAGCTTGTGGAGAGTGTCGGGTCGGTGGAGGCCCGGCGATTTAGGGGTTGTATGGTTTGCGTCGTCTGACGAATATCCTGCGATTGCGGGCGCCGACTCATCGATCTGTGATACCCGGTACGTAGCCAGGAATGCTGGGACACCTCCGGAGAGGCGTCGGTAACTTGTAAGTTAGGTGATGAGAGGGAATAGGGATAATTCAGGTTAGGCAGCATATCTGGGATTTCAGGCACAGAGTCCTGCCACTCTAGAGCATCTCCTAGATTGGCCGCAGACTCGGGTTGGGTTTCTTGAAGCGATGCTTGCTGCGCGGGGGATGATAGGGGCATCGCCGCGGCAGCTGCAGGTAAACTGGGATTTACTACGTCAAGGGTGCCTGCAATGTTTGGATCGATCTCCTGGGAATTGATAGTGGTTTGCAGTTGTAGCTGCAGTGGCACTGGCGGCACGCTGGGCACGTCGATGCTTTGGGAGTACGGATGATTCGAAGTAGTTCCTCTCCGGAGTAAATTGCCTTGTCTTCGGCTGGGGTCGGAGTCCTCTGAAGCCCTAGTATTCCACCGCACCAGAGACGCTAATCTGGACCCACTGATGGTATTCAGCCTTTGAAGGGGAGTCGGAGGCGAAGGCTCCTCGGCCATGTTCTCTAAACGAGTGGTATGGGCCCTTTGAACTTGACACGGTGCATCGCTGACTCTTTGTACAGGTTCCGTCCTTGTGGGAAGAAGAGTTCTTCTTAGATACTCGGGAAGTGGCGCATCAGGTTCGCGACTATAGGGGGGTGGAGGAGGAACCCAATTATCAGCATCGCTTTCATGAGGAACCTGGAAGATCGGAGGTACCGGCCTCGAATCAAAACCACGCCGCGGTTCGTCTCGATGCCGTGGGTTATATCGGGTACGACTGGTAGCCGCAGCGGTGGCAGCACGACGTAGTGTATCTCGGGACCGCGGCTGTGTGTTATCGTATGGGGTGTCCGGAATAGGTGATGTCTCACCATCAACCATATCATTCGAAGAACTGGAGAAGTAAGAACTATTTCGACGAATAACCAACGGTGGTGACTGGCTTATCGAAATAGCCGCTGGGTACGATTCGCGCGCAAGAGCTCTGGCCCGGAAGGAAGAGCTCCCGCGGTGCAAGCGGGTTCTTCTCCTTTCTAGCTCGACCTCAGTATCCAGGCTAATGTTTGGTTCATGGAGCATCTTAGGATCCGTCTCGCCAATTTCGATGCTAATCTCTGTAAAATCTCCATCTTTAGTAGATCGCTCAAAATCCAGAAGTAGCACTCGCCCCCCGTCAACCGGAACATCTTCTTCACCAATTGTGGGTGGGCTAATGCCGCCAGGTGCGACAGCCACCAGCCTACGATGGTCATCCGAGGTATCAGCTTGTCGCACCCAGCAAGCCGCAGAAATCCCCGGCATATCGCTCATTTTATGACCACTGATAAGCATTTTTGGCTTGGTGATAGAGTGCTGCAGTCGTTGCGCATTACTTGGTAGGGGCATCTGCCCATCCGATTCGTGACTTGAACCAATGTCTGCGACACCATGTGCTGCCGTAAAAGTATTTGATGGAGCAATATCAAGACGGTCTGGTATGCCATACACCCAAAGACCGGAATCTTGGAAACCCAGGGCAGCAAGCTCCCCACTACAATCGACCGTAGGTAGCATAATTGGCGGAGACTCCTGCGGCTCACTTCCAGACATTGGACTCACAAGGTATACCGTACCGGAATTTACATTGTTGGCTCCAATCGCTCTGAATGCTGCGCACTCTTTGTCAAACCCCAAAATCCAACTACCGTCACCTTCTGCGTGTAGTGGGAGTAGACAAGCATGACTGTAGCCATGTATGATTTCGGGAAACAGAATTTGAGTGGTCCACATGCGCGTCTGGGCCTCTCTTGCAGAGGTATCGATGACGGCTTCTGTATAAAAAGGCACCGTAATAATGACCAAACTGGTATTCTGGCTATCGCCCGACGAACCGAGCAGCATGGCTCCGTCTGAAGAGAATGTAATCGAATCCACGCCAGCGCAGCGTACAGCCCTTCGTTCGGTTGCGAGTGCTCCTTCTCCAATGGCGTATACTTCGATTCTATCGCTGTACGCGATGGCAAGAACACCGCCTGTTGGAGACAGTGCCAGAGCCTGTGGAACGTCATTTAGTTTGAGGTTCTGAACGTGCCTTGCGTCTTCGTTTGACAAGTTGTATATATTGACTTGATGGCTAGACGACACAACGGCAAGAAGCGATCCATCGTCTAAGATGGTAGCATTCAGCGGACGCCTCCAAGTTTTGAGTTCATGTCTCACTATTGCTGAGCCAGATGCCACATCGAGGACGACGATCCTTGAGGAGCTTATGCAAAGTACCAACTGAGCACTGGGTGAGAAAGTAAAGCGAAAGGCTTCTCCTTGTGGGAAAGCGGTTGAGGAACTCATTGAGGTCGAGATAAGCTTCACCAAGGTTTGGCGGGGCCTGAGGAAGACCTCAAAGGCATTGCGTCTTATTTCCGCGCCAAACCTAAACTTGAGAATGGCAAGGTCATCCAGAGAGACTTCATCTGAAGTAGCTTTTGCTGTCAATGAGAAAGATGGACAGCGAGATAGATGATGAGCGTATAACATAGGCGAATCTGAGATACGCCTCCATTTCCGGTTCAAGAGCGCTAAAGACGCGAAAGTATTTGCGTCGACGACATATAGAATGCTGCATCGCTAGTTAAAAAAAGAGAGACAGGGTTGCACAAGAGGCGTCTTGCTGACGAGTTCAAGAATCGCCGCAGCAGCCGTGAGGGAAAGTTATAACTTACTGCTCAATTACCGTGCGAGGTAAACTGCTGAAGAGAGATGAGATCAGCTCACCTGGCCGCGATTGGCTCTTTGCAAGCGAGCCGTTCTGTTGTTGGCTGGAGTCTAGCTGCTCACGGTCGTAATCAAGCTGCTCAGCACTGGGCAGCCGAACATCCTCCTCCATGGCCATCGAGTCATAGATATCTACATTTGTTGGAAGGAATATACAACAGGGTCCAATTGCACATAGTCATGAGCTTTCTAGGCAGTAAAGGGGCAAAAAATATGGAGAATCAGCCGGAGAGCTTGTGGAGGGACGAAGGCGCCAACTTAGCGGCCCGGTGGCTGTGTCTCCCAACGCCAATGCAACGATGATCTGGTCTCAGCGCGTACATGAGACAAGATGCAGACTTGGCTCACACGTTTCAATGAACATAAATTAAGGAATGAATGATATGCAGAAATGTGGATCTTTCCCCCACGTATGTGTATATTTTTTTCGATCGCTGAAGACCGACGTATCGGGGGAATAAATACTCTGGGCATACGATTAGTTGCATGCATTCGAAGACGGCGGGATATAAATAGAGAGTTATTGTCCCGGGCACGTGGTTGGCCCGGTGGCTGACTCAGCTTCCCCACACTTTCCGATAAGGAAAAGGAACTTCTTCGGAGGAGAAAAAGCGAAGTAGCGACTAGATATGTCTTGAAAATATACTCTTATTGAGTCACAGGAAACAGATTCGTGGACTATGAGGGGCTTCGCGCGACTTCGCGACTAACATCATTTGGCTCAATGTCGCTTGCATGGACCCTATGACCAAAATCGCTAAGTGCACCAGCCCTTACAGTATCTTCACTCCGCCTGCACCTCCAGCGCCAATATCTTGACAGCCTCGGTGAACTTGCTGGCAGCGCACACGACTCTCAATTGAGGACTCTAAGGCTTAATGCTCGCTGACTTGACGGAAATAATCAATTCATTCAAGGTTCATCATGCCACCTGCGACTGCGCAGAGTAGTTCGGCTACTCAAAAGCTTGTGACCCCGGGGTTTAACGCCGGCGCAAGACCGTACAGGTCTCACAAAGTCAGGGCTTGTGACTTGTGTAGGAAGCGCAAGTCTCGATGTACGGTGGATATCCCAGGCCAATCGTGCCTTCTGTGTCGAGTTCAAGGGGCAGACTGCCATTACCAAGAGGAATCCAATCACGATCCGTCCATTGCTAATGCCCCCGATCCCAAGAGATGGTCCGTTGATGATACCGGGGAAAGCATGTCATCTGGCCAGAAGCGTAAGCGTACCCCCCACAGCGATTCACCTCCCAGTTCCAATCGTCCACGGGAAAGTATTTCCACCTTACCCCGCGCGAATTCCGCAGTGGACAACCGCGGTAGCGAACCCAGACGGCAAGGCCTTGAAGATCCCCATAATGAATCCGTTCATATTGTCGGCCCTGTTGTTGCGGATGACGCTCAGGTAATTGAGAGCTTCATGCCGCCAGAGCATTCCAACAAGAACGAGGACCCCAACAGTCATCCATACAACGTCTATTCGAATGATCCGAGAAAACCAATCCTCTATACAACTATTTCTAGACGGAGGCAGGGTATGCGAGTCGGCATTCCACCTGGAGAAAACCAGAAGGAAATCCTTGAGCAGATCCTTGGGCCTTTTAGGCATGATTTAGTTAGGCTGTATGCTTTTGACCGCCTCCTGACACGGCTAACTAGATGCTAATCCATATCTGCAGCTTTATAGACAGGTTTAACATAGCATTTCCGATCTTTGATGGTGAAAGCTTCTGGGAAGCATACATTTCGGAGGTCCCAGGCGAACCACCAGCGGCTCTTGTATGCCAGGTCTATTCCATGTCCCTTGTCTACTGGAAGCATGTGGCGAAGCTTGCCAGCCACCCTAAACCAGATGTCCGGTATGCGGTCAACATGACTGTAGCCGCTCTCCATGAGGAATTTTCTGCCCCGGGACTATCGACCATAAGTGCTGCTCTGATTGACCTGACTGGAAGACCTATCTTTTCCATGACCGGCAACGCAATCAGTTGCGGTCGAATGATATCTCTTGCCCACTGCCTTGGTCTGAATCGTGATCCCAGTCACTGGAAGGTGTCTCGGCGGGAGAAGGATCACCGTATACGATTATGGTGGGGTGTTGTAATACATGATCGCTGGTTAGTCCTTCATACGCCTTTGAAATTCCCGTATTGTCGCTGATATCTCTAAAAGGGGGAGCTTTGGTCACGGTGTGCCTCCTCAAATCGCCAAGAATCAATACGACGTCCCACTCCCCACCATCGATGGGTTGTTACCACAAAATGGTCGCACTACTGAACGCGTGAGGGCCGCTCATTGCCATGTTGCGTTATGTCGCTTGACAGAGATCCTCGGCGAGCTGATGCCTCTTGTGTACGGCTTACAACACCGGTTATCACGCGAGACTTCCAAAAGATTAAGACAAATCCGCACTGATCTTGACATGTGGGAGGATTCTCTCCCTGACTGGTTGAGATCACCTTTGAACACTGGGTCGGAGGAACGTATCTCAGGGACGAGCAGCTTACAGCTGGCCTTCCTGGCTGTCAAGATGCTTGTAAGCCGGGTAGAGCTAAAAGTAAGTCATCAACACCGCACACATCATGTAAGTACGTCCCTAACAAACCGACCACAGGAGGTAAACAGTGCGGATACCGACAACCCGGAGGCCCGGCGCTATTTCCAGACAGAATGCCGACGTTCCGCTGAAGAAATTGTACAATTCATCTCTTCACTCCGCAAAGAAAACTTCCAAGAATTCTGGCTGCCATGTATGGAAATATCCTGTTACAATCAACCCTCTTATTCCAAATATCTAACGACAATCACAGATAGCGCCTTCCACCTCACATCTACCGCCACTCTTCTCGTCCGCTGCGCTTTGGAGACCACGGATACAGATGTAGCTCGCTCTTGTATCAACAACGTGGAAATGTTCCGAAGCATTTTACGCCGTGTCAGAGAAGAGGAGGACTGGGACGTAGCGGATATGTGTCTAGATCACTGCGATCGGATCCTCAACAGACTCCCTGGAAACGGAAGCACCCCTGACCTCAACTTCAGTGGTGTCGTGCAGCCCGATAATCGCCTGGTGAATCCCGCTGCCATATCGCTTCCCGAGACACAGACCAATAATGATATCGTTGATGATATGATGTCTATCTCAGGGACGTTTGGTACGATGGACGGTTTTCCGTTTGATATGACGGGTATCTGGGATGTCTCTGTCTTCCAGGATGTGAATTTAACATGATGTACGATCCCAGAAAGATAAGCCTGGAGGATTTCTCTTTCAATTATACCCAGTGTACTTCATATATATATATTCTGTTTTAAGCCCGTAATGATAGTGTCTATTGCAAGTGCATCTGTTCCGAGAGTTCAAAGGCATTAAAACTTGTAATCTCATTTATACAGAGGACAGATAATCAACCAAATGCTATTTTACAGACGACCCATGACGATGCTCAGGAGCCAAAAAAAAGTAGGAGAACCCTCTAATCATAACCCCGTCCCCCAAAACAAAAGCATTTCAGGTACACATTAGAAAGATCCGATTGGGAGAAGAGTGTTTGTTCCAAGTGACCGCCACGCGCCACAATTCTCAAGAAATCAATTACTGCTTGCCAGCGCCGAACATGCTAGTGAAGGAGCCCTTCATCTGGTCCATCTGTTCCTGTCGTGCCTTCTCCTCTTCAGCGGCCATCTCGGCCAGCCACTTCTCACCGTTTTCGCGGATCTCCTTCTCCATCATTTCGTAGTTCTTCTGACCGCGCTCACGGATCTGATCCCAGAGCATCTTACCCTGGGCAAGACCCTCGGACGGAGTCTGCTCGCCGTCCAAAGTCCGGGTGGATTTCAGTCCAAAAGCAGAAGCCAGGCTGCCCATGCTGAGTTTAGGCCGTTTTTTCTGCTCCTCGCCTAATTCCTTCTGGAAACGTTCACGCATGGCCTTCTCCCGCTTGGCAAATTCAACGGGGATATCAGTGCCCTCGAACGACTTCAGGACAGGGCGTACGTCTTCCACACCCATGCCGGCAAGGTACTCAAGCAAAGGAATCAAAGCGACCAAAGTCTTGTCCTTGGGTTCACCATTCCACTTCTTAAGAATGATGGCATTCTCCGGCTGCAAACGGGCATGTTCCTCCTTGGTGTCGATCAAGATCACCTTGGAGAGGTCACGGTTAAGGTACGCAAGATCCTAAAAAGCGGTGGTCAGTGATTCGCTTTCTGTTCCTATTCGACACGACATACCTTAATGTATTCTCCATCCTTGTACCTAGTCGCTTCCCGGAACAGTGGCCAGCGAATGATGCGGAAAGGGTCAAGTTTCCGAAGCACTTGGTCTGCCATCATACTCGGAACGCTGGTGAAGAGAACAAGCTCATAGTACTGGTTGAGGTAGCGCAGGAAATAATCCACGCCAGGTCGCTTGGCAACTCGCCATCCATGTTCACGGCTCCATTCGCTGTGCACGAGCAGATCTTCCAAACTTAACACCAAGGTGTAAGGCTGACGGAGGTTGGGATCTTCATCAGGAAGGAGCTTCGGGAAAGCGGGATCTTTATAGTAGCTAGTGAGATCGCTGAAACGAGCTTTGACGCGGTTGTACCAGAGCCCAAGGCCCCATCCTGATGGGACATCCGGATGGATCCTTTCCTCCTCCTCGGTATCCCAGTTCCGGCCCAGATAGGCGACCCCACCGGCACCCGCAAGCAAGAAAAGGGCATACATCAGGTTGGCCGTCCGGGCCCTTCGGCGATCGAGAGACGAGACATAACCATCCTTAGGGATATCGCCGCCGTGGCCATCATCTGTGTATTCGTCCGAGCGAGAAGGGTCTTCGGTAAGGTTCAGTGCAGTCGGTCCACGACCTTTCGAGCGAGCTTCTAGTTCTGCGGCGAGGGTGGATGGAATACCCTGTGTGAGGTCGGGAAGTGGTTGTTGCGGCGCAGCTTTCTCGGTCTTGTCGGGTTCAGTCAGCTATGGAAACCAGGCTCCATAGTCAGGACAAACTACTCACAGGTTCGGCGGTCTGGTTTGCTGTGTTACTTTGTGCATCCGCATTGGTATCGAATTCAGCTTGGGAAGCTGAATATTCCTGTTGCGAAGGTTGGGTCGGCTTCTCGGCTTGGGATTGCTTGATAGAATCGGGAAGCTTATATGAAGCCTTGGGCTTATTGTTCTTTGCATACCACCGAGAGTGGGTAACTGGCAAGGAGGATAAACGAAGCGTAGAGGCGAGGGCGTTGGGCCTCGTCAGAGGCAATACGGCACGGCTAAGCATAGTGAAAAGAGAGAAGGGTGATATAATTAAAAGTTTTCTTTTAAGGACAAACAAATGTACTCATGCTCTGTACACGAGAGGAGACTTGAGCAGAGGTGGAAACAGGACCTAGCGCCAGACCACTTTCACAGGTTCGATGTCTGTCGAAGTCCAACAAGATAACCGGGCGAGTTTCCAGAGCTCCGGAAAAGTTGCGCTGCTGGCGGTACGGCAAGCGGCAAGCCCCCACCGTGCAGCGCCCTATAAAATCTTCCACGTTCTGCCCGTTTCTTCTTTCTTTTTCCTTTTTTCCATATTATGAAAGTTGACACCCAGACAATTTGACCCAACACGCCTCTCTCCATGCATGATGGGTTGTATTAGCTGGGGAGACCAATGACTCCTGCACCCAAGAGCCGCAGCGAAGATTACTTGTGCAGCTGCAGCCCCGTTGGTGGGATACAAATTGTTATCACTATATAAATGGTGGTTTGATGCTCGCTACCCACCTTAAAAAGTGTATTGTGTTAATTCGGAAGTTCAGTTAGCTTACAACTGCAACAATGGCATGAAAAAAGAATACCCTTATGAAATAAAGACCTTTTCCAATAGAAATTTTCTCTGTATTTTCTTCCTTTTCTAGACTTGCGCTTCAGCTACTATGGATTCCATATCAGAAGCCCTGGAAAAGGTTCATCTCGAGAATCTGCCACAGAAACCGGATCAAGTCGAGCTGCGAGGAGAGATTGAGGAAGAGGACAGAGAGAACTTGAAAGAAACAGCCCCAGTGGAGCCATTTCGCTTCTTCGACCTACCTTCTGAGATACGTTTACGCATCTACCACATCGTTCTCTTTACCCCTCGTCGCAAGCGAGCGCTTCAGTATACCAAGGGCAGTGTGGGAGCTTCCTCGAAAAAAAACCCACCGCTATCTCCTGCATCTCACCGTATCAAGCTTTTCCTCGTTTCACGGCGGGTTCATGATGAAGCCTCCGACTACTTCTATTCCACTCAGACGTTCCGTCTCTTTCCCCTGCAGGATTATTCCCGAATGCCAACTGTCAGGATGATCCCACCTAGATATAGGCCCTCCATCTCGACTATCGAGTTAATATTAGGGTCTAGCTGGACAGCACCGCCCCGCTCTTGGACTGTCAACCGCCGCCTTGGTCTGGAAGAAATGGTTCGTGCTCGTACATTCAAGGTTTTCATTGAAGTCGATCCATCACACCCGGTTTTTGAGGGCTTCCGACTTTCTAAGAATTTCTACACTGATTTTTCCGGTGGAATACTTCGCGATGTTCTCGCTAGAATGCCCAACTTGGAGCATGTGGAATTTGACGGATGGCCATCTGTCCGCAAGAACGGGGCGTTGATGCAGCGTCTGCTCGAAGAAACCAGAATAGCCAAGAAGAAAATTGCTTGGGGTCCCGAACGCGGGTGGACGGATTTCGATGAGGAAGACATGGACAAGCCCATGGTTTACGAGCTGAAGTCAGTGATTGAGCGTGACCAAAACAAAGACTCTCACCAGAGCGATTCTTTGTTTGGGCCCTGAAATCTCTCGCTATTCTGTCCATTGATATCTTCTAATGGCCCTAATGATAGAGAGTAACATGTATACATCCATCGGTATATAGTTCAATATATGCCCGGTGATTATTGCATTGGGCCCTAATTTCCAAAAAAGACAGCAAGATTTATGACGATTTTTGTACTCCTAAGCGGATCGTACAATTGAGCCCACCAAATAATTCCTTGTACAGTGACTGACTGGTATGGTATGAGTTGGAACGTCATTTATTTATAGTTGTCTCCGTGCATGATGGTTGTCTCTATGATGCAGGACTACTACTGTCCTGATTCCCAGACAGTTATTAAGATACACCTCCTAACTGCTGGCGAATCATCTATAGGTCTTCGTCCACATCCATACCGGCACCGTTCTGAGCTTCTTTTCCGTTTGATTGCCGGGCCACTGAGGCCTCCTTATCAATCATCTGCCGCGAGACCGCGACAATATTATCTTCAATCAGCTGTTGGCTTACATCTTCGATGTCTAGAGCAATGGTTAATATTAATTAGAGTAACAAGAGTAGAATATAACGTACGCTTCTTGGGGTCAACCTTTCCGACGTATCTCGTCTTGAGTTGATCCTTGGTGAGCTCTGTCTCTTCCTTAACCCGCTTTTCATACCCCTCGGCAAGACTGACGAGCTGCTTCATCTGATCAACGTTGTGCTGACCTTCCTCATGGAAATCCTTCATTTGTAATGCTTCCGTCCAGACATGCTTATGCAGATTCATCAACATATTTTCTTCCAACCCTGTCTTGCGGTAGTTGATAGCGATGCTGTAGTAGTGCCTGTTAAGACCGTGGATAAGTGCCTGGATCGACGGCTTATTCAGGTGGCCCAAGTTAGATGTTGTTTGCCGAGGTTCCTGGCCCATGACCACAGTCTGGGGCTGAATGAGACGGAAGGCATCAATAACAACTTTACCCTTGACGGACTGGATGGGGTCGACGACCACGGCGACAGCGCGCGGGGTAAGCTGCTCGAAAGATTGCTGGGTGTTGATATCGACAGACGAGAGCCAGCAACCAAAACCAGGGTGGGAGTGATACCAGCCAACGACAGTCTCTGGCCTGCATCATTCAGAATCAGCATATGCCTAGATAAGGTCAGGTGCCCGAGCGATGCTTACCGTCCTGTTTGGCGAAGCATATCCATCATCTTAGTCTGGAACACGGGGTCCACGGCTTCAACACTGACACCAGTACCACTCTGAGGCATTGCGAATACATCAACCACTCGAACTGTATATTCATCCACGAACTCTCCCAACATCAAACCCATGACTTCCATAGGCACACCTGCCCGACCATGTCGCAACATCTTCAATAGAGCCAGCGATGAAATATGTACGGTTTCGGAGTTATCGATCAGGTTAGGAGTATCCTAGAGAGGAACATATCAGCACAATAGCTTCGCAGCAGGTGTAATATATAGAGAGGTCCAATGGCGTACGGCACTGCGTGAGATACCCGGGAAGAACCATCCCAATAGAACAGTGGTTAAGCAATGTCAAGGTTGGACTTACACCACCAGGGGCCGCACCCCCCATGCCCATACTTTGGGCGGCTTGAAGCATCCGACCAAGTCGCTCCATTGCTGCTGACGGGATGTGAGTTATTGGAGAAAGAGATACAGAACAGGTCAAGAATAGTAGCTTCCTATACAGAAACTCCGAATAGCAAATGAGTGACTCAGAGTATCAGAGGGTGGCGACGTATGAGGAAGCTCGCAAAGGGAGGTATAATGGAGTAATGTGGGAAAAAAGAGATGAATGCAGACGATAAGAGATGGAAGTTGGAGGTGAAGCCGCAGTTGAGCTCCAAGCCTGACTGACGAAGGCGGTGGGCGCAGCTTTGGACCGTTAATTGGCGTTTCCGCCTTTCGCTCCCCTTCGCTTCAACCTTTGTTCCTCGTTCTCCCCGGCCATGGGAATGCGGTCTAGTCAAACATCACAATTTCTTTGATTTTGCCAGTTACCCTCCCCTCTCTTTGCTCGATAAGGCGCTCTAATTTCTGGATCTAAATTCCAAGTATTTGGAGCCCTTTCCTTGTCTTTAGCCCTTCTTAGACTACATCTTCATCTAACATCGACATTCAAACCGAGAAATCGCCGTGCTCAAGGCATATATTTCCTATTTTCCTTTCGAGTGAAGTTGACGGGTGCTCCCTCCCATAAACCGTCATCCAGAATGACCTCCTTAGCCCCTCTGGACCCGATCAATGTCAACGGGTCAGATCGTGGCAAGAAAGTCGCATATTTCTACGACTCCGATGTGGGTAACTATGCCTACGTCTCGGGTCACCCAATGAAGCCTCATCGCATAAGGATGACGCATAGCTTGGTCATGAATTATGGCCTCTATAAAAAAATGGAAATTTATGTGAGTAACTACCGCCCTAGGTTACTGCATACCGTACAACATCATCCTTGCTAACGTTAAAACTTCGTAGCGCGCAAAACCAGCATCGAAATACGAGATGACCCAATTCCACACGGATGAATATATCGACTTCCTTTCCAAAGTAACGCCGGATAATATGGACTCTTTTGCTAAGGAGCAAAGCAAGTATAACGTCGGTGATGATTGTCCTGTTTTCGACGGTCTGTTTGAATTCTGCGGAATCAGCGCGGGAGGTAGTATGGAGGGCGCAGCGCGACTTAATCGTAATAAATGCGACATTGCTGTCAATTGGGCTGGTGGTCTTCACCATGCGAAGAAGAGTGAAGCAAGTGGTTTCTGCTACGTAAATGGTAATAACGAAACATGGCTTGACAATTACAGAGACTTGCTAACAGGATCTACATAGATATTGTCCTAGGTATTCTCGAATTGTTGCGCTTCAAGCAACGAGTGCTGTACGTCGACATTGATGTCCATCATGGCGACGGCGTTGAAGAAGCTTTCTACACTACAGATCGAGTTATGACTGTCTCTTTCCACAAGTACGGCGAGTACTTTCCCGGAACTGGCGAGCTCCGCGATATAGGTGTAGGCCAAGGTAAATACTACGCTGTCAACTTCCCGCTTCGCGACGGTATCGACGATGTCTCTTATAAGAGTATCTTTGAGCCTGTCATCAAGAGCGTCATGGAATGGTATCGGCCAGAAGCTGTGGTTCTTCAGTGTGGTGGAGACAGTCTCTCGGGCGATCGTTTGGGATGCTTCAACCTTAGTATGAGAGGTCATGCCAACTGTGTCAACTTCATCAAGAGCTTCAATCTTCCCACCTTGATTCTTGGCGGAGGAGGTTACACGATGCGCAACGTTGCACGAACCTGGGCGTTTGAAACCGGTATTCTTGTTGGGGATCCTCTGGGATCCGACCTTCCATATAATGATTACTATGAAGTGAGTTCATCTCCCTAAATATGTTCTGTTAGAAGATACTAACCTAAACAGTACTTTGCTCCGGATTATGAGTTGGATGTGCGGCCATCGAATATGGATAACGCCAATACGAAAGAATATCTTGACAAGATTCGCGTGCAAGTGGTCGAGAATCTTAAGCGAACTTCTTTTGCTCCCTCTGTACAGATGACAGACGTACCGCGCGATCCTCTTGTAGAAGGCATGGATGATGAAGCGGACGCGATTCTGGACGACCTGGATGAGGATGAGAATAAGGACAAGCGCTTCACCAAGCGGCGATTCGACCAATATGTTGAGAAGCCAGGTGAACTTAGTGACAGCGAAGACGAAGAAGAGAATGCGGCCAACGGAATCCGTCGCCAACCTAACGCTTTGAAACGCAGGGACCACGTCAATTACCGGAATCTTGATGTCGACTCTGGACTAGAGAGCGGGATTGCTACCCCTGCAGAGGCTTCTTCGGTGCCTGACGATGACATGGATACTACCGCCGATGCGAAGATGGGCGATGCCCCACTGACTGAAACTGAGGCGCCCGCAACCCCGTCCATTGCTGAGGCACCATCAAGGGCTGAAGAGGCATCAGCAACAGAACAGACGGAAATGGCCATTGATGGTCAAGAGCAAACCGCCCTTTCTGCACCCATATCTCGCCAGCCATCTCCCAAGGCACAGGATGAGGATACCGCCATGGAAGATGCAGACGAGGCAGCGCCTGAGACGGAGCAGCAAGAGCAACCTGTAGTGCCAAGTGAGGCACAAGTGGAAGAGAAGCAGCCTGCCGAAGAACCGCTGGCTACGGACAAACCTGCAATGCAACCGTCCTCTCCAGCCAGAGCACAATCTCCTCGGAAGGAGTCCACGGAGGAGCCGAAAAAGGCAGAGGCGGGTGAGACAGCAGAAACGGTTGAAACAAACGAGTCCAACGACAAGGGTTCAGAAGCTCCTAAGGATGAGCCTGAGCCGACCAAGGCGGACCAGGAATCATCTAAGGAAGCAAAGGAACCCAACAATGAGCCTCAGGGGGAGCCTACCAAGAGTGAAGCATAGTCTTCGCTTTGTAGAAGCGTTTTGTTTAGGTTCCGGGCGCAAGGGCTGGCAATATGGTGTTTAGGTTATTGCATCCATGAAGGAGGGTATTTTGCTATGTCTCATGTCTTTTCCACGTTGGTTCACCATATCACTTTCTCATTTTGTAGTTTGAGCAATCCTTTTTTTTAATACATGTATCATGCACCATGCATATATTGGCTAAGTCTCTAAAAATCAAATGGATACATATTTTATCAAAAGTTTTACCTTTAAGAACGAAGTCCAGTTGGAGATATGGATCTAGGTATTCTATCCATACCTAGCATCGAGGTACGACAATTACTAGAAGCACCTGACCCTATCATTACCTAATCCACTCTATCCCAAAAGAGGTATAGCCTATCGGCTGAGCCCTAACTCACCATGGAGCCCCAACGGACCAATAGCACCGAGACGCCAAGATTTTACCCACGACACACTAAGCGAGAAAGCAATTCGGAAACCCGTGTATTCCCTCGTCACGTCGCCTGATCCCTCTCGACCTTCGTCGCCCCCTTCGCCAATTTCTAGTATCCGACACCGTTTACGTGATACACAGCCAAGATGTCTGGAAGAGGGTGAGTTTTGCTGGCCTTTTTCTGCGTGGTTCGACTTCGAGCGAAGGAAGTGTGATGGTGGTCTGAGTTATCGATCCGGATATGTGGGCTAGATAAATACGACAGGAGGACTATCAATGATCAGGAAGGAAGGAAGGGAAGGACAAGACCGGAGGACAGAACTCGCACTGGTGACAAGAGAAAAAAAATGAAAGACAGAAGAATCAGCATCAAACCAGGGAGATAACTCAGACTGCGGGGAGATTGTGAAAGAACCAACAAACGTTTTTTGGGCTCTTTTAGCGAACACAAATTTCTATACACTTGGACATAGTGCTAACGAATCGCTATTTAATAGTCGTGGTTCCTCCGGCAACAAGCTGAAGATGTCGCTCGGTCTGCCTTGGTACGTCGAAACTCGATCCCAATCGAATACCTGTCGAGACGGAAAAGAAATCAAAACCCCATCCATACCGCTCCATATATGATCCAAACCGACAGTCACAAGGAAGGAGAAAGAAACTAATTAGTTTATGCTTACAGTGGCGCCGTTCTGAACTGCTGCGACAACTCCGGTGCCCGTAACCTTTACATCATCTCCGTTAAGGGTACCGGTGCCCGCCTCAACCGTCTCCCCGCCGCTGGTGTCGGTGACATGGTCATGGCCACCGTCAAGAAGGGAAAGCCCGAGCTCCGGAAGAAGGTCATGCCCGCCGTTGTTGTCCGTCAGAGCAAGCCCTGGAGACGCCCCGACGGTATCTTCCTCTACTTCGAGGACAATGCTGGTGTCGTACGTTTTTAACCTTTTTCCTTCTATTCTCTCGTGATCATTCGGATACGAGATACGATTCCTGGGTGCGCAAAGGAGTCACGTTACTAACAAATGAATCTACAGATCGTCAACGCCAAGGGTGAGATGAAGGGATCCGCTATCACCGGCCCTGTTGGAAAGGAGGCTGCTGAGCTCTGGCCTGTAAGAAATCCATCCTCACACCCTACTTTCCTACTCGAAGGATCGAAACTAACTATCATTCTCAATAGCGTATTGCTTCCAACTCCGGTGTTGTCATGTAAACGAAGGGAACCGTCTTGGAAAATATTAAAGGAAATAGTTCGATACCAAGCAGGGGAATCAAATCAAATTCGTTTTGGGTGCAACTATGAACGGGAAACGAAAACTAGGAACGACCGGATGTTAATTTCAAAGCCGCGAGTTTCGTCACTTCAATTTCCTCAATGACGTGTTTCTTTTTGTCTCTTATATGGCGACTCGGAATATAAAAATTCAGAAAATCGGGGCTTCCTTCTTACTCCTATTTCCCCTTGAGGGTAGTTGCGTCGTATTGGCTGTAGATGGTTTTTCGAACCGGCTGGTTACCTATTGATGATGGCGCTGGGACGGTTGTTGGCATCTGTCGTTTGGACAATCTACTAGGTAATTTAGTCGTTGGTCTAGCCCAGCAGAGACGTTGGATGTGTTTGTCTCGTGGATCATTCGACGCAATGGTAGAGTATCATTTTGGATGAAGTCGTACTATACAAGCCCATAAGTGCATCACCCATTTCCCAATGTATTAAGTACAAGAAGTCTATATAACCGGTGTCCCCTTTTAAGAACCTTGGTTGTCAGCACTAAGCCTTTCCAAAAGACTATCTGTTCCCCAAATGATCAATTGCGATACCTCTAATTCCTCTTCTTCTCCTGTCCAACCTGGATCTTCTTTGTACGAGTAATCTTCACCAGCTTCGACTGGATACCAGCAGCTATATAGCCCAGAAGAAGAATACAAGCCACCAGATCAACGATATGCACCGCCCACCAGATATGCTGCACGCCAGCCATGCACATAGTGATCTCATACTGCCATTCGTTGACAGCAGTATTGAACCACAAAGAAAGCAGACCAGCGTTACCACCGTATTCGCCCATCATAGAGCGAAGGGTGACTTCTCTAATTGAGGGCGTAAAGTTATCGACAGCGCCGGGGGCATAGCGTTTTACATCCCATTTCCAAAACTGGGACTTAAAGTCCTCGTCGGTTGTTGGGTCGACTGTTCGGTTCACAAAGTGGACCACGTCACAACCGGTGTGGTCGTGGCCTGTGAGGATGAGCCCATTCCGTCCCCATCCTCCGGCCGGAGCGGTTTCGTCCCCGGTCATGCCGAAGATCCCCTGAAGGACTCCGCCGGTGCTGAGGTGGTCGCTGAGGTGGTTCTGTTCTTTCAGGCCCCCGGCCTTGAAGCGCGGTACGCCGTCGGGGCCGTCCTCATCGTCTGATTCGTGGAATGTAAAGTAAGGTCCGTCAGTGCATATACCCTCCTGCTTGTGTAGAGGGAGATGGGTAAGAAGGAGGGTAAACGTCGTCCGGTCTTCCACAGGGTAAGAGCGATGCGAAATGAGATCGTTGATGTAGACATAACTATGCGACTGAACGTCAGAGGACAGGGCCGGTGAATCGAGGGTCAGGGTATTCAGAATGATCAGATGCAGAGTGGGAGGAGCAACAGTCGAGTTATCAATGTCAACTTGGTCCAGTGGGTACTGGAATCGCACATCCCAGTTCGCACGGCCGAACACGCGCTCGAACCGCTCAATCCGTGCTTCACTTGAGTCCCCGGAATACCCAACGTCATGGTTCCCCACGATGTTGATGATCTTCCGGTCCCATGTCGAATGCGTGGCGTTCAGTCTCTCCAGTCCGCTGCTCGTCTCCTCGCTACCGCTATAGTTCCTTGCACCGGTGGCTGTAATGTCATCACTGATCCGCTCCCCACCCTTGAAGACCCGTTCCCAGTATCTGCGGCCGCGCCGCTCGAACTCCTCATCCGTCACCCATTGGCTCCCAATCAGGTCACCCAAGACCGCGACGTGCGTTGGGCGACTCCACCAATGCAGTGTGCGGTATATATGTGCGAGGTAGTAGTCGTTGCCCAATAAATCGAGCCGTTTCCGAACTGCACGTAATGCGCGAGGGATGTCCTCATCCACGAGGAAGCGCAATGCGGTTGAGACGGCGGTGAGAATTTGGCGAGGGTTAACAGGCTGCGTCTCATTCACCGATGATTTCACAGTCACCCAGTGATGTTGAATCCGGGCCAAAAGTTCATCTTCGGGTTTTGGGAGGGAGCTGTCGCCTTCTAGCTGGGGATCTGCTAGGACCAGGAGTCTGAAGGTCGCAGGGTCCTCGGCGGACTGCGGTGAGAAGTGTTGGCGGAGTACATTGAAAAATGAATTCGAGATTAAGCCTCTACGGTCACCCTTGGGCAGCGGGAAAGCACAGCCATGGAAGGCCGGGTAGAGGTAGAGATACACACTGCTTGCTACGGCCAGCGGAAGGAGAAGGCAGAGCACGCGGGAAAGGAGCCGGCGGAGGGACATAGTCTCTTCTGATTTCACAGCAAAGTCATGTCAACTGAATCGTATTTCATCTTGTTGCTAAAAGAAAAGTAAAGGAGTCAAATGTGAAGTTTAAAACGACGTGCCAATTTGTGTCGTGAGGGTTTTTTGACCCGCGGGTGATCATCGTTTTATGTTTATGTTATGGAGCCCATTCTGACCGCAAATGCCGGTGATAAAATTTGCCTTAATTTTAGACAACGATCCAGACTCTCCACAATCCGAAAAGGAATACTGGGCACCGTTATTCTCCGGCTCCTGGCCTACGAAAAGATAGATATAACATAATACCCCTAGTCAATGTCGGAAGAGGCGACAGTGTATTAATATATCAAAAAAAAATTAAGGTGGAAGAATGTAAGCTGAAGTTAAAGAAATAATCCAAATGGGGTATATCACATAAAACGCCAAAAAGTCCAGTAGCATTCAAAGCAAAGCAGAGCTCCCAATGTGGGATTTGTCTTCGTGGAACCCGATCAATCGATTTTCGCAACAGATTCAGGAAACAAAGGGAGCGGTCCAACATCAAGGCCGTCGAGAGGGCTCGGTGGTCGATCCTCCTTGCCGTCATGCCGGTGGGCTGGCACTTGGTCATTCCCAAGACCTTGGATCATCAAGCCACTTCCCTCTTCTGCCGTGGTTGTCGGATGTTCGTCTTTCACCTCGGTTCCCTGGGTGGCAGGAGTTGCCATTAGCGCCGGGGGCCGCTGGTTCATCAGACGAGCTTCCTTAAGACTAATGGTCTTCTGTTTATTCGTAGTCTCCACGGGGAGCTCCATATCCCGTTCAATGGTAGCCTTCATCAATGCGGCCATCCACAAGCGACCTTCCTGCACACTATCGACCTGGAAATAATGGATGGCAGGCTTTGTAAACTGCACCGTGCGAGAAGTACCGGATTTTGGCGGTACGAGTTTGTAGAAAAAGGGGCCATCTCCCCCAGCCTTAGAACCGCGGAGAGAAGATTCAGAGCCCGAGGCTTTATCGGAGGAAGGGCCATCGATATTAGATCCAGACGGAGAAGTCGGAGAAGCCGTGGAGCCAGTGAGTGTAGCATGCAGGGCGACGATTGGGTCGTTGTCCGCGCGGAGCACACGGTGAGCGGTAATGTCGATTAGACCACGTTCCTCGGTATCATTCTCCGAGTAGTAATACGAGAGACGGCGGCCGCGCAAGACAAAGAGACGAGGCTTCCACGTCGTCATCAAGTTCGAAGACTTTTTCTTCATCCATCCCGAATAATCGCAGCCTTGCATCTGCTCCTTCGGGGACTTCTTCTCCAGCCCGCGAGTGTAAGCGCTTGTATCCTTCTTCGACTTGGTCCCGGACCTACGGGTGCGCGCGCGTGGCAAGGGAGCACCGCTTTCTACAGCTTTTCCCGAACCATCCGTGCTATGTCGTTCCGAGCTCTTTGTAGTCGAGGGTGTTGTCGACCCGGTTCTGGCGGAGGGCGACTCGGCTTCCTTGCTAGGAGAAGGGGGAGCGACGGATGTATCGATACCTTTAACGGCCTCGGACATGGCACGGAGACCGACAGCCCGTCGGAACTTGGGCCCGGCATTCTTGATGCCCTGAAGCGGCAAAGGGCTCGAGCGGTGGGACGACTCCTGGTCATGTTTCCCACCCAGCGAAAACGCGGCAAAGAACCCCGAACTAGTAGACTTCTCCTCCACAGATGCCGGGTTGGATGACCGCTGGCAGTGTCGATCCGTGGCCCGTGTGCTCAAGCTCCTAAAACGACCCTTGGGTGGGGAAGCCTTCACTGCAGGAGGTGTAGTTAGGACTGCATCCCTGATGGAATCAGCACTATTGATGCGCGAGTGGCGTTTGCTGACTTTGAGCTTGAACTGCTCGTCAGGGATGCTAGAGGGCGTAGAGATACTGCCGTGGGCAGAGCTTCGCTTCTGTAGGACGCGCCGGTTCTTCCGAATATCTCCCTCCGGGCCCGAGAAGTAGCCCCGATCTAAATCATCGCTAACCACAGTAGCCGCGTCCGATCCATTTGGCTCCGCCCCATGAAATATAGCATGGAGCGGAGGAGTTTCGCTTGGTGCTCCGATCGCCGTTCCCGGACGTCGTTGAGAACCCGAAGAACTATGTAGGGTCCAACCTCGATCAAACGAGCCCTTCTTATGATGGCCGGCAGGAGAGGAATCGCCCACGCCCGAGTACCGATTGGTTGCATCGATCGAAGAATGACGCCGCGAATGATTGATCTCACGAACTGACGCAGCCGACGGTCTCCTCGAGTGGTCCATCCATCCTGGAGCCTGTGGCGTCAAGGGGGATCCCGTGCTCGTCTGCATAGTGCTACTGATGAGCCGTGGGTGTTGGGTGGAGCTGGTTGATCCTCTCAGAGTGGGTATCCTGGGAAAGAGAGGGCCAGTGTGACCTGCGCGACTAGGAGCTCGTTCATCCTGAGGGGTAGCGAAGGATGAGCCGCGGGACGACTGCTGTTGCTGGATGCCTTTTACTTCTTCCTGGAACGCTTTGATTTTGTGCCATGTCTTCAGTCTCCGACCCATCACCCCAAAATCGAATTCTTTCATGAAGAGGAAATCCTGGTTCATGTCCAGAATTACATCACCAGTGATCTCCTGTTCATCAAAAATGTCACAGTGTTTAGCTTCAATTCCCAGTTGGCGTAGATGTTTCGTCGTCTCGGTATGGTTCCATCGGCGGACTTCTTCTTCCGTGGGTTGTCTTTCTTCCTCTTCATCGGTTTCATGCCCGTTGATGTAAGACATTCGGTGCTCGAACGTGCTGCTGTATTCGCTTGCGGAGTCGTTCACCGTCTTCGAATCTTGAGAGGCGGTTACACTGTGGCGAGGAGTGCTGAGGTCGGTGATATGCTCATCAATGACACTCAGAGTCTCGTTCATCACCGGGCTGTCCTGGCCATTCAAATGACCATCAATGGATTGTCGGATGGTCTTCTGGATATCGATAGCCATTTTGGAGGTCGGTAATGGCGAGGAGCTGGACCTCTGCTGCTGTGTTGGGGAGGGTGTCGGGGCGATTACGATATTGTCTGTATCTGGCACGCTCATATCCGACGTGCTGGCACGGCGAGACGCTTGGGGGGTAGATTCGCCACTAATGGGTGAAGCCACTAGATCCTGTCCCATCACATTATGGATGTCGGTCTTCAACGTAGTTGATTCAAGAGTATCTTTCTGCGGTCGGATGGGAATCCTCGGGGCAACGGTAGTATATACTGGTGGAATGGGCCTTCCGTTAGCGACACTTCCTTTCTGGTAGAAGGCTGTGTGTGTGTGTGTGTATGGGTGGAGTTCTACCTCCAGGGAAGAGACCCTGTGTCCCCGTGTTTAAATCCTTTCCGAGATACCATCCATCACCAAAACCATCATCTAACTCGACTAGCTCAATTTTCTCCCCGCGGCGCAAGGTGAGCTCGTCCGGCCCACGAGCCTCAAAATCATCTGCCAATCCGGTCAGTTTTGTCGAATACACTAAGTGTCGCAAAGAAAGAAAAGAAAAGAAAAGAAAATGAAGAAGGAATGTTTGCGACCGCAGTCGGATCACTCACGAACTACCAGGAGCAAGTCTCCGGGATGAACATTGCGGGGAGGCGTTGTGAGAGCCATTGGAGGTCTTTCCCCGACGATAATGAAGTTAAAAAAGCCAGAGTGGGGTCAAACGTCACAGAGCGCAATGGTCAGCAACGGAGGGATTGCGCAGGACATGGGGGCCGCAACCCTGGCGGGAAATAGTTAAAAACCACGAGGGCGTGAGAATGGCTGGGATATCGATCGTCGCAGCAAGGAAGGCTGGGGGAAGTGAATGGAATGTAGAGAATGTGGGTTGTGGTGAGGAATTCACGCCTGCCTCGCGGAGGAGCGAGAAGGAGTGAGAAATGGTGGGGACCAGACAGCGGCGGGTCTGGAAGGAAGTTCGTTTTCCCAGTGGCGCTAAGAAAGGGAAGGGAGGTCCAGAAGCTGAGAATTATATAGATTTGCTGGTCTGGTCCTCGGTACCGTTGTTCTGAACGCGAGGTTCAGTCACGATAAAAAAAGAACGGTTAGCTCTAATTGCGGACCGGGATGGAATCGACCGAAAGGAACAGATGCACGTAAAACGACGATCTCAGGCGCCTGGGAAGAGCTTTCAAACGTCGGTCTGGGTCACTGCCTGTACTAGACGTACAGTAGGGGCGCTAACTGAGCGGCAACACAGCACGGGTCACAAAGAGGGAAATTAGATTACCCCTTGAGGATTTAAAGGCAAAAAAAGAAAGTAAGCAGAAGAAGGAACCGCCTAAGGAAATTAGCCTTCGTTCGTCCGAGACTCGCCGATCGACCGAGAGCGTATGATCTGCGAAACGGAAAGGATGGGTGAACCGTACAAGAAAGGGGAGTGTGGTATAGAGAGAGGGGGGAAGGGAGGGATGGATAAAGAGGAACAGATAGTATAAGTATTTGAAGAGTGAGGCTGCGGGAAGTCACGCTGTCCCAACTACTTACTCAAATAGTGTGTGGCCTGAGGTATGAAGAAAAAAGTATGTACGGAGTGTCCTGTCCTTGTAGTATGTAGAAGGGAAGTACGGAGTGGGAGATGGACGATCAGATAAGAACGGAAAAAGGAAAGGAAACCATGAACCACCAGGAAAAGGGGAAATTGGGCGTTGGAATTCCAACTTAAACTCAAAGAATTCAAAGCTATTCAGTAATGCAATGGGATTGAGTGAGGCAAAACCTGAGCCCTAATCGACCGATGACTGGAGCCAACAGTCCAACGACTACTTCATCATCGAACAGCTGTTCAATCCAGAGAGGAAAGGTTCCTTACATTACTTTATAGGTCAACGGCTAATATTTCTCCACGAGGAGATGTCTCCCAAAATCAATTAATGAATTAGGACCAGTCAGAAAGATGACGATCGACTTCTATTCTATCTGTATGTATCAGACTGGCGAAAGCGGCAATCAAGGATCACATTAGATCACCTTTTTTTTCCCACTAGGATATCCAGGAATTGATGATATACTTCTTTTAGTTCTTTTCTCCACCGAACGGAATATGTATAGAATCATTGTTTTTTTCTCCAATCAGGTCATTCTATTTCCCTCCAGCCACGTCCAAGGGATACATACATTATTGATATTTCTCCCTCCCTTGGTTCCATCACGGAAGGTCCGGTAGGGATCGGCATTCCTTGCAACTAATGCGGACGTTCAAGAGACTTGACAGGTCCAGAAGGATTAGACTTGGTGGATTCTATGCCAATCAAATAAGATAGATTTCCTTTTTTTTTAGGGATTATGGATCATGCATGGGGCAAGAGCAGGATAATCATGCATAAATAAATGTTTGACGATAGAGAGATAGAAAGAGAGAGAGAATCTAAGAAAGAACCCGTTTGCTTTCCTTTTTTCTGTCTGTTCTTCTGGTAATTGATTTTCTGAAAAACCATCCGCATGCACCGTACTTTTTCTTTTAACCGCTTGCACTGATCTTAAGCGATTAACGCTACTCTCCTCCGCTAGCGCTGGAACTAGTTATTTTTTTTCTTTTCTCTATATAGAGAAATAGAAGGAAAGGCACTGAAAAGATATATATCCTTATTTATATACTTTGGGGGGAGAAATCAGTGATGGATTGCGTACAATTTCCCTTTCACCACTCCGGGTTATATCTCCCATCTATCTCTCACCTCGTTCTCGTTTCCTTTTTTCATCTCCATGTTACTTTTTCCTTTACCTCCTTTTTAAGGGAAATGATATGATCTGATTGATCTTTCTCGGCGATACGCTGTATGTATGTTACGCGCCGATAAACCAAATTTCACACATTCTTTTTTAAACATGAACATGGATTCTTTCTTTTCGTGCGTTTTCTAATTTGCAAACTGGAAAGTTCTTCTTTCTCTTTTCTTTTTCTTGATTTTTTTTTATCATTTTATCATTTATTATTTCTCCCCTAGACAAATGTCGTCCAAGAGAAAAAGGAAGTTCTAGCAAAGATGCTCGGTCACCATGAGTCCCAATCATCCCCACTTACCTAATATTTGTTCTAATGCCAATTCCGTCGAATCGTCCAATTCCACCGCCAGCATTTTTCTCGGCGGCGTGCGGAGATCGTGGATGCTGAATGCAGCGAACAATCCCGCCTCTCCCTCTCATTCTGTCCCCACGCGCACGTCGTATACCGATAATTCGGCAACCGCTACGACTACTACCACCACCGTTGCTGCTGATGCTGCTGATTGGACGCGTCAACAAGGCATGCGAGAGTCGTCCACTCTTCGCGTGCTTCCCGTGCCATTGCAAAGCCAAGAGAATAATGCCGCGTCACTCACCACGGCGCCCGCTGCGCCCTCTCAGCTCCAGAATGCAATGTCCCCAGTGACTCCCGGTCACCCCCAGCAGCAATCCACTGTTCCCGAGCCTTCACCATGGCGCGTCGTGTTGTCTGACCGAGCGGGGACCGATCCTGTTTCCACATCCCCAGCGGCGACTACTGCTGCTACCACTCCCTCCTTCTCCACCACCACTACCACAGTCCCAGCGGCGATTCAGCGGTCTGCTTCCTATCCTACCCCATGCCCGGTCGTAGTCCCTTCTCAAGCTTATGACAGCTCCGGCAACGTCAACCGCAATGGCGCAAGTCCTTCGGTGGCAGCATTCCCATCCCCTCGGCCAACCCCACGCTCCCATCAGTCTCCGGTTGGGATAACGGTATCCGTATCTTCACCAGTCGGTGTTGGAGCCGTGAATATAGGATCAGGGAATTCGTTCAGGGCCGGACATCAGCGGGAAAGGAGCGGCGCTCCGCAGCAATTGCAGAGGCAAGGCTCACACGTGTCTCATTCACACTCCCCGGCACTATCTCCAGCATTTCCGCCAACTGTTGGATCTCCAGGAAAACAAGTCGTGCAATCTCCGGTCGCATCCCGACGGAATCCTTTCCATAATACCACCCTAGATGATGCATTCTATGACAGGTCGATGAGTGCCCTTCAAGTCTTCGAAAACCAGCTGAGGCAGAGAAATTGTCTGGGAAATGTTGAACAGCCCCGGGCACAACTTCTGACTCAAGCCTGTGCAGAACGTGACCCTCTGTTTCTCGCCATCCATCAGGTGTATTGTTTGCATAGCCTGACCCCGCAGGAATTTTTCAATGTCCCGGGATATACCGAGCTTCAGGCACGTGGTCTAGATGTGATCAGGAGGCTCCTAGTGGAAAACAGTCGCGTCTCGGGGGGTTTCCTGAAATGGTCTGCTCAATTTCCGGCCCCACTAATGGGCTTGATACAAAGTTCTCCGTATCGAGAGGCTGTGGAGCAGGCCGGGCAATGTCTCGGCTTGCTGGCGGAGAGATGGCCCATGTATGTGCAGCAGGTGCGATCCCGGGGGTTTCCTCCGCTGGTCGACGAGCTTGTGAGAAACTTTGGGATCACGTCCGGGCCTTTGGCGTATACTATCTTCCTGTCCACGTGCCGTACGCTGCCCGGATCCAAGAGTGAGGAGCATCTGAAGGCTGTCTGGCGGCTAGATCTACAGTATTACCAGCAACGCTGCGCATCGTCGCGTGTGGTATCTAATGCGCAGATTCACGAAGAGACCCAGAAGGTCGTTCAGGCATACCGCTCCGTTTCCGAAACAGCTGGCATACAGCATCCGGCACAATCACCGGTGTTATCCCACGGTCCTGATAGAGGTCCAATGACACTTCTAGTCACCAGACCTACCAGTACAGGGAGTCTTCAGCTCCACAGTTCTCGGATGACCCTTCCTACGCCTCAACCAGGCTCTTCGACGTCGCAGGGTTCGACGAATGCTTCCCATTCTCACCATTTACCTGGTTCGACGGCAGGCAGTAGAGGTTCTGCGCCTCATTCAATGCCTAGGCCATCAGGCACTCCAATTTCTCAGCCTATCGGTGCTACCATGCCCTCACAAATGCCATTTCAACCCGCACCCTCCATGACCCGTCCTCCAACCAACGCTTCAGCTTCTCATCCGATTTCAATTTCTGCGGGCCGCGGCCGGCGCTCAAGTTGGGCGAATGGCGCTCCGGCCCCTCAACATCCTCATCCCATTCCAGTCTCCGATCCAATGTCGAGGCCGATCGGTGCTCCAGCCCAGGGAACTACTCCACCTTCCATGGTATATCCGTCTCGGATTGCAGCCCCAGCATCGGAACGCAGGAACTCTTCTTCAATGCAGGCCGCTACTCCAGTCCAACGACAAGTAGCGACACGGCCACCTCCGCTCGAACTGCGAAACAATGGGGTAGGACCGTCCATGCAGCCTGTAAACTTGAGGTCCTATGTGCAAACTCCGCAATCTCCATTCTCGCAGCCACCTCGTCCTCCACCTACATTTCTTCTTCCCCCTCCAGGCTACCTTCCAGTGAATACAGCACCACCCCAACCGCACCGTGACGCTCTTCATCAGGCCCATCTACGAGATCCTCATAATTCCCTGCTTGCCAGGGGGCCTGCGGGGGAGAAGGAGGTGGAGCTATTTCAATATCTCAGTTCGTTCGCTGTGCTGCCGACGCCACTCGGTAAGCAGCAACACGCTTTCCATTGGAAGTTTACTTTGTCAAGGGAAGACCTGGATCAGTTTCCTAGAGCTGGGACGGTTGGGCTAGGCCAACGCTCGCTCCGGATCTATGTGAGCGGCAATCGAGTATATCGGTTGCGGTGTATCAAAATACCACCGGCAACTGGGGAGGTAGCCGAGTCGGCGTGGTCTGTTGCCGAGTCGGTGTGGCCCAGCGTTCTGTATGTTCACGTCAATGGGGTGGAGCTCTTTGTCCGCCGACGATTACACAATGGCAAAGATCTACCATTGGATATCACGGACCATCTTCGAGAAGGGGAGAACAATGTTTCCTTGCATTTTATCCGCAGCCCAGTGGAAACCAACGATATGTTATATGCAATGGGGATTGAAGTACTAGAGGTCTCAGATATGGCTCGAGCATTTTCGCTTGCGCAACTTTTACCCGCCTCAGAATGCCGGGAGAAGATTCGGAATCGTGTCTCTTCAAGATTACAAGATGATGAAATTAGTGTCGTCAGCGACCACCTGAGTGTCAACCTCGTGGATCCTTTCACCGCACGCATATTCGATCGCCCTGTACGCGGACGCTCGTGCCAACATCAAGATTGCTTTGATCACTTAACCTGGATACAAACGCGTGCCTCCAAGTCCGGGAAGCGCAGCCTGAAAAACGACTGGAAATGTCCCATTTGTGCCCGAGATGCGCGACCCCAGCATCTAGTCATCGATGGTTACCTTCAAGAAGTGCACTCAGAGTTAGCACGCACCAATCGACTCGAGGTGGCAAAGGCAATCCTGATCAAAGCAGATGGGTCCTGGGAATTAAAAACGGAAGCAGACACACGAGTGTCCAGTGAACGCGGTGCTGAAAACAGTATGGGGCGAACTGCATCTAAAAGAAAAGCCACAGACAATAGTGGCCATTCACCATCTCAAAAGACAAAATCTGAACGGGTCAGCTCCGTGAATGGGTTCGTGAACAAGACATACTCAACGACTGAAGTCATTGCGTTGGATTAAGAAAAGAAAAACACGTAACGAAAGAAAAGTCAACATGATGATTGAACCCCCTTATTAGGGAGAACTCCTGCATGACTGATGACTTGCGCTGATTTTCTTTTATTTTTAACCTCCCTACTCCCTGCCTTACCAATTCTTTGGCATACCTGCCCGAGCTCTGCAATTTCCTTTGCTTCCATCACACAGGCGCTTTTGTTTTGAGTACGATACCCAGTTCGCATAAATTGTTCTTGATTTTATAGTCTCTCCCTTTTTTTTGGTCTGTCTTACCCTCTTGTTTCAACGTCTCGATTTGATTGTGCATGTAAAGCTTGGGATTGGGTGACGAAACGCCCTTTATACCTATGTTCTACTTCTTTACCTACCTGGGCTACACCGGGATTAGTAGTTACTTGACCCGGTACATACTTCTACCTGGTATCATGTTACATTTGTCAAGACAGCAGAAAAGAAAAAGGCAAAGGAGTAATTCAAACGACCTTGAATCTTCCTCGTGCCTTAACAGAAGCGATAGTAGATAATACGGGTATGTATTAGCACGGACTCCCGGGGCGAGAATATTTATTTTTCATGAATATAAATGAATTATATTACCCTGGAACACTGATGTAGCCTTGTCATAGAATATGCACCAACATTTCGTAGGACTAGATCAACTGCCAATTGGTTTGGTCCTGCATTATAATATATAGAGTAAATCTGAACTCAACATATTCAACAGATATTGTATATCTAACACACTGAGAGGATTGTATGTTATATTGGTTATGTTGGCAGGATTATACTGTCAAGATTAGAGAAATAACTCGTGATATTTGTATAAATACATAGGTAGACCGGGATTGTATATTATAAATCGCAGGCTGGCTATCCTAGCTAACCTATTCTATCTAACAGAGATTATAATCTCATTCTAACACGGATCATATCTAGAGGAAAAGAACGGATTGCAAGGTCCAGACTCCACCCATGCAATAAGTATTAATAAAGTAATGAAGAGAAGGGGGATCTCAGATCCAAAACCACACAGCCCAAGTGGAGATAGCCGGGGGGAGTGACAAAAGAAGATAGGTAGAGGAGAAAACGGGGAAAGCAGGTTCATTACGCTATACATTATTTTCTTACACGTCGGGCGTGATTGACGAGATTTTCAATCACGCCCTCGAACGCCTCTTTCTCGCTTACGAGACCGTCTCGTCGTTTTAGCCAGTATTCGAGGACAGAGCTAGCGCGGAGGGTTACATTTTCCAGCTCCTTGACGTGGCCTTGTAATTCGCCATCTGTTAGTCCGTCGAGAGCTGCATCTGTTGTGGTGCACAGGCGTCGGACGGATGAGAGGTCTAGTTCAGGTGGAGGAGATGGCTCACGCCGCCACGAAGCTCTGTTCCGCGGTGGGCCGGATGTCGATGGACTGTTGGCGTCACTCTGAACGTCGTCTTTTCTGATCTGGCTTCCCGAGCGGGAATGGGTCCCTGATGTAATGTCAGGGCCACCGAGATTAATTGATGGAAGAATAAGCTTCTTCTGTTTCGAGGCTGGTAAGATCTCATCAAGATCAACAGGAACTCCGAGTGAGACCAGGAAGAGACGACGGATCCGAGATTTCACCCAATTTTGGGGCTGTAGCGGTGGTGGCGCAACGAGCTGAGACCACAACGACAAAGAGCGTTCGGTATTGAAAATGGCTGAATTGTTTTCAAGTGGTTCTATTGGAGGGAGTGACGAGACCTCTTTAGAAGTGGGAAAGAGACGGTCAAGAGGTTCGTCTAGGGAAGCGAATAGGTCGTCGACGGATTGGCAAGAATAGAAATCTATAAGAGGTGGCTGCATATCCCAATTTACATTGTCAGTATAACTTCCATCCAGCGGTAATGAGACAACAGCGTTGTCGAGAAGTATGGGAAGTATAACAGATGCCCGGGTTACTCACAACTGTGGGTGGTGTGAGAGGCTGAGGTGTCTCGTTCACAGGTCGATCCTCAGCAACCTCTGTACTGGGCTCTTTAAAACCATCGTCGAAATCATCGAAATCACCGAAGTCATCCTCACCCATGTCTTGTTCTTCCGCAAAATCATCGAAGTCATCCGCAGCCTCCTGGTTTTCGTCGTCGTCACCGGTTACTGGTAATTCCCGCTCGACATGACTTTGATGCAGGGGACTATCTTGCGACGGCGGCAGTGCATCTGTATTTGTCAATCGTCCATTTAGAACCCACGCTATCATGGGGAGCAGGGGATTTTACCTGGGGCATCTGGAACGGTGTCCGTCGCGTCAGGCAATGCATCGCTCGGCCGTCTCTGATGTGCTCGTGGACCTATATCTGCTGCGTCATTCGGCAACGTATCGACTCTCTGGAGCACCGTTTCGGGGACATCAATATCCGGAGTAATTTCCTCGCTCGAGCCCCGCTCATTTGATTCCGGGCTGTGTGACGGTGGCTTTGCACCCGAGTCCCAGGCTGTCGTCACAATATCGGGAACGGCATCAGCCTTGCGCTTGTCATATGCTTCTGTACCAGGAACATCTCCATGGCTTGGTTGGTCCACATCGACTTTTTCAACGATTGTCCGGGGAATTGGCGAACCCTCCGGAGTCAAAGGGCGATCCTGTCGCCCCGCAATCGAGGAACTTCTGCTGCGTGATCCATCGGGTATAACCTCAATCTCATCGGGGACCGCATCATGTCCCCTTAGCTCGTATGCACGGGTTCCAGGGACGTCACCGTGCGAAGGATTATCATCAACCTTCTCCACGCGAGTCAGCGGGACAGGAGATGTGCGACCGGATGCTGAGCGCGAGGGGGCACGCTCATGGCCTTCGCTGGCGTCTGAGAAATGATCATCGTCACTGTTTGTAACTGTTAAAGTGCAAGTGATTAGCGAAAAACATGCCTTAAGGACCCAAGAGTTTCATTATGTACCATACCGGAGTCTCGTGCCCCGGAGTCCTCCAACTCCACGCTCTTCCTGGGGGGCTCCAAGTGCGAACTGGACGGGCGGGATAGCCGTTCCGACATTAGAGTAGGTCTGTTTTCCAAAAGAAACTCATGTAGAGAAGTGACAATAATTTCTGGGACGGAAGAACTGGAGCAGTATCAAGGATAATTAAGATTGCAATGAACAGGTGTGGTGATGTTGTTGCTCCGTATGATCAGAATAACCGGTTCCATGCGAGTCTCGAACGTATGCCTGAGGCAGTTAGACGGGACGGAGCGGATAGTGCCTGAGGTGTCGAGTTAGACGCCCAGCCGCGCCAAGCGCGGTTGCTCCAGAGAAACTCAGCTTTGGATGAAATAATTAATTGTTTAGGCAGTTGGACTGCGCCAATCTCCATACAAGAGCCATTCACTCGCGGATTCATCCTCTAAGGCTCATTGTTCCTGGGTGCAGTGAGTTGTCTTCTATTATTTGTTCTCTTAGACTTTTCCACCTCTCTGGAATTGACTCACTGACTTCTTGTACCTTTTTTTAACCCACTTCAGGGTAGCCCTGTTGATACCTTTCGTTCACAATACTAACGCCATGTCCTCAAATCTCTTTTCTTTTGGCGCTCCAGCCTCCAGTGGTGGCGCTGCAAAACCCCTCTTCGGAACTGCTGGTAATTCAAATACTGGATCTACTCCAGGCGGTCTCTTTGGAAATGTAGGATCATCAACAAGCGGCAGCTCTTCTCCTTCATTGTTTGGCGCAGGTGCTGCGACGGGTGGACAAGGCTCTACGATGTTCGGTGGTGCCGGTGGTAGTGCTGCTTCGACCAACAGTGGTACTCCTGCGTTCAGTTTCGGTACTCAGAATAAGCCTGCGGGCACTGCCCAGGCACCGTCACTGTTTGGCAGTGGATCGCAAACTCCCAAGTCGAGCGAAGCTCCCAGCTCTGGACAGACACCTACTAGTGGTCTCTTTGGAAATGGTACAAAGCCCGCAGGTGGCCTATTCGGCAACGCGACTGCCACACCAGGTCAGTCAGGGGGCTCGCTGTTCGGCAACAACGCGTCTACCACTCCTGCTGGTCCTCCACCGCAGGGAGGTGCTACTGGCCAGGGCCAGTCGCTGTTTGGACAAACGGCACAGAAGCCAGGAGGGCTTTTTGGAAACATAAACACAACTAGCGCCTCATCTACCACACCGTCTACTGCTACGACAGCACCCTCCACCACTCCATTGTTCGGAGGAGCTGCACAGACGCAGACGCAGACCCAGCCATCCGCCGGCGGTCTTTTCGGATCAAACACACAAAACACACAGCAGAAGCCCATGTTTGGCTCGACTCCAACGGCATCTTCAGGGGGTGGACTATTCGGCAATACTAACAAACCCGCGGAATCGACGACTCCGGCCGCCAATGCTGATACTGCTCCAAAATCTCTCTTTGGTAACGCGGCCCCAACTTCTTCCGCCGGAGGTACATCGGGCGCTCAGGCACCTTCTCTCTTCCAGAAGCCAGCGGCCGGCACGGACTCAGCGCCCAAACCTGCATTCTCTCTGGGTACCACACCCACTAATGCCCAGCCCTCTACGACCCCCGCCACATCATCTGCTACTCCACAAAAGTCCATATTCCCGGCCCTTGGCGGCACAACTTCATCGGCAACCCCGTCGACAACTCCTGCAGCTGCTCCTACTGGTGGCTTGTTCCCTGCTCCTGGCGCCCCCAAGCCCGCAGGCACGACTGCACCGAACAGTACTGCTACCACAGCTCCCTCCGCTCAGCCCGCAGCACCCACAGGTGGATTGTTCGGAAATAAGCCTGCTGGGACTGCCGCATCTACACAACCTTCACTCACCTCCACAACCCCCGCTGCAACCACAGACGTCTCTAAACCATCGCTCACTACAACCTCTACGCCGGCGACTGCTGTGCCCGCTGCATCAAGTACCGCAGCAACCGGGGGTGCCGCGCTTGGCGCATCGACTGCCGGCCCGACTCCACCGGCTCAATCCCGCCTGAAGAACAAGACGATGGACGAGATCATCACCCGGTGGGCCACTGACCTGACTAAGTACCAGAAGGACTTCCGGGAGCATGCCGAGAAGGTTGCGGAATGGGACCGGATGCTTGTGGAGAATGGCACTAAGGTGCAGAAGCTGTACGGTAGCACGGTTGATGCGGAGCGTGCTACACAAGAGGTCGAGCGTCAGCTTGCTTCGGTGGAGGGACAGCAGGAGGAGTTAGGTTCGTGGCTAGACCGGTACGAACGCGAAATTGACGAAATGATGTCGAAGCAAGTAGGACCTGGTGAAGCCCTGCAGGGACCTGATCAGGAGCGTGAGAGAACGTACGTATTCGTCCACCTTTCACATACTATTCTTTGTCGAGATGACAAATACTGACATATCAACAGTTACAAGCTGGCCGAGAAGCTGTCGGAACGCTTGGACGAGATGGGCAAGGATCTGACCAGCATGATCGAAGAGGTCAACGGTGCCTCTGCGACACTCAGCAAGACAAACAAGGCAGATGAACCGGTTAGCATATCCCTTCGCTAGATATCAACTGCGGGAAAACAGCACTAATAATATTTCTTTAGATTTCTCAAATCGTGCGTATTCTCAACTCCCACCTGTCACAACTGCAGGTTATCGATCAAGGCACGTCCGAGCTTCAAAGTAAAGTGAATGCAGCTCAGAAGGCCGGACAGTCGCTGTCTTCCCGGTTCGGCTATAGCTTCAGCAATTCCGGGATGGGCAATTCGAACGCGGCCGATGACTTCTACCGCTCTTACATGGGACGACGGTAGTGGATGAAGACTTTTAAATCATGGGTTTAGTTATATGAGGAAATACTGTCACCCTTGACCGGAGAAATATAATGTACTTGCGCTGGGACGGAGCTGCGTCTGTTTAATTTTTTTTTTTTGCCATCCTTTCCCAGGCTATCGTTGGGTGATTTAACAATGGGCTAATGATAAATATGCGCGTCCACGATGCCAACTACCGTACGTCTAACATTCATAGCCAAATAAATCGAAGAGCGTAGATTACATTTAAAATCCTAAAACCATGCATGAAATGCTACCGTGATCGAAACGTGAGAGCTAATAAAACTGCGTCATCCGTTATAAACGATCATGAAGTCCGACATCTGACGATAAGGCCATAACCGATTAGTTCTGCTCGCCGCCCTGGTTCTTGGTCATTTCCTCGCTACAATCGCAAAAAGAAAAAAGGAAAGAAAAAAGTTAGCTATAATTCATAACCATGACACTCAAGTCACTATTTGTGTGTGGGGGGGGAAGACGTACATATGCTGGTCGAGCTCATCAAGGTGCTTGCGCTGTTCTTGGACCTTTCTGCGGAGGGCCAGAAGCCTAGTGGAAACTTGTTAGCTTCAATTGTAACCGGAAGATTCCGATCCGCGACAAAAATGGGGCTGGGAGGCAAAAAAGAAAAAAAAAAATTCCAGCAAAACATATTCCTCAAAAGAGAGAGGGAAGAAGAGAGAAATTGAATACGTACTTCTCACGCTCCTTCTCGTGAATGTAGAAGTTCTCCTGGGCTGCTTCACGCTTGGTGAATTGGTCGCTGGCGAGTACGTTAGTGAGTTGTTCCGCCAGTCCATTAACGATGATGTCATCGTTTAGCAGTCGGACATGGGCCTCTTCTACGGGCTTGAAACGAGAGAGAAGGAGAACAAGATCGACGTACGCTTGCGCAGAGCCGCCTGGCCGGGGAGCACCAGTATCACCTTCGGCCATCTTGGGGGCAAGAGCTGAGAATGAACGGGAGATGAGGGCGCGGTTAGCGGTGGTGAGAGGTCTGATGGATTGACGGAGCATGGTGATTGATTGTGTGGAGGATGGGATGCGAGGCAATTTGTTGAAGATGATGTTCAGGGGGGAGAGAGAGTATGTGTGTGTGGAAGTGAAAGAATGAGGAGAAGGAATGAGGGGAGAAGGAACAAAAGCTTCTAAAGTACCTATGGTGTGGTGTGGTGGTTGATTGGTTGCAACGGTACAAGTACCTTCTTGCCGCCTTAACGTTCCTCTCGAAGATCGAGACTTAATGACGACACGGGATCATGTGATGCCCTCGGTTTGCAGATGAGTCAGCGGGTCAGGTGAACAACTTGGTTGTGGTTTTGATCGTTCTCGCTCATAAGGGGAAATTTAAAATTACTATTTGAATGTTACTATTAATACCTCAATATTTGTTGATTAATTAACATCACATTCTTTTCTCTTTTTTCTCTTTTTCTCCTTGTCCAAGATATCAGAAACAGGGAAAGATAAATAGATTCATTCTAGACGTTGGGGTTACCGGAGAGGAGAAAGAAGGTAAAGATGATTTCTCCTCTCGGTACTTGAAAGCAAACAATTCCTATACATTGAAGTTATTTCCGAGAACCCGAACCAAAGCCGTGGAATTGCATTTGCGCATTTGGCCTTGTTCTCTCCTTTGAAGACGATAATTATAGTTATAGGTGGTTAATATCTCCTTTTCATTTCTTTCAAGGGGACTAAGAGCGGATATGGAGCCATGGAGTCCAGTAGGGTAACCATTGGAATACTTAGGACCACTAGCTGCGAGGCTCATTCAATAATGGCTAATGACTAGGATACAAGGAAGAAACGACCCATCCTAGGATCTCTGGTGCGGGCGGGACGATTGGCGGAGAGCGAAATAGGGATGACGCTGAGTGGCCCACCGAGCCACACAAACAACGGTCAGTCTGGACGACGCATAATGGGCGTCAGGAGAGAGAGAGAGAGAGAGAGGGTGAGTGTGTTGAGTGTCAGAGCGAAGAAAAAGGGTGAGAGCCCGCGGCTAATCTTCCGTTCTCTCTCAGAAAACCAAATTTGAAAAAAACAGAAAGAAAAGAAAAAAGCAAAATCCAATAAAAAGGAAAGAGAGAAAGAAAACAAGAATAAAAACCTCTGCATAATATTATAATCTACCGGAATAGAATCAGACAATCCAAAAAGGAGTCCACCGCAATGCAAGGTCAATTGGGGATTGAATTGAATTGGAAAACGTAAGACTATAAAAACACAAGTCTTCTGGACGATTCGGCCTCACTCCAGTTTTCCGTGACCGTGGATTCCTCAGGCGTCAAGAACCCCGTTAATCGTTGAACCAGACGCTGTCGACTCTCTCTCCGCCGCCAACCCAACTCTTTCCCCCCCCTTCCGTTTACTTTCCCCTCCCACTCCCTTCCCCCCTCTTGGTCTCTTTTTCCTCTTTCTCCCTCTCCGACTTGGTCTTGACTTTTTTACCTCCTGCAACTAACGCTTAACCCCGTTATAAAAATCTTCCTCCATTTTCTCAACCTTCCAACTTTTCTATCCCCCTCTACTTTTCCATACCCCTAAATAAATCTCCATTTCGTCAGGTGAGAACATTCCCTTTCTGTCATCTTCCACCGTTTCAACCCCTCTCCTTTTTCCCTGACCTTTCCAATTCAACCATCATCCACCGTTCGTCGTCATCATCATCGCATACCGTCTGGGAATCATACGTCGGGGGTGGGCCATGAGATACGGGTGTGCGGTAGTATTCACGGGGTGAATTGTTGCTGGTCGTCGCTCTTGCTGCCATGATCTCCGTCTAGCCTACCGCTCTGGAATCGCCCATCCGCGACGCAGGTCCACGGCTAGCCGAGTGTGAGGACCAGCGGTGCGATGCCCAACTCAACAATTCCCGACCGTCACCCCAGATCTGTTTATCGTATGGGAGTCGAAGGATATCTCCTTCGAATGTGGAAAACGCATGAAATTGTTTTTCTCTCCTCGAGGCCTCTAAATCTTGATTTTTTTTTGTTCCCCCCTGGAGGCTTTGCGAGGGAAGAACAATGACGACGGAGGGCTCTGGAATTTCGTGTTCCTTGGACCACTTGACTACCACAGCCTCACTATTACCCTGTGACTACCCTTTGTGCCCTTCATACTATTCATGTTTTTGGCCTTCATTTCCATGGAGGCTTGCTTTTCCTCCCCCTTCCCAGCGACACTCTGTGTCTTCTATATTATCGCATCACTTAAATTCTTATGACGACTAGACTAACGATTAATCAGAAATCAATCACAATGGGTCACGAAGATGCTGTTTATCTGGCCAAGCTCGCCGAGCAGGCTGAGCGCTACGAAGGTCGGTTTATCTTCCGTTTCACGATACCATTCGCTCTGTATTGACAGAATACCCAGAGATGGTCGAGAACATGAAGGTTGTCGCCTCCGCCGATGTAGAGCTCACCGTTGAGGAGCGCAATCTCCTATCCGTCGCCTACAAGAACGTCATCGGTGCCCGCCGTGCGTCCTGGAGAATCGTCACTTCCATTGAGCAAAAAGAAGAGTCCAAGGGCAACGAGTCCCAGGTTACCCTCATCAAAGAGTATCGTCAGAAGATCGAGTCTGAGCTCGCCAAGATCTGCGATGATATCCTCGACGTTCTCGACAAGCACCTGATCCCCTCTGCCCAGAGCGGCGAGTCTAAGGTCTTCTACCACAAGATGTATGTTACTGTAATCTCACGCTGATGCGATCGGTAAGATTCTAATCGCGTTCGTTTCCACAACAGGAAGGGTGACTACCACCGTTACCTTGCCGAGTTCGCCATCGGTGACCGCCGCAAGGGCGCTGCCGACGCCTCTCTCGAGGCCTACAAGGCCGCTACTGAAGTCGCCCAGACCGACCTTGCTCCTACCCACCCCATCCGTCTGGGTCTGGCCCTGAACTTCTCCGTCTTCTACTACGAGATTTTGAACTCCCCCGACCAGGCCTGCCATCTGGCCAAGCTTGCTTTCGATGATGCCATCGCTGGTATGTTTCAACTCCCTGTTGACTCCCCTAATCGAATATCAAAGCGAACATTCCACTAACGCCGGCCGCAGAGCTCGACACCCTGAGCGAGGAGAGCTACAAGGACTCCACCCTGATCATGCAGCTTCTTAGAGACAACCTGGTAAGACGACATGCCTGGATGCGACGATTTCCGAGGCCTGGACTAACGCAATATAGACACTCTGGACCTCGTCTGAGGCCGAGCCGGCTACTGAGAACGCTGCCGAGAAGAAGGAAGAGGCCCCCGCTGCTGAGGGCGAGAAGCCCGCCGCCGAGTAAAGAAGAGATGAAGGACTCGCGTCCGATCACGGATGAAGTAACCGGACGACGGGCCTGCTGATCTGTGCAGAAGAGCTAGAGTGCTGAGAAGGAACGAAAGGAAACGAGGTGCATTTGACGTTTACGTATCGTACATTCTCGGGCAAGGTGGAGGCTGTCTTTTTTGGCGCCACGCCCACGGATGGAGATTTTGGGGGGTTTGAATGCTCTTTGGGTCCTCCGGACTTTTTCTAACGCAGTTACACTTTCGTACGTGGTTTGGCTGTGCCCGTGCACCGGTTTTCCATCTGTGGTTCAACTTTTCGTTTCTCGTTTGATTTTCATCTTATTTCCCTTTTTAAATCTTTTTTTTTCTGCCTATTGCCTCAACTACCCAAAGAATACCTTTCCCTGTTACAGACGTCGTCCCCCTACATCAGTGAAATTATTTCCCCCTCCCAAGGCCTGGACTACTACCGCGAATCTTTGTCTTGGTTTTACTCCTTTCGTGCCACGCATGGCGTTGATTGTCCGCCTGAGCTCGAGTTTAGATCTAAAGTCTAGCAGCAGTGGTATCAAAGAAATCCGAAATTCCAAACTTACGAATGGCCCAGACCTGATGGCGTAGCCCGATGGATTGTATGCATTTTGTTCATCTGCATATGGAGGGAAAGACGGGATGCATCGTGTACTACAAAAGTACCCATTGTACACATCCGAAAAAAAAGGGGCCATACATGTATGTATGCATCCCCATCCAGAAGTAAAAGATAAACACAACAAACCCACCCACCAAAACCTAACAACGTCGGCAGAGAAAAACACAAGTCCGACGCCCCCATCCCAAATACACATACAGTAGGCAGATAACAGACCAGTCCGTCCCTTCATACAGAATAAATCCTGCCCCCCCCCCACCCCCAAAACGGGGAAAAAAAAAAGGAAAGCCAGCCCCTAAGAAACGAAAAAGAAAGAAAGAAAAAGCGAAAAAAAAAACTCCTCATTACCAAACCTATCACCATAGCTTATGTACATGCATGCATGTATGCATACAGAACATGTACTAGATAACTAGAGCGTATACTCTGTACTCTGTAGTGTATACACTATCATGGACCCAAGAGTATCTCCCTCACTCAGCCCCGAGTGAATCTAACCTTTCCAGCTCAGCCTCATGCCTGAAACATGACGTATGCGGCGCGCGGGATCCGTCCACCTTTAATTATCCTTAATGAGATTGGAGATTATTACACATGTATGTATTCTTTTGGGTATGTGGGAAGATGATCATTTTTTTTGTTTTGTTTTGTTTTGTTTTTGTTTATCAGAGTTGCGCTTTTAGGGCGTTGATGGAGGCAGTTAGGTCAAGTTCGGATTATCTACTTTCGGAGTACTCAGGTACATACAATGAGGGTTATAGAGAGGGATGATATAATTCTGGTTTTATGGGTGGAGAGGACTCTGCAGTTTGTTTGTATACTACTGGTGGGTATATGTATATGGAGTACTTGGGTATGTACTATGGCACTACGTAGTAGTATGGAGGCTCCAAATGATGGTCAGGGCGAATCTATTATGGGTTGTGGCTGAGAGGATGGTAGTATGGCGGTTAGGCCACCATGGTGGTTTGTGGCGGCAGGTGCCTACTATCCATGGGGTTGAGATGCCAAGGGATACCTCAGCTATGGTATTTTTGAGTCATGTGTTTTGAGGCGAACAGTCAATTAAACGATGTACAACTTTTCCACAGGCCAGCGACTACAAGGTGAAAATTGTATGATTACAGAAGAGAAAAGAAAGAAAGAAAAAACATTATAACAATATATGTGTATTCAATCAAACCGCTCGCTTCTGGGTATGTTAAGCAGATGTTTTCAAAGCCAAACAATATCAAGCCGAATCGTCAGACCGGGACGATCTCAATGTACACGATGATCATGATGTTGAAGTAATATGAAAAAGAAATAAAACACAGCTGTCTGCTCCTTGAAAATGCTTACTCTCCCCACCTCGCCTTTTTGCAGACCATGAGAACAAATGCGCCCAGTGCGGTTTCCAGTCGAATCAATCAAGTCTAATAGGTAATTCCCCGTAATCTCCGAACGCCGAGCGTGCTATGTATGCCACAAATACAGATTGCCTCCCGTATGACAGTTAAGAAAAAGGAAGAACGAAGGTAATGAAAAAAGAAAGAAAGAAAAAAAGGTAAAAGACAGAAGTAGAATCAAGTGAATATGGACAGTTGAAAAAGTGGACCCGGTCAACCAAGGAGGACCACAATGCTCTCTCCCCCCCTCACGCAAAGACGTCATCTTGCTGATCGTTAAAACTCAGCCGTCAATATCGGTGATCGGGAGTCAGCACTGATCATCGCCAAGCCGAAAGTAACACGCTCCTACCCCGATACCTCGGGAGGTGCAATGATGTCACGGGAGCAACCACGCCATTCAAGATCCTTCGTAGTAAAACACGGTAGCAAGCTTTAAGTGTCGACCGGGGGAACAAGGTCGGACTCTGCCACGATCTATTGGCCAAAGAGTAGTAAAGGTAATAAGTTGAGTCGACTGCGGCGACATCATCGTGCGATATAGGTCCGTCGCGGATGTAACAAATCAAGTTACGGACTGTTGACAAATAACATCCGTGTGACGTCGAATGTAGCACGAGTGGCCACTGTATGAACGCCGTTGTCATTCCGACCCCCGCCGCACGGTATGCAGTCCAAATTCAATTTCTCTCGTAATGTTGATACGTATTGTATCGCGGAATGTGATCGTCCGCAGAATGGATGATGCTCCGACAACCGGTCATAAGGATATGCCGTCCAGGAGGGCCTGAGAGGTGACATGCGTAGTTGCCAGACCTCAAAACATCTAACCATTGCGAACGCAGGCGTATTTCGCACATCTTCTCTTTCGGTCTCGCTTGGTAAGCGGAGACATCCCAATCGTTCTTTCGACTCCAACGATCAGGATGTTGATAGACGTGGCGCCTATTTTTGCGATTTCCTGACCTTGGTGCTTGATCTCGTCATTTCAGTCTTAGTCATGTTTCGGGTCAGTCCACCAATGTAGTCCTGTAGGAATTTGTTTTCGCTTTCAAGTTTGTCATGGTCTGATTTCACGGCTTCGATACGTTCCGCAAGTGCCTGAAGGGAAGATTGCAGCGCCTTTGCTTGTCTAATCGAGCGAAAGTTAGTAACGCGTAAAAAATAGTAGCAAATAGAGCGATCGTAAATGCAGATACTCACTCCTGCAACGTCTGTCTAGCCTCCTTTCCGAGTCTTTCCAGATCAGCAGAATTGCGTCGGGGACTCATGGCGCGCGCGTCGTCCGGGGGAAATTCTTCTTCTTCGATTTCGATCTCGGGATGATCCCGTGGAACTAGTATGGAGGCACTGGGTTTCCGACTGGCCATACGAGGGCGTTCGGAACGACCTCGACGTTCAGTTTCTGCGTCAGAGATGGATGATGATGAGGAGAGCGAAGACATGTGCGCGCGGCCGTTGTCGTTGGGCTGGGGCATAGTCGGAACGGGAGAGGAACCGTGCACATCGGAAGTAGACGCCATGGTCATTTTGTATCGCAGGTGGCGTTGTAGTGGAATTTAAGGGCGTCTAGGGCTGGTAGCGGCTGTACCCTTCAAGAATTTGGGGGGAACGAAATAGTGGTTGATGTGGTGGGATTCCACGTCTCAAAAAGTGGGTATCGGAATCCAGCACAATTAGTTGCAAATACAATCGCAGCTGGTCAGACTACCTCTAGCGATTAACCCCAGATGAAGAATCTGTGTTTCCGCTGGAGGTAGCTTGGCGAAAATCGACCACGTTGGAACGAGGAGTAGTCTCTAGAATGGGTGTTTCGGAAACGCTAAATCCCGAATGGAAAAAATAAGACCGCGCGAAAGAAGTCTCAAAAAAAGCAACGATTCTCAGGTACAATCCAGGGGTGGACGAGGAGAAGAGATAGAGAGGCGGAGAGTAGAGAGGACCAAAGAGTTTGAGGGGGGTGAAATCGCGTCGGTTAAGCGAAAGTTGGGAAGGCAACCGATACTCAGGACAAAGTAATTCAAGAATGCTTCCGGGTGGATTGAATTGCCCTCGATAGATATTTTTACAGAGGGCGTTTTTCTTTTTCTTTTTTTCTCCTTCACCCTTAGTTTCTTTTTCCTGGGTGATTCTTTTCTCGGTCCCTTTTTAGTCGTCCTGTGTTCGGGTCGGTGATTGACTTCGGAAAGGAAATCAGAGGGACAGTCAAGAAAGAAAAGTGAAGAGCAAACGAAAAGTAAAAAAAAGAAAAAAGAGGACGAAGGTGATGAACTCGTCGAACGATCCGAAAACGGGGGGGGGGAGGGACTAACAGCAGTGGGAAAGAAAGCCGTTCGGGTATAGTGCAGAGTGTGGGTTCTTGTAACAATCAAACACAATCACAAAGAAACACCAAAAAAAAGGGATGAGAAGGTGATGAAATGTGAGAGGGAGAAAGTAGCGAGAGGGATGGAGGGATGAGGGGCCTGAGAGTCAAGAAAGCTGCGGAGAGTGCAGAAAGACAGACAGACAGTCAAGGGAGACACCGTCAGAGAAGAGTAGTCTCTTCAAGAAAAAAATAAAATAAAATAAAATAAAAATCAAAAATAATAATAATGATAATAATAATATGAGAGAAAAAAATATATAAAATAAAATAAAAGGGACAGTCAGGAATCACTAACCAAGTCACTAGGAATCAATGGAGTAGCGGTGGTGATGGATTTTTGGTGGTAATAATAATTCCTGAAAGTAAAATCAAGACAGGTAAGTGACTAATGACTGATACTATGGAGGTACTTACAGGAGACACTTATCCGTTGGGCAGAAGCAGGTATCGTGGTGGTACCTCTGATGGAGCTGTACGACTCTGATAAGTAGTCCCAGTATTAGTTGTCGTCGTAGTATGATTGCTGGGTCTGTATTACCCTTGATATATTAGTATCAGTATTATTGTTATTATTATTAGTATTTCTCCGTTGAACGAACGATGTATAGTAAGTTGACCCTATTTTCTTATAGGGTGTAGGTAATTCTGATTATTTGACATCTTTTTTTTATATATTTTGATGATGGTATTACCTATAATACTATGTCGATATACCTTACTCTCTCCATACGATCCCTTTCTCCTGATACATGGATTTCGAAACAAAGTTGAGTGGCTCAGAAGACTCGTGGCCGCCACTGGGAACGTATCCTTAAACGGAGGTGTATTGGTATTGAACGACTAACGTGTAATCTATTTTACCCCCGAACTAACTCGTACTTGTTCCATACATCGTCAAGAATTGATGAAAATGTTTCGGTGAGAAGCGCCTGATTGGGATGGCGTGGTTGGGTGGAGGGAGGGGGGTTTGACTTGAACCTTTTAGGGGTTCGGTCCCCTTTAGTTCTTCTGTTAGTTGGAATTTTTAGTTTCCTTTAGTGTACTTTAGTCTGCTTGCTGGGAGGGGTGCACTCCTGGCTGTGGTTCGACAGTTGAGGAACTCCCGTCCCCTTGGAGGGGGCGAATCTTCAACCAACCAGAGTCTCTCGTCGGCGGAATTGGAGGTTGATCCTCATTCACCCACCGCCAGTATGATGATCAGTGAGCAGGGAGAGTAAAAAAGAGAGGGAAAAAAATTAGAAAAAGAAAAAGAACGGAAGCAATAACATTGTTTGACGATATGCTATTAAGGAATTTTGTTTCCTTTTCTTTCCCTTTTTTTTTATTTTCTTCTTGTTTGTGTCTCTCTCGTATCAAATCAATTCTCTCCCTTTTCATTTGTAACCTCACCTGATGGACATTCGGAATAGGATAGACAAGCTAAGAAATCATACTACGGGGACTCCGTATGTAGAACGAATGACTATTTTCTAACTACGTCGCGCTATGTACATACATACTTTTTGTCACGAGTCGATCTTCAATGTATGTCCGCTAAGCGAATGGGCATTCCATGGTCCTTGATATTGGGAACGTCCCGATGTGCCGAGGTGATGGATCATACAGCCACAATGCTAAAAAGTACTATGGAATTGGGGGAATTTCAACCCCGGAGGTCAAAAAGGTCACATGAAATCGCCAAACGTCTTAGAGTAGGCGTGAAAGAGAAATAAAAAAAGAAGAGAAAAGGAAAAGAAAAGAAAGGTCATGCAATGTCAATCGAGAGGCTGCATTTTGATTCACCATCTTTCAGCATGTACATACTACATGGATCATTCCTGGTGGATCACCCAAGGAAAATCTGCCAACTTCCAGGAGAACCTATAAGATTAGAGTATATTGAACCTCCGAAACTTGGTTCCATAATTCATGCCGGCGGAAACTTCACGTCGTAGTACACAAATGTCTCCGGTGACATTCCTTTTCTATATCATCTAGGCTGAAAGCTTACTTTTTTCCTTTTTCTTTGCCAACCCATTGGTAGGTAACACTGTTCAAGTTGTAGAGTGTACCGGATACTCAAAGCGGGAAAGATCCTACTCCGTGTCCACATGGCATGGTGTAAAAGGTGTCAATCTCCTAGAGTCTAAGCTTGTTAGTCCAAACGTTGAACTTTCCCCTTTGGTCCACGAGTCAAACGGCCTGAGAGCAGGGCGATCCATTCCCGTGGGTTCGAGAGTTTTCTGGCGGATCATGTCCGCGAGCGACTAACCAAGCACAAGAGGAGAGAGGAGAAAAAAAGGTGAAACCGGGAAGAGGATGTGCAGGCATGCCGATCCACCGCAAACACCAATCGTCATTCGGAAGGAGGGCGCATTGAAAGGAGGATCGAATCAGAAGGCACCGAATGGAGTTTGCTGATCGTGATTTTGGATAATTGACGGGTTGACATCATTGATGATTGAAAACGGGGTATTTTACTTTTTGAATTTTTCCTTCTTTTATTCATTTTATATAGAATATATCTTCTGACTGGGAGTCAAATGGTTATTCACTACTCAGCATCATTCACCCATGAAAACGGTCAATGCTGACTACAGATGGGGCCTGCAGAGTCCCTAATCCCGTTAAAAGGCTAATACTGGGGGTAATTAAGTCCTAGATAATCGGTATGCAGCATCCTGTCGCTATAGTCAGATCTATAATTCCTAATTCTATTCGAGTAATACCGAGAATAGGTAATGAAAACCTCCCAAAGGATTGGGCGAGGGAAAAAAGCCCTCAATTTCAATAATGATAATTAAAAACGCCCGATGGACGATGGATGCGATCAATTTAGACGTTTCGGGGAAGAATCCGAAATTTCCACGTAAGGTTTAATAAAGTCCAAAAGGCCAAAGGTTAAGTCTGTTCAAGACTTTTTTTTCTTTCTGTGGATTTTACTTTCCCTCTTCCCGAACGGGGAGAAGACACGTCCCCTTACTGGTCACCGTAATATTCTCTTCTTTTTTTTTTTTTTGAACTCGAACGGCAAAGGAATGACGGCACCGCAGACGTCATAGGGTTCAAATCGATTCATGACGTTGTGATAGAGATTCATATTTCAAATATAAAATAGTATTTATTGATACAAAATACATTTGTATAAATAGAATAACATAACATAACATAGAATAAATAACATACTTTATATTAACTTAAGTATTGTATTCCATCCTTTAGCATAGATTGGTTAGACCATGTACTAACTGTGTACGGAGATTTTCTGTTATTTATTCTCGGATCCGACTATTTATGGGACTTGCAGAAGTATCTCTGACCTTTACGAAACCTATGTCCATGTAGTGCTAAGAATACTATTGAATCGATTCGAAGTTTGATGGGCATTAGTATCCATATCCATGCCACGATAAATCCCCTAAGACATGATATAATGGTCCAATATCATGCATTTCACACGGCATCTTATATATTTAGCATCATGTCGATAGCGACCGACAGCAATATTAATAGGACTACCAATTAACCATCAATCAAGATCCTTAATGACCAAGATTATCGCCCAGGATAGCAATGATACGAACTCAAGATCCGACCGCTAAGAAAGTAGCATAATCTAAATAAATAAGAGAGAATTTAAAAAAAGCCCACGATCTATCTCGAAGTTTAATTGCCGCAAGGCGCAAAAAGGGCTGCATAGCCTAAGGCGAGTTGACAAGCATCATCGCATACCGTCGGAGAGGAGCAAAGAAGGCGGAGCAATTGGTCTGAATTAATCCCCTCCCCGTGATACTAAACTACCTATCTACAGTACCTACGCATTTGCAACTCTTTTCGAACTGAGAACAGCATGAGGCTAAATGTTCACCCAGCCGAATCAACTGCTAGCATGAACCAGTGGCAAGTGTTCCTCGAGTCCCCGCATCGCTGAGGTCGACCTTCTGTTGGCGTGGGGAGGGGCGTGTGCTTGTGACCCTTTCTTCCTGTTTATTCATTGCTCCAGAATGACAGTTGTCCATTTGACACCGGATTATTGTAGCGAATTGTAATCCCATCCTTCCACGTACAGACAAAAAAGAAAAAGAAAAAAGAAGGAAAAAAAAAGGAAATTGACACCTAGGCGCTTTTTGGGCTAACCGCACAAGACGCAAGGTTTTCTTCGCCTCTCTCTCTCTCTCTCTCTTCTCCCTTCTGTAGGAAAAGCTATCATTGAATGACCTTGATGGTCAGGATCATTCAGCATCATCAACATTCGAACGGAACCCCTCGGTAAATATTACCATACCGAAACATACAAATGTAACTACACGTATCCACGATACAGTAAGCAAACCACAAAAAGGAAAAAACAAAAACAAAAAAAAGGTACCGCCGTTCATCCGCGTGACCATGTTCCTCTTTCTTTGCTCCACTGATCTTATGGGATCAATCAATCATTCATTCCCGCCACTATAGTCGCGGCCGAAAAGCAAGCAAGAACCAAGACACAGAAGAAGAAAAGAAGAGGCAAATCAACTCCGGTCAGAAAAAATTGCCAACCGCTTATTGTTTGATAATAATGACGAGTAGGTCAAAAATAAGCCATTGTTACTTCCCCCCGCCCCCCGACCATAGCCTCCGTCTGGTCAGTTTGGATCGAATTAATTTCCGCACGTCCAATGCCATATGAGATATTCCTATCCCTGACCTCCTGAATGACGATGATAACTGTCGATCAGCAGTCGGGTCCACACTGATTTGGCGATTGTCATGACCCTCTTTTTTACTTTTTTGTTGTTCCAAAGAAAAAAATTGTTTTCAAATAAAAATCTAAGCGCATTCTTTGCCGCGCTGAAGGTGGAAGTCTAATATCCGATGTTCTGTTCCTGGAGAACGTAGAAGGAAGCCTGAGGTCATTGACCATGACTGATATGATCACTTGATCCATCCCCCGAGTATGATATAATATGACGATTATCATGACTTTCCTTTTTTTACCCCTATGTACCTATCCCTGAGTAAGTCCAACCCCCAAACCCTTTTCTTCTTCGCGAAAGGGCCTAAAAAAAAGTAAGATGCCTACATCATAGATAGATAGAAAACTAAACTAAACCCCAAATAACAATCAAATAACTTAAACCCATCAAACCTTGACCCAGATAAACGCTCCGGCACTAGCTGCATGTGGCTTCAGGGAAAACCCTCCTGCCATCCAGCCTGACCAGGGTCATCCTTGGCAAATCGGCATTTTTGCCAAAATGCCATTTCCTGATGGATTTATTTTCTTTCTGCAAAACAAATTACAGTAAATCGCTTTTTTTGCTCTTACCTTTAAAAAACGGCCTAAAATAAAAAATATTGTCTCCAGAGGATTGGGACGGGGCTTCTCAGTGTGGGTAGAAAGTGTATGTAGACTAGGGGGAGTTAATGTGTTTTGAACGATTGGATGGCGTCTTCGTTGGCTCTAGGGGGATTCTAGCAGTGGGGGGAGGGAAATAACTTGTTCCATGCGATAGGTTGTGTTGTCAATGTTCGGGGGTTTATTGTTTGGTGTGTGTGACTTAGGGATGTACTACTTAGTATGTACTTGCTGGGTACCTAAACATTGTATGGAGTTATTTGTAGTTACGATATGGCCCGTGTGGTAGTACCTGATGTACCCTATGGGGGCCTGTTATTGAATTGGCCATTGACGCCCCCCATACGTACAGACATAGTACAACATACCTCTTACAGAATCTGGTTATATAGCGAATCTGATGGGGGTTGGGTTTATTTTTGGTTTCGGCCGAATACACTCAGACAGGCCGGTTTAGGTTGGGAGAGAAAGTAAAAGAGAAAGAGAAAGAGAAAGAGAAAGGTATGTACAATTACATACCTACAAACCTATACTTTTACACATACATGCCCAAAAGAAAAGAGTAAACGAAACATCTCCCTCCATTCCCCTGCAAACCCCATACTTTGATCCCCGCCATGGATGACTGTCGGGCACGCTGTCCTTGCTCCGGAACAAGACTGTGCTTCCGAGATGCAGGCTGGGCTGGGTTATGTGTATGTATGAGTATGTACTATCATCGACCCCGGTTGTTGGGAACGGGCTCGTATGTGTGCAGGTTGACTATATACTGTAAATCCTCTAGTAGGGGAATTGTTTACCTTGCTTGGAACTAAGGTTTGCCGGCAGGAGATCGGGTGATCAGAAAGAGTTCTACTGGGTCTCCCTTGATCATAAGTGGGTTCATGGATGAGGAAGAATGCAAACACGTCTTCATTGGACCAATACTTAGCAAGAGAAAACTTGCTCATGACTTCAATCCTTTCCGCCTGGGAGAAACCAGCCCTTGCGCTGGCTCCGCTGGCCAACACCGTCAACGCCAGATGATATAACTCAGGCCAAACGCCAAACATAACCAATAGTAAGAATGCTCCAAAATAATTTTATACAACGCAGTACGGCAATTCTTCCCACCTAGCAGCCAAATTTAGGCAGCATTGGATTCGGATGCAGTCAGTTTCCACTGGTACAAGGCGCGCAGGACAGATACACCTCCTGATTGCGTCTCCACCGTCCTCCCGCGCCCTCGGTCGTTATAGTCCGTCTGGTGTAGGCCAAGAGTAGCTGCATCGCCACTTAAGCGTGTCTGCCCGGGTACAGACGCCGGATAGATGGGTCTTTCCTGCCCGAAGTTGGGACCCGCTAGTGGAGGGGATGTTCCTTGATGAGTGTGGTCGCCGTAATTCCGGTAGTCAATCGCATCGGGAGGCAGGGGACTCTGGAAGGTGACAGCGTGATCAAGCTCGCCGTAACGCCTGCCCCACCACATGCCAAACTTGCCGTCCTTGTCTCGAGTCATCAGAGCGGCCTCAGCATTGTGTTCGATCCAAGGCCCATACGTGCGACACTGTGCTTGATGCCAATCATGGATGTACTCCCAATCGCTGCCGGGTCCCGTCGTCCGATTTGCGCTATCCAGAAATCGCTCCTCCTGCGGCCGTATGGGCCGACAGAACTCCGCGAGATGATTAAAGAAGATACCTTTGAACGTTTGTCCGTCTTGAGAACAGCTGCCAGCGGAGTCGCATGCCTCCTCCAGAACGCCTCCGCGACCGAGGCCTGCCCATTCCTGGCTCGTCTTGTTGTGCCACCCCGTGGCATTGACAACGTTACGGACAAGTTGATGTCCATCGGACAGGTATTGCCATGATGCAGTGGCCAGCCAGAGGCCCCTCAGCCCGCTGAGGATCACCCCCTGGTTATACGTGTATGCCATCTTGTTCAGGACGTCACACTTCCGGGTGCCGGGCTCCTCAGTGCTCCTCCACCCACTGATATGGAAGCCATCCCCATATAGTCCCCCGGCCCCCGTCATATTCGAGGCGTTGAGCCATTTATATCCCTCGATAGCAGCCTGCAGATGAGCAGGGTGGTGAGGGTAACCGTCCGACCACGTGTGATCGTCAACACCATTTGGAACAAATGGTGAATCAATTACATCACCCGGGAAGTAGAGATACATCCCAATGCTAGCAGATATATACAGTTCGTTCGTTATAGCATTCTTGTAGGGCGCTAGGCGCGGATTCCAAATCATCCCGCCCCCACAGAGAGAAATATCCCATCCACCGGACGCAAGACCATGGAAGATTCGAGCTCGATGAGCTGCGGGCTTTCGGAACTGAGCCCCATGCCAACGGTGGTTTTTAGTCAGATCGGACCCTGAAGGCCCATCAAAATGTAGATCCGAGTGCAACACCTGCAGCTTCAGGTTCTCTAGCCAGCCCAACACAACCCACAGCATGTCGTCGTAGGCCTGGTTTCTCACCGAAATCGCATCCTCGCCGAAGTAGAAGGTTACAGTCTGGTCAAAGAAGTGATTGATCAGATTCTCAAATGTTAGAGGGCGATGCTTGATGGTTGAGCTATCATCCGAGAATATCTCAGACAACACGTCCTCTGTGGAGGACGTCAATGATGCGAGGGAGGCCGAGAGATGTGTGCCAATAACCGCAGCCGTCCAATCGATGCTAGTGGGCCAAGTGCCCTGCCATAGTTCAAAGTAGGCATCCTGCATTACATTCAAGGCATTCAGCAAATCCTGCTGTGTGCGGCCAACGGATTCATTCAACTCGGAGGGCAACTCGGAGGGAGACAGGGTTGAATGCCTTGATGATGCCGCAGGTGCATCAACCACAAGCGGTGCATCGGGCAGTGGCGCTAGAACATCCTGCGACCGAAGCGCCCGCGCCTGGGTATGAGACAGAAGGAGAAGTATATAAATGAATCTAAAGATGTATGAGAATGTTGCCATGGTTTCTGTAATCTATATATTTCCGTTCCTGAAACCCAATGTGCTAAAAAGAGTATTATAAGAACAGGTAATCAACGTAGGGATAGCCAATTGATAGGGGCCTCGAAGTTGAGGAACCCCCAACTCGTTAGAGATGCCTCTTCTAATTTGATATGTAGAACACCGGACGGGACGATAGCTTGTAAAAGAAGGGCAGAGAGCGTCCTGCGTCCAATTGAGTGAAAGGAGAATGAAATGTGAAAAAAAGGAATTTAGCTCATGGTTCTCCCTGCTGTACGACGATGTCGTGCCATTTAAATTGGTCAAGAAAGACAGAATGAACAAGTGCGGGGAGGGAAGTCATTAACTAATAAATCTGGGAAAGTGCGGGCGAGTTCTTATACCCCCTTCTTGGACCCTTGGGAATGCCACCTTCTCCAACTTACTATCATTTTGATGCGTTTCACTCTGGCTACAACAGAACTATGAAAAAAAAAAAAAAAAACCAGAATCCACTATAGTCCATTTTCAACCTTCTTGCGAAACGCTTGTCGTCTCTTGGTATTGCATCACGCGTGCGACTAGAGGTCGGTCATGAGTCCCTCAAAGAGTCTTCTGATGTCTCTTTCGTGGGATTCTTAATTTGATATGAGCATTATTCCACGTATCACATACCAGAATAGCAAAAATGGCGACGGGAAGCATTACACTCTAGCTCAACTCTACAGGGCCGCGGATCAGAAGACCTATTAACACTGCATGCGCTGTTTGCAACTACACCCCAGCAATACGCCGGAACGCTACCACGGAAGGATTGGAGCTGAGGGCAAGTAAGGTAACATGAAAGAGCCATATATCATTTGCATCGCATGTGTTTATCAGGTGAGATCATCTAGCAGCCAAATTCTGGTTATCCTAGTCCTGCAATTTCAAACAACTCATGTTTTTCTGTACCCCAAGTTAGCAAGCGATCACATATCATCTTGAAGCGCACAGTCGTACCAGATATCTATTAGATCATGACGCCAGCATGTATCTTCTTGGATAGCCATCCCGTCGGAAGATGACCATGTAACGGCCCCACAGGAGATAATGCCGGCCACGAACACATTAACCTTAAGAATAGATGCTCACCGCGACGGTGTGTAGAAAGAAGCTGGAACCATAACCAACATCTTCATGATTCTCAAACGTGGCATACCCTCATAGGAAAAACCAAGGTAGAATGAACTGGAGAGTAGTAGACGACAGGAAAGAAAAGTAGAATGAGGCTATCTCAAGCCACAGATATCGGAAAGGGTTGAAAGGGGAAAGAAAATCGACAAAGCATTTTTAAATAGCAACATTTATTCCCTATCATCCGCGCCGGGACTGCGGCTCCTCTCGCGACTCCGGCTGCGGGCTCGTCCACCACGGCCACCACCCCTTTGCCCACCGGCCTTGCCTTTGTTCGAGGGAGGCGGCCGGACGAATGCGTAATCGACTTGAATTGTTTGATCGAGCAGTTTGGTACCATTCAGGTTCTTGATGGCTTCAGAAGCTTCGGGGAGAGTGGAATATTCAATCAAGGCGTATCCCTGTTGCCATCCACGATCAATAATTTGTCATTCCAATCCCATAACGGCCGCGACGATAGACAGACGACGCAACTGAAGCAAAACAAAATCCATATCAACCCACCTTGACATAACCCGTCCGACGATCGAGGTTCAAGTTGAAGTTCTTGATTTCTCCATACTCGGCAAACAGATCGGTGACATCTTCCTCCGATGCTTCTTCATGAATGTTGGTGACAATGACGATCCATCCTTCGATACTGCGCACTGCAACAGCCCCGGCCTCTGTCCGTGGTTCGAAGCCGCCGCCGCCAGATTGCGCCGGGGTCTCTTCCTGCTCCTGCTCCTGCTCATGCTCATGCGAAACTGGTGGGTCAACTTCCATTTCTCCGGACATGGTGACGATAGAGATGCGAAAATTAATATGGGCTATAAATCGAGAAAGGTTGCCTCGGCGAAAAAAAAAAATCACAAAGGGAGTTCCGGCTCGAAGAGGTCGTCTAACACTGCTTTGGATCGCGAGAAGCTTTGGAGCAACTTGCAGGCGCCGGTTCGCAGTGTGCTTATGTAAGCGCATGTTATCAGCCCTGATCGATGGGAACTATGGCTACAATACTACGGCAACTTTATGGCAAGAGGCAATGGACTTTATGGTGCCTCTCAGATCCTGTTGGATTTATGGTATCTATGGGCTAAGGGTAGGTCTCAGGATGTAAGTGATAACAGTCTACAGCCGATGTGTCTCCAAATGAGTAGTCCATAAGCACATCCTCTTCAATGTCTAGTACTCTTAAATGAACTAAGGAAGAAGCATACATACAATGTCATTGTAATATTCTATCCTTTGAAATACCTGTACAGATGTGTAAGAAGCAATGAGGGAGTCAAGTGTCTATTGCGTAGACTATGAATGAAGGTCTAACATAGGGAACAGAACATAGGATGGAGAATATTGAAAACTGACCTCCTTGATCTGTGCACCTCAAGCTATACCGAGAAGCTTCTATATACTAATACATGCTCTATGCTTCCAAGTGATATCAACAAAATTGTCCTCAGTGGTCACATAGTCCAGAGATCTCTTAGATTTGTGTCTCTCATGAATCACCAGAGCAGTCCTTGGTCAGTGCCATAAAGACACTGGTGCAAAGCGGCAAATAGAGGATCATAGTGCACTGCTGCTAGGGTGCAGGTATTCACTGACATTTCCTTTTTGCCCTATGTTTACCTTTCAATGATTGAGCAAGTAGTGCATGAGTGAATAAGAACCCAGCTACCTTTTATTGATTCTGTGTTTCTACTCTACTATCTCATTACGCGATGCACCGCTCCCAAACAGTTAGCTTCATGATAATATCCTTACTTCCAGAAGGAAGGACATTCTCGTTGAGGTCCTCAGAACCCTAAAGCTAAGATGCGTTGGTAAGCTTTAAGCCCTTACCATGCAAGACATTCAGGCTCTGACAATGCTTTCTTCTGCAAATCTAGTGATGATCCAGAATGTGGTTGTCAGCCTTACCCCAGAAAGAACAGAAAGGTGGAGGTGGTCTTGTATGGTGACGGGCCTGAGCAATACCGTCCCCTCAACCAGCCAGGCACAAGTATCGATGTGATTTTCGACCCGATCGGGAAAGCGATGATCTTACGCGAGATAATCATTGATCCAACGAGGAAACACACATTCTGGAACTATAGTGTGCAACTTGACGCTGCAAACATGCACTTCGTGAACCTAGAAGGACTCGCCGATGGCTCTCTCATACTCTCCGTCCGGATACGAAGCTCAGCTTGCACTGTGAGAGGTAGCAAGATGTCGGTGAAGGAGAAGATCTCTGGATTCACGCCTCCCCGTGTCCAAAGTAAGTTGTATAACGACCTGTACTGTTGCGACTGGCCACGACAGCGTCTGCAACTATTTCTACCCGAAGAGCGGCTGGTGGAGTGGAAAACCGTGGCATTGATTGTCAAATCCTTTGGAAGAATCACCGCAGATCAGTGGTCTGACATGGTGTGGATGAAGGATAGACCATCTGTAGCGGGATTAAATTGGAGAGCCATTGAGGACATCAAGATCGACGAGAAGAAATTGACTCATTTAAAGGCTAAAGGGAAGCAGAACCACGCTGTCGCCAAGGAGAACAAAATTACTTTATTGCAACAGGACTCTGCATTTGCCTGATGCGTTAATTCGCGTGAGGAACATACAAAGGCACATACACTCACAAGAAGCTGCTGGTGTCCAGCTCGTTTACTGGCGGCGAAGAATATTGCCTCGAATATCATAGTTTCTCAAAAGAATTCAAGTCAGATCATCCAGGAGAAGAAGAGGCCAAGGTTAGAGCGAATGAAGGGGACTGCAGACAAGCATCCAGACAACTTTGCTATATCCAATATCTCGATAATCAATGAGGCCTTAAAGCGGAAGGATCAAACAAACCCTTTTGAAAGATATAAACTTACCTTCCCGACTCAAGTGAATAAGATCCATGAGAGCTGCCTTTACTCAGGCAATTGATGTTGGACTTTCTTTCTTCAGCTACCTCTACTGGACAATATAAACTATGCAGGTACCTAGAGATTTGATATAACAAATCAGCATCATGTTTGTATGTAGTAGGCTAATATGAAGGACTGATGAGATCGTTTATAGACTAACAGATTCATTTCATTTCATGTCTTTCACTACGTTTCGTATACTAGTAGTTGTCACATTCCCCCCCCCCCCCCAATACACTCTGTCAATCAGTTCGTAGGCGACATATCCTCTTCATCAGACCCTATCAGCCTTCTGTTCATTCTATTATTATTCATTTGCCTCAGACCCTGTGTGGTATCTACCTACTACAAATAATCAACTGTTTTCTTTCCCATCTCCCTTCAGTCCTTCAGTCATTGCAGCAAGATGTGGTTTATCCACAAACTGACACAAGGGCTTTGTGTCATTTTACTTCTTAGCCTGCTCCTATAGGTTGAATCAGCCGATACAAAAGCCTGGAAGTCACGATCTATCTACCAAACAATGACAGATTGCTTCGCGCGCACGGATGGCTCCACAACTCAAGCCTGCAATGCAACAGAATGTCTATACTGTGGCGGAACCGGGAGAGGAATGATCTACCACCTCGACTACGTCCAAGGCATGGGTTTTGATGCGGTGATGATATACCCAGTTGCCAAGAACGTTGAAGGGCGCGTCTCGTATGGAGAAGCCTACCATCGCTACTGGGTCAGGATATGTATATACTCAACCCGCACTTCGGAACCCATGAGGACCTACTAGATCTGAGCAAGGCTCTGCATAATCGTTGTATGCTTCTCATGATGGATACTGTCATTAACAATATGGCCTATATTGCCAATGGGAAGAATCGTGAGTATAATAATGGATTATACTACTCTCTATCCGTTCAATGACTCCAAGTATTTCCACCCCTAATGCAAGATCACAGACTACAATGATTACCCTCTTGCTCAAAAATGCTGAACCGGTGATAATATCGTTCCTCTCCCTGACCTGAAAACAGAGGATAAGGAAGTCTAGAAGATGCTGGAAAAGTGGATCCAAGAGACAACGTCAATCAACATACTCAATCGACGGCCTACGTCTCGACGCAGCAAAGCATATAATACCTGAATTCCTACCTCTTTTCCAAAAAGCAACAGGAGACGCCTTCATCACAGGCGAAGTATTCGACAAGTCAGTGCAGAGGACCTGCAGCTATCAAGCCCACCTCCCAAGCACGCCCAACTATCCCATCTACTTCTCCATGCTAGACGCCTTCACACGAGGTAATACAACCGTCCTACCAGGCCAAGTCGAAATCATGAAACACAACTGCCGCGACGTGACAATCTAGACGACATTCTCAGAGAATCATAACATCGCCCGGTTCGCCAGCTTCAAAGAGAATATGAACGTAAGCAAGTCCCTTCACCCTTCACCCTCACGACTCCCTCCCAATCTCCCATATACTGACCAAAGACTAATTCAGGTAGCCAAAAACGTCCTAATCTTCACAATCCTCTTCGACGACATCCCAATAATCTACCAAGGCCAAGAACTGCACTTCTCCGGCGCCCATGACCCCGATGACCGCGAAGCCCTCTGGCTCTCCAACTACGACACCAACGCACCGCTTTACAAACTAATATCCACCCTCAATACAACCCGAAAGCGCCTCCCGCGTCGATCTAGAGTACTTAAACACGCCCACCCACCCGATCTTCAAAGGACTCAGCGAGATGGCCCTCCGAAAGGGCTGAGAAGGCCGCCAGACAGTTATGGTTCTGTCGATGCAGGGGACTAACAGTGGCGCCTACACCATCCGAATGACGAACAGGTACCAGCCCTCATATATCGTCATTGATGACGATACTTACAAGATTAATGATATGGGGGAGCCGAGGGTGCTTTTCCCAGTGGATCTGAGATGCATGGCAGTGGGCTTTGTGAGCTTGATCGTGCTAATGTTTCATCGGAGGATTTTATGAGGAGGCCTTTGAATGATCCTGTGTCTGGTGGGGGTTTTTGCTGGGGTAGTAGGCGGGTGGGATGGTCTGCTTTACGTTCTTTGGGTTGCTTTGTCTGGTTATGTTTGTATTGGGATGGATTGATGGCACAGAGTGAAAAGTATTGATCTTGACGGTACGTACTTGTTTAAGAGCGTTGTTCTTTGTACATTGCTGCAGATCCGTATGGTTCTATGCCAGCGGGATAAATAGCTTACACATAAGGGGAACAAATCGATGGAAGATTGGAGATGAATGAAGTATGGCAAAGACGATGACTCAAAAGGAGAATTTTTTTTTTTTAATAAAAAGAGAAAATAGTTTAATGTTTTATAATGATATAAAGGTCTTATCTGTGAGCGGAGATATTCCTTCCATCTCTAGATGCTTGGCTGCAATCCAGATATCTCTGTTGGGCCATATGCCTTAGTTAAAGAATCAGTTCGCTGACCCGATAATTCAGCAAAACTGGGTTAAAAGCGCCACGCAAAGCAAGTCATATATGTAAAACAACCGATGGGCAGCAGTTAGCCCATACGAATATAGTACAAAAGGAGGTCAACAAATTGAGCAAAGAAGCAAGACCAGGTCGAATCCACTTTCCTCCAAGATTATCATCCAGCATAATGACTTCTCGTTGTTGAGAGAGATGAAACGTTTCATCTCATATTAATTGGGACCTGGACATGGACCAAGATTTGATCTAAATGTTCAGGTATGAGCTGGTCTGGTAGCTTATTTCCGGTTGTTACGCTGCATGGCCAAGATCTGGACCATACGAATGAAGATGTTGATGAAGTCCAACTCGAGGCTGATGCTCTCGTTGACAACATCCCTCCGGATAAGGCCACTCTCAGCCATACGAGAGTGGTGCAGGATCTTCTGTACGTCATAGAGAGTGAAACCACCGAAGACAGCGAGGCCGCCATACAGCCAGAGCCTCTCAGACCACATCAAAGTGCGGGTGGCAGTAGCGGGGAGGACGAGAGGAGCGAGACCAGAAAGAGCGACGATGGTTACACCGGCAAGCAGAGGAGCACCCAGGTAGAGGTATTTGTCCTGCTTAGCGGTAGCACCGACGAAAGCAATAGAGCCCATCATTCCGACAGTGTAAAGACCAGCGCGGGCAAGGAGAGCGGGGTGCATGAACATCAAGGGCGACAGAAGGGCAGCCTGGGTGACATTGAAAGCGGCCCAGAGACCATACTTGGCCAGGTAGCTGGGTGTAATGTTAGCCATGTTTTCTCCACACCAGAGACCAAATTACTAGGACCAAAATACTTACTTGTCAGGAGAAGTGTAGTAAGTACCATACATCGTTCCGATGCTTCCAACCAAGCCGAGACCAGTAACAAGCCAAGGGTTCATGGCCATCAAACGGTATGACCATCCGTTCATGTGCAAAGCTCTAGCAGCAATACCGATAATAGCGATACCAAGTCCAGTGTGCATAAAAGTGTCGTTCAGATAGCTGCGCTCGTAAGGAGCCATGCCACCGTCCTCTCTCGTTTCGCGGTTGAAGATCATGTTGGTTGCCAGAATTGTTCCACCAACGATGGCTGCGCCATACAGCAGCCGCTGGGTGAGATTACCCTGAGTGGGATTGTAAGTCTGTTGCATGTAGGTACGGCGGAAGGCATTTTGGAAGGTCTGTCTAGACTTCGCAAAGATGGAGGAAGTGGCGGGGCCGACCGGCTTGGATGGAGATAGCTTGAAGGTAGAGTTGGAAAAGAATCTAGTCGTGTTTACATTTTTGGGGACCTGACGGAGCGCCGTTGGTACGGCGAAAGGACGCCGTAGAAAGAACGCCATGATGGGGATGGGAGATGGATAATGATTGCGGGTTCGAAGATGAAGATGGCAGCGGCTCTTGGAACTATTTAAAAGCCGCGGGCCAGTGATATCAGCCACTCAGGCTTGGCTTGGCTTTGGAATGTTTGTCTGCTTACTGATTTTCTACGGCTGCCTGAACGTTCGAGAAGTGCAGTCACGTGGGGTAATTGATTAGTAACGGGGTTTTCGGCGATAACTAACTAAAAAGTCCGTAGTGGGGGAGGGGAAATCGATACGGACTACATATCACCGGGCCTTCTAATCGAACAAGGAAGAATTGAATTGCCTTGCCCTATTGGTGGTGTCCACGGACTTACACAGCTATACTGACATCGCACATATCCCTCAGTTCACCATGGCTTCCACGTTAGAGACCATTAGATTGCCCCATCTTCCTTCTCTGCCGGTGCATGTAGCTCTCTACCGTGACGTTCAGAATGCTCCTTTTCTCCGACAACAGCTCATCTCTGGGAACTCGGACTTTGAATATGCATTTATCGACGCAAGTATGGTATGCCATTGACATCTGGAAAGCTTGCTTTAGAGGTTCTTGCTCTAACCACAACATAGGTTCTCTCGAGAGCGCACGTCTTCTCTGCAATCTTCAGAGCAGTAAATGATTATCTCAGCGAGCGTCTTAAATCTCGTAACGTCCATTCGGAGATTGTTTTCTCTTTCAGTCCCACGAACAATGTAAGTTTACCTCGGGAGCTCATAGCGCAAGGGTTGCAGGAGCTGACAGCTTGTAGATCGCCGATACTTTCCGGAAGTTTGGCATCAGCGATTCTACAAAAGATCTACTAGTGGTAAAGCTGTCTACATCACCAGAAATCACCCATGATTCAGTAGCGGCACATCTGGCGCAGTCTGTTGAAGGCTCGCATATGTCCTTCAATGATGAGACTCTATCGGAGATTGCAGATGTTGCTAAGATCAAGAAGGCTTACAAGTTGGGCGCATTACCCTCTGCTCCTGTGGGCCAAGTGAACGGCGCCAGCAACGCTGAAGCGCTACGACTTGAAAATTCCGTGATCGGTGCCATTGCCTTACGTGGAGCGACTTGATTATTATCTGTTCTTGAAAATCGATCTTGGCCCTTTGACACCCTCTTAGCGGTCCTGGACCGAGCTACTTTCAGGTAAATAGGCCTCATTTCGCCCGATTGATTCAAGCGAGACTTTCTGGGCTCTGGCGCCGAGCAAAATGTGGCCAGGCTGAGGTTTGTGGATACAGGATCCACTAAAAGCACAATTTTCAGCGACCGCCCCTTTGCCACAGGTGCAGATGACCTCATGGCTCTGAGCCATATATGTTAGTTATGCTATCAATGACTCAGTGGTGTATATGCTTCGGAACGACCATCTCCGGCAACGCCGAGAGTTGATTCCTCATATTGTGATATTACTACTATATAACGGCCACTACTAAGAATAATTAAAGACTATATAAGACCTTTAAATTCTGCGAAAATAAAATAAAACGCTACCGGTAGATTAAATCCAAACCGTACAACCTTTTACCGTGAGGTTGACAGGATAGCACCGGTTGCCCTGCCCACTGATAAACTATTCCCAATGAAGTAATATCGCAACTTCTGCCAAGACGAACCCGCTCAATTGTTTCTCTCTTTCATAAACTACTCGAAAGCTCTACATCCAGCTCGACAGCAAATACCGACATGAATTTCTAACGTAAGAGGAACCGCCGGAACTTGCGCGGGCCTCACAGCGGTCGGTCATATGTGTCCATGTTAAGTTGTTCGATCTCACAACAAGTCACCGTGGCTCGCCACCATGAGCGCCGCAGCGGACGCTATCATCCTCTCTTCGTCCCCAGATCGCATTCCCCCTGGTTCGCCAGTGCCGCCTGCTCATGATCCCGAGAGGCTGTTTGATTTGTCCCCGCGAGATCTATCTCCGTCTCCTGTGCGATCGCCTTCGGAGTTATTCCAAGTTCCTACGCGTTCGAGATTTTTTGAGGTTGGAAACCGGTCCGATAAGTCCTTGCGGAATAGAGAAAACGAAGCACCCGAGGAAACGCCGATTAGAAAGACGACTACTGTATCGAAATCAGTAAAGGCTTCTACAGAGGACAAACCGAAGCGGGGCGGGAGGAAGCCCGCGACCGAGTCGCAGACGGTACCTGGTTTTTCGGAATCTGCTGGCCTAGTGCATGCGAACGCGTTGAAGAAAACTACCGGCTCAAAGAAGAAGCGCATGGATAATGAGGGTAAGCGTGGGAGGCCTGTGAGTAAGATCATAACAGGGAGGGTCGCAAAGACGGGAAATGCGCAGGCTTTGGAGCTTAAGGAGAAGGGTATGGACGTGGATATGTCAACGCCGAAGATTTCGTCGGAAAAGGAATTTACCAATGGACTGGTCGAGTGGGGTACTGAGGATCTACAATTGGAACCAGCTATGAAGCGGAGAATGGATTGGACGCCAATTAAGGATACTACAACGCAAAGAGTCGAATTGGGCGGGGAGTGGGTCTCACAAGATAGCTCCAAAAATTTTGGTAGCTTGCTGTCTGAATATGGGTTCAATGACGATCCTTCAGCTCGCGACGAGGTTAGAAGGTTTGGAGACGAGGGTCCAACAAAGCGCAGACGCATAGAGGTATGGCTTCCTTATCGTAGTGTTTGTCTGACCGATTCTAATCGTCGAACAGCTCGTGGATTCCAGGTTATTTACTTCATCGAAGCAGGCATCGATTGATATAGACGATAAAAGCCCTACTGAAGATGAACAGCAAATACAGCCGGGACCCAAGAAGAAACCGAAAAGACAGACCAATAAATTTACAACACTTACAGCCCGTGTGACAGCACGGTATCTCAATACTGAAGGCTCAGTTTCATCAAGCAAAGAAACCACGACTTCTGGGGAAAGTGCAGCGAGCGCAAAGTCAAAGGGCCCAAAAGGCAAAGGCAAAGGCACTTCAAAACATCAGGAGCCCGAGTTCATTGTTCTTTCGCCTGAAGCGGCCGTCAAGTCGTTAGAAGAGCAGGACCTTATCTTTGGAACATGCAGTCAATTGGAGCGGGAAGGCTCTCCAACCACACTCAGGGATCTACAAGCAGCTATTACAGAATCTGAAAAATACCTTGTAACAGAGCCCTCTCCTTTGGGCTCAAGCCTATGTGCAACGCCCACGTCACGCTTCGCCACTTCGAGAGGTCTGTGGTCAGTCGCAGCTAGGGATCTAGAAGGATCCTTAACTCGCCAGGTGGAAATTGTGGATTTGGTGGACACACCTGAGCCTGCTAAGACTATGGCGTTGCCTAGCGATCATTCTGTTGAAAAGGAGTTGGCGGATATAGCCATTACCACTAATAGTAGACCGACTAGCATACCTCGAGGCGAGCCCCCTGTTCTCAAAGTCAACCCGGTGGCGAGAAGAGAGCCATCCGTAGCGCCTGATACTACTACGAGGAAGACTACTAGTGAGCCTAAGAAGACCACCTCTCAAGTGCCCGAACCACAACCTGAAAAGCCCCATTATAGCGGCTTCACCGATGCCGAATTATCAAAACAAGTTGCAGCATACGGGTTCAAGGCGGTAAAGAACCGAAAGAAAATGATCGATCTTCTCCAAAAATGCTGGGAGTCTAAGCACGGTAGAAGCACGATAGCGGACACTCGGCAAACTGCCCCTGCAGAACCAACGGCCGAGCTCACCACTTCCGAGCCAAAGATATTTGAAAAACAAGCACGCAAAACTACTACTTCGCGGAAGACGACCGCAAAGCCAAAGACAAAGCGTGATTCGAAGGCACCTACAAAGTCAAGAACTAAGAAAACCCCATCAACAACATCAACCACCGCCAACAGCAAAGCACCAAGCGCTCGGGTGGAACCAAGTCAAGCCCTACCTACGCGGTCCTTCATTAATATAGAGGAAATAGAGGATTCGGAAGAAGAAACCCAGCCCTCTCCCAGCCGACTGCAGAACCGATATACACTCCAACCCTCGGAAACCAGAAACCCCTTAACCGTCTCAAAAACACCATCCAGCCCATCCCGCCGCTCAGCTCCCAAGCCCCGTATTAACCGGCCAGCATCTAAAGCTAGCCCCGAAAACGACCAAAAACAACCAGACTTAGCCGACCAAATCACTAAGGCCATGCGTGCACAGCCAGCAGGAACCCCCAGCCATCCCAGCTGGCACGAGAAGATCCTCATGTACGATCCCATCGTCCTGGAGGATTTCGCCACGTGGTTGAATACCGAGGGTCTAGGGCTCGTCGGCGAGGACCGGGAAGTCGGTGCCGGTTTCTTGAGGACTTGGTGTGAAAGTCATGGGATCTGTTGTTGCTATCGGTAGCACTTTCACAAGCGGCGCCGGCCATATACTATATATCTTATTACTGCCGCCTTATTTTGGCGTTCGCTCTTTTTGGGAGCATTTACATCACATTGGATACCATTCTCCCAGCATGCGGGAGCAAAGCAGTTTCGTTTTGTTGGTGGGGGGGGGGAGGGTGTTAGGATTGTCTGGAGTTGGGGGTTATATATCTTTGGAAATACCCTTTTTATGGAAAGTTATATATGTTTATGCTAAGGAAGTTTATCATAATAATTACACTTCTTCCCGTTGGTTCTTTCTTGTTTTCAGTAGATGAAACACAGCTGATGTTAGAGTCTTCTAGTATACACGTACTCATAAATCTATGGCTTTGAAGATGAATTATACAGTGAAAAGTATAGTAGAATAAGTATTGGAGATATGAGGTTAAGGAGAAGTGTAAACGAAGCCAAGGGAACTTGTGAGATAACCATTCGATGAAAGGCTCATGGAATGAAAAACCTTAGATCAGGGTTCACTACTCATCGTAGACATTATAAGGAACGCTAAATAGCTGCTGCCCACCAGGGTAAACGTAGCCTATCTGTGGGTCTCCACCGCTGTCTCCGGAATTAGGTTCAGTCTGGGGATCGCCTTGGATATTGTCATCCTCGGGAAGAGCGTAATAATCAGGCTGGTTGCTCTGGGGTCCTTGGTAGTACTGCGACGCAGCGCATTCCCTGCGACGGCTCTCGATCGCCGCGACTTGTTCTACATTCAAGGCAGGAGTATTGTATGGGTTGGACGGATTGGTGGGAAGTTCATGAGACATTGTCGTCATGTCCACCTGGCCGTCGTAAGGGTTACAAGCGACAGGTTTGAAGGAAGAGTATCCGGCTGCGTTGCAAGCATGAAATGAATCTTGGTGAGGACTGCCAGTATGCGAATAGTCAGACTGGGACGAGGTGTGTTGAAATCGTGCAGGTTGGGCTGCGTTATGTTGAGGATAGCTGGGGGCCGTTTGTGTTGGGCCAAGTTCTCGGTTCTCTTGGTTGGGACCATCGCTCCCATTAGATGGGATTCGCGCAACGTTGTTCCCTCCGTTATTACTGCGATATCCTGTGTTTCTAGAAATTCGATTAGGGACATGGGAGGAACGGGGTGGTGCACCGTTGGTACTCGGAGAGATAAGCCGGTTATACTGTTGTCTAAAGTTTTCTAGAAGATCTGTAAACTTGCGTTTAGGACAAAGGTCCTCTGGTGGAGGATGTGCATTCCTCGTCTCACAGACATACACAGCCCATGCTTGCCACTGAAAGAAAGAAACGAGAAAAAAAAGAGTTAGCATATCTAAGTATACAAGGAAGTGGTGCTCGTGGTTACCTTATTATAACCTTCTTGCAGCCTTCTATATCGTTCTTGTAGCAACGCTATCTCAGCATCTTTTTCTCCAAGGCTTTTCTCTAGCGTCTCAAACTTTCGTATCACTGCGGCTCGTTGCCCGCGGATATAACTGTACCCTGTAGACCAATTCGTTTCAGTGCATCTGGATCCTGAATTTATACAATTATCACATCGCGTGTCCCCCGCACTGTTACATTTTGACCTGGTGTGCTATTATTTGGAGGGTCAGCAATGATTTGTTGAGGGAATAAGATATGCCATGAATAACTTACTATGCAACGGTCACAAGCTGCTGTGGCTCTTGAGTAAGGCTTATTTGCCTGGTTATCCTTCGGCCTGTCTTTGTTTTTGTTGTACCAAATTATCTGTGCATTCACTTTCCTGCACCTCTGCCATTCATGGTAATATGGACGCAGGTCCACAAGCTTAGAATCTTCGGTCCCACATTTGCCAGTCTTATCTTTCTTGGGTTTTGACATTGTGTACTTTGCTGGCTTTAGATTGGCGGGGTCTTCTCCTTCTAAGTCATAAACTTCTGGCTCGTAGGGATTACGGAAGTCATCAACCAAAGTCTCATCACTTTCAGCGGATTTTTTCTGCCTGTCCAATCTGGCCACTCTGCTCTCCTTTGTCCCTTCTACTTTTTTCTTTCGGGATTTCTTCATTGGCGACGGCTGCGCAGTTTGCTGAGCTGTAGCATCTCTCGTCTCTCCTGCGGCTTCAACCGCAGCCCTTGAGGATTCAGCAGTAACCTCGGCAGAAGGGAACACAGCATCCTGGGCTTGCCCTGGAGTCGCCTGCTCAATGAATTCAGCAAACGACAAGTCCTGAAGAAGCGACGGATCATCGATGGTAAATGTATCATCGCATCTCAGCAATTCATTGTCGTGGTAGGAGTCGAAGCCAGCCTGCTCGGCATTCCGCTTGTTGGACATATCAGCCAGCGATCAATCTCAGTTCGACGAGGTGAGGAGGTAATAGCTCTGCGGGCTATCGGCAATTATATGTGTACAAAATCCGGATCTGTTGGAAGATACAGTGTAGCTTAGGTACAGATGGCAGGGAGTATTATAGATATGGGAGGTACATGGTGCTGACAGGATATCACCGTATATTTATGTTGATTTCTGGGTCTTTCGGCCCTTCGTTTTATTCGGTGAAGAGTCCATTATCGGGATGTCCCATCGACAAAGATGGCCAATAGACAATGCTGGGTACAATGGTATACAGGGCTTTCACGGGATTGCAAGATATGAATATAATTGTTCGGTATGGGCCATTTGTGTAGAGCGTGGAACGCCCGCGCGGGAGTATGTGTTAAAGGCATTGCCGGATGATCTGAAACAGTACTTTCCTGTATTTCGCCAAGGAGTGGTTAGTTAGGCCTTCCGGAGAGTCAAAGGGACGGGTTCCTTTGACTCACTGCATTCACTATTGTATTGTATGGTTCTTTGTTCGTGCACAAAGCGATCGTCCGTAGAGACAAGGGGAAACTGGTTGACAAAGTCCAGTACAATCACTGTAGAACTATAGGATTTTTCAAGCCCTTAAGAAGTCTCCGGATTCGAAGGGCATCTTGATGTGGTGGATAAGCGGCGGTTCTATTCGAATACGTATGTATCTCCAATGTTTCCAAGAGACAAGAGAAGCAAAGGAGAGGACAAAGCGGGAAAAATGGAAAAGGAGATTCTAAGGTACATACAAGGGCGTTTCAAAAGAAAAGAGAAGGAAAGAAAACCAAAAGAAAAGGTCAGCTCCAACATGCAATGTGATACCAAGCCGATCCTGGAACAATTTATGCTGCCAAATGCTCTTCCTTCAGGGTAAAACTCCACCCATGCCCCGTATAACGTCGACAGAAATCGTTAAAAGCATCCCGATCGAGAACAATGACATAAGGATAGAGGAAACGAAGCCGGGCAAGCGCGTCCCCGTGCAGCGCAATTCAAGAGACCCATAACGGTCATCAGTCGTGATAATTTGGCAAACTGAAGGCCTTCAAGAAAAAATACATAACTCCTGGGGACAGAACACCGAGGTAGATCAAGCGAATGTATGAAAGAAGGATACAATAAAAAGGAAAGAGAAAGTATTAGACAATACGGTTTCAGATATGTTAGATAATATGACGCCAAAAAGTGGCAAAGTGATCCAAATGGACAAGAGTATATTGAGTAGTGACAAGAGATTTGGAATCAGGACCGATGGGCTAGGATTGGGTGATAGTCATCGAAATACTCTGCCGTTCTGGGCAACTGTCTCAAAACTGATTTGGTTCTGATATTTGGAAGGTCCGTCATCATCGAGCCAGGGAGTGAGATTCTTGCACTGGCTGACATCGAAGGACTGCAGTTGATTACAGCCATCAGCGACTGCCTCGACTCCCGCGCCAGTGACTCGAACACAGCCACGAACAGATAGTCGCTTCAGGTGCAGAAGATGAAGGCCAATGCTGCGCAGGGACGGGTCAGAGATGGCGGAGCCACAGAAAGACATATTCAGATAAGTTAATTGGGAACATTGAAGAGCAAGGACCTCCGTTGCTGTATCTGAGAGTGCGCAACAGAACGACTGTTCAACGGTTAGCAAATATTCCACCTGCAATTTCCTCGAAGGACAGAGCCCGGCGTCTTACCAAATCCAATTCTTGAAGCTGTTTGGCAGCATTGGTCAAATAGACAATAGCTTGATCGCTCAAATACGTACAGTCGGCTAAACAAAGCTTCCGCAGATTGGTGAACCGCGCGTTGCCCCAGTATTGAAACCCCTGGTCTGTAATGGAGGTGCAGCGTGTCAGGTCCATTTCTTCGATCCTGTGGGCAGCATGGGACGCAATATGGTGCATTGACCGGTCAGTGACATGTTTGCAGTACGACAGTGTCAGTTTCCTCAGCTCGGGGCAGCCGAACACAGTGCCAGCTGCCGTTTGCATGGTGGGCTTTAGGATCCCTTTACCCGTCTTCACAGGCTCGTCTTTATGTTGCCCTGGCATGACCCATCCAATAATGCGAGCCAAGAGAGTGTCTCCCACTTTACGACAGTTGCTTAAATCCACTTCTTGCAATCCGGTTGCCGTGCTTGCCATGTCAAGGATGGCAGAGGCTGTAACATCCCAAACACTTTTCATCTTCCACGAGACGACGTTAGAGCCACAGGTGGTAGCCAGTTTATTGAACCCCTCATCGGTGATGTGAAAGCAATTGCTGATATCAATATGCCGGGCTCTCGTCCCAACAAAAGGGCATATGATTTTCACCAGTACGTCATCAGTTATCTGTCGATTATACATGCTTAGATCCAGGTCATGCAGCAAATCCGTGGATTTATTGATAATCTCAGACCAATGAAGGGAGACCGCTCGTATTTGAAAAAGATGATGGAGATCTAGATAGTTGAAGATCCTCACCAAAACATTATCAGGGAGCACACCACGATTGACTTTATGCGACTCGCGTTGTGTTTTGAGGGAGGTCGACACAGCGGCCTCAGGCAATGTAAGAAATGACGAGCTTGTCGACCGAGGTTCAGATGGTGGTGACGGTCGTTGCTGTTCCCCGGAGACCTCCTCTGGTGTCAACGGGGCGACGGATCCGCGTCTACTTCTCAGTCGGACCTTGTCTAAGCCAACATTGAGAAAAGGATCTGGATCCGAGGGCCGCAACACGGTTTGGTCGTCCGTGTGCGGACCGTCCAGTTCTGTTTCCGTGAGTGTGAGGAGAGGCATGGACCGGCGTCGCGAGGCGCTTGCTCGAAAGTTGCTCTCTCCACCAAATTGCCCAATACCATCAGCCTCGGACATCACAACATCGCCATCCGCTGCTGATTCCAGCCGCTCTTTGGCCGTTTTCTCCACCTGTTGCCGGACATCATGGGGGCACTTGTCCCAAAATTCGGAAAGGACATCGCCGCTAATCATCAGACACTCAACGGCATTGATAGATCGTACCGTTGCAGTCCTGCGTGGTGCTAAAGAAAGACTTACGACCTCACCAAAGTACTGCCCCTCTTTTAGTCGTGCTTTCACTTCAAAGCCAGGGTGCTCGATAGTGTTCGGTACGGAGTGCGACAGATTGTCGGGACGTGTGCGTTCCGTCAATACTTCAACCTCACCGCGAACGATAAAATAAATTTCCCGCCCTTGCGAGTCTTGTTTGATAATATCGGTGAAAGGAGGATATGACCGGGGTTGGGCATTGAGGCCTAAGAAATGGAGAATTTCACCAGGAAGGCCTGAGAATAGAGGTAATTCTTTGAGTAACAGACGCACATTGACAAGGCCGTTTGCGAGTGCACTTGAAGATACCCCATCAGCTAAACCGGGGCTGGGAGATTTGCGTTTCTTGTTGACCGACTTTAGGTTCAACGCTGTACCATCTTGCTCAGCAAGAGACATATCCTTAGAGAAGGTTTCTCTCAGTCGTTTGTTCCCTCTACGGGATACCAGTTCGTCAATTGGAGGTGCCGACGTCTCTTTCTTCTTTTTCTCCAAAAGCATCAGTCGTTCTTGGGCTTCATCTCGGATGGCCTGCTCCACCTCTGGGAAGCGCGGAAGGATATTCCGAAAGTCTTCCTTGGTTAATACGACCAGCAGGCATCTGGTACGGGCCACGATGGTGGCGGTCCGCGTACGATCCATCAGCACGCCGATTTCGCCGAAGAAAGCGCCAGGCTCGAGATCTGCATATATACTCTCGCCATCGCGGGAGGTAACGGAGACGGCGCCCCGGACCAGCCAGTATATCGCCTTGGCTTCGTCCCCTTCCGTCAAAATATAGTCATTGGCCTGATGGAGTTGGGGGCGCAAATGCTGTCCCACTGCGATCAAGAAGGATTCCGGAGTAGCTTGGAATAGAGGGAAAGAGCGCAGCCGGTCGACCAGATCCAGCGGGAGAGCTTGAATATGAGAAAACGCCAAGGGGGATGGGCGGACGGGGCGATTGGGGTTCATGACCGAGTCGAATGAATGGATCAATGAGACGGTGTCTGATACCGGCGTGAGAGCCTTGGTCGAGCCTCCGCCGGACCTGCCATGGCGCCGCATGTTGGGCTAATTGCGTCCCTCGTAGAAACTTTCAAAACAAATGGAGGAATGGAGAGATGGAAGGGACCGGGATATTTCCAGAGGTAGCATATAGCTTCTTTTTTCCCCTTCCCTTTTTCTTTTTTCCTTTTTCCGGGAAAAGCAATCCACGGACCGATGACGTCGACGAGAATTGGAGGAGATCACGGGAGGAGCTTCAAAAAGGCATCTTTAGTCGGGGGCGGGGAGGAAAAAGAATGGAACGGTTCTCCTAGCCGGAGGGTTAATCGAGAAGTAAATGAATTATCCGCGACCCCGGGAAGTTCGAGAGAATAACAGGACAGAAGCCGACAGTCCACAGAAATTCTGGAAGAGGTAGCTAAAAGCGGACATAGTGGTTAGAGAGAGCTTTCCGCCGAATCGAATACTAATTAATGAAAGCGGGGAATGGGATCACCGAATAAATGCTGCGGTTGAAGCTCCACAGGTGTTGACTTAAGAAGTTTCCGCCTGCCAAAAGAGAAAATTACTAAACCAACTCGAGCCAAGGGTGTCCACCTTATCATTGAGAGCTGCCCTCCGCTCTTTTTCTGTGTGCTTGCGCCGCTGCCGTCAGCGGTGGCGCGCCAAATTAAATCTGTATTCAGGAAATATAATTACCCTCCCTGATATGGCGGATTTCTGATACTCTAGAATCTGTCTGTCAAACACATAAAGTCAGTCAGAGTTGAGAGGAGAAAAGACGGAGGGTGATAGGAAAAACAGAGAGAAGCACATACACTTACGCGATAAAAGTGTTAGTGGGGGTGCCTTCACCACTGAAACACCGGAATTTGTGACAAACCCTCAACAGTTGAAGGATAAGGGGAATAAAAACTATAATAGGGTTAATAATAAAATTTATAATAGTCTTTCTCCCTGGTGTATGCCCCTCGCAATGACAATCACTCAAATTAATCAAAGTAGACAGATGTACCCAACACAACAACAACAAGAAAGTGGGTGAAGTGACAGTGGGTGAGGATCACTGAACTTTGGGTAGGTATTAATTATTGGACTTCAGCCGTAGGGAACAGGGAACTACTGGTACTAGGTAGTATGTCCCGTCCTGTACCTACTGGGTATGTATGTAGGTATTAGCCCAGTGAGAATTAAGGTGTGCTTGGGGATCGTCAAGGCACAGAACACCCCTTGGCCATTGGGTCATCTTGCTGGCACTGACTTTCTTTTGATTAAATCGATCAAGAGCTTGCTTTTCCTCTTGCGTTTAAGGCATGCATTATAAACTACCCTTGCGAGGATTAGAGAAAGCCCTGTGGAATTCCTACCAGCTTCTTGGAAGCTCCTTGGGAACACGTAGCTCTTAGATTAGACAGCGATGGATTTATGCATATCTCTACGTGCACTGTTATTTACCCCTATAATTCTTCTTTAAACTAAAAAATAGATATATACATATATATGTATATCTACGTACCGAACAAAAGTATACAGCATGAGAGAAGAGACTTATTCTTGCTGGAAATTTTTTTAGAAAAAGTTCATCTTCCATCAGTCCTTCTAACCACCGTGGATAAATATGATTAATTAATACTCCAACTATTTTGACAGCGGGGCTGCGCAGGGGCCACATTTTCACCTGACATCCGGATTCCAGACATCTACTACCGACACCTGAGGCATCAAAAGACACTGAGTACAAGCCCTTTTTGAATTAGTACACTGTTTCTCCCCATAGCCTCAACCGGTTTAAATAAGCTAAGTCTGTTAGAAATTGTTGTTGTTGAGGTTTAAGACCCGCTTCCCTGTATTCATTAAATTGCTGTTACCACAGCTAAGATATGAAATTCAGCCCCGTCGCTAAGTCACTATGTCAGGTCCAAGATGTGATGGAAAACGTGCCTCGCGCAGAACGGAAGTAACCAGATCGGCTTCGGCTAGAGCCGGGCACGTTACACTTTGTCTAAGAGGAGTGGAGAGTGTTCTGTGGAACCGGTGGGAGGAGGCGAAGCATGACCTAAATGAGCTGGCCGATTTGGGGAGATGCCCATGACAGGATTCCCGGCGGCTTTGGATCCGGTGGGAGACGGGGTGCATCGGCCTGTATGAGACTTTTTGAACTCTGAGCCAGTCAAAATGTTGGCGCAAGAATCACGACTCTTCGGCTATTTAAACCTTTATTCCGCTTTCGACCGGCGATTGCCAAGAAGGAAATTAACGTAAGCAGGTCGATTACCCTTCAAAGATTCAAGAGCGTCCTGCATAAGTCCATACACCAGACTCAGCTTCAGACCAAGTTTCGTTGTACGAGCGGCAGTATAGACATCGTGACGGGCTAAAAATCCAACCCTTCGTTAGTGCCTTCCTAACTTTCGCGCAGTTGACAAAAACGAACCTAGTAAGCTGTAGATGCCAGAGAATGATAGCCCAGCTGTCACGGTAGACAGAAAATCTCTCCGGTCATGCCGGGCGTAATCCACTGTTTCTTCGAATAGGCAGAATGCAAGTGCACCAAACCCTAATTTACAACCCATCTTCATTCCCTCCTTGACACCCCCAACGATCGCAGTGTAATTCTTCGTCTTGTGGTATTGGAACCATCCGGTAGATGTTGTGGGAAAGCGATGCGCGTTTTCGGCGCGGAATCGATATGCTGCTCTTTTGCTTCCATAGGAAGACCCGATGGCCATACCAACCGAGAAGGCCGATATGGCAGTATAAGGCAGTCGTTCCCCAATTTCGATTCCGAGTCTGGGGGGCGCATCCGATTCGAATAATTTATCCCATTGGAGAATCCCCATCAATGTTGTCGCTTCTCGAGGGTGCGTGTCTGATGGCCGGTGGGAATCCATAGCGACAAGTGGGGTTGATAGGATCTAGTATCGTAGTTGCAGATTGGTGAAAATAGGAGATACAAAGCAAGCAGTGCGTTATTCAGTTTTCAATGGAATTAGGTTCTTTGCGACAATCTTCCGTCCAGCTTCAGCTATCTATCTATCGACTTTCCTTTTCTGTTTTCGGTCCGACATACCACCGCGCTCGCCTTTACTACAGTAGGCTTAGGCAATTTTAGGTCAACAACCAGAGTTTACTTAATATTACGTTTCCTACACAATCTACTCCGTCCTTGTTTCTTGATTCTTTGTTCACAACCTAAGTCTTATATAGCTGCTGTCTTATCTCTTTTGTATGTTTTCAGGCTTCTTATCACTTGAGTTGAAGGAGAATACATCTTAGTTTAGAATGATCTTCCCAGGCAAAACCATTGAATGAATACTACGAACCAGCCCTACCGCATTGTAAGAGAGAGGAGCTGAATTTTGAATCTGCAGCTCACTGCCAAGGCCATCGACAAAGGCTTGCTAACGAGCCTATCTTCCTTCAGCCTTACATATACATTATGACCATGAAGTCTTACTGAACTTGATGTAGGATACTTGTTGTGTGACATTGCATAGTTGTTGCATGTAGTTCCGTATAGCTTGTAATGATCGGTGGATATATGCAATAAGTCCAACTGCTCCATGGTGCCAGTAGGCCATAGATCATGGCTTAAGATCAAGATCAATGTGTTAAAAGATTCCTATTCCACACATAACTATCAATCACGTGATGTAATATAAAGGCTGTACCCGTATCGGGAAACCAAAGAGACATCGATTATTAGAAATCCCTACTATGCAGTTTTATCCTTTGTGCTGTACATCAAACGTGAAAATCTGCTGCCCTTTAAATATAATAAATTAAGGCAACGCCCCATCGTTTCAAAGAGCTTCCGGGGACTTACCAGAATCTGTCAGCTAATTACCAGAGCAAAATTATATCATGGTAAGCTGGATCCTATGGCTTGCCTCATTATAGGCTACAAAGGAATATGGTTTTATTGACACCGGATGTCCCACTAGTCGCAGCCTGATCCTTTGAGTTGGACGCTACTGTTCAAAAAGCACAAAACCACCGTGTTGCTGATGCTCCCACCTTCCGAAACGATCACAACCGCCCAATCTACACTTCTTCGAGCCCTTCGATCACGCGGTCTAGAGGAAATCAATGGCGATCCAGTACCGGAGGATCCCTCAGATATTGAGTTTGGTATTGCAGTCGACAAGAATGATCTAGGGAAGGGTTGGACTAAGCTTGAGCTTCAAGCCCCGCAGTTCGATGAAGATGAAGCACCAAGAAGAGGAGCAGGGAAGAAATCCGCAGCCCCTCTTACCTTGGAAGCGGCCGAGCTTAGAGACGTACAGCCAATTGCTTTCAGGTTTCGAAAGCACAGTGAGGAGACAAAATTGACAGATGAACTCCTTGATCTTGAACAAGAGGACCCTGGCTGGGATGTTATTGTCCCTAGTCTCGATGAGGAAGAAGAAGAAGAAGAAGAAGAAGAAAACTAAGGATGACCATGCGCTTTTCTATTTGGTTACTGTATGTTTCCATTTGACTTGTTACCTTCTATGGGTTTGGCGCAGGGCTGCGCAGGAGGTGTTATGAGATGGCGTTCACGATGTTCCACACGGCGGTTAGAAGATGTTCGATGATGACATGACATGTACTTTGGCGTTCACGTTTACCTGTATTACAGGCTACAGCAGTGTAAGGAAGTCTTCATTACCGGCTTGTTGCAGCCCCTCGTTTGTAGCGGTCTGCATCTTTTTCCTAGTGCGTAGCCCTGCATAGACGATACCACCCTTGAAGCTGTCCATATCCACTTTCTCGTTCTTCCCTGCCGATCAAGCAACAACAGGCTTTCCAATCAAGTCTGCGTGCTGTAGTATACTTTGTGATTGCTAGCAGGTGAACCTCAAGGTATCTAAGAAGTCCGTTTTAACTGAAGACAATTGACTCAAGTGAGCTTCAATAAGGAGACAACAAAGACCGGAATAAGCAGTAGGCACTAAAAATAGCTTAAAGGGCAAATGTCATCCGATACGACGAATACTCTAACGAAGTGCTACTTTTATAAAGTTTTCTTAATTAAAAACGAAGCTGTACCATGAAATTGATAGTAGAAGGGGGCCCAAGCATTGCAAAGGACAGCTCCAAGTAAGATCGGACCAATCAGGATTGAAATTGTGCGTTGTGATATGAAGGCTGAACGGTGGCATTTGTGTCTCCGCATTCATGTGCCAGAACTTTCCGTGAGACGTGGTAAGACCAAGAAACACAAGCATATTATGGCCACGCACTAGTGGTTGTCCGGGGCAACCACAAGTTGACAACACGCCCCGTGTCAACAGTCACTTAAGTTGTTTGAAGCTCACACTAGTACCTCAGTGTTACTCAACAGGGGAAATTCTGGGGCTTGTCGGGAAATAGGTCCCCAGCCAACATTCTTCGTCGATGGGCTCTTTCTCCAATTCTTATCTTTTCATTGCTTCAACGTTGTTTCGACTTGCCGCCGGTGCAGGGCATCGCTAGATATTTCGACATCTGCCCTCCCCGCGTCGATACTCTCCTCCCGAGATTCTGTTTACGCCTGGAGGGAGGTTACCCCTCGTTTATGCCCCATAACCAATATGACAACTCCAAGTGACGCTTCATCTATCACCGTTGCGGTGAGAGTGCGGCCTTTTACAATCAGAGAGGCAGCACAGATCTCTAAGTGCGAAGATGGCCCTCTCTTCCTGGGAGACGGCTCTTTGGCAGGAGCACCAACACCTAAACTCAATCAAAAGGGGATTCGATCAATTATCAAGGTTATCGATGATAGGTGCCTGTGAGTACAGTACAAGTCGATCTTCATTTGCTCTAGCAGCAACCATTGACCAAGTTCTCAAAAGAGTATTCGACCCCCCTGAAGACAGCCCCGTACAGAAGTTCTCGAAAAGTGTCGTTCCCAACGGTAAACGCGTCAAAGACCAGACATTCGCCTTCGACCGTATCTTTGACCAGAATGCCTCTCAAGGAGAGGTGTATGAAGCGACAACACGGACACTTCTCGACAGCGTCCTTGATGGTTACAATGCCACAGTCTTTGCCTACGGCGCGACCGGATGTGGAAAGACTCACACAATTACCGGAACAGCTCAACAGCCTGGTATTATTTTCATGACTATGCAAGAGCTGTTCGAGCGCATCGAAGAAAGATCAGGGGAGAAGGCGACGGAGATTTCGCTTTCGTACCTGGAGATCTACAACGAAACCATCCGTGACCTCCTTGTATCTGGAGGTAGCAAGGGTGGCTTAATGCTCCGGGAGGACTCGAATAAATCTGTTTCGGTATCCGGGCTGTCAAGCCATCATCCACAGAGCGTGCAACAAGTGATGGATATGATTATGAAGGGTAATGAATGTCGCACCATGTCCCCGACAGAGGCCAACGCGACCTCCTCTCGGTCCCACGCAGTTCTTCAAATCAATGTGGCCCAGAAAGATCGCAACGCTGATGTCAATGAGCCTCATACAATGGCGACACTGAGCATCATCGACCTTGCCGGCAGTGAACGTGCCAGTGCCACCAAGAATAGGGGAGAAAGACTGTTTGAAGGTGCAAATATTAACAAATCCCTTCTCGCATTGGGTAGCTGCATTAACGCCCTCTGTGACCCTCGGAAGCGCAACCATGTCCCCTACAGAAATTCGAAGCTCACCCGTCTCCTGAAGTTCTCCTTGGGTGGAAATTGCAAAACAGTGATGATTGTCTGTGTGAGCCCGTCGAGCCAGCATTTTGACGAGACCCAAAACACGTTGCGTTATGCCAACCGAGCAAAGAATATTCAGACAAAAGTTACGAGGAATGTATTCAATGTCAACCGTCACGTTAAGGATTTCCTGGTGAAGATCGACGAGCAAATGAATCTCATCAACGAGCTCAAAGCTCAGCAGAAAGACTATGAAAAAGTTTGCTTCGCAAAGTTCAAAAAGCAAGCTGAAAAGAAGGACGCAGTGGTTCGCGAAGGAGTCGCTCGTATTCGTAATGCTTATGAGCACTCCTTGCCTGACAGACAGGAAAGGACTACCAATATGATCAAAGCAAGGCAGATTGGCCGCAGGATCGGCTTGCTGTCTTCGTGGATCGCTGCTTTCGACAGCGTGTGTGCTAATTCCGAGAATGAGGTGCCCTTAGCGAACCTCCAAGCCATCCGCAAAACGGCACAGGGTATCTTGATAGAGTTGGAGAGTAGTAAGCAGCACTACCACCAACGACTATCTAAGAGCACTTGGGACAGAGGATTGAATTCAGCCGTTGAGAATGCCATTCGACAACTCCAAGACTCTGGGATCAGCGATAAAAGTGATCTTGCCAACCTTTATCGCGAAGCAGAGCTCCTGAAATCAAATACAGAGCGCAATGCTCTTTCGGCGGTAGCCGAACAAGAGAAGGCAGGTGATGTGGCAACTGTACAGCTGCTTCTTCAAGCTCAATTCGAGACCATCTCCTCAATTGAGGATATCCTGCAAATGAGTGAGGAGGAAGCTGTTGAGGCGGGAAGGAAGATCCTTTCTAAAATGCTCGACTCCTGCTCCACCATAACCTCTGATCTTGTGAAACCAGATGGAAACCTACCACCACTTCAGCCGTTCAGTCCTTCCAAAGTTGCATCATCACCTAAGCCGAAGAAGAGAGTGAGCCTTGCGGCACTCCCTGCTGGCAGGTCCCTCGCTGCACCAATTAGCCTAGCACCCACTGCTCCGGCCTCACCCACCAAGGGATCACCTCGACGCCGTCGGCTGGGTGCTGGTAGGAAGAGTGTTACATTCTCGCCCAAGAAGTCTCAGACCAAGCCGACAAAGCGAAACGTACGTTGGAAGGATGACGAGCAAGATGGTTCTTTGGCTGAGTTTCAGAAGACACCGCAAAAGCCGCGGGCTCAACTTTTCCCCGAAGCCAGCCCCAATGAGCCCCAGTTGCCCAGAACGTCACCTGTCCCGCGTGGTATTCCGGTTCCTAGTCGGAATATCAGTCCTTCGAATGGCTCTTCGCCACTTCCTGCCCCGCCAGAGCCAACCTTGACTATTCCCAAGAACAACCGATTTAAAGCCGGATTCCTGTCCAAGAAACTCAGCAGCTCGCCTATCGCTCCACCTCCCTCGACGTCACTTCCTGTGTCAGATGGTGAACATTCTCCCCTTCGAAACATCGAGAATAGCAGCTTTCTGAATCGCGCATCCATTGACCGTCCCTCTAGGATCGCGGTTCGTACTTCGAGTGGAGGCTACTCCAGCAGTCCCATCTCGGACAACAAGGAAAGCTGGAAGGCAAACAAAGATGACGCCATCCGGATCAGCTCGGCGATGAGGCGCATCTCCGGTGGACATTTCGGTGCGGGGTCATCTGCTAATTCGCTTCGCGTTCATCGCCGGCGCAGTCCTGGATCTGCAAGCTATGGCAGCTCTCCATCGGAAAATACCATGTTTACCGCACAGGCAAGGCGCATGGTCAAGGGAGAAAAAGAACTTGATGTCAAACCAGGAGTTTTGGGGCCTCGAACTCTTCCCATTATGAAGAATACCGGACGACGGACTACATTTGGAGGGGATATGCGGCCCCGGGACATCAGTCTCACCAGTAGGGATGCCATTCGACTAAGTGCAATGGCAGCCCCCAATATCTAAAGGCCCCCGGAGAGCCTCTCTTCCCACTCTGGAGTAGGATGGGGGTGAATGTGCATTGTTATTAGTTCAGGGACCTTGCATTTGCATCTTGGGGGTTTTGTTTTGTTACAGTATTTGGGGAACGGTGTTTCAGAGAACAGATACCATTTGCTTTTTTCTTACCTTAAATTTCCGATGGCCAACCATGAGGTCCGGTAATCGAGTAGCCAACTTTATCTCCCTCTCTCGTCTTTTGGCTGCGATTCGGTGTGATTTATTTGGAGACATGGTGGAGTTTGAATTTCTCATTCGATGTCAATGTTTTTTCTTCTTTTTCTGTTTCTTTTCTTTTTTCTTTTTTCTTTTTTTCTCTCTTCTTTTTGTATGGCATATAATCTTTCCGGGACGTGTACAATATGAAGATGAGAGGCTAAGTAGTAGTAGCAGGTATGGAGAAAGGTGGTTTCTATACAATACCAAGCTTTGTTCCAGGGTTCGAGTTCAATGCCTGCCAATCAATTGTAATGGGAGATTAATTCACATCATTATGTCATGGCGCGAAATGACGCCACTGCAGAAATCTCCTATTGATTAAATTGATTATCTGACAAATGCATCGCCATGCATACCATGACCATCCATTCATTCAATTCTACCATCTTCTTCTACTTACTCTGGTGCAGCTTGAGGATTGAAAGGGGGTGGGAAACACATCAACGCAACAATTCCATTGCAAAATTAGTCTCACTGTATCTATCGTATAAATTTGCCCCGATACCCCTCCGCGGAAAGTACAGGGCAGATTTGTTTCGAAAATAGCTACTAATTCGAATCCCTCCGTAGAAGGTCCCGTTGAATGGCTTTCGCCGCGCCCGCCATTGGTTCGACCTTACTTTCACGAATTTTTCGTCCGTTCTCCACCAGTTCTCCGTTTCTCTCTTTGACACCTGAATCCGCATCTCGCACCATGTCGGACAACACACAGAAGGCAACTCTGGCCGCCGGCTGCTTCTGGGGCGTGGAACACCTGTTCCGCAAGAACTTCGGTAATGGGAAGGGTCTCTTGGATGCGAAGGTTGGGTATAGTGGTGGATCGACGGCGTCGCCTTCGTATCGAGCTGTGTGCACCGGAGATACCGGCCGTAAGTATTACTTGGAATGATTGATTGATTTATTTATCTTTATATATATATTTTCGCGAATTTACCTGTTTCTTGTATCCCTACAAAATATGTGCTATAAAGCTAATAGAAGATGGTGATCTAGATGCCGAAGCGGTGCAGGTGACATTCGATCCCTCCATCGTGAGCTATCGTTCTCTTCTGGAATTCTTCTACCGCATGCACGACCCCACCACCTTGAACCGCCAGGGACCAGATGTCGGTACACAGTACCGTAGCGTCATCTTCACCCACGGAGACGAACAAGAGCAGATCGCCAAAGATGTATCCGAGAAGGTGAGCAAAGAGTGGTACAAACAGCCTCTTTCCACGGTCATTGTGCCTGCGGGTCAATGGTGGGATGCGGAGGAGTACCACCAGCTCTATCTGTCCAAGAACCCGGCGGGTTATGAATGTCCTGCTCAGTAAGTTTTACCCCTCTTGCATGGTGGGAAGATATCATTCACTAATATTTCGCGTAGCTTCGTGAGAACCTTCCCGCCTCTTTCTGCCTGACTGAAGGTTAGAATATGATGGATAGTAGATGAAAAACTTATCTTCCTTTTTTCTTCGGTCTTTATGTGATTTGTCTGGCCTGGTTCTGTCTTCATGACGATTTGCAGGATGAATGCTTCATGGAAATGTGCGGCCTATCTAGGGCGACGCGAGATGTGTACTGTACATCTCCCAAATATTATTTACATATCTCATAAGGTCTAGGTATCTTGTCTCCGTAGCACCACTTATCGATCATTGAAAGAACTAGGAGGATTGGCCATGTTCCTATCACACTTTATGTGGCAGTGTACGGCAAGCTATACCAAGTACAGTCAACAGAAGGGGATGATAACTATATATAAAGAAGCCAGATAACACCCAGTTGTCGGTTTTCGACCTGTAGTAGGAGCTCCATTACGGATTCTCAAGAATATGGGGTGTTTGTCACATCGCAAGTAACTGATTTGGGGCCATTGACCTGGTGTTGACTTCTTTGTTTACGGCGATATCACAGTATTCACTCGTTCAAGTATCGACTCAGGTGACAACTCCCCTCCACTCCCCCCAATGCAGCAACACTGCTATCTCTCCCTTCTCTCACTTCCCATCTCCTCCGATCTCTTCCCCTCACACCCCTTTCTCAGGTAGCACATCTCTTCCCCACTTCATTATTCATATATCTAACCCCGACTTCTGAGGTTGTACATATCCAGAAGTTCCCCGCAGAAGTTCTGTTTACCGACAGTATTTGCTCTGAAATCTGTCAGTCCATTACACTGAATAGAACAGAGTAGTGTACCTTGACCAGCAAGGTTGTTTGATGCACTCCCTGCAGCGGACTGGCTGCATCTCACACCCGCACAACCCACAATCCCATCATTAACAACTGCCTACTGAGGACTATCTGTCCATTTTTGCTTCTGCTCTCTATACTCACCATACTACTGCGCACATCTTCTCGGGCTGTTTTCTTGACGTGCCCTCAACCTGAAAGTCAATCACCAGAGCCTTTGGAAGGCTTTGAACGGTATGAGACTCCTCCATCAACTTGATAGCGTTTGCGCGTAGGATTCACGCGTGATTGTCACTGAGTCTGACCACACTGGTGAGAAGGAGCCCCCAGATACTCTTCTTCCACACAGAAGTGCCATACACGGCACTACCTCATCTATTTAGGAGGCTAGTACCAGCGGCTCCGTTATATCAGGTTGAGCCTCGTCATGATGGCGGGCTACTCCGTTGAGGCAGCCATGGCTGAGGCCCTGGGCCATCTCAACCGCATCGCATGTCATGTAAGCGTCTCTCATATCACACATGCAACGACTGGAGGCCATTGCTGAGAGAACAAGTTTCGCAAACACGAGCAGCATAGTGCTGCAAATGAGATTGGCAAACTGAGCATTCTGATTGTTAATGTCTTCTCCGAAACGGTTGAGCATATCCCCAACAACGACTTTATCTTTGATGATATGGTAAGCTCCTCCGTCAGCATCCGGATACAAGAGAGATTAGTCTAAGTAACAGTAGCAGGCTGAGAACAGCCAGAACGCTGTGGGTAACCACTACGCGATACAGCAACAAGCCGTCGCGGCTCTCATGAACGAGGTCGAGAAGGAGAGTGAGGGTAACAACGGTCAGAACTGCGTCTTGCAGAAGATTGCAACTGAAGCCCAGCTCCCACCGACTGGAAGCTGGGCTCAAGTCGCTGGTTCAGCCTCAGGTCTTCCAGCCCATCCTCAAGGAGCGGGGCAATTTATGCCGCCTCTGCCCCTGGGGCCGGCCTCTCTGTCCAAACAGAGCCTGGTAAATGATGAAAATAGTGATACTCGATTGGCAGGCATTTCGGATGTCGCACTTCCTGCGCCCATGTTCCCAGAAATTCCAGAAGCCAAAGCAGGAGTCCTTCGTATTTATGGCAAGACGTCCAAAGACATTATTCAGTATATCACCACCCGTATCCATGAGGGTCCATTGCAGGACATCAGACTCGAAACCAATGGAAGGACGCGGGTGACCTTCCAGCATGCGTCTCAGGCGCTTGCTTTCCTGAAGTCCAACCAGGAGATGGAGCAAATGCTCGGCTTTGGGCGTTTTGGATGCGGCTACCGCGTTGAATTGGCCGAAATTATTGATTGGAACGACGACCATCGCCGGATGAACCAGCCCATCCGCGAGCGTCGCCGCCTGTCATTCGCAAGGAAGCGGCTCTTTGCCGACAACATGTCGCCAGAGAAATGGAAACAAGACATCCGCACTTTGGCAGGACCTGGAAATATTGATTTCCTCTGGGTCTTCAATTCGGGTAATGGTGAGTGAGCAACATCAACATGAACATACGATATAACTACGGTCTCTAATGCAGTGAATCCCGGCTAATGCGGCGGTAGCGACGGCTGTCTTCACGAGCACGACCGTTGCTCGCAAGGTTTTGGAGGTGTTCAACCGATGGAAGGACGGCCGAAACGTCTACAGTGGGGTTTCCGTGACCTACTCGTCGGACCCATGCGAGAAAGAGTTAGTTTTGGTGAAAGACACCGCTCGCCCCAACGTTGCCAAGAACTTCGTGAAGAGACCCATTCGATAGATGCAGGGCAGCCGTTGAACAGGTGGGCAGTGCTTTTAGCCTTTCAGCCCCTGTTTCATCCCCAGCTGTCTAAAATGATATCACAATCAAGATACAGACGAGGAAAATCTGTCAGGGAAGAAAAGAAGAAAAGAAAAGAAAAGAAAAAGGATAAAAATAAAAATAAAAGCAGGGATAAACAACAAGGGTTAAAGCTGTTTGCGGGGGGAGAGGTCTAGAACTTGTGTGTGGAATGCTAAGAGTTGGAACAACGTGGCGAGGGCACCCCACGATCCATACCGTAGGAAGCAGGCTCGAGGCACACGAGTGGGATGTACTCACGTACGGAATTGTCAGACTGTTTTTTTCAAGATGGTTTCCTGTGGATGTGTTCTCTCTTTTGTTATGTTTTTGCCTACCTGTGGCCCAGTGAGACTACCTGCACACACGGTCGGATTCCATCCATGTTCCATAGGGTATGAAGATACATGCAAAGGGTTGGTTGGTTTTAGCACGAGTCAGCATAGGGATGATAATAATCAAGTTCAATTTCTATGTCAGTAGTAGTAGAGCGCACCGGTATACAGAGGGGTGGTAGTCCATCTAGGGTAAGGAGCTGTAGCGGATGCCAATCAAAATGGTTTACATAGGATAGATCTCTGGAGGGGCATCATCAAGAACGATAAACCATCGCGCACAGGGGAATTTTTTTTGTCCATTCAACCCAACCTGTAGTAGTTCTGAGCTCCCGCCGTCTGTTGGGATTCGACCTAGTGCGCGTCGTTTGAACATTGACAGTAGGTATGTACTGTACACGGGACAGGCGCGCGCTCCCCTTGCATCACAGGACATTATTGATGATATTTATCTGAAAACGGCATCTGTAGCCAGGTAACGCCGGACAGATAAGGCACAATTTCCTTTATTTGTTTATTTATGTGGATTTTTTTGGCTGTAAACAGAAGAAAGAGAAGCTGTACTCTCAAGAGGTGAGGGAGATTGAATGGACATACACGACGATATCATGGGGTTCCCTGCTTACCATGTGAGCTTGACTGATAACCTAAGACAGCCAGCAGCATGTCTCTCGGCATGTCTAGTAAGTACTAAACTAGCTATAGTAGTAGCTCAGCTTTCCTTCCCCCTCCCTCCTCCATTTTAAAAAGGGAAAATAGGAGATTAAGGTTCAACAATCACCGTAAGCCAAGGTTCAAGTTCCTGAACTATCTTTTTCATTATTATCAGCTAGCCGACTCGGCTTCGGATTCGGTAAGATTCTTTTCTTTCTATATTATTATTTCTTTTTCAGCTGATCTTTCGGTCCTACAACATGTTTTAAACATAATCTATTTGTTTTGGTTTCTCTGCTGAAACCAGAGTCTAACTAACTAAATAAAGTATACAATGGGTGTCTTTCTTTTTCGTTCTTTTTGCTCCGTCCGAATGAAAGGAATTTTGCCGCCGACAGGACATCGTCACACATTCCAACGGTGACAGTGAGACAGTCAGTGGCTATGCGATGTTCCATCTCCGGAGAAATTTCCCAAAAGACCCCCTAATTATAGAAACTAGTGGGAAAATGTTTTTTCTTTATTTTTTTTTTTTCTTACTTGGTTATTATTCTCTCATGTTCTATTGACCATTATCTCTTATCTAACCACAGCTCACTAAACCAAGAACCAAGAACACTCCAAGAGTCTGTAGATTTCGGTACTACCGGTCAAAAATACTCGGAGCACCGTTAGGGTACCTGGATTTGGAGAAAGAAGCTCCACCCCCTATCTATCGAAAACTCGAGTGCACGGTCAGATGGTGGAGAGAGAGAGAGAGTCCAACAAGGAAAAATTGCCGCAGATTAATTTGGTCCTTCTTTCATAAGGCACCACCATACCACTCCCCAATGAGATGCGGCCTTTTACCTTATCGGAGGTCGTGGGAATTCCTAGGGAGGGGGATCATGTGATATGAAACCAATCCCATGGCTGAAATGGGTGTGCCTTCAGACCAGAAGATCCACGCGCCCGGTACCCATTGGCCCTGAAAGGTCGACAGTGATTGGAGTAAGACATGTTTAATTTTGCTGCAGCAGAATCAATGTGCATATTAGTGTAGAACTAGCGTGGTGCGGTTGCCAATCGGCTGGTTTTTCCCGATAAGAACACCCCCATTGAGATTGTCCATGGCTGTGGGTCCGAGAAAAGCTGGAAGAGTAAAAAGAGAGAGCGAGGAGTGAGGAAAAAGGGTTCAGTGTCAAGCGGTCCCTGAAAAGTTGGAGAATGACCGTATGTGTATGTGTATGTATATGTACATACATACCGATCTACTTACTGTATGTAATGGATTTGATGTCGACGATTCCGGTCGACTCAACATTCCGTAGCTGCAGACTTATGGCTTCTTAATTAAATCTGGAATCAAATACTTTTTTACTTTTAAGGAGAGCAAAAGAAAAAATAGTCGAGGATCATGGAGGTCTCTCATATCCGGTTTCGTGGGGAAAAGGCGTTCGTCTCAAGGTTCGTATGGAAACGGCGATTACCCTCAGTCTAATACAGTATATATACTAAGTGAGTACTGCTCAACAACTAGTGACATGATTCATTTAAAGAACTTCTTCCCCCGATAGTCTGTCTTGTCCTTCTCCAGACAAATCACGCCCCTCTTTTCTCTCTCGCTCTCTCTCTCTTTCTCTATCGCTCCCTTTTTTCCCTCCTGTTCTGTCAGGGACGGATTTTAGATCCATAAGAGATTTCCCCTTGGAAACGAGGGAACCCACGGAGAGCCCGCATTCATTACCAGACCATTACCCTCGTTGAACTCCTTTCCTCTCGGCGGCGATTATTGTCCCGCGGTCCTTCATTACCTGGCGTGTCCGTTGATTGGATCTTGTTATCCTATACTATCCAATTATTTGTGGTTCTCTGCGACAGGTCTTTATTTAATCTCCTACTCTGGACCTTCCCCAATTCTTTGGACCTGAGAAATTTTCCAGTTTCGGTACGTTCCTTTGCTTTCAGAATCCAAGGTCTTCGATCTATATCTCTGGTACCGATAAGCAAGAGAAAAAGAAAGGAAAAAAGAAAAAAAAAAGGGCAAAGAAATTGTTAATTAGGCTTGTGGCTAACGCCCACACCTTCCCCCCATTTTAGTTCGGGCTGCAGTCTCTTATATGAACGTCGCACATCGCTGCATACCCTAGTCTTTGTGTAATTATATTATCGTCACTATGGTTCGCGTCGTCTCTACTCTACTCCTGGCCTCTTTGGCCTCCACATTCGCGTGGGCCGATACCATCAAATGCGATGCGAATAACAAATGCCCGGAGAAATACCCTTGCTGCTCTCGTGAGTCACCGTCCCGGTCTTGACTGTCATCTTTTCAACACACGTGCTGATACTTCCTCGTCAGAATATGGTGAATGTGGAACCGGTGCTTACTGTCTTGGCGGTTGCGATCCGTTGCAGTCGTTCAGCCTAGACGCCTGTGTCGCCGAGCCTGTTTGCAAGAGTAAGACCTACAAGTGGGATAATCTGGACAGTGCTGCACTGAACACCAAGTATCTTGGCAATGCGTCGGAGGCCGACTGGGTGTACAGCGGTTTCCCCAAGGTGGAGAATGGTAACCTACTCCTTACCATGCCCAAGAACAGTGTGGGCACCTTGTTCGCCAACAACCATTACGTCTGGTATGGTAAGATCAAGGGCAAGGTAAAGAGCAGCCGTGGCAAGGGCGTCGTGTCGGCTTTCATCCTACTATCAGACGTCAAGGACGAAATTGATTTCGAATTTGTCGGCTACGATCTAGACAACGTGCAGACCAACTACTACTGGCAGGGTGTTCTTGACTGTAAGTGATCCATCCGCACTGATGCTGTGATGGCAAATACTGACGCGTATCCTCAGACAACAATGGTGGAAAGGCTCCTACAGGCACCAGCACTTTCGACGAATGGCACGAGTATGAAATCGACTGGAAGCCCGATGCGATCACCTGGTCCGTCGACGGAACCGTCAAACGGACTTTGACCAGGGAGTCGACCTGGAATGAAACTGCCAAGCGCTATCAGTACCCCCAGACCCCCTCGAGAATGCAGTTGTCTCTGTGGCCGGCCGGTCAGGCAAGCAACGCCAAGGGCACCATCGAGTGGGCCGGTGGTGAGATTGACTGGGACAGCGAGGACATCAAGGATAAGGGTTATTACTATGCGGAATTCGGCGAGATCACCGTGGACTGCTATGACCCTCCCAAGAACTCTGGAGATGGCAAGAAGTCCTACATCTTCACGAAGAGCGACGGCTTGGAAGGCTCCGTCAAGATGACTAACAATGACACCGTGCTAGCCTCTCTTGGGGCTACCGGCCTCGACCCGGATCTCGGTGCCAGCTCTTCTGCGTCCTCGTCTTCGAGCTCGCCCACAGGCAATAGTGTCCCTGAAAACCGCGGTGGCTCCGGTAACGAGCCGGGTGCATCCAACAGCACCAGCAACGGTGGCAGTGGCAGTGGCAGTGGCGGTTCTAGCGGCGGTGGCAGCGGCAGCGGCAACAGCGATTCTGGATTCAGTCAGGGAAACAGTGATGACAGCAGCAGCAGCAGCAATAAATCGAATGGCGCCGCGTCTACCAATGAACGTGTCATGAAGGGCTCATTCTTCGCCGTGTTGGTCGCTATCGTTGTTCTGGTTACTCTGTGAGCCAGTGACTAAAGATCTTTGGGCTCTTGCCTACCTTCTTGGATAATATTTTCTTTCTTTCTTCTCTTTGGGTATTGAACATCACCTACCCCTCATTCCATAGTCATATGGCTTTGGCATGTCTTGCTAGATCTTACACTTCTATACATGGCGGTCTCTCCCTCTTCATATCTGTCGCCTTATACCAGTTAACTACTTTTTTATTCTGATTGGATGCCTTGATGCTTTTAATGATCGCGCGTGGCGATGCTGCAAACGGCGCATTGCATGCCGTTTGATACTCATTCTAATACCCTTGTTTGCTTTTTTGATGCTAGTATATGTATTGTTAATTGATCGGATTGGTGTTGATGAGTATCAGATGAATAAATATATTCTTCTCCATGGCATTCAGCTCTTGTCTTTGTGTACTGCACATTTATATATCTTACATCGATCGGTGATGCGCACTTCACAGACAAAATGCCTTGCAACTTGGAGCAGATGTGATCACATCTCGTCAAAGAACATCCTTTATTCTTGAGTGCATCAACGAGAAGAAAATGTATCCATTGTTTCCCTATTCTATGACCATTCACCAACATACAAACATCCCTTTCCACAGCCTACAACCAAAGGATCCCAAACACAACGGAATTCGAACCCTCTAGCATCCATAAGGTCTTCCCATTCCCATCCTCCATCCAACATCTCCCCAAAAAGAAAACCCCGACACACATTGACAACCACCCACTTCATTTATCCACAGCAAAATCAAACCAACAGCAGCCGTCAAAATGTGCTACTACATCGAAATCGAATACCTCGGCTGTCTACACGCCAAGTTCGCCATCCATCATCTCTGCCATGATGTTCGCAAAGAACTCCTACGTATCAATGATCCGCGTCAACGTGAACGGCACGATTTACCTTTTAATCCACCTGATTGTCTGCCTCAGAGGACGAGTTCCACCACTGTGGGGAATGTGCTTGGAAGGCAGGTGGAGATGGATATTTGTGATGATTGTAAAAGGACGCGTGCTTGGGGTAGGATTTAGCGTCGGTTTACTCCCTTAGGGTTCGGTTGGGTATGCTTATGTTGGGGTTACGTACATATACATACATTTCCTCAGAATACTTTCTAACTAGGTAGATCATTAACTTATGGGTTTGGTCTGTTTCGGGTGGGGGGTGTGAATATGGAATTCTATTACTATACATCCAGATTTTCACGAAATTGGGGTCTGATAGATTTGTACAGCTTTCATCCGAGAATTTTTTATATAACTCCCACGCAACCACACCCTCCCCGGGACTTCTCCTTTGCTTCTCCTCCTCATCTTCCACCTCCCAGCTCTATCTCTTGACTCCAAATTTTCTCTTACTCTTGCCTACATGACTGAAGGCAGTTGGAATTTAAAATCGCTCTCTGTTTTGCTCCATTACAACATTGCCTTCTTGGAATACTCTTGACAGAACTCATGTTTTAGTCAGTATCTGGTCTTCTACTTTTCCTTGCATGTTTACCTGGGATATGGTTTACTACTAGATATGTTAGACTGTACTTGTTCTTTGCCTATGAGACAAGCTTGACATATCACCCACGACAGGATGAGGCTCTTGAAAGAAAATCCCTGACGGGGATGAATAAATGAGTTTTCTCTTTCTTAGATAGTTAGCTACATATACAAACATAGCACATATAATACAGAAATTTATTTAGCCCATAGAAGGACCTTTACTCATTACTCCCAGACAGAACCAACTACTATATAGGGCGAAACAACCAGTACTACATCACAGTAACGATATTCGATTCGCAATTTAGCCACAAACAAGCGCAGATCCATCTATTACTAAAAGCAAAGTTATATCGAACCCCATACACAAAATTAAGTTCCCCCAAAAACGCCCAAACGCTATGGAAAGTACATGGTCTTAGTGCAGCTCGCCGCAGCCACATTCCCTCTTCTCCAGGTCCACGGAGCGCTTCTTGAATTCTCCGTGGTAGGTGTCCAGACCCTCTGTACGGACGTCTTCGCCCAAGGGGTCGCCTAGCCAGTTGTGTGACTCGGCGGTGGAAGCCTTCGATTGCAGTTTCTGAGTGACGTCTTCTAAGTCCACTTCGAGGTAGTCAGCGAGGAAGGCTCCGACGTCGGTGTTTTCGTTGTTGCCGACGAGACGCCAGGCGTCTTTAGTGGTGGAGGCGTAGATGTTGACGTCCACGGCTAGATTATATGGTTAATTTGTGTTGTTAGGAATGAGAGTAGGGGGAGGTGCGGGAACTTACATGAGTGTCCGTGGGTGGACCAGCCGATTTGTGCTCTGCGGCTGATGATATCGGCGAAGACGTAGTCACGTTTATACGGGAGCTTGGGGTCGAGAAGATGGTCGACCTCTTCGCTTGTGGCGTCCTTGACACCCAGGGCTTTCTCCAGGAGTTCCTGTGCGAACTTGCGCTGGGCTTTGGGGTCCGGATTCGAGGAGAGGAAGGTGGTGAGTGCATCGCCGGCGAACTCGGAGGAGTGGCTGGCGTTGGCGAGCACGCCCGGGAGCCATTTGTACTCTGGGTAGGCGTCGTGGAGCTGGCGGGCTGCGGCTAGACCGCCCGTTTCGTGGTCGGAGGTGCTGACTACCACGCCCGGGGTGGAGTCTTTCTCCAGGAACTCGAGGACGGCGGCGAAGGCGCGGTCGTAGGCTAGGACCTCGTGGACCTGGGCTGCGGGATCGTTGCCGTGGCCGGCGTGGTCGATCCGGGAGCCTTCGATCATGAGGAAGAAGCCCTGTTCACTGTCGGCGGTGGCTTGGCTGAGGGTTTTGAGCGCCGTGCGGGCCATTTCTTCCAGGGATGGGTATATGCCATCTTGGCTGCGGCGGTCGATTTCGTAGGGGATGTCCTTGTCTGCGAAAAGACCTAGGAGTGGTAGCTTGGCTTCTGAGCCGCCGTTTAGGGCGTCGAAGGACTTGCGGTCGTTGAGGTAGTGGAAGCCCTTTTGGCTTGCGATCTCGACTAAGTCTCGGTCGTCGCCGCGGCAGCTACCTTCTGTTGTGTTGGAGAGGAAATGGCATCGTCCGCCACCGAACATCAGATCGACAACTCGGCCTAGCGGGTGTTCGCCGATCTCTTGCTCTGCGATGCGGTCTTCATACTGGCGGAGGTTGACGTGAGAGGCGAAGCAGGCAGGGGTAGCATCTGTGATTCGAGTGGTGACGACCAAGCCAGTCTTATAACCAGCCAAGGCAGCCGCCTCCAGTACAGTTCCACAAGGCGAGTGATCCGGTAACACGGAGATAGCCCCATTGTAGCTCTTGTGGGCGCACGAGAAGGCGGTAGCACCGGCCGCCGAATCGGTCACAAGACTGTTACTCGACCTCGTCCTCGAGGTACCGATGATATGTTGGTCTAGCACGAGAGTCTGGTCTATCGGGAGTCCCTCCGTGAACTGTCTATAGTTCCGAGTCATGGTCAAACTTGTGGGGCCCATTCCGTCGGAGACCATGAAGATCAAGTTCCGCTTGCCGGTCGGCTTGCCTCCGGGACCCCAAGGATGTCTCTCCTCGTGGTTTTTGCTCGCCTCATGCTGGTATACCACGGACAGGACGATCACGGCAATCGTGGCGACAAAGGCCCAGGAGAAGAGACCGACATCTTTCCAGACGGCCCATTTGCTGCGTGGCTGTTCGCGGTGGGTACGTTCTCCTGTTAGGAGAGCGTCCTCTTCTTCAGCGTTCCGGATTGAGGAGTGGTCGGAGGAGGGGCGCGGAGCCAAAAGGGGCTCTTCTCGCGCCATGACTGACGGATTGCCTAAGGAGATCAACTCAGAGGATTAATGGTAACGGAAATGGGCCATGAACATCGCATAAAGACGGTGAAAAGAAGGTGAAACAGTGGAGGGAGAGAAGTGCACCTCGATCCAGCTGAGTTGGGGTATGGCTTGGCACGGGACCTGATACGTCACGTTCCCCCGTCTGAAACTGCCGTATCCAGTTAGCCTCTACAAAATAACTAGTTAGATATGTTCTCAATAACTTGATGCCAGATCGACGAATGTAGAGAATAGAGTCATAGGGTTTGTTATTACAAAAGTCCTTTCCTATAGTTACACAAGATGTAATAGAAGGGGCTCTACCGCCCCTTCCACCCAATCGGAATCATAGCCGCCGCGATCTCAGAAACTCCTCTCTCAGTCGCAAGCAGATTGAACTGCGCCGCAGCGTTCCTAGTATCCAGAACCTCAACACGAACACCCAGGGAGTTGATATGCTTCCTTGTCTCAGGTGAAAGAGGAAAGACAGAAGCTCCCATCCCAATGATCAACAGATCTACCAGTAGCAAGGCGCAATTAGCAAAAAAAAAAAAAAATCTCACCAAAAAAACGAACAAAGCGAAGAAAAGCTTAAACCTACCAGGACGAGGCCATACAAGGTCTAAAAGCCCCCAAGCCTGTTCTTCAACCTCGAATTGGCCCTTCTTGTTCACCATAGCATTCTTATCCCCATCCGCCGCTCTCCACGGCCTCCATGAGAAAGCCTCGCCTCCAACAAGGAGAAGACCATCCCCATTAGTGAGCTTAAGGCCGTTATCTAAATGGAAACCGTTGTCCAGGCAGGCGTCAATAGCCGTAGTAGGTGCCGGAATATTTCCTAAGACGTTCAGCGCAGCAAAGTCCGTTTGCGTATCCTCTGTTGACTGCGGGCCCCGGTCGTGGCTGGCTGGCTTTGCGGTGTGCGCGCGAGGGATCATTCGTATGGGACGGACATTGCTGCTATTTTTGCGGTGTGACTGTAAAAATAGAGTAACTCGGGAGATGGGAGACGCCGAACGGGTGTTCGCGCATAACCGGTTGGTAATATTTGTGGTTGAGATGGATGTGCGCAAAGCGTGGAGGAGTTGGGGAGATGGAGGGTGCATTCTGATGCGTGGCCCCAAATAAGACGTATATACTCTTTCGTATCCAAGCCTAGATAAAGAATCTTTGCTAGGAGATTTGAAGGTGAAGCTATGCGGAGTGGGGATGTAAATGTTATCTGGAGTTGCCATTGTCGATAGCCTGTGATGTAACGATACTGAAGCCTTAGGCAACAATGCTGAGTAAGGCATATCTAGTTTCACTATCATTGATTCACTCATACTTGATGGGCTGCATACTATTAATACGCCATACTAGATACCAAAATCGCATCACTCATTGCTTATGAGCTAATATGACACATAAGATCATTATTCCATGCAGAAATGGATACAAAAAGAAGCCAATAAGATCTAGAACCGTTGATATAGTGATGCACATGAGCTCCCGGCTCTAGAAGTCGCTCCTGCCCTAAACCTGGCTGTGAACACATATATGTGTACTAACCGCCCATTAGGTATCTTCTCTTGTCTCTTCCCCTCTCATACTGCCGCAACTGATTCAAAAGCTCATCATCCTCCTTTTTCCAGTGCCAATCATAATCCTGATCATTTTCAAATCCTTTTCGTAGAAACAGTTTCCGGAAGTTTTCTTGCAGATATGCGTGGTCGGGTCTCGCGGACATACGAAGATGTCGAAAGTATCTTCCAAACTCAGATGGCAGGTCTTTACAAAGCATACTAACACTGATATCGCGCTTCATCTTAGCCATGGCAATTTGTCTCTTTGTGTTGTTTGGCACTTCGATCGTCTCCCATGGAAGGCAGCCGTTGAGGAAGCGAATAAGCACGTATCCCAGGCTTTCCATATCATCGCGGGGCCTTTGCTCTAAACTTGTTTGTCAACCTTTGTCCCAATGATACAAGCCGAATTGGGGTAAAGAGAGAAAAGAAAAGACATACCGATACGCGTCGAATAATGTGCCCGCCAACTAGCATATATCTCCGTCCCAACTAAACGCACACCCTTCTCTGGATGTTTTCCACACTGATACCTATGGTACGTCTCTTGTTTCAAAACCTCATAGTCACCCCGTGTGTTATCATACTTTCTTAGGAGACCGAAATCAGCCAGAAAAACCGTATTCTTGTTCCCCCTAGTTCCCATAAGCAAGTTCTCTGGCTTAACATCCCGATGGACATAGCTTCGAGAATGGAGGCCCCTCAACCGACAGATCAACTGATCTGCCAGCAAGAGCACGGTCTTCAGGGTGAATCTGTCGGTGCAGTAGTGAAACAAATCTCGCAGGCTGGGTCCCAGGAGCTCGATGGCCATGATATAATACTTGCGATCTTGCCCTGCCCAGTAGATCTCTGGGATGCCGGAGATTCCAGCTAGGCCACCGTATCCCCCAACCTCGTGATCGTACGAGTGATGAGTTTTTGAAAGCTTTACAGCTACGTCCCTGTTGGTTTTGTAGTCCCGGGCTTGGAGAGTTGTTAGGTAGGTCTCACTCTATTCGGCTGGGCCGTACCTAGGTATACATCGCCTTCGCCACCGCTAGCTATATGACGGATTAGCTTGAATCTCTTCTCTGCAAGCTTGACCTAGAGCGGAGACTGTGTTATCAGGGGAGCCTCAATGTGTATCGGAGAGGTAACGTACGGGCAGTTTCATGGTGGAGGTTTGATGTGATCATGAATGGTTTGGTTTAATTCGATAGGAAAGAGGATGTCGGCACTTATGTCGTCATAGATCTGGCTTTTATCATCTCTTTGTTAACGGACGGTGGTATTGTTGGCCTGGAATAACCCTGTTCTTTTTCTTTATACTATTGTGTTTCGAGGAGATATTTGGTGTGATGTCTCCTAGAAAGATGCGCTGTCTTCAATTGCTACGATGAAACAATACAAAGAAGTCTGTTAATAAGAAAGAGGGAAGAAATGCGCCATAACCAAGTATATTGTTGGAGTAAGTCAGTGAATGAATCATCAGTACCAGCCTGAATCTCTTTATACTTGCATAATCCGTTCAGCGAGCAGTCTTCAGCAGTGACTCACTGTAAGACAACAGCTTCATATCATAGACACAGTGCATTACTCCCGGGGCGTATGTCTTGACTTGCTCAACATGTCGACACTCCGCTAATCCAACCACACCCGGTAGACCAAGGACACCAGCGCGCAACTTCCCAATCTCTGCCGTGATATCGTCTTTCTTCAGCTCAATCTCTCGGATATCCACATTCTCATGGACATGGATCCATCCCCCCCTCTCCCCATCAATCATCCTGCAAGCATTCCCCCAAGCATCAACAGCCGTCGGAAGAAGCCCTAAGTTAACATGTCGAACCGCACACCACTCCCCCCTCCCCTCCATAACCGCACGAATCTCGCCTAAGAGCTCCGCTGCAAACCGATTATCTCCATGAAAGAGAACAACCCGATCCGTATCTTGCAGAGAATCCACCAATTCCAACACGTTCCCACTCAACCCTCCATCCTCCGCAACCCTAACAACCCTACACCCCCATCCATTCTCCAAACACCCTCTCCGTAACCCTTCAACCGACCACCCATTGATCTCCCACCCCCAAACCCGCCGAACCCCCCGCTTCAAATAAGAAAACACAAAGTACCCAATGCCAGCATACATATCCACAACCCCGACATCGCCAACCAACTGCCCTCCCAACTCCCCCTCCTCAAGCCCCTCAAACCCCACCGCCCCCTGCCCCAACACCCGCGCCTTCTCCGTGACATTCCCCCGCGAGAACATCGTATAAAGCGGTGCCCAAACCTGCACAATCCCGTGGTTCTGCATCGTGCGCACCCAGAATGCCTTTTTCAGGTCCGAATCCGTCGGCTGCCCATCCCCATGGCTAGGAGCCACAGGCCCAAAGTCCCCGTACAGCGGGACTAGGCCTGCGGGACTGCGCATCCGGTTCTCGTGGCCTTGTGTATCTGTTGGGGCGATAGGGGCGTTGATGGCCACGTGGGTGACGCCCATGCGGCTGAAGGCCTGTACCAGGGAGGCGTAGAGGGCCTCACGCTGGGCGTTGGTGAGGTCCCTGTAGAGGGTGCTCCAGGGGGCTGGGGTGGTGAATGCGTTCACCGGGAGTAGGAGCAAGGGCTCGTACACTGTGAAGCGTTTGGGGAGATGAGAGTGTAACGTCTCATTTGAGAGGCCATATTTGGATAGGGCTTCTGGGGGGAGAGTTTGGGCCACAAAGTCTTGGATGCCTCTTTGGAGGGGGTTGAGGGTTTGGGTTTTGGGTTTGGGGCCCCTCTTGTCGCCTTTAGGACGGGTTTGGACCATGGTTTTTGGATTCTTGGTATCTTGGTGATATGTTTGGTTGAGTATTGGTTGTATGGGCTATTGTCCTATTTGTATGTTGTGACTTGTGGATATATATTGTTGGTTCAATTTAATCTGATAATAGACGCAATTTCGCCTCAGTCAGGCTGACGGCTATGCAGATTTGCACACAGAGGATGCTTTTCTAAGGCGTCTATCAACTAATTGAGTTCGGCGGGTTTTTTGTAGATTTACAAAATGTTGTCGATTTTGATGATGTTTTCCCACTGTCCATCGTCGGGGTCATGTGACCTCTATGATATCGAGACGTCAATATGGAGATCTTTCTGTGTGGTCTTCTCAATATTTTACAAGGACGGGTATGGTCACGCCCGTAAAGACCTGGAAAGAGAGTTGGCTTTGCGAAGGGCCCAATATGTCTGCTTAAGATATAGGAAAACCGCTGTTATGCGCATATAGTTCACTTTGCGAAGTCTTTATAGATCTGACGCGGAATTTCTACTGGAAGAGGATAATGTGTTAATTCATGGGGTCATTCATGTTCATATTAAAAACAAGCGATAGTGAGATATGAAGGGAGTGCGGCCATTAGCAATAGCTCATGAGATAGATGGCTGGAAAATAGCAAAAAGCATCTGAAAACAGCCAACGCCAGGTGGCATACATTAAATGATTCAGGAAGAGAAGGATGGCGGGGTGTATGGCTGGATAGATGATCAAAACAAGATAAAGATTAGAACAAGACAAACCCGCTACTATTAACAAAGATCACAATACACAACACCAGAATGAGTCGTAGCGAACGTAAGCTCTTAGTGAGAAAGAGGAAGGCAATCAATAATCCGTCATGGAGTAACCTAGTCTATCATTGGCGTCAAGTACTCTAGCATTGCAATTAGCACTGTCGTTGACGGATCAAGGGACAAGGAGGACTTACGAGTACTGCTTGGTTAGGGTTCCTTCTCCGCCTTTCGAAAGGTCAATGCTAAAAACGTAGAAGTTGCCATCGCTAGTCACCACCATCACCTGAGGCGTGTTGCTGCTCATCGCCACCACACTTCGCAGCGGCCCGGTGTTACCATTACCCCCAGGACCGGGGTTCGACCTGGGAAGTTTGATCCAGGCAAAGTCTCGCGCCGGTTCCCACATCTCACTAACACCTTTTGGAAGGTAACCGCCTACCTTGGCGGCAAACGAGCTTCCAACGTTTTGTGAGGTGCGCCGAATCATCCCCATTAGAGTGCCATTGTGTTTCCGGGAAGGGAATTCGGAGTCTCTGTCTCCACCTGTTTCATCCTCATCAGGAGAGTTACTCAGAGAACTGTGGCTGAGAGTCCTTTCGGGAGCCGATGGGGAGGACCGGGAGTTCTCGGAAGACTGGCCCTGGCTCAATTTGAACAAATGTATCGTTTCGGTGGAGGATGAAACGCAAAGGAGGGTAGAAGTTGTATTGAACGACATGCTGTAGATCCTGGAAGGGATCGAGCCTCGCCGGAATTGGTATAACTTGTGGCCGTCGGGAACAGAGAAAACCCGAATGATAGTTCCCTTGTCAGAGGCAGTAGCTATTAGAGTGCCATCACTGTTGAGTGTTATGCACGCTAGTGGTGATCGATGGGCTTCTATGACGTTGATCGCTTCTAACTTTAGCGTGTCGAAAATGAGTACTTCACCGCTTGTAGGTGACACATGCGTATTCCCCGGGGGCGCATGGGATGGAGGACTGAATGATGTAGGCGGCGCCTTGTGCGGAAGAGGGTATGCAAGATAACAGTTATCAGAGGAGGGGGATAGAGCACAGATTGCTGTGAAACGTTAGACAAAGCTAACCCGAAGATAGTAAAGCATATGTAGTCCCTACCACTGGGATTTGGAGATGTCTCAATGGTATATAGCAGCTTCATAGTCTGGATATCGTAAAGGTAGATCTGGTCCTCTAGAACAATGACGAGTCGTTTCCGGTTTAATTTGACCGCCAGGACAGTGGTGGGGAACGTCAACTCGCATATTGTAGATTGGCGCTATAATATCCCAAGAGATGTTAGATTCATACTTTTAACGATAAGGGTTGAAGTGCATTGGGCGAAGGATGGCTCCAAGGATCTTGTAGTTTCATGCGGGATTCGTATAGTCCTTAATTTGCATGCGCAAGGATTGTACGAACCTTTGTATTAGTGATTTGCAAGCGACGCGGTGATAGAATTAATGCGACCAATGATGTCGAAAATAGCATCTCGATTATTGCAATGTTCCCTTCCTTGGTCTCATAGCTCTTGGCGAAGGGGTCGGTTGTAAATATACGGAACCCCTTGGAAGTCGCTGCAAGCCGTTAAGAAAAAGATTCCATGAGTAGAGCAACGCAACTTGAGGGAAGCCCTTACCTACAGCTAAGTAACTGTAGTCCTGGTTAAAGGTCACGAAGTTCATTGCCATCTTGTCTGCGGCGATGGGGTGTGGATCGATGACGTCCAACCCTGCCTCTTTCTCTAGAGTGTATTGTTGGGAAAGAAACAATTCGGTATATATATCGCGCAGAGCTTAGAGAGATAAGAAAAAAGGGCAAGGCTGCGCTTCTTGGTAGGAATCAATAAGACTTATTGTTCTTTGAGCGGAGGGGTTACGACCGGTCCCATCACAAGGGCAGGTTTTGCGTCACTGACAATCGTCGGCGGGCATCTCTCGGTTCAGACGGCGTTTGCGACAAAACTCCACAGTGAATGATTCCCTACAGTGTAAGCATGCACAGATGCGACCGCAGCTGAATGACAGAGATGTTGGGAAAACAAGCAGCAAACTTGTGCGCGAAGATTCCGGGGGATCGCTGAACTGCAGTTCGTTCTGCCGCGGCCTGCGTCAGACGCGGCAAGCGAGCCATTCATCGGACGCTCGGGCCACATCTTGTTCCTCTCCCGGTAAAATTGTAAAAATTAAAGATCACTTTTTACCCACACCACAAACCCTTGCAACTTCCATTACCCCAGTCCAGAGGGGGCTATTCCACCATGGGGTCTACAAACAAACTAGCTATGACTGGAGTCACTTCTAAGGCCGAGAGGGAAGCTGACTTGGTTATGGGGGTGAGTTCATACTGCGACGCTGCGCATACCCCCACCACTTTACTTGCGCCTAACTATACTAGACAAATAACAGCAGTATTGTTTCTAAACGAAGCGTCGAAATGTTCTATTATCCCAAACCGCATTTCTTTCGCTACTTTGTCAAGAAACCTCAGCGACGGTCGCCTTTGATCAACCGCGGATATTGGCTGCGCATGCATGCGATGGCGGAAACAGTGCGGAAATTCATGAGAGAGCCCTCGAATAAACCCAAATTTGTCCTGAATTTGGGATGTGGATTGTGAGTCGTAGTAATGTCCCCCGGGTATGGGGCGCTCAAAAAAGGGGACCGTATGCTAAGTTAGACCATCGTAGTGACCCGCTGCCCTATATGCTTCTCAGTGCCGACAACTCCCTGTGTAGAAATACTACGTTTGTGGATATCGACTACGAGAAGCTCATGATCAATAAGAAAATGGCCATCCAGAAGACCGATGAGATAACGCAACTACTTGAGGATGTAGAATTCTTGCCAGACGACAGCGCTGTGCAGATTCGCAGCAAGCAGTACCTAGCCGTCGGGTGCGATTTGAAGAACCTTACTAAGTTGGACAACGTGCTTAAAGCAGAAGTCCTTCCTACCGAATGCTCGGTCCTCTTCCTGGCCGAAGTATCGTTGACGTACATGGACGTCGAGTCCGCCAATGCGGTTGTCAGTTGGGCTTCAAAGCTAAGCAATGGTCAGAATTACTATTTGACTCCCGGCCCAAATAACCCAACAAGCAAATACTGATATTGTAGGTGAAGATGGCCAGTTTTGTATATTAGAGCAATTTTTCCCTGACGGGCCCGATCATCCTTTCGCTTCGACGATGATGAGACATTTCAAGAAGCTTGGTGCTCCCCTATACTCGATCCATGAATATCCCTCCCTGAACGAACAGGAACAGCGCTTCAAGAACGCTGGCTGGAATCATGCACATGCTAGAAGTCTCTGGGACTTATGGTCGGATGATGATTTTGTGAACTGTTCGTTGAGAGCGTCACTTGATTCCGTCGAACCTTTTGATGAGTGGGAGGAATTCGCACTTTTTGCGTCGCATTATTTCCTTCTTCACGCATCCACTAGGTCTCGGGTACCAAGTATCGCTGCAGAAACATTACCCGAGCCTGATACTCAGATGGATAGATCTGCTCATTTTAAGTTGCTTGCCAGATGTCCCCCTGGAAGTGGCCAAAGACGGTTTGGGGCTATTATTCCTGACAGTTATAAAACTGTCGGGTATCACTCTGGACTCGGTCGCCAGACCCGTCTTTCATCAACAGAACTATACACGAAATCAGAGGGTACCGCTGAAGCTCATTATGAACTTCCCCCTGGCGATATTCCTGCACGGATGTGCCATACAGTGACTGGGTTAAGCAACGAAGATTGTCTTCTAGTTGGGGGCAGAGCTTCACCGGCATCTGGGTTCAAGGATTGCTGGCTGAGACAAGGAAACCAGTGGCGTCAAACCAAGAGCCTCCGAATCCCCCGGTTCAGGCACAGCGCTGTCAAAGTTAGACTTGATACTGAGTACGTCCTCGTGTATGGGGGTAAGACTAGCGATGGCACAACGCTTAATACTTGGCTGGCATGGAGTAGCAGGAAAGAAGACTGGCACGAAGTTGAGACCAACGAAGTCAACCTTAAGGCTCGATTTGGGGCATGCTTGGGAAGCATAGACGGCACATCTGGAGTCGTTTTTGGAGGAATTGGAGCCGAGGGCAAAATCTTGGAAGATCTATTCACATGGAAATTGCACCAGCGGACCGACGGGACTTTATTTTTGGAGCTGACCGACCAGACGGAGAACTTGCGGAAAGTTTCGCCTTTGTTCAACTATATCCACCGATTTGGAGCGACTCTCAGCCAAACGGCGTGGGGTCTAGTCATTGTTGGTGGTATCATTTCTAGAGAAATTATTACATACGACAAAGAAATTATGCTCCTCGATTCGACAGAACTCATCAGATGCGCCACCAGCGGATGGTCCTCAAACCACACGATCTTATCGACATTAGGGCTTGGCAAAAGGCTCGAAGGACCGAGACCCTTACTGGTAGGCCATGTCTCCTGCGCCACCGATCCTAGAGAGGTCTTGATATTCGGTGGTGGAGCGGTTTGTTTCTCGTTTGGGACATACTGGACCGAGGGTACATGGCTCCTGCAAGACGTGAATTCGACGATTGAGAATGGATGGACTCTGGTCAACTTGCAGTTGGAAAAACCGACGTCGAAAACATCAGCCCGATCTCAGAACAAGACCTACGAGGCCGCTGAAGTGATTACGCCAATTCCTCGCGTACGTGTTCAGAATCCCGCGCAATTTCAAGAAATATTAGCTGAGGGCAGACCGGTGATCATTGAAGAATCGGACATTGGCCCATGTACTGAACTCTGGACCAAAGAATATCTGACAAAAGCCGTTGGTGGTGATCGTAAGGTAGGTTGCATAACGTAAAAGGAGCCCTACTAAGTTCTACGCTAATCAACATCTAATTGACTAGATCGTTGTACATGAGGCGCAGTCGGAACATATGAGTTTCCAAACCAAAAATTTCTCATACAGAACTAAAGCGTTTGGCACCTTCATGGACGAGGTGTTTACAGGCGATCGCCAGTACCTTCGAAGCATTTCTGCCGAACAGCCGACGAAGCTATCAACTAACCTGGCGGTGGATTTTCCAGATTTGGGTAATGATTTTCGCCTGCCCGAGTCGCTCTCGGTGGTGACTGATAATGCCCACAGCTCACCGCTGAGGATATCAGGACCAGTCACGTTATGGCTTCACTACGACGTAAGTATGAACCGAGTTACATGATGTGGATGAATAAGAGCACTGACGGTTATCTGTGTCTAGGTAATGGCGAATGTCTTGTGTCAAATCCGTGGCGGAAAGAGACTCATTCTTTTCCCACCATGTGATGTGCAATATCTTCATGTGCCTCCCGGGGCCTCGAGCTCTACGATCAATATATTTCAAAGTGACGGATCGGTCGCCTCAATTCCGCATACATCGCCACAAGAAGCGGTTTTGCAACCTGGCGATATCCTATTCATCCCCCCTCTGTGGCTGCACACAGCGTCTCCAACGGGTGATGTCAGTGTCGCTGTCAACGTTTTCTTCCGCAGTTTGTCCAAAGGGTATGCAGCTGGTCGGGATGTTTACGGGAACCGTGATCTGCAGGCCTACGAGAAGGCGAGGAGTGATATCCAGAAGATGGCCAAGTCCTTCGAAGGGCTTCCACTTGATATTTCCCGCTTCTATCTGCTGAGGCTTGCCCAAGAATTAAAAGAGAAGGCGGATAAATAGGTTACTTTTCGTTGACGGGAAGCTGGATAAGATTTGTGGTTTCGCCTTTCATACCCAATCGCCTAGTAAGAAAGACTCATAGATGCGCCCTGCAAAGTGGCGTGGACCTCTCTTTTTAATACACCCGGGCTCCACAGTTCGGCACTTATGCATTACTTCGTCAGATGGAGAAGTTGGGAGAAACCTGGCCTCAGTCTGGTAAAACCAGCTTGTGCGACAGCCACTCTGGCAATGCAAGCAAGCCACGGCGAACCTAACGAAGGGTGATCGTCCTTTACACCGTAATATTGTGAACGGCCTATCAGATGATTCTAAAAGCAGCTCGCTTCGAGAAATGCAGAGAAGGAACTGGGAGTGCGGATTCAGGCGTAGAAAAAGCAACTGGTTTGATAGGTAAATCTGCGCATTAACACCAGCATACTGTGCTAAACATGTTTAGGCAGCTGGTCCACCTCTTGAGTCATGCCAATCTGTTGGTGTAGTAAGTGCACACTGTATGATTAGTGCCATGTCACGAATATGCACTGCACCGTCTTGTCCATATATAATGGGGGAGGCTAAGGCAGTGTACCGGCCCTAAGGACCGCCTGCTATTGTATTATTTACCCATCGGGTGAATATATGCGGCACTGCACCCAGCCAGTTAGAAGTTGAAAGGCGGCAATAGCTGAGATTTTTGGGCACGTTGTGCAACGTCAGCATTGTAGCATTGTTTGTTTGATGAGAGGAAGTGGTCGCGTGCCCAATCACAGACCCTCAAGAGCTATGACGACCTAGTGCTATACTAAATCCTTGAAGATGAACCAGTGACACATTTCCATGTCCCGTGCTGCAGGTGAGAGATATGCAGGTCCCACTTGGAAGTCCGCACCACTCGCCTTTGTTGGAGATAAAAGGGAGTAGTAGATGATGAAAAATGAAATAAAAAAAGAAAAAAAGAGACCAATCGGTACCTTTTGACACCTTCCAACCCCGACAATGATAGAGTGGGTATTATCAGATCTCAGCGTCATTCAAACCGTTTTCCACCCATGTGCTAGTGAATAATCCGAGGTGTGGGAAGACGCATGACACCAGTGGACCATGGATCCATGTTTCATGGACATGGGTAGGGTTATGGAGGGAGACCATGCGGATGTTCAAAGCCAATAGCGGGAACCGAGATCGCACCACTTACATTTAGTGGCTCTGTCCAGCTCGGGGAAACGACACCATTCGCTCGATTGGATTGTGCTCCTTTCCTTGCGTTGCCATAAGATGGTCCAGAGCGTTTGAAAGGGTCCGTCCTCCGGGCCTCATTGGCCGCTACCCTTGGAGTGTTGGCGTCAAGACTTTCGGGGGGTGGTGTGGGGGATATTCGAAGAAATGGATTGAAGATTATACCTTGTGTTATAATATCATAGAAGGGGGGAACCTATTGTGTAATCAGTGCGCCACTCTACCTTAGTTTGTTAGTTTGTGCTTTAAAAGATAGAGAGAGAGAAGGTCAGAGGTAAATGGAACGGATGGAAGAGCCATTGGCCGCAAACGGTGGTATGTATTGGAAGTATGTACTGTACTCAATAGTAAGGTAAGATCCCAATCCAGTGTGGGGAACGTATGCCCGAAAAACAAGGATGGCGACAAGTCTTAATAAGGAAAGAAATAATTCAATAAGTTCTCCTTTTCACTTCACAACAAATCCTGAATCTGTTTTAAATAGATCATGAGTCTGATATGATTGATAATTAATTTTGTAGTTATAGAGAAGGTCAATAGAGCGAGAGGGACTAAGATTAAGATGCCGAAAAATAAAAAGCGAAAAACCAAAGAGGGATTAAATTCCTTTTTTCTCAGGCTCCCAAGGCTGGTTGTAAGGCCGCTAGGGTCAAAACCAGTTAGTTGGGAGCTTACCCCTCCCCACCCCCGTACTTAGTAAATTGCTCCCTGTACTGTACGACGAGAAAACATCCCCAGTCCTCGCATCTTTCACTACTATACTTAACGTGCTTTTCCATTTCCTAATCTTGCTTCCTTCTCTCTCCGAACTCAACCCTTCCCCCACCCCCTTTTCCCCCTTCTGTATTTCTTCTTCCATTCTTTCTCATCCGTTTGGTGTCACTAGAGGTCCCTTACAGACCATTTCCCGGTACAGATCAAAGGTTCCCTTATCATTGTGGGGCATTCCTTATTACTGTGGGTATATACCGTACTATTGCTGTTCCTACGTAATATCCTCCCCCCTCCTTAGTTGTGAACCAATGCAACTGTCGATCCGATCACTTCAAAGCAGTTCATCCACTGACTCTTTTTGGACACGCTTTCTTAGCTCTTGTGGACTTTCTCTCTCTTCCCCCCCTTATCTTTTGGGAGCGTGTGATGTATGTCATTTTTCTACTCTTTACACCGCTGAACACCAAGTTTTTCTAAATGCTGACAGGCACATTGAGTACAGATAGTTCTCACGCATGTTGATACAATTGCATCTCAACGGGTTTTCTAAAGAATGTGTCGTTGATCGATTACCACTCAGACTGTCCATATACACTCGACCTTAGCATTGGACGTATCTATTGGTTCTTTCTACCTTTTACATACACGAAACTTAATCCAGCACCATGGCGACGGTTGTGGTACAGCAACAGCAGCAGACACTGCGACACACAACCCCTCCCCCTACGGGAATAACTTCAGCTCTGAACCTGAATAGAAACCCGTCACCCATTCCAAATAAGCATCTTCCTGTTTGCCCGGCGGGTCCTACTCCAGTCATAACTCAAACAGCATCCCCTGCTCATAGAGATGACCTTACGGATCAGACGTCTTCCCTTCTATATCCACCAGATCGCCACGTACAGCTGTCAAGCTCACCCGCATTGTATTCGATAGATGCTGTGACATTAGCATCGGCCCTTGACCATTGGGCTTCCCAGCCGCTTCCCGATCCTAGCAGGGTCTTTCCCTGGTTACACGGGCTCCACCCTGAGAATCACCTACAGCTGGGATTCTTTACGAATCGGAAACGCTCTCTCCGTCGGATACCCAGGGTGTGGCGAGGTATCACTATTATAAAAGTTGGTGGGGACATTACGACCGCCAGGCTCAAAGGTGCAGTATCTCTCGACGAGGTCCTTGCTCCGTCAACCACGGACTTCCTTGCGGTCGACCCCCGGGAGGGGTTCTCTGTGCGCAATTTTCAAATCCAAACCGCAAAATTAGCTCCGTTGTCCGACATTGTTGTCTATGGAGAAGATGGTGTCACCCAAAAGCAGCTGCTAGACGTTGCTGGAAGAGTCGCAGCTGCACAACGCCGGTGGAGAAGTAAGAATGACCCGGACCAGCTTTTACCGGTCTACAATTCTTTCGTCCTCTCATGTATGTGGACACCCATCGCCTAAACACAGCAATGTTGGGTGTGCGCTAACCTGTCAACAGCTACCTTTTCCGAAGTTGAACAACGAGCCCCGGGTATTGTTGCCATCAACTCACGCGGGCAGCTCACTGGCCAAATAATGGACTTCTGTAGGTAACTAAGCCCCTGATAATAGGCTTTAACCTAACAAACAACCAGTTCAATGGGAGCGGTGGGAAATGTGTGACATGTCCCGAGCGTCGGAGATTTCGAACAATATCTGGCAGGGCCCAACTCCTGATTACTTACTAAGACCCGGGACTTGTGAGCCTACAACCGGGGAGTATTTTGACCTTTTGATCGAGGCGAGCGACCTTGCGAGCCTCCCGGGACCCCGGTTTCTAGCCAAACTAAACAAGCAGCTCGATGATGGCCCGCAGCGCCTAGAGTTCCCGTCGTCTGGATCCATTCTTCCTCCATCCGGTGACGATAGAGAGGTGGATGATCTTGTGAATACCGTACGGTGGCTCTACTACTTGGCAAACCCAGAAGAACCAGAAAATCGACCGGATGCTGATGGAGACATTCCCATGGGCCCTGCGCCCAAGAAGGCTCGCAAGATACTCATTCACTGTCCAGATGGCTATACTGAAAGCTCACTGCTGGTTATCGCCTACCTGATGTTCGCGGAGGGTGTAACAGCGCCCGACGCTTGGCTTAGACTTCACTGCGAGAAGAAGCGGAATTTCTTCGCCTACCCCTCTGATGTTACTTTTGTAAGCGTAGTGCAGGGAAGGTTACTACAAGAAAGCCCCGCGACACAAGCACGCTACCTGACTGGGCTTGCCGATCCTACCTGGTTTAGGTATTGCGATGGCTCGCTCCCCAGTCGGATCTTGCCATATATGTACCTCGGGAATTTATCGCATGCGAATAACCCAGAAATGCTGTGGGCTCTTGGCATCAGGCGTGTTCTGAGTATTGGCGAGTCCGTTACATGGACTAATGCGGACGTGGCAAAGATTGGTGCAGACAATATCATGCATATTACTCAGGTCCAGGACAACGGTATAGACCCGCTGACTCAGGAATTTGAACGTTGCTTGGATTTCATTCGTGAGTAACTACTTCCTCCCCTCTCCCCTGCTTGTTCTCTCCCACAATAGAAGATTAACATATGGCACTTAGGGAAAGGAAAGAATGACGGAACAGCGACATTGGTCCATTGCCGAGTCGGGGTGTCACGATCAGCGACCATCTGTATTGCAGAAGTTATGGCATCCTTAGGACTTTCATTCCCAAGGGCATAGTAAGCAACGTCTTTTGACACATCAAGGGACTTGGTTAACGAAAAGCAGTTGTTTTGTTCGTGCAAGGCGGCTGAATGTTATCATCCAGCCACATCTGCGTTTTGTGTAAGAACCCTCAAGTTCCCCATTTTGTGGAAATTATTCTTGTTCAATTACGTCCCTTTTGATGCTTCAACTAACCCCACTATTAAGATACGAGCTCTTGAAATGGGAAGAACTGCAGCTGCAGAAGCAGAATCGGACTCCAAAGAGAGAACTTGAATGGCCCACAGTGGCTCGTGAGATTGCACTGATGAACAAGCCATACTCGAGGTAATCCAACGTCAAGTGAAGCAGTATGTTATACTTGAAGTATGGGTAATTTTTCACCTCAAAAGCACTGTGGTACCTTTTATGCCATAATGCAGTGTCTTAATACCATTTGTCATGCATGATACGCAAGTAATCTGGTTTCGATAACGATTGATACATGTGGCGTGAAAGATAAACGAAGGAAACGGCTGGACGAATTACGGAAAATTTGGGTCACTTTTTTTCTTTCTTTTATTCTTCTTTTCAGGGCGTTTGAGGGACGCAATCTACTCCATGATGTTACGGTTTGCAAAGCATGCTACGATTTAATGCTTGTCATGTATATAATCATGCCCTTCTAGTCGGCGGTCGCCATATAATACTATTCCTCTGAATCGGCCATTTCTTAATGCTTTGTCGGTGCAGATGATTATTCGGGTCTTCGACGTCGTCTTCCTGTCCACCTCCGATTAGCCGTTACTTCCTGACTTTTTTTTCCCCTCTCTTTCCTATTTGCACTTTGCTTAAAAGATGCAGGGGGTTCAATTCGTTTGTAACAGTGGGCATATAGTGTATTAGTAGGAGCATAAATCTGACGATGATAACTTCGACAAGCTGTCCGCGAATCCCTGGCATACAGGGATGGTCTATATAATAGAAGGAAAACCTGCAAATACAAAGGTCAATTATATGGACATGGCCATAGACAGATGGATAAAGAGTAAATGGCTCCCGATAGCTCTACAGAAATCAACAACGTTCAAAGACACGATATAGGCCCTTCAAATCTGCCACCTCAACCACACCCCGGAGAAGTCGGTTCGTAGCAACCAGACGAGACCGAAGCGCCGGAAAGACCACATGTTCCAGCATCCGAGCTATCTGTAATCGACGATTCCTGACAAGGCCATCTTCTGTATTTGCGTTCTGGGATTCCCCATTCTCATTAGCTTCTGAGGGAGGGGTTGGTAATTGCTCTGGTGTATAGAATGCTGCGAGCTCCCGTAAAAACGTGCGGAAGCAGTCTTCCTCGCTTGTCCAGTCGATGTAGGGGCCAAGGCGGAGGAGAAATCGCGGTAGCTTTCCCAGGCATGGGAGGTAGCCTTTGAGTAAGAGTGGGAGGGAGAGGAGTTCACCCTCCGCTGAGATTTGGAGCGAGAAATATTCATTGAGCATCTCGCGTCTGTCTGTAAGTGCTTTGGCGACTAGGTCAGGTGCGTTGGCGAATATGTCGTCTTTTTCGCTTTCTTTGCTTGCGTTTGATTTTTCGTTGCTGGATTCTGGGACAGCCTCTCGTTCGGCATCGGCGGCGATTTGAAGAAGGTCTATGAGCTTTGGTGCCGGGTCTAGTTTAATGACGCCGAAGTTGCCGAAATCCGTGAGTCCGATCTGATAGAAGAATTCGTTGCAGAACATTCCGTAGTCGACAAGGTAGAGTTTTACCCCTGATTGTATGGCTGCTATACGTCGTCGCTCGTCGACTAGACCTACGTAGGTGAGGGAGGCAATGGTCTCCGTCAGGGTATTGTGCATCGTTCTGCGAACGCTTGCGCGTAGGTTCTTCACTGATGTGAGCGCGATGCGAAGTGGCTCACGATCGGTGGTTTCATATTGCAGTCCTTCGTCTAGAACGCTAGTGGGTTCTGCTTCTGCAGTATAGGGAACCGCAGGTGATAGCATGGAGGTGATTTTGCGCACTTTAGAGTCTGTACGGACGAGATTATGCTCGTATGGTTTCTTTGCTATCGCTGGTGTTTTAGGGGTACGGTTTCCACCATCTGTCGACTCTAAATCATGAGGTACAGGTTCCATTGTTCTAACCCCAGGAAGAAGAGTTTGGGTCAAGAAGGTTCGGCTTGAATCGACCTGGGTAAGACTCGACCTGATTTCTTTGCATATACATTCGATGATTTCATCTTCGTTCAAAAAGTTGACTTCGCGCTTAGTTGGATGTACATTCACGTCCACGCGATGTGGTTCAATCTCCAGGTCGATGTAGACAAAAGGATGCCCGCCTTTGGGCAAGAAACTCGAGTAGGTCTGCTCAACCGCTCGCTTTACTGCAGTGGACTCAACGGAACGATGATTGATGAAAAGAAGGATAACGGTCCGTTTGACATGGTAATTCGCGTTTGTAACATAGCCAGAGGAGCGGAATCCTAAGTTTTGGTCCTCGGCCTTGAATTCGACCAGTTCACTGGCCACTGCACTTCCGTGAATTTGACGGATTCTGTCGATGGTATTAGCAGCTACTGGTGTTGAAATGCTCACACCTGAGTCGCCATGTTTGCGACAGGAGAAGGCCACACCAGAGCAATGCACGGCGTATCTGCCAACGACATCCAATATCTTCGCGTACTCTTCGCTCGCTGATCGGAATGCCCGCCGTCTGGTTGGAACATTGTAAAAGAGGTCCTCAACCTGATTAAGTTAGTTGAAACACAGGATACATATAAGCTGAGTTTTCTGCTCACAGTTATTTGAGTGCCGCCTCGTCCAGCTGTGGCCTTGGGGGCGGCAGGCTGTCCGGGCTTTGGAGGAACAAGCTTTCCATCGCTGTAATGTGCTCTCCAGGCACAGTTTGAGCCCGTCGTTTTGGTGGTTACAGTGAGATGAGCTATATGGCTGATACTGGCCAATGCTTCACCTCGGAAACCGTACGTACCAATGGATGATAAGTCTTCGAACTGCTTTAATTTGGAAGTGGTGAACCTCTCACAAAGGATAGGCAGGTCATCCCGCTTTGGCCTAAGTTAGTGATTTCATCGTGTACTGATCTCGATGTGGTTGACTTACATCTATGCCGTGGCCGTTGTCCGTGATCTGTAGTAGCTTCAGACCACCATCTTTCACTAGAATTTCGAGGGATGTGGAGCCAGCATCCACAGCATTCTCAATTAATTCTTTCAGAGCGTGCATAGGAGCTACGATGATCTCCCCTGCGGCTATCTTATTCACAACCTCTGGATCAAGAGCCTAGTCGCGTCATCAGTCGATCATGTCAAGGCGTAACTCGTCTGCTGGGACTGACTCTGATTCTTTTGGGTTTCTGCGGGACTTCATTTTCTTCAGCTGGCCGTTTGGTGCCACGAGACTCTGGAACATCCACGTCCATTTTAGGGTCCATGGTGTTGGAACGAAAGTAGTAGGGCTTTATTGATAAGTGGTATTGTTGTCCATCAGTTCGTCTTTACTTCATTGGCCCGGGAAACAAACACTATGCGCACCGCAACAATAGCCTTAATGCGTCGTAAATTTGGCAATTAATGATTTTTTATCAAGTCAGTACCAGTGCTCATCCGTCTGTTGTTCAAAAACATCTAAATCACGAGACGAGTGGAAGCAAAAGCGGTGGAGTAAATCAGGTGGCTCCTTAAGTAATCTGCCGATGTATTTAATTTTATTATTTAGATAGAAATTTAATTTAATCTATTTAATCGGTGGAATCCCGCAACCGTCCAAACTATGCGCAACCCGCCCCTACTTAATCGAATGTCAACAACGTCTTTTGTTCTTCTCACCAATTCTACTGTCAAATGCCACACTTGAATCGAAAAGCTCCCCCGGGGCTATCATTCATATGCGCAAATTATGCTGACTTCCAAGAAGCCGTTTCTGGCTGATGAAGAGTTGGGGAAGAAGGACGACGACTATCGACTACAGAAGCGCTCGCATTTCTGGCACCCATCGAAGCGATGGAAGCTACCTCGGCCGCGGCGGATTCTATTTGGAGTGATTACGTTGTATTTGCTGTATCTATTTTTTAGAAATATGCCTACCGATCTTTCTCCCGCTCCAGAGCGATTTAACCCTGCACTTACGGAAGTGCGACAAAGACCTGGAATATCATGGTCCCCTTCCGTACCATCGCCCGCCATCCCTCAACAAAGCCCTCCTTCACGGGATGAGCTTGCGCCTGGTGGGGACCTTTACTATGAGGGCAAAATCCATTTCAACGATCTTGGTAAAACCTTGTATAGGTTTCTCAAATTACCGGGCGCCCAAGGCTTGCTTGCCAGTCGTGCAGTTGTCTTCGCAGGCGCCAGCCTGAAAAGCATCTCGGATCTTCTCCCTCTCGCTTGCAAGATGGCTAATCAGCGGGATAATGAAGTCCACTTCGTGTTTATGGGGAGGGATGACGTCTCAATTGAAGGGATCCAGCGCGTGAATGGCATAGACGACGGTGACTGTCCTATCAATTGGCATGGTATGTTTAGGCATTCCTCCCCCAAATTGGCTACACAACGTGCTGAAACTTAGCCTATAGATGGCCGAGCAGATTACGCTCAGTGGTCGACAGATGCCCGCATGGAGAGGGCCATTGTATCCGGTTTAAGCTATGTGCAAGCTTTTCTATCTCCACAGGCAATTATCACTCAAGGAAATTCACTGGAAGAAGCCTTTTTCTTACAAGGCGTTGTGAGGGGGACGCAGGATCTTTGGATGACCCATATTGCGCTTCCTACCGCTGCCAGACACCTTATGTGGATGTCTTTCCTAGATAGTCACTCTCTTCAAGGTAAAACATAGATCAGAAATCATCCTCCCCAGATGTGGATATCGTAGCTGACTTGATCTATAGCGTGGAATGATTTCCACATCGAGATTCTGATTCAAGCCCCTCCCGAATCATCTGGATCTCTTATCAGGTTGATTCACTCATTGAAAGATGCAGACTACCTTGGATCGATTCCCAGTTTGACTATTGAACTTCCCCATGACGTGGATTCGCAGCTTCTTCAGTATTTAAGGACGATGAAATGGCCCCCTCACATGTCGAGTAAGGTTACTCTCCGTCGACGTATACGGGCAGGCGCCATGGATGCAGCCGAAGCTTCTCTGAGAACCGCAGAGGCTTTCTATCCCCAAGATCCAAATACGACTCATGTGCTCATGCTCTCCCCGCAAACAGAGTTGTCGGCTTCTTTCTACCACTACCTTAAGTATATCGCATTGAAGTACAAATACGCGGCAACTGCGGAAAAAACGGCATCGAATTTACTTGGCGTTTCATTAGAGCTCCCATCCTCGCTTCCTACTAAAAGCGAATTGTTCAACCCCGATGCTATTGATACTAGTCATATCCCGTACCGCGGTGACGGAGAGACTATATCCGTCTCACTGCGGCAGGTTCCGAACAGTAACGCAGCATTGTATTTTGGAGATAAGTGGATTGAGCTCCATTCTTTTCTTTCTGACCGGCTTGCCGATGAAGAATCTACATCCCACGAAAAGATTATCTCAGAAAAGTACCCAGCTGTGATGGAATCTTTACTGGAGTTAATGCGTGCAAGAGGCTATTATTTACTCTATCCAGATGCTAAGGATACTCGGTCCCTAGCAAATGTCCATGATGATTTGGTTCAAATTCCGGAAGAGTTCTCTCAAGAAAGCTAGACGAAGTTCACCAAGCCTGGCCCTATTCCAAAAGATGATCCATCCAGCGGAGCACTGGCCCAATTATTTCCTTTAAATTATCTTAGTGCTTGAATGATTACTGATTTAGGTCAACTCTAATAGTATACAAAGTCGTAGCTTAGCTACGTGCCTTTAATTAATTCTAGTAAATTTTCCACTACCACTAGGCTTAAAGTGCTTGCTCAAATAAATGAAAGTCTTTCGATCATATAGAAGAACTTTGAAAAGGTACGCCTTGTTGAAAGTCTTGGCGGATTATGTCTTACATAATCCGGCGGTAGCTCCACCGGCAGCGCAACGCAATGGCGATGAGCGACTGCTGTCTCTCTGCTTCCATCAACAAGCTTACCCTCCCGTTCTCTGCTCCATCCCTCCTCGTGCAGAGGCTTGTTCTACTATAATCATTGGGTTTTATCGCATCTAACGCTCCCTTTGCTTGATTGATAAGCTCCGAATTTTCCAACAGCACATAGATATACTCGACGCCAGGTACCCGTGAGAATGGTGAAAGAAGGCGAGCGGTCAGCTCCCGCCGACAAGGGCAAGGGCAAGGTTGATGATGTGAAAGACCTTCCCGGAGCAAAGAAGGCCCCGGCCGATGAAAAGCAACAAGCGGATGGAAAGAAGAAGGATGAAGAACCCCAGGAAGGTAGGTCATGATCTTGAGTCAATGCACTGATTTGTACCGAGCGATTCTCCCGTCCCATGCGGATGCTAACCGGTCATATCATCCAGAGGAGCTAAGTGAGGAAGATCAGCAGCTGAAAAATGAGCTGGAGATGCTTGTGGAAAGATTAAAGGTAGGGGCTCTTCAACCCAGACCTTTGACATGCTGAACGGTGACGTTTACCTGCCCACTCTTCATCTAGGAACCCGATACCACCCTTTACGCTCCCGCATTAGATGCTATTAAGAATTTTATAAAGACTTCAACCTCTTCGATGACAGCTGTTCCCAAACCTCTTAAGTTCCTCAGACCACACTACGATGAGCTTACAGCGCTCTATGAGAAGTGGTTGGCGGGGTCAGTTAAGGTTAGTTTCTCTACCTTAGTATGGCCATCGTAGAGATTTGTTATTAATTGATATAATCTAGGACTCCTTGGCTGATATGCTTTCGGTCCTCGGAATGACTTACGGGGATGAGGAGAAACTCGAGACGCTGAAGTACCGGTTATTGACAAAGTCGGAGGACCTTGGTTCCTGGGGCCACGAATACATCAGGCATCTAGCTTTGGAAATCGGCCAGGAATATCAGAACAGGTTAAATGCCGAAAAGGATGTACAGGATTTGATCGATCTTTCACTGTCCCTGGTTCCGTACTTCTTGAGCCATAATGCTGAAGCTGACGCCGTTGACCTTCTGAGCGAGCTCGAAATAATCGAAGAGATCCCGCGTTTCTTGGATGAGAATACATACTCGAGAGTCTGTCTATATATGGTTTCCATGGTCAATCTCCTCACATACCCCGAAGACCAGCAGTTCCTCCGAACGGCCCACGAGATCTATGTCCGTTACAAGGAGCTCACCAAGGCAGTTGTTCTCGCGATCCGTTTGAACGATACCGAGCTCATCAAGAGCGATATCAATGCCACGTCGGATAGGGCGCTGAAGAAGCAGATGGCTTTCCTTGTTGCCAGACAACAAATTTGGCTAGACATGCCTGAGGAAGAGGAAGACCAATCTTTCATGGATTGTCTTAACAATACCCTGATCCCCAGTCATTTCAAGTCGCTCGGAAAGGAGCTCAACATTCTCGACCCTAAGATGCCAGAAGATATTTACAAGACACACTTAGAAAGCAGCCGCGGAGCTGGCTTGACTAACGTCGACTCTGCGCGACACAATCTCGCCAGCGCCTTTGTGAACTCATTTGCCAATGCTGGATATGGAAACGATAAGATGATGCTGGTCGAGGGCGATAAAGGCCCATGGGTTTGGAAAACGAAGGATGACGGCATGCTTTCGACAACAGCCTCCATGGGCATGCTCTTGCACAGGGATGTTGACGTTGGTCTCGACAAGATCGATAAGTACACATATGCAACGGAAGATCAGATTAAGGCTGGTGCACTGCTATCCATCGGTATACTTAACTCGGGTGTCCGTTTGGATTCCGATCCTGCTCTGGCGCTTCTAAGCGACCCCGATAACCTAGAAGCTAAGAATGTGCCAATGAGAGTCGCATCCATCATGGGTCTTGGTTTGGCTTATGCTGGATCTAACAAGGAAGAACTTCTCGATGTTCTACTTCCGATTGTCGAAGATGTGTCGCTTGATATGCAACTATCTGCCATGGCGGCGGTCTCCCTGGGTTTGATCTTTGTTGGATCCTCCAACCATCAGGTCAGCGAGGCAATTGCCACTACTCTGATGGATGAGGAGCGCCAAAAGCAGCTTAAGGATAAGTGGACGCGCTTTATGGCTCTTGGCCTGGCGCTCCTTTACTTTGGCCGCCAGGAAGAGGTTGATGTTATCCTTGATATCCTCAAAGCTGTGGATCACCCTATGGCTAAGCCAACCTCCGTACTTGCCTCCGTTTGCGCATGGGCCGGAACAGGTACAGTTCTGAAGCTGCAGGAACTCCTTCACATCTGCAATGATATAATTGAAGAAAATGATGAAAAGAAGGGTGATGAGCTTGTTCAGTCATACGCTGTCTTGGGTCTGTCGCTAATTGCCATGGGTGAAGAAGTCGGCCAGGACATGATCCTTAGGCAATTTGGCCACCTGATGCACTATGGCGCTAGCAATATCCGGAAGGCAGTTCCCCTTGCTATGGGCTTGATCACCCCTAGCAACCCACAGATGAAGGTGTACGATACTTTGTCGCGGTACAGTCACGACAATGACAATGACGTTGCAATCAACGCTATCTTCGCCATGGGCCTTTGCGGCGCCGGTACCAATAACGCCCGTTTGGCACAGCTGCTTAGACAGTTGGCCAGCTACTACCACCGTGACCAGAACTCTCTGTTTATGGTCCGCATCGCCCAGGGTCTCCTACATATGGGCAAAGGCACCATGACATTGAATCCTTTCCACACCGATCGCCAGGTTCTATCCAGAGTTTCCGCTGCTGGTTTGCTCACAGTCCTCGTGTCTATGATCGATGCTAAGCAATTCGTTCTTGCTGAACACCACTACCTACTCTACTTCCTTATCACCGCCATGTATCCTCGCTTCCTTGTAACCCTTGACGAGGACCTTCAGCCTCTTACCGTGAATGTGCGAGTGGGACAGGCTGTGGATATTGTTGGACAGGCTGGACGCCCTAAGACTATCACTGGATGGCAGACACAAAGCACACCAGTCCTCCTCGCACACGGTGAAAGAGCCGAGCTTGAGGATGAGCAGTATATCCCTCTCAGTAGCACACTCGAGGGCTTGGTCATTCTGCGCAAAGTAAGTTTGCCTGGTTCTTCTCCATATAAATCGCAATAACTAACGATTTACGCGCAGAACCCTAACTGGGAAGGGGAGCAGAGCACTGCTTAAGTGATATACTGTTTTTCTATAGGTTTTTACGCGTGTTTAATCGAGCGCTGGAAGACACAAACGGCGCTCTGATATGATTTGGTCTAATGTATTCAGCATGAGTCGGGAAATAACATGCATCGCTTTCCACGATTAAGCCATTGTTTGTATCCGGTTAGAGTGTTACAGGTGTGGTGGAAGGCATCCGAGCTTATACGAAGTAGACCTGGGGCGTCACAGGCCAACACTTTTCACTGAACCTACATTGTAGGCTATATATATCAAACACGTATGACTAAAACAGGACTAGAATAACAGTGGGTATGGCTATTCTGCCTACTATTCCTAGGTCTGGATAGGCAAATTGTAACTTGACTGTCCTCGAGGTCCCCAAGGAGGTAGTTGATGTTCCCGGAACGGAAAGTAGGGCATAGGGCAAGGAAGGTGTCACTTTTTCTCTCCATGTCCGCGGCATCTCTCGCGATGCAGTCTACGGTTCAAGAAAATCAGTGGTTTTTTTGCCCTAGTCCTTAATAACCATAGAAAACCATGAAGCTCGATCCCAAGGCGATTCGTTACCTCACTTCCGAGGATTTCCGCGTTCTCTCTGCGGTATGCCCCTCATCACCCCGCGATTTCTTGCCGCTTGGGTAGCGTGTTGTCTGACAGCTAACGATAGATGTTTCCAGGTTGAAACAGGAAGCAGAAATCATGAAGTCGTTCCGACTCCTTTGATTGCCAATATCTCAGGTCTTCGTGGTGGTAGTGGTGTAAACCGGGCTATTTCGAACTTGGCCAAAACGAACCTTATCGCGAAAGTGAAGAATGCCAAATGTATGTCCTCGATTGCGCTGTGTGCCTAGATCGCATCTAATGCTTGTTGGTTTACTAGACGACGGATATCGTCTCACCTACGGTGGCCTCGATTATCTAGCGCTCAATGCTCACCAAAAGCAAAAATGCATCTACTCCGTGGGCAACCAAATCGGCGTCGGAAAGGAATCAGACATTATCGTGGTTGCGAACCATCAGGGGACCCAGCACATTCTCAAGATCCATCGTCTCGGTCGCATTTCCTTCCGGACAGTCAAAACGAACCGAGACTACCTACGACACCGGCAAACGGGCTCGTGGATGTACATGTCGCGTCTGGCAGCTATGAAGGAGTATGCGTTCATGAAAGCGCTTGGACAGAATGGATTCTCAGTACCTGAGCCCATTGCGCAGAACAGGCACACGATTGTTATGAGTCTCATCGACGCTTTTCCGCTACGTCAGATCTCGACGGTTCCTAACCCGTCCCTGTTGTATTCAGAGCTCATGGATACAATTATGCGGTTAGCTCGGTATGGGCTGATCCATGGTGACTTTAATGAATTTAATATCCTCATCAAGGAGGAAGCGGACCCCAATGCCAAGGGCAAGGCCCCAGCAGATGCAGAGAATGACGAGAATATCCGGCTGGTTCCGGTCATCATCGATTTCCCACAAATGGTATCGATTGACCATGTCAATGCGGAGATGTACTTTAACCGTGATGTAAATTGCATCAAGCGTTATTTCCAGCGAAAGTTCCGTTATGTCAGCGATGAACCTGGACCGTTCTTTGCCGACGCCAAGAAACAGCTCTTGGAGAACCCTGGAAAGCGACTAGACGTTGAAGTCGAAGCGTCGGGATTCTCGAGGAAGATGGCTCGCGACCTGGAAGCATATATGCGGGAGGTCGGCGCTAATGAAGGTGAAGAAGGACAGGGAAGCGATGACGAGGAGGATCATTCAGGGTCTGGCTCAGAGGAAGAAGCCGAGGGCTATACCAATGCAAATGAAGAGAGCCAAGCCGCCAAGTTGAAGGAGTCTGAGTCTGATGCGATCAACGACAGTTCCCGACGACTTGGTGAATTGCATGTCTCCTAAACATTCGGAGGGTTAATGAGTAAAATTTCGATGATAGTAATGACCATTATGAGCGTGTAAAATGTGTTAAATGCTACCAAATATGATATTGGTATTTCTGAACTAATAATCCGTATAATCTATCTATGTATTAAGTTCGCATTCTTAATTCTTATCCTTTGCAACACCCCGATGCTTAGCTCCGTTGGCCTAGAAAACTACGGCAAGCGATGCGGCCACACCCGCAACTCTGCGAAAGTTCCGCCAAGATGAAAGCCCGAACGATATCAAGTTCACCCAACTAAAACCAACCCCAGTCCAACGAATACCTACCAACCCCAATATCTCTCAATTAGGCGCAAGAAAGACAAAATGGTCCGCCAATTCTCCAAGTTCCCCAAGAAGCCCGCCGACTGGCTCTCCCCCTCGGCGCCGCTATCCATGCGGAAACAGGTCTACCTGTAAGTTGCAACGCCTACACCTCCATATACCGAAGATAATGAGTCAAAATAAAAAATAATAAATAAAAATACATGGACAAATTGACTGATACATAATCCTCCAGCCCTGACTTCACAATCGCTCTCATCCGCACACCATTTCTGCCTCCGCGATACGCCTCCTTCTACGTCCCGTTGAGTTTCAACAAGCTGGATATGCGCGATTACATGCAACGTGTGTATGGGGTCGACGTCATCTCCGTGAGAAGCTACGTCGAGCAGCAGAAGGTCACTCGGCTTCGTCCTCAGGGTAAATTCGGATACGGGAAGATAAGAAGACCCATGTCGAAGAAGAAGATGACGATTGAGATGACACAGCCATTCGTTTGGCCCGAGGCTCCGAAGGATATGTCTGAGTAAGTTTTTCTCGTTCCTCATTTATTGTGTTTTATTTTTTGTTTGTCCAGGTATATTGGTTTGAGTGGTGAAGTTGTGGGTTGTGGGCTAACGAATGGCCGTTTTGGCAATTTGCAGTTGGGAACACAATCAGTTCCACGCAGCGGAAAAATACCAAAGTGAGATCCAAGATATGCATCGTCCGGACGCGGGCACGAAGGTTGATACGGCGTCGCGCGAGGCCTACGCTGAGGAAGCGAAGAAGCTGCTGGACGGCTCGAAAACGTGGAGACCTACTTGGCAGGCTTTGGGTCTTAGCTATGATCGCACGGGTCTCGGCAAGTCTTCCACTAGTTCATGAGTGGTTTGCATCTTGTAATTGTTTTATTTCTTCCCTGTCGTGCTTTATTTTTCCGTGTTAGGCCTGGAAGGTCGGGTATAGAAAAGCGGCTTTACTCTGCGCTTTGGTGATCTGGTCTGTGCTGATGGACCGTTTCTTTTTCTATTATGTGGTGATCATTGACTCTGTATTATATGTATGCTGTCTCAATATATTGAAAGTAACTGTTCCAGTGTGTCCCACTTGTGGTGTAATAAAGAGAGCGGAGGTAGAAGGGGAAAGAGTTATTCTGAAAAGAAAAGAGAAACGAAAACAAAAATCCAGAACGAAAAAGCTACTGCGAACGACAGGTTATGCTATACATATAGCGGGCAACGGGTTATGTAGACGAGACAACACGCTATGCAGGAGTCACAAGAGTTGAGATACGCTAAAAGACCAATCTAGTGATGCAAAAGGCAAACATAAACATGTTCAATCTGTTTGACAGTGTCAGCGAGTAGAAAACCTAAAGTCGGCTCTCAACAAAGTTCATCTGATGTTGACCAGGCCAGTGTGCATCAGGCCACACTTGTCGAATGGCCTCCCAAATGTTGCTACAAACAGCGTCAGTAAGAAAGTACGTGGAGGGTAGCGGGTAAGCCTTACCTAACATAAATGATCTCAAGGCCGTCGCTAACCTCTTGAGGAACATCCTTCACATCCTTACGATTCTGGATAGGTAAAAGAACGGTCTTCACACCCGCACGGTGCGCTCCGATGAGCTTTTCCTTGATACCTCCAACAGGCATCACTCTTCCTCGAAGAGACACCTCACCAGTCATTGCAAGCTTAGGGGGCACAGCCTTGTTCGAGAAAAGCGAAATTAGCCCAATGGTGTGTGCAAGTCCAGCAGAGGGACCGTCCTTTGGAATCGCTCCGGATGGACAATGAACATGCAAACTCCGACTCTTCATGATATCTTCGCTAGGATCAGGGGTCAATCCAAGCTCGTAAGAATGAGCCTTCACCCATGTTAAGGCCACCTCAACACTCTCTTTCAAGACGTCACCAAGCTTTCCGGTAAGTTGCACACGGCCATTTCCTGGCATGTCGGCAACCTCAATAAATAGGATACTACCCTGCCCTCCGGTAGAGTAAGCAACAAGGCCGGTAACAACTCCTGGACGACCATGCTTTTCAGCGATCTCTTCCTCGAATCGCTCGATGCCGAGTATCTCCTCCAGATCATCCATGGTAACAACAGGATTATATGCATCCGGTCGACCTGCATCTCCAGCATCGGCATACTGCACTGCTTTGTAGCGACAGATAGAACCGAGCTCACGTTCTAGGTTACGAACGCCAGACTCTCGAGTGTATGAAGTAATTGTTTTGTCAATGACCTCATCAGAAAGAATAACCTGGCCCTCAGAGAGCCCGTTGACTTGGATTTGCTTTGGAATAAGGTGTCTCTTTGCAATATGCCGCTTTTCGACGGTAGTGTAACCAGACAAGGAGATCGTCTCCATACGATCAAGTAATGGAGCAGGGATGGTGTCAAGAGAGTTAGCAGTGGCGATGAAAAGAACTTTGCTTAAGTCAATCGGAATATTGATATAGTGATCAGTGAATGTGTGGTTCTGCTCAGGATCTAAAACCTCGAGCATAGCTGCGGAAGGGTCACCCTGAAAATTGGCGCCGCCGACCTTGTCGATTTCATCGAGCAAGAAGACCGGATTCGCGACGCCAACTTTCTTAAGTCCATTGACAATCAGTCCAGGCATTGCAGCCACATAGGTCCGTCGGTGACCCCTAATTTCTGCCTCATCCCTAACACCCCCGAGAGAAATTCTGTGAAATTTGCGGCCGAGGGAAGTAGCAACAGATCTCGCTAGACTGGTCTTACCAGTGCCAGGGGGGCCGGCAAGTAACAGAATTGGAGACTTGTCAATCATACGCTTAGACTTGAGGAGATGCAGCTTAGACTCAACAGCAACACGGTCTGCATCAGACAAACCTGGAAGATCCTTCTCAATATCGCCTTCATCCGCAGTATCAAGATCTTTAGATAGGGCAGCAATCTGCTGTTCGACACCCTGGTTAGTAGACTGCTTCAGTCTGAGGACAGCCAAGTACTCAAGAAGTCGCTTCTTAATCTTTTCAAGACCGTAGTGGTCGTCATCCAACTGTTGTCTGGCCCTTTTCAGCGTGTCAGGGCCAAGCCGGTCTTCGGTGACCTTGGTCCATGGGATTTCTAAGATATTCTCGAGATACGTCCGGCAAACACCGTATTCTGCATTTGCCGGGTTCATCTTCCGAAGACGACGTAGCTCCTTATCGGCGACCTTCCTAGCCTCGGGGCTGAGTTGAGCTTCCTGTAGCTTCTGCTGGAGTTCATCGACCTCGTTTGCTTCCTTGTCATCGCCGTCATTGTTTCTTCCACCTGCAACCCCTGGAGGTGTCAGGCCCGTGAGACCAGCCATAGCCCGTCTTGCAAGAAGTTCACGGTCGCGTGGATCAATCTGGTTAATGTCAAACCCAGATGGAGGGAAGCTGTTGGTGGTAATGGTGGTGACTTTAACACTACTCTTGATACTTTGGACCTGTCTGCTAAGTATCTCGACCACTCTTTGAAGTCTGATTTTATGATCCAGCGAAGCAAGGACTCGAAGCTTTTCCTCGAGTCCAGATTCAGCAACATCTGCCATGAAATCGGCGAGCCTTCCGGCCTGCGTCAAATCTGTTTTAGATATGAACAGCTCGAACTTGCGGGCAATGAGTGGCGACAAGCGCGTTGAAGAAGAAGGCAAAAGTGACGACAGTCGTAATAGAGTCAGCAGCTCTCGCGAGAGTCGTCTCAGCTGCTGAAACAATTCGATGGTTTCCGCATCATTAGTCACATAATCTATCCATTAGAAGAAAAGCATTTCATCAGCCCACAGTGGCGCTACAAGTAAAAAAAGATTGGTAGACAAACCTTTCTCATCATGCAAAATGGCCTCAGCTTCAAAATAAGGCCTTTCCTTCAAAATACGCCTTACTGTGAATCGCTGGATTCCTTGGACCACAAGGGACGCTTCTGAATAGGCGCGGCGTTGAACACCGATTACCTTGCCGACTGTGCCATAACGGAAGAGATCTTCCTTCCTGGCCTGGCCTGCATCGATAGCATCATACTCCTCCTTCTTCTCATCATCCAAGGTTCCATTGTCAATCAACTGTTGGCCATCCTTACTTAAAAAGGGCGAGCTAAGGGGAACACAGCCAAAGGTGATGACATTTCCCTCCCGCTTGGCCGCCGATGTTCGATCAACAATCGACGAGAGGAGATTGGAAAGGTCGGGTCGGTTAGCAACTGGGATCCGTAGGGTGACTCCAGGGAGCAAAACGGAGCCTTTGGGAAGCGGTACGAGAGCAAGCTTGGTTGTCCTTCCGGTGTTCGAGCCCATCTTGATCTATCAGGTCGGGAAGACCCTGTAGACGTCTAGAAAGGCGAAAGAAAAAGAACAAAAAATAAGGCAGAATTCACGTGGGTGATACAGAAAATTGAGGGGATAAGGATGGGAGATGAAAGTAGCGGTATTCCAGGGAAACACACGAACGTTGTCGGTTATAAGGTAGTGGAGGCGACGGTTCCAGAACACCATCGATGAAGTCCGTGACTCTGGGGAGATGATCGCCAGCGATAAGCCGTCTTCCGATGCCGAGGTTCGCGTGGCTACGTCAGTCCGTCACAAATCTGGGGATAATGCACCTTTGCCTGGGTTTCGGCTTCAAGGTATGAGAACGGTCCCCGACCGGTACACAAGTTTAATAATTAAATGATGGCGTCTGCAATGGCTCCGTAAGGGGGATATCGTGAAGCTTGTGTTGTTGTTGTTGCTCTTCTTCTAATCTTCTTATCTTGTTTTCCGACGATCTCGTGATTTCCGCACGTGTATTGGGATTACCTAACGCAGATTACAATACCGCTCCAGTCCTTCCATTTCTGGAACCAACCTTAGTTTTTCTTTTCGGCGTCTCCAGCCTGCCATTAAGATAATAACCGCTCTGCACATTGTATATTCCTCTGTCGATATACGGACCGTTTATCGGGGACATAAATCTACCAGCTGTATCGCTGATCACACTAAAAGAACTTCTTACGATACTTCCCCTCAACCGTCGGAATGGCCTCTACTTTAAACCCCACCTCTGGCGCCACCAACCCCTCACCCCAGAAGACATTCACGGTTGGGACGCGCAAATCTAAACTTGCCCTTTCGCAAACAGAACTGGTCGTCGCCGCGCTTAAAGAGGTATATCCTGACTATGAATTCAAAATACACTCGCAGGAAACTGCCGGAGATTTGAACACGACTATTGCTTTCCGAGAGTTCACGACGAAGAACCTATGGACGGAGGAATTGGAGGAACATTTAATGGCTGGGCGAGTGGATTTCATTGTCCATTCACTGAAAGGTTCGTGACTTGTCTATGCTCCCAACAATGGGGAACGAATTCTAATAGAGTTGCCTGTCTTCAGATGTGCCAACTGTCCTACCTCCCACATGTGCGTTGGGCCCTATGATGAAGCGTGAAGATTCCAGGGATGTTCTAGTTGTTAAAAAAGGGCTACCAAGCATGTCTTTTGCCGATATGCCTGCGGGATCTGTTGTTGGAACCTCCTCCATTCGCCGTACTGCTCAACTAGCTCTAAAATACCCCCACTTGAATGTCATGGATGTTCGTGGGAATATTGGTACTCGACTTGCCAAACTGGATGCAGAGGACTCGCCTTACACTTGCATTATCTTGGCAGCTGCTGGTTTACTGAGATTGGGCCTTGATGACCGCATCTCACAGTATCTGGACTCTAAGAACGGCGGGATGCTTTATGCAGTTGGTCAGGGTGCGTTGGGCATCGAAATCCGAAAGGATGATCGGGTGATACGTGATATGCTGAACAATATCGGTCATAATGAAACAACCTTTGCCAGCCTTGCTGAGCGGAGCCTGCTACGGACCCTTGAAGGTGGCTGCAGTGCGCCACTTGGGGTTGAAACTGAATGGATTCAATCCTCTGATGGATCAAAGAAGCTTCGAATGAGATCTATAGTTGTCAGTGTGGACGGTAAGGAAAGCGCTGAGGTTGAAATCGATGGATCCGTCGAGTCCGCTCAAGCTGCTGAAGACTTTGGTGTGGCTGTCGCCAAAGAATTGGTATCCAAGGGAGCTGGAAAAATCCTCGAGGATATCCAGCGGAACAAGCAGGCCGCTTAAGTGATGATAGTATAGATAGATGTCCTGTGCTGAGGGGCTGGTCTTCTCCATGGTTCAGAAATTGTACCTAGACAGACAACTGTACATAACAGAGAAAATATCGGCTTCATATGCTCCATATCATACTTGCTATTGAAAGAAACCTCGCATGGAAGCTTGTTCCCGGTCAGATTATGTACAGTCTGCAATCGGCATTATCGAGTCTTGAGGCAAAATTAGCAAACAGCGCAAAAGTAATCTGGTATGAATAAGGCAGAGATGGGATGAACTACGCTCCAGAAGCATGATACATGGATGCATTAGAGGTGTCCTAGCAGTTTTATCTTAATATTAGCCTCTATTCAAGGTATTGCCAGAACCTCTCGGGTTCGCTTCCTTATATTCATCCCAAGCTCTTGCTTTCATAGTTTCTTCGTCAGCCCTGTCCATATCATCCTCATCTACTTCCTCTTTCATGCCGGATTTCTCCCCGCCTTGGACAACGCCGCCTCTTCTCTTCTCTTCTTCCAGGTATTCATCAATGGTCATAGTGGGTAAATTATGGCCAGGTCGGAAAACACCTTGCTGGAGCTGTGTCCGCCGATCCAGGAGCGTGAATGGTTGCATTGGTTTCCCATCCTTACTCAATATCGGTCCGAACCTGCCTCCCTGCAGAAGTTGGGAAACAGGAGGGTCTAGTCGTTCAGAGTATTCCGACTGTTGGGCGTCCTTCCGTCGTCTGGCGTCTTCTGGTAAGATCTGACCGGGGGCTGGTGCCGCGTTGCGAATGGCCGAAAGCATCGACAGCTCCTGCGAAAGAAGGTCCAAGGACTGAAATGTCTGGTGAGTATACAACTTGATCTCTGCAATATAGAGTTGTCGAACATCTTCATCATCGGTTTGGAGCCGGCTTCGATTCTCGGAGAGGTACTTCAGATACGTAAGTAAGGTTACTAACCCCTCGGAGTAAAGTCTATCCAACCTGAAGCCTTTGTTTAAGCTCCTTTTCCTCCCTGAATCTATTTATCTTCACCTCTCTCCGGGCCGCCGCATCGTTGGCAGACGTCAGCGAAAAGGACGTGGGGTTCGCAGTATATCGTTCGTAGAGCTTCTTATCCTTATCATTGAGTAATTCATAATCGTCTAAGCGCGTGAGATAGTTTTCATATTGCTCGAGTGCACGTCGAAGGGTAGGCATGCGGTCGGAGTTATATGATCTTTGGAGGAGCTCCGCAAGATGGTATGACACTGTGAGATACCTAATGGGAGCGGAAAGTATTAGTCCAGCTCGAGACACAGAAGGGACAAAGGTACTAAGATTACTGTAAATCTCCAGTTGCGATATCTTCCAGCGGTTCGTTCGAACTGAATAACGATAGCACCGCAACGAGCCGCGCGCATTCCTCGAATTTAGCTATTGTTGCACTGACTTCACTACGATATAGGTCAGAGTTAGAGTCGGGGCGAATCTCCAAAGCTGACTTCTCAGCTATTGCGGCAGCGAAAAGAGAGCGAAGATTCTGTGGTTGTTCCATTGTAGTTGTTCAAAAGAAAGGATGGTTGGAATGATCAAAGCTGCACGGCACTGTACAGAGCTCCGCGGAGAGGGGTAAAATTACAATAATTTATTGAAATTTATTAAAAAATAAAAAATAAATACCAAATAAATGGGTCCGCTCCGCGGCATCGGAATTTATTTGTCTCTAGCCCCACTATAAACATTATACTTGATATTTTAGTGACTGCTCGTGCATATATAAAAGACATAAAGTCGACTGTTAGTGTAAATCCCGTTAATTTGTGTCAGTCTGCTCAATGATTACAAGCTACCTGCAGATTGTAAGGATCCCCCAGTGATTGGTGCGCAGCGAATGTACTGGCAGTGAATTACTCTTCAGATACTACTGCCTGCCTCACTGCAGGGGATTCTATCTCGTCGGCCCTTATTTCCGAGGGGCAAAAGAGCCCATCAAGAAACAATGCGAGATTATCCAGAGGGAACCGGGTCCGAACAACGGAGTTACGCTTCATACTGCTACACGACATATTGCTCTATCTTACACATCGCAGGCTACGTTTTCTTCGATTAGATTACTTTTCCCGAACGGGGCGAACATTCTAGCGCAGCCGTGTAGGGATGGTGATACAGCTTCCTACGTCTATGGTAGGGTGCAGATACTGCCAGGCCTTCATAGTCAGCACTAAACGGTATTATCATGACATATTCTAGTACACCTTTTACATTCTTTCGCTCATTCATTAATAAATACATACTAGATTTACCGGTTCACCCTATGAATGTAGCACAGTTCTGTTCAAGGCGGAATAGATTCATTTCCCACTAACTCACATTCAGCCATCAACTTTGGAGTAGCAGGTCTCACAGGCCGATACAGTATCAGCTTGCAAGTACTAGTGCGGTAAAGCATAGCTCCACATAAGCCTTGTTGCGAACACTGCAGAACCTCATTAGCCTGAAGTTACGTAAGGCTAGCAACTACTAGAACAAAGATACAAGGCAACATTAGGCAGGTAGCGATACGTTGATTGATGCTTGGTACAATCTCCGTGTAGCCCATAATAGCATATCGTCCACGCTCAAGGCCAGCTGCGTGAGCCCAATGAAAACAGCTAGAATGCAAGTAGATGGGGACTCGGCTCTGTAGCTTGTCTGTACGTGAAAGCCTGTGGCTACCGAATTCTAGCACTTTCCACGGGTGCTTCAAGCGAAAGATGAGTATGGAAGGATTAGGCGTTGACAACTTTGTGGATTACAAATCATCTCCAGGCCTGATCGACGAAGTGAGGACTGTCCCCGATGGAGGGCCTCATGCAATTGTGGTCGTTGTCTCAGTAAAGAACCCATTTAACCAGGCGATACAGGTGATGACATCTGTTGAGATTTCAGGGGAAAGATGGGCAGAATGATACTGTATCAGCTACACGTACGTAGCCTACTGAGGACCGGATGCCATTCCGATAGATACTCAATTCTATGGACGACTGTATCAACTATCTTGAACGCTTCTTCTTCTACTTAACTACCAATTGGTAAAGCCTTCAGGGGCTGAGGAGTTGGTGATCTGGCTAAGCTACTAAGTAATCACGTGTCTCCTATAGATTCATATCAACATCCATATAGATCTCGGGTGATAGAAAACTGATTTCACAATGGGCATAGTATGTACGGCGTGGGGAACGGTTATTGTTGTAGGCATCCCACAAGGATCGATTCAAATGGGCATACTCTCCATAGTGAGTCGAAAATTACCGTGAAAGGACCATACACTGGCAACAAATATGATACGGAAGAGGCACTATAGATTTTTTGCCCCAGTTGGATTCGTAGTACCTTACAAAGTATCAGACTTTGAAGAGCTGCCAAGAGGGTATGGGCTGATGGAAAAAGGTATGTGCTGGCCTAGCCTGATGTCGTTGATTTAACCTGGCGCACTGTAAGAAGAAATGCAAGGACGCGTAGTGTTCCAGATCGGGGGAAGTGGAAAGAAAGCTGGGTTCTTTGCGACATACTCGGCCCATTCCGTCCCAGTCACTATAATCTTGGAGTAATATTAGCTTATCGTATGGAGGAGTTGGGGGTTACAGACTAGTTCGTGGTACCTGGTAAGGGAAAACCTGTCGTTCAAATAGTCTTATTCTAATGACCACTTAGGGGACTTCAACGTATCCCTCTTGGACCAGTTGCGGGAGAATAAGTCTCTTCGCATGATCGGATATTGTGACAAACTCAATGCTGGATATGCTGCTAATTGGTACGCACGCCAGGCAGAGTAGCTGTCGTAGCTGTAACTTTTATGGTTGGGTCTTTCTATATTCAATGCTATCGCGGGCGCATATCCAAAAGGTCTCAGAGCAATAGTCATATCAGGGTGCCTACCCCAAGATACATTTGGTCAGGACAGGTTGATTCATCATATGTACATTAGGTACCAAGGGCAGATATCAAGCCCTACGAGTTTTTGCTGAAGTCACCACTTTATCCACACGCATTACCGCCCAAAGCAATCCTGTTAAGAGCTTCGATTATTCAATTGCCCGATCCTTACATGATTCCCTTCCTTTTTATATCGAAATCCTGTCTAACCTTGCTCAGATACCGGTAGCTTGCGAGACTCCTACCCCAATCTCAGTATATGAACCTTGCAAGCACAACCATCTCACGTCTTAGCCGCAGTTGTTGCCATCATGTATGCTTGAAGGTCAACTGCGAAGCCTATAAAGCTTGTGGGCGCCCGTGCTTGTCATGGTATCTCTCCTGATATACTAATGGCTTTGATTGATAAACTTGGATGCGCCGTATTCGTTCAGCCAGATGGAAAGTCCACTGTTCCTGAGTCGCATCCATAATTTAGAGGAACATTCTGACCTTCTGCTAGCGAACCAAAATGCAAAGAGGCTGTTATGGGCTCTGGCCTATGGGTAACTGTAGGATGCCATTGGACCGATCATCATACACTTGGCAGTTGCCTTGACATTTGTTGCCTTGATATTTGTCGTGGGTCTCACCGTATCTTAGGCTTCAAAGTTATTGCATTACAGCACCAGATGGTAATGTAATTGAAGGGATTTGCCTTGGACAGATATCGGATGCTCTGATCAAATCCGATATTCCTCAAAAACCCACCACACTGACTTCATTACAGGCAATCCCCAGTGTCGCAAAGATGGACGAGAGCGTTATCAATAACCCAGCTCTATCAGTATATACTGTCCTTCAGGGTATCCAAGTTATTCTCAGCCCCAATGATACACTCATTGCTAAGACAGGGGATAGCTAGTTTAATGCACAGGCAATAAAACTGCCCAGTGGAACCAAATTCCATATGCAAATGATATACCGTTCAATGGGGTGGAGCTTACCATCAACTTAAGGCTATCAATTAGGGAGGCTAGATGGAAGAGTTATAACTATGATTGGGGATGGTAGCCAAACGACGGCACAGGTGCTGAGCATCATGATTCGAACTAGGGTAAAACTCGGTTATCTTTATATTCAACAATTTAGGGTACGCAATTGAGGTATGTTAACTATGTCTGTATTCTTCCCCTCCAGCCGGGGGGAGGGAGGGAGGAGGAATCTTCCATTAGCCTACAGTACAGACTGTCATACTCGGTGGTCCTTACAACTACTGCAATAATTGGAAGCATCGTTTGTTACGAGTCTTTGTAATATGTTTCATGCCTCTTACCTCGATAATCCACACGCTCATGAAATACCTGAAAACAACATGGACCCACTTTTGTTCTCGATGCAGGTCAAGGCCAAGGCTGAGCTACTCATGGCACTTGATCGGATTGAACGAGAGCCTAGCAAAATGACTGTCCTGGACTGCTGCATCCACCCAACAATATCAGCCTTTCGCTCCGCCGCTTTGGCTCCGCCATAGGTAGTGCAAGGATTAATCAGGACTGTTAAGGAAGGGGCTAAGTCACGGGAACAATGAAGGTTATGAATTAGAACCAAAGGGAACTGCATATATCTTCAAGCGTTTAAAATGCCTAAGGTTATTACCAAATAGAGCCACACTTCGAGATTATGTTTTACGTCTCCCAGCGCAACTGCTTGATGTAGGGGTTCTTTCTATCGCTAAAACATGCTTGCCGGAGGTTTTAGGAGAATAATATAAGACTAGGCCAGACAATTTGAGAATTGTTGTCCGCACAAAGAGGGAGAGGATGAGGAACGTAGGGTCCTACCAAGGCCGGCTCTCTATAGCTTGACATAAATTAGGCAGCTAAACTTGACTCTCTAAGACTATGTTGTCGATGGGATCAGGCAGGACACGATAACAATGACGACCCTGACCGATTATATTCTACCCTTGTTATGGGCGATAGATCAGGAGAGGAAAGGTAAGAAAGACTTGGGTCGGGCAATATAGGCACGCTATTTATCAAAGAAGGGTATTACTGGGAAGCTTCTATGATCTATATTTTTTCCCAACGCTGTCAGTCTTGGTGGCACTAGTGATGGTGCCATTGCTTGTCTAATAGCAACCTTTGAGAATGTACCGAGGAAAGATAAATATCGTTTCGAGAGTGAAGAAGTATTGGTGTTTCAAGTAATTTATGGACCATAGCCTAGGCCAAGCACGAGAATAACGAATGAAATATTAACATTAAGGACAAAGGCTTTTCGTCTAATTCTATAGAATCAATATCTTCAATATACTATTTTCGAATGAAGATTTCTAATTAATCTTACTATTTTCTTAACATATTATATGCTAAGTTGGCCACATATATATAGACATTATATATCGTTTCCGCCTTCAGTAGCTAGCTCAAGACTTGACAAAATACATCTCTAAAGGCTGTAGGTCTACAATATTGAAATAATTTTTGTTATATATAGCTCATAAGTTCAATACAATTATCAAAGAAGCTTGGGTCAATTTAGGTACTGTTGCTTGATAGGACTCAATAAGGTGAATGAAACATGTGGGAAAACAAATGTTTTGACTATAAATTTTGTTCGATAGTGTAACCTCGTAGCTAACAAGCTACTACTACTTCTTTGAGTCCATAATGTGTGACCTTTCACATTCACTTTTTTTACAAAGAGAATCCCTTTTACAGCTCACTTCACCCTTCCTTTCAACTACTAGGGACCAGCCCTGACCAGATTACCAAACATGAACGCATCTTGACCTTTCTTAAATCACATAGCTGATAAAACAAGCTCAAAATGCCACTTTCAAAAGCAAGATATTCAGAGAGATGTGCCATTCACCAAGTTCCCAATATTTCCTCATCTACGGTGCTCTCCGATGAAATAACAATGTCTACCACTGAACATATTGATGGATATGATAGCTCTTCAGACGGGTCTGATGGAAATAATGAGCAAATATCCGCCCAGTCGCTCCTCTCGCAGAAGCGGAGAATTCAGAATGACAAGTTCGAGGCTTTGTACGATCCATATTCCAGGCTTCTTTGCCATCGATAGCTAACCTGGGCTTAGGCTTTCTGAACGGGCTGACACAAGCCCTAGCAATAATACTAGACCTACACCTGCCGACTTGCCTGATGCCCGGCTTTCTACGGCAAGCCTGGTAGCGAAACAAGATGCTGGGGCTGGGATGCTTGACCCGAGGGAATACCAGGCAGAACTCTTTGAAAGGGCAAAGTCACAGAATACCATTGCTGTTCTCGATACAGGTATGTTCATACAGGCTCACTCTTTAAACATTAACACTTTCAGCCCTCATGCTCTAACTGTCTAGTAGGCTCTGGTAAAACTTTAATCGCAGTGCTTCTGCTAAAGCACATTATTCAAAATGAGCTAATCGATCGTGCGAATGGCAGACTGCCTCGTATTTCCTTCTTTCTTGTGCGTATACTATGGATTGTTTACTACTTTGGTGCACTAATGTAAAACCAGGTGAATAGCGTAACGCTCGCGTTTCAACAAACGGCCGTCTTGCGGAACAATCTTGATCAGAAGGTTGCACATTTTTTCGGTGCAATGGGTACCGATCTTTGGAGCAAACAGACCTGGGACAAGTACTTTGAGAATAATATGGTGGTAGTTTGTACTGCAGAGATCTTGAATCAGTGTCTCCTCAACTCCTACGTAAGAATAGATCAAATTAACCTACTCATTTTCGATGAAGCCCATCACACGAAGAAGGACCATCCTTATGCACGGTACGTATATCTCAAAGAGACGAAATACTGGACTAATGTACTCTCAATGATTTATATAGGATTATAAGAGAATCCTACCTCAAGGCAGACCCGACAGAGCGTCCAAGAATCTTTGGAATGACAGCGTCCCCCATAGACACCAAAGGTGATATTGTAGAATCAGCTACGTACGTCATATTACATATATACAATGATATATCATTGTTCTAATTTTATATACTACAGGAACCTGGAGACTCTCTTAGACAGCAAGATTGCCACGACATCGAAGCTCACTTTGTTAAGGCAAGTTGTTAGACGTCCGATCGAGCAAGTATGGGAATATGACAAGCTCGATCTACCATTTGCGACCAAGCTATATCAGATCATGCAAAACCGCTTTGGCGACATTAGCTCATTGCAGCCTGTGTTCAGATTTACTCTGCAGGCTAGTTCCGAGCTCGGTCCATGGTGCGCGGATCGGGCATGGGTGCACGCTCTAGCAGACGATGTGTTACCCAAACTCCAAGGCAACGTGGGAAAGCTCACTCACTCTGGCACCTCATCGCAGGTTTCTGAGAGCGCTCACAAGGAGATATCGAGGATCCAGGAAGCCAGCGATATTGTCAAGGATCATTCGTTCAATAGCCCCAATGCTCCAGGTGAACTAAGCCCTAAAGTGCAGGTTCTTCGAAAAGAGCTCACGAAACATTTTGAGCATCCAAAAGAGACAAAGTGCATCATTTTTACACAAAAGCGCTACACTGCGAAGATGTTGTTCGACCTCTTCAACACTTTGGAAATACCTTACCTGCGACCTGGCATTCTTATTGGTGTCCGATCCGGCGGCATTGTCGGAATGAACGTGTCGTTCCGCCAACAGTTTCTCGCTTTGGTGAAATTCAGAAGTGGTGAGATTAATTGCTTGGTAAGAAACAAAACTTGATCTCTGCACCAGTCTCTTGTCCTAACGAGCAGAAAGTTTGCTACTTCCGTAGCTGAAGAAGGGCTCGATATCCCTGACTGTAACCTTGTCGTTAGGTATATCGCTGCATTATAGATCTTAGTCGAGCTTACATGCTAACAAAATAGATTTGATTTATACCAAACTCTTATACAGTATGTGCAAAGTCGTGGCCGCGCTAGACATTCAAGTTCAGTGGTAAGACATGGTCCAGCTACCTCTGAGCACCAAGGCAACTCTGACTTATTTGCATGCAGTATGCAACCATGGTTGAAAGGTACAATGCTGATCATGAGGCACGACTAATGGATGTGAGGGAGGCTGAGGTAAGTGTGTACCTTTGATCTAGAGCTACTAGTTTTAACGCAACAGCAGAAAATTATGCAAAGCTTTTGTGAAACACTTCCTGAAGACCGAATAATCCGTGGAATTGATAGTGATTTGAACTCAATCCTCCAGAATGAAGATGAGAAGCGGACATTTACAATCCGGGCCACAGGCGCAAAACTGACGTACCATTCTGCCCTTGCTATTCTTGCACGCTACGCTAGTTCCTTGGTGAGCATTATAGTCCCATACTGTTTCTGTCAAGTTCTTAATAAGATACATGCGTTCTATAGCAATACGAAAAGGAAACATCGGCCCAGGTGGCATATGTGGTGCTACCACAGAACAATAATTTCGTCTGTGAAGTTATTCTACCAGAAAAGTCTCCTGTCAGAGGGCTTACCGGCAGCCCAGCACCTAAGAAATCCACTTCTAAGAAGTCCGCGGCCTTTGATGCTTGTGTCTTGCTCCGAAAACACAAATTGCTTGATGATCATTTCAACTCGGTCTATCATCGACGCCTGCCTGCCATGAGGAATGCGAGACTTGCCATCACTTCATCGCGGACAAATTTATATGGCATGCTATTGAAGCCTTCATTTTGGGGAAAGCAGCAAGGTACGCTTCCAGGCACGATATATGCAACCACTATATCATTCATACCCTCGGAGCCACTCACTCGCCAACGTGGAAGTATGATTCTGTTCACTCGCGAGAGATTACCGAATTTCCCATCATTCACTATCTTCCTGGATGAGGATATAGAGACTACGGTCGCTACCGAATCTCTGGAGGGAGCCTTGCAGTTATCCAGTCAAGAATTGGATTATTTGACAACGTTTACCCTTCGTGTCTTCCATGATGTGTTTCATAAGACTTATGATAGGGAACCTGAAAATTTGCCATACTGGATTGCGCCAGCTAGGACTAAAAAGCCCAAGAAAGCCAATAATCTAGAAAGTCTGACGGACTGGGAACTGCTTCTTTTTGTGTACGACAATGAGGAAGTGCCTTTCCCTCAGGAGAAATCATCGAAGGCTATGATCAATCGCTTTGTATTTGATAGATGGGATGGGAGGTACCGATACTTCACTTTAGCCGTTGACGATACTTTGCGCCCTTCAAGCCCGCCACCATCCTCTGTGCCACGCCGTAGGTATATGGAAAACATCATGAACTATATATTAAGCGGTTCCAAGAATGCACGGACTGCCTTCCTCATGAAATGCAACTGGGCCCAGCCAGTCTTCCAAGCCGAGTTGGTTCGACTTCGGAGAAACCTTCTGGACAAAATGACAGAAGCCGAAAAAGACGTTGAAACCAGATGTTTTATCTGTATAGAGCCACTCAGGATTTCCGCTGTTAGTTAAAAACTTTGCAAAATTGAGTACCACACACGGCTTAGATGCTGACTGGCCTTTTAGATCCCTCCGGAGATCGCTGCTTCTTGCCTTGCTTTTCCGGCCATAATAAGCAGGATCGATGCATATCTAATTGCGCTAGAGGGCTGCGAAGAACTGGAATTAATCGTTAAGCCCAACTATGCGCTGGAGGCTTTCACGAAAGATTCTGATAACACAGAGGAGCATCGGTTGCAACAGATCCATGTTCAAAGAGGGATGGGGAAGAACTATGAGCGTCTTGAATTCTTGGGAGATTGTTTCCTCAAAATGGCAACGTCCATTTCCCTCTTCGTGCAGAACCCAGATGATGACGAGTTCGATTTTCATGTTAATCGAATGTGTCTCATATGCAACAAGAATCTCCTCAATTCAGCCTTGAGGAAGGGGCTTTATCAGTATATCCGCAGTCGAGGCTTCTCAAGGTATGAAAGAGCTTGTACTTGCCGAACCATTAACTGACATTAGAATATTAGGCACACGTGGTACCCTGATGGCTTGACCTTGTTGCATGGTAGGGATCACAGTAAGAAGGTCTCCGCGGAGAGCAAACATGCACTTAGAGAGAAAACAGTCGCAGACGTTTGTGAAGCTTTGATTGGAGCCTCATTGCTCTCAGGTGGGCCTGACCACCGATTCGATATGGCTGTCAAAGCGGTCAGTGCTGTTGTCGACAGCACCAATCATAAGGCCTCATGCTGGAAAGCATATATTGCGTCTTACGTGCTGCCTAAGTACCAGACCCAAACTCCAGATGGGTATGAATTGGATCTTTGCCGCAAAGTCGAGGAGAGTTTGGGATATCGATTCAAATATCCTCGTCTCTTGCATTCGGCTTTTATTCATCCATCATATCCTTCGGCATGGGCCAAAGTGCCATGCTACCAAAGGCTCGAATTCCTAGGGGACTCTCTGCTAGATATGGTTTGCGTAGAGTACTTATTCTATCGATTCCCAGACAAAGATCCACAATGGCTGACAGAGCACAAAGTAAGTACATATCTAGCCATTTTATGGCTACCAGGCATCTCATAATGAGGTCTATAGATGGCGATGGTGTCGAACAAGTTCCTCGGGGCTTTGGCTGTTAAGCTAGGGCTCCATACACATCTCAGGCATTTCAGTAACCCGCTGCAATCGCGAATCACACATTATGCCGAGGAGATCCAAGCTGCAGAAAACGAAAGCGATGGCGCAGTTGATTATTGGATGGCTACCAAGGACCCGCCCAAGGTAAGAAACTATGTATGCACAGTTTGGTGTAAAGTTCAACTAACTTCGATCATCAGTGCTTGCCGGACTTGGTTGAAGCTTATCTAGGTGCTGTCTTTGTCGACTCGAGCCTCACTTTTGAGGTGGTGGAAGACTTTTTTCAGCGCCATGTGAAAACATATTTCCACGATATGACAATATATGACACCTTTGCTAACAAACACCCGACCGTGAGACCATCTTTACAACTGTTACTGTTCGTTTATGGCTGATCAACTCTAGACCTTTTTGCAGAATAGACTGCTCAACGAGTACGGTTGCACGAATTATTGCCTTAAAGCCGGGGAGATACCCCCTGTAGATGGGGATACCGGCAGTGTCCTGGCAGCTGTCATCGTACATGACGTTGTTATTGCAGAGGCAACAGCATCTTGCGGCCGTTACGCTAAGGTTAAATCAAGTGAGAAAGCATTGAATATCTTGGAGAATATAACGTCGTCTGAATTTCGCGAGCAATATCACTGCGACTGCAGAAGGGCAAGCGATTCGCAACCTGGGGATATCGGAACAGCGATTTGATTGAGAGGCGAGTAGAGTTCAAGAAGGTGAGTACGACGGATAGTTGTTCCCATGGGTATGGGTACTCGGTATCTCTACCTAACTTATCATGTCTGCTGAATGGATTAAGTTTGATGAGGGATCCTTGAATAAGTTCTAGTAGAGGAATGTATCTTTGGGGCACTTTAGACGTCAGGCACAATGCCTACCGTTGGACCAGATGATTGTTAGTATCGACTAGTCCCGATATAGAATAGCGCCAATTGCCCCTGAAGTAGACACTGCCAGACAGCAACACGCGCGTCCCACTGCGCCGAGTTCCTAAACTAAACTAATTTACTGATTGACAAAGAGAGGTTCGGAATAGAACTACTCCGTACAAAGCATGAACTTCTAAACTACGATTATAGTCTCTCCTCTTTCTCCCCTCCTTACATCCGCCAGGATTTCCGTCTCCCTCCCTTGTTTACCTGACCTTCTTCTGGATCCGAACTATTGTCGCGATCTGTTTCTACCCGAAGCGATACCGCTATTATTGTTTCGGACCCTCCATGATCACCGCGAGTCTTTACTCTTAAGGAGTTTTAGCTATGGAGGTCGCCTCTGCCGGGGTATCGAATGGTGTCTCCGCACCAACTCAGGCATCTTTCGTGGACACGAGTGTTATAATCCAGTATTTGAGCGATGTGCTGCAAGTAACTTTGGGAGCTCTGAGAACCGAGCTAGAAAGGACTGGCAGCTTGCTTTCGGATGCGAAATACAATGAAACAGTGCAACGATGTACGCGATTTACTTCGGAATCTCAGGTCGCACTTTATGTGCAAAAGGATCTGGTAGCATCTGAAGAGGCAACTGGTACAGACGATGAAGGTATGGGTGTTTCTCAGGTCGAATTTGAACCGGCAACCAATAATAAACCCATCACAGCGTCGTCAACCCACTATATTTATAATCTCTCCGCCGAAATCTCGTCCTCCTCCACTACGGTCGCAACAGTTGCCTTCATCAAACGACCTGCCGCTATTGATCCGATGCTGCCTATGTCCTCCCAGATCCAGGTGATGAATTTTCCTGGGCCAGCATCTCTAAGCAATGCGCAAGCTCAGCAAAACACTTCGTTGTCGCCATATGAAATTCTTCATCTCCTGGTGCACCATGGGCTGAGCCCATATTTCGAAGCCAACAGTCGTAACCAGGACACTGCCAGCGGCTTGAAGCCTAGGACGGATACGGAAGCGAAGACTGGTGTTCCTATGACCAAGAAGAAGTTTGCAGAGTTGGAACTTGGACTTCTACACTTGCAGCAAAATGTTGAGATCCCGGCACTGAGCTTGCCGCTCCACGAGGTAGTACAAGCTGCTCTGACCGAGGCAGAGAAGCGAAGTGTCAAGCCTTCTGTGGAGCTAATCGAACCCACGATACTCGAGAGCAGTACTTTTATCAATAGCATCCAAACCAATGTGAACACCTGGATCAAATCTATCCAAACCATCACCAAGATGTCTCGTGACGCTGATAGCGGATCGGCAGCTCAAGAGATCAATTTTTGGTTATCCATGGAGACTGCACTTGAGGGGATCGAGAACCAACTACGTGGTGATGGTGTCCAATTGACTATGGATATTCTCCGCCATGCAAAGCGATATCAAGCTACACTTAGTTTTGTAGCAGACACCGGTCTCCGCGAGGCTGCCGATTTGGTTCAAAAGTATAACCAACTTATGCGGGACTTCCCATTGGATGAGCTTCTCTCTGCCACGACTTTGCAGAAGGTGCAAGAATCTCTCAATCTAATCTTCAACCACCTCAACAAGAAGCTCAAGATCTGCCCCTACCCGATCAAGCGAGCTCTTGCACTTGTCGAAGCCATATCCGGTGATCTAGACTCACAGGTCCATTCTTTGCTTCACGGTCGGACTATCTTACACTTGGACTACCGCGAGTTTCGCTCTTTAATGAAGACTTGTGGCGCCATTTGGCGGACCTGGGACGAAAATTTGAAAGAATTCACCAACGTTGCGCGTGAGTCTACGAGACGCAGGAACGAAAAGTTTATCCCTATTAAGATCGCTGCACGCCACGAGAAGACCCAGGAGCGTTTAAAATACATCAACACATTCCGGGTTAATCATGAACAGCTTCAAAGGACTATCGTAAACGTTCTCGGTCCGAAGAGCTCTTCCGCAGGGGAGACAGCTACCGGAGCTAACTCTGATGGTGCGGTGATTGTCGAGGAAATCGGAGATGTGGATGCAGTCGAAGAAGTCGCACAGGCTTATGCTGCCTTGAAGAATGTGGACGTGTTAGACGTGTCTGATGAGGGAACTCAATCATGGATACAGGAAGAGATCGCATATAATGAGCGTACGTCCCGTGTGGAGAACTCGATAATTGCCCGTCTTCGGGACCGACTAGCTACGGCTAAGAATGCCAATGAAATGTTTCGTGTCTTCTCAAAGTTCAATGCGCTTCTTGTTCGTCCCAAGATCAGAGGTGCAATTGGGGAGTATCAGACGCAGCTTATCGACAACGTGAAGCAGGATATCTCTTCCTTGCACGAGCGTTTCAAGCAGCAGTATGGCCACTCTGAGGCGCATGCAATGGCGCAATTGCGTGATCTCCCTCCCGTATCCGGTGCGATTGTATGGGCACGTCAAATCGAACGGCAACTCGATGCCTATATGCGCAAGGTCGAAGATGTGCTGGGTGAAGACTGGCATCTACATTCCGAAGGACAGAAGCTCCAAGCTGAGAGCAACCTCTTCAGGAAGAAGCTTGATACTCGACCGGTCTTCGAATCGTGGTTGCACGATGTGCAAAGACGCCATATCACAATATCTGGCCGCTTATTCAATGTTGTCCGCAATCGAGCCGCTGGAAACACTTTGGAGCTCACAGTCAACTTCGATGCCCAAGTCATTGCTTTGTTTAAGGAGGTTAGAAACCTTATTTGGCTTAATTTCCAAGTGCCTCATGCCGTTAGCAATATATCCAAAGAAGCCAAGCGCGTGTATCCCTTCGCCATCAGTTTGATGGAGAGTGTTCGTACCCTGCTGCAAACCAACCGGTCCATTGCATCTATGACAGATGTTGCAATCCTGCTCAACGGATACGTGAATGATGCCCAAGGCATGATTGTAAAAGGAATTCCGCTCCGGTGGGAGTCATTTGTTCACTCGTACGAGCTCCATGTAAAGCAGTCAGCTTTGGCCAATGGTGCTATTGAATCTACCATTCCTAGCAGAGGGGAAAGCAAACATGTCCAGTTTGTTCGTGAATTTGCGGGCTCAGCCTCTGTGCTCCAGTCTAAAACTGCCGTTCTGGCTTCGATCAACGAGAGTATCCAGAAGGCTATCCACGAACTCAAAACATGCCCCTATGACGCTTCGGCATTTAAGCAGCGTCTTGATGCTATTCAAGTTGCCGTAGATAAGCTGAACTTGGAGAATTATGTTAACCTTGGTTACTGGGTTGCAAACTTAAACCAAAAGATCGAGACCATTTTACGTGATCGCCTCCACCGAGCTATACGTGAATGGATAAATTCTTTCCAGGAAGCGAAGAATGGAGAGCACAGTTTGCAACTTATGAATGGAGGCCATCAGCTTGCCACTGGTGAAGGAGAAGCTTTGGCTTACAATATTGAATTCCCTGGCCTGGTTCATGAGATTTCTATGCGGAACCAAGTCCTCCATCTAGACCCTCCTTTGCAATTCGCTCGTGCGAGCTGGCTCTCGCGATTTGATAACTGGCTAGGCGTTGTTTGCAACCTTGAGAAAATCAAATCTTCCCGGTATCAAATTTCGATCGATGTACAAAAGGTGCACTTTTCCGAATCTTGCTTTGCAAATCTCCCACAGCATTGTACCGACGAACTCAACCAAGTTTACAATGCCATCGAGGCTAGACTGAAGGAGGTATCGGAGTACGTTGATAAATGGTTGCAATTTCAATCACTCTGGGATCTACGGTCAGAGCAAGTATATGATATCCTCGGGGATGACTTGTCTCAATGGCTACAGTTGCTTCAGGAGATCCGTAAAAGTCGAGCTACCTTCGACACTTCGGAAGTGAGCAGGTCGTTTGGTAATATCAAGGTAGATTACGAGCAGGTCCAGACCAGAGTCAATGCCAAGTACGATCAATGGCAGCACGAGATCCTACTGAAGTTCGGATCTAAGCTCGGAGGCCGAATGAGAGAAGTCCATTCTGAGATTGCCTCTGCTCGACGTGACCTAGAAGGACAAACTCTAGAAGCTGCTTCAACAGCCCATGCGGTCTCATTCATTACGATAGTGCAACAGTGCAAGCGTAAGGCAAAAGTATGGGAGCCCGAAGTTGATCTTTTCCGACAAGGCCAGGCCACACTTGCACGCCAACGTTATCAATTTCCCAGTGACTGGCTTCACGTGGAGAATGTCGATGGCGAGTGGGCAGCTTTGAACGAATTGCTTGCACGAAAGAGCAAAATTGTCCAAGACCAAACAGAGGGACTGCGTGCTAAGATTACTGCGGAGGACAAAGTTATCGGTGACAAGATCACCGAAGTCATTGCCCAGTGGAATGAAGAAAAACCTGTGTCTGGCACGATTCCACCTGATGAAGCTTCTCGCACACTGAGCTCGTTCCAGTCACGCCTAGAGGGCCTTCAGTCCGAATATGAGATGGTATCTAAAGCAAAAGAGGCTCTAGACCTGCCAGCAGGCGCAGAGTCTGCTTTGCCAGCAATCCTCGAAGAAGTCCAAGATTTCATGTCTGTGTGGGCTGCTCTGTCAACCATCTGGAAGAGTCTGAATGACCTTAGGGACATGCTTTGGACGAGCGTACAGCCAAGAAAACTTCGTCAATCGATTGATGGTTTGATTAAGATGACAAAGGAGATGCCTAGCCGAATGCGCCAGTATGCTGCTTTTGAGCATATCCAAAATGTCCTCAGACAGCTGCTGAAAGTCAACCCCCTACTTTCCGACATGAAGTCTGAAGCTGTTCGGGAAAGGCACTGGCACAAAATCTATAAATCACTCAAACCTGGGAAGAGATTTTCTCTTGTCTCTTTGACCCTCGGGGATGTGTGGGATTTACAGCTCACCGCTAGCGAGACAGTGATCCGTGATATCATCGCTCAAGCCCAAGGTGAAATGGCACTAGAGGAATTCTTGAAATCTGTCCGAGAGACGTGGCAAAATTACTCCCTTGATCTTGTCAATTATCAAAACAAATGTCGCCTGATCCGCGGTTTCGACGATCTCTTCGCGAAGTGCAGCGAGAACTTGAACTCTCTGCAGGCAATGAGGCATTCGCCATACTTCAAAGAGTTTGAAGAGGAGGCGTCTTCCTGGGAAGACAAGTTAAACCGTGTTCATGTTCTGTTTGACGTGTGGATCGACGTTCAGAGACAGTGGGTCTACCTCGAAGGTGTCTTCACCGGTAATGCCGATATCAAACATCTCCTTCCTCTGGAATCAAGCCGCTTCCAGAATATTAACTCGGAGTTCTTCGCTGTGATGAAGAAAGTGTATAAGTCGCCTTTTGTGCTCGATGTACTTGCCATCAATGGTGTACAGAAGTCATTGGAGAGATTGGCGGAGCTCCTTAACAAGATTCAGAAGGCATTAGGTGAATACCTAGAGCGAGAGCGTGTCTCGTTCCCTCGCTTTTATTTTGTCGGTGATGAAGATCTTCTCGAAATCATCGGTAACAGCAATGATATCTTCCGTGTGGCGAAGCACTTCAAGAAAATGTTCGCCGGGCTGTCAGGAGTCCTCATGGATGATGATAGCAACATTGTTGGTTTTACATCTAAGGAGGGCGAAGAAGTTCGACTGAAGAAAGAAATCAACCTTGTGAAAACACCTAGGATCAATGACTGGCTTACTGCTATTGAAAGTAGCATGAAATTGACGCTTGCAGAGCTCCTCGCCGAAGCTGTCGAGCAGTTTGAACCACTGTATCATGCCACTGAGGTTGACCAAACTGCTTTTAATGACTTCCTCGCCAACTATCCCGCCCAGATTGTCGTTCTCGCGAGTCAAGCAGTTTGGACGAATACGGTACAAAAGTCCTTGGAGAATGGCGGAACTAATCTTCCAGCACTGTATGATTCGCAAGTTAGAGTGCTTGAACTTCTGGCCGCCACGGTCCTTGGTGACTTAGACGCAATTAGCAGGAAGAAATGTGAACATATGATCACAGAATTTGTCCACCAGCGTGACGTTATCTCGAAGCTCATTGAATCCAATGCTGGAACCCCCATGCACTATCTCTGGTTGCTCCAGATGCGCTATGTTTATCAGCCGGAAGGCGATTTCCTTCAGCGGCTATATGTTCACATGGCTAATGCCAAATTAAACTATGGATTTGAGTACTTGGGGGTTCCTGAACGCCTCGTCCGCACACCTCTTACGGACCGCTGTTTCCTGACGCTCACGCAAGCGTTGTGTCAAAGACTGGGTGGCTCACCTTATGGTCCAGCCGGTACCGGAAAGACCGAATCGGTTAAAGCGCTAGGCCTTCAGCTTGGTCGCTTTACTCTTGTGTTCTGTTGTGATGACACGTTCGATTTCCAGGCTATGGGCCGAATCTTCCTTGGTATCTGCCAAGTTGGTGCTTGGGGCTGTTTTGACGAGTTTAACCGTCTAGAAGAACGAATCCTTTCAGCCGTTTCTCAGCAAATTCAGAATATCCAAATCGGCCTTAGGAATGGCGAAACCGATGAAAAGGCGCAAATCGAGCTTGTTGGTAGACGACTTTCTGTCAATCGCAACACTGGAATTTTCATCACAATGAATCCGGGCTACGCAGGACGTTCCAATCTACCCGATAATTTGAAGAAATTATTCAGAAGCGTTGCAATGTCCAAGCCCGACAAAGAGTTAATCGCTGAGGTTATGCTTTTCTCTCAGGGATTCAAACAGGCCAAGATTTTGTCTACACAGACAGTGCCTTTCTTCGACCGCTGCTCCTCACAACTGTCAAAGCAAGCTCACTATGACTTCGGCTTGCGTGCTCTAAAAAGTGTCTTGGTAAGCTCAGGAGGTCTTAAGCGTACTCGTATCGCTAACAATGACGGCGACCTGGGACCTGATGAAATTATCGAGCCCCAAATCATCGTCCAAAGCCTCCGGGAAACCATTGCTCCCAAGCTAGTCCGGGAAGACGTTGAAAAGATGTTAGAGATTCAGTCTGACGTTTTTGCTGGAGTCGAGTATGTGCCTGCAAACTATGAAAAACTCACCGCAGCTGTCCGTGAGATTGCCCATGAACTGCACTACGTTGACAGTGAGATGTGGATTACCAAGGCGCTCCAGCTTTATCAAATCCAATGCATCCATCACGGTGTGATGATGGTGGGCAAATCAGGCTCTGGAAAATCTGCCGCTTGGAAAATTCTTCTCCAAGCCTTGCAACGAATTGAAGGCGTGGAAGGTGTCTCTCATATCATAGATTCGAAGGTCATGTCCAAAGAGGCGCTCTATGGTAATCTTGACAGCACCACTCGAGAATGGACCGACGGCTTGTTCACAGGCATACTGAGAAAGATAGTTGATAACCTTCGAGGTGAAGATACGAAGAGGCACTGGATTGTGTTCGATGGTGATGTTGACCCCGAATGGGTCGAAAATCTTAACAGTGTTCTTGACGACAACAAGCTTTTGACTCTTCCTAACGGAGAGCGTTTGAATCTACCTCCGAATGTACGTATTATGTTCGAGGTCGAGACACTCAAGTATGCTACATTGGCAACAGTCAGTCGTTGCGGTATGGTGTGGTTCAATGAAGATACCGTCACACCCTCAATGATGATTTCCAATTACGTTGAGTCCCTCAGGACGAGGACCTTTGAAGATCTGGATGATGACAGCGCCCCTGCAGGCCAGGCTGCCATTAAAACTCAGGATGCGCAGGATATGGTTTCCAATGTTTTCAAGCACCTCATGCAGAGCAGTGACCTCATCCTGACTTCTCTAGAGGAGGCCAAGAAGTATAACCATATCATGGAGTTTACCGATATACGTGCCCTCAATACCTTGTTCAGTCTCTTGAACAAGGCTTGTAGGAACGTCTTAGAGTACAATGTCCAGCATGTTGATTTCCCGCTTGATTCTGAGCAGATAGAATCCTACGTCTCCAAGAAGCTACTTCTAGCGCTTGTATGGTCATTCACTGGAGACTGCCCACTGGTTGATCGCCAGTTATTCGGGCAATTTGTGTCTGCTTTGTCCACAACTGACCTACCACCTGAGGGCTCGTCGTCTCTTATCGATTTTGATGTTACTTTGCCCACGGCTGAGTGGTCCAGTTGGCAATCGCAAGTTCCTACCATTGACATCAATACCCATTCTATCACGCAGACCGATGTGGTCATCCCCACAGTCGACACCGTTCGCCATGAAGATGTTCTCTATTCTTGGCTTGCAGAGCATAAACCATTGTTGCTTTGCGGTCCCCCAGGTTCTGGTAAAACCATGACCTTATTTGCTGCCCTTCGGAAACTTCCCAACATGGAGGTTGTCGGTCTCAACTTTTCTAGTGCTACAACTCCTGATCTTTTGATCAAGACATTTGAGCAATACTGCGAGTACAGGAAGACGCTCAACGGTGTTATCATGTCTCCAAACCAGATCGGTCGCTGGCTAGTTATTTTCTGCGACGAAATTAACCTTCCGGCCCCTGACCGGTACGGAACGCAGCGTGCTATCACATTTTTGCGCCAGCTGGTTGAACAGAATGGTTTCTGGAGGACATCTGATAAAACATGGGTTACTCTGGACCGCATTCAATTCGTCGGAGCGTGCAATCCTCCAACTGATGCTGGTCGTACACCACTAGCCGAAAGATTCTTACGCCATTCTCCGTTGATCATGGTTGATTATCCTGGGGAAATTTCGCTCACACAGATTTACGGCACCTTTAATTCCGCTGTTCTGAAAATTCTACCCCTTCTGCGCGGCTACTCCGAGTCTCTAACCAAAGCCATGGTGCAGTTCTACTTGGAGTCTCAGGCCAGGTTCACTGCTAAGATTCAACCCCATTACGTGTACTCACCTCGTGAACTTACTCGGTGGGTCCGCGGTGTGTATGAGGCTATCAAGCCTCTCGAGAGTCTTACTGTAGAAGGTTTAGTTCGAATTTGGGCACACGAGGCTTTGCGTCTTTTCCAAGATCGGCTTGTCACCGAAGAGGAGAGGAGTTGGACCGCCGATGCGATTCGTCGCATTGCACTCGATAACTTCCCTACCATTAATGATGAACAAGCCCTGAAGGGACCAATCCTGTTCTCCAACTGGCTGTCCAAGCATTACGTGCCCGTGGAACAGGAACGACTGCGCGACTTCGTTAAAGCCCGACTGAAGACGTTCTGTGAGGAGGAAGTCGATGTTCCTCTTGTCTTGTTTAATGATGTCCTGGAGCATGCATTGCGTATTGATCGTGTTTTCCGCCAGCCTCAAGGTCATCTCATTCTGATTGGTGTCAGTGGAAGTGGCAAAACAACGCTATCCCGTTTTGTTGCATGGATGAACGGTTTGAAGGTGTTCCAAATCAAGGTGCACGGAAAGTATTCTTCTGAAGACTTTGACGATGATTTAAGGAGCGTCCTCCGCCGGGCGGGATGCAAGGGCGAGAAGATTTGCTTTATCATGGATGAAGCAAACGTTCTCGACTCCGGATTTCTTGAACGTATGAATACCCTCTTAGCTAACGCGGAAGTCCCCGGTCTGTTTGAAGGGGATGAGTTCTCTTCTCTGATGACAGCATGTAAGGAGGGTGCACAACGCCAAGGTCTGCTCCTTGACACTCAAGAAGAACTCTACAAGTGGTTTACACAGCAAATTGTCAAGAATCTGCATGTTGTTTTCACCATGAACCCTCCCGAGGAAGGATTATCGTCTAAAGCTGCCACAAGCCCTGCCCTGTTCAACAGATGCGTTTTGAACTGGATGGGTGATTGGTCTGACCAGGCACTCTTCCAAGTTGGTTCTGAGTTAACACAGTCTGTTGATCTGGACAAACCCAATTTCGTTGCGCCTGATAGCATACCTGTGGCTTATAGAGATCTGAATCTTCCCGCATCTCATAGAGATGCAATTGTCAACGCCATGGTTTATATCCATCACTCTTTACAGCGATTTAACCAGCGTCTGCAAAAACAACAAGGCAAGACAACATACCTTACACCTCGTCATTACCTTGACTTTGTTGCTCACTATGTGAAACTCTTCAATGAGAAACGGGAGGACCTAGAGGAGCAGCAAAGACACTTGAACGTCGGTCTCGAGAAACTGAGAGATACCGTAGATAAAGTTAGTGATCTGCGCGCCAGTCTTGCACAGAAGAAGACGCAGTTGGAACAGAAAGACAAAGAAGCGAATGAGAAACTGCAGCGCATGGTTGCTGACCAACAGGAAGCGGAGCGACGCAAAGCGGCATCTCTCGAGGTACAAGCAGCCCTAGAGAAGCAGGAACAGGAAGTGGCCAGCCGCAAGGAGGTTGTCCTTAATGACCTTGCTCGCGCCGAGCCTGCTGTGTTGGAAGCAAAGAAGAGTGTGAGCAATATCAAACGTCAGCATCTTACCGAAGTCCGTTCTATGGGCAATCCCCCAGCTAGTGTTCGTCTTGCTCTTGATGCTGTCTGCACTCTACTTGGTCACAGAGTCGACAGCTGGAAGACCATCCAAGGCATTGTACGAAGGGACGATTTCATCGCCAGCATCGTCAATTACAACAACGAAGAACAGATGACGAGAAACCTTCGAGTTAGGATGCAGAACGATTTCCTTTCCAATGAGGACTTCACCTATGAGAGAGTCAACAGAGCTAGTAAGGCTTGTGGTCCTCTCGTTCAATGGGTCGAAGCTCAGGTCAATTATTCCGAGATCTTGGATCGCGTCGGACCCTTGCGTGAAGAAGTGGGCAAACTGGAAGAGAAAGCTTTGAATACCAAAGCCGAGGCGCAGGCCATTGAGAATACCATCCAGAGCCTCGAAAGTAGTATTGCCACATACAAGGCGGAATACGCTGCCCTCATCAGTGAAACCCAAGCGATCAAGACAGAGATGTCTAGAGTTCAGTTCAAGGTTGATAGGAGTGTCCGTTTACTCGACAGCTTGGCATCCGAGCGTACAAGATGGGAGGAGGGTAGCCGATCATTCGAAACACAGATCAACACCCTTGTTGGTGATGTTCTCATTGCTGCAGCTTTCCTCGCCTACGCAGGATTCTACGATCAGCAATTCCGAAAAGCCATGGTGGATGACTGGGTCAACCAACTTGTACAATCTGGAATCAGCTTCAAGCCTCATAATCCGATAACTGAGTACCTGTCGAATGCTGATGAGCGTTTAACTTGGCAAGACCATTCACTCCCCGTCGATGATCTTTGCACAGAAAACGCTATCATCTTGAAGCGTTACAACAGATATCCATTGATCATCGATCCCTCTGGTCGTGTCACTGAATTCTTGCAAAAGGAAAGCACGGAGAGAAAGCTCACTGTTACTAGCTTCTTGGACGATTCTTTTGTCAAGCAACTTGAGAGTGCTCTGCGTTTCGGAAACCCTATTCTTATCCAAGATGCCGAGTATTTGGATCCAATCCTTAACCACGTTCTCAACAAGGAATATCAGAAGACTGGAGGTCGTGTTCTGATCCAACTTGGTAAACAGGAAATTGACTTCTCACCCTCATTCAAGCTATTCTTGTCGACAAGGGATCCGTCTGCTGCTTTCCCACCAGATGTCTGCAGTAGAACAACATTCGTCAATTTCACTGTCACTCAAAGTAGTTTGCAGACCCAGTCTCTCAATGAAGTCTTGAAGTTCGAGCGGCCTGATGTTGACGCGCGACGTACCGATCTAGTCAAGCTGCAGGGAGAGTTTAAGGTTCATCTTCGTCAGCTTGAAAAGAAACTTCTGCAGGCTTTGAACGAGTCCCGTGGCAACATTCTGGATGATGATAATGTTATTGAGACTCTCGAAACGTTAAAGAACGAGGCGGCAGAGATCTCGAAGAAGATGGTGGAAACCGAGGGTGTCATGACTGAGGTGGAGAATATCACACACAATTACAGCATCATTGCCCGCTCCTGCAGCGCTGTATTCGCTGTGCTAGAACAGCTTCACCATGTCAACCACTTCTACCAATTTTCGCTTCAGTTCTTTGTTGACATCTTCCACTCTGTCCTCTACAATAACAAGCGTCTCGCCCGGGAGAAGGAGCATTCTGCACGAGTCCAGATCATTCTTCGAGATCTGTTCATTACAACCTACCAGCGAACATCCCTGGGATTGGCCCAGAAGGATCGTATTACGCTGGCGATGCTCTTAGCACAAGCCGCCCCATACCCCATGGATAAAGGGATCATTGACATCGTCCTGGATGAATCAACAGAGGGTGTGGATCTGTCAACATCTCCAGAGCTTAAAGATCAAGTGATGAACAGGATTTCCAACATGACAGTCTTTAAAGCGAAGTTTCCAGCGGTGCCCGCAGAACAGTGGGACCAATTCTTCGGCGAAGAGCTCACAGAAAACTTTGTCCCCATTATCTGGGAGGAGAATACTGAGCCTATCAATCAATTACTTCGCTCGTTGTTACTTGTGAAGCTTTGCAGAATGGACAGGTTTGTACCAACTGCTGAGCGCTTCGTTGAAGCTGTCTTTGGCCGTGAGCTGTTCGAAGGAAGTCCCGACTTGAAGGATATTGTTGATCAAGTGACTGCTACTACTCCTATTTCTCTTAGCTCAAGTCCAGGTTTCGATGCTAGCTACAAGGTCGATGCCCTGGTTGAACGCATGCAGGCGACTTGTGCGAACATTGCAATGGGTTCGAACGAAGGTCTAAAGAGCGCTGACAAGGCGATCAGCAATGCAGCAGCAGCAGGAACCTGGGTTTTGATCAAGAACGTACACCTGGCACCCTCATGGCTGCAAAGCCTTGAAAAGCGACTTGAGTCCCTCAAACCTCACAAAGACTTCAGACTCTTCCTCGCGATGGAATCCAGCCCCAAGATCCCTGTCAACCTCATCCGCGCCTCCCGTGTCCTCATGTATGAGCAGCCGGCTGGTGTACGTGCCAACATGAAGGACTCACTTTCATCATTGTCCGTCAGGGCTGGTAAGCTACCAGTCGAGAAAGCTCGTGTCTATCTTCTGCTTTGCTTCTTGCATGCTGTTGTTCAAGAAAGACTTCGTTATGCTCCTAACCTTGGTTGGAAGGGTTTCTGGGAGTTCAATGATAGCGACGTAAGTTGTTCCCCTTGCATGCCATTTAGATGAAACTAACATGATTCTTACCAGTATGAATGCTGCGCCTACATTATCGATCACTGGGTTGACAACGTTGCCCAGGGCCGATCCAACGTCGCACCTCAGAAGCTCCCATGGGACATGATTCGCACGCTTGTGACTGAAACATACGGCGGAAAGGTTGACGACCATGGCGATTTCCAGCAACTAGAGAGCTTAGTCGACAGCTTCCTTACCCCGGTAGCCTTTGAGGATGACTACAAACTGGTGTCTGGCGTCGAGAACGACGAATGCTTGACCCTCCCTGGCACAACAGGTATCCGGGACTTCGTCGAGTGGGTCAATCGACTCCCTGAGAGAGAGCCCCCGACATACCTCGGCTTGCCAGCCAATGCGGAGAAATTACTATTAGTCGGTCATGGTAACAAGGTGATCTCGGACTTGGCCAGGGTGACTACGTTGTTGGATGAAGGGGAGCAATTGATGGTTGATGCCTGAATCGAGGGTTCGTGATCTCAAAAACTGTCAATTTCCCATTTTCTCGCGGTTTTCATTTCCCTCTTCCTTTTTTCTTTTTTGTCTATTTCATGTTGCCTAATTCTTTGTCATAGAATATACTCAGTGCCGCAGGCGGATACTTTCTTGTCAATCTTCTTCTAATGATGTATTCTGGTCTATTCGTCGTTCTATATCGGTCGCTGTCTACATACCTTGTCTTTTTTTTTTAAAAAAAAAAAAAGTATTTTAAATTGTACTTGTATTGCAACTATAGAATTATCCATAGTGAATTGATAAATTATTACATTCTGCAATACTCCAAAGAAACAACATGGCATAAGCCAAGCTTCAAAGCGACGCCCAATCTGGAGACCAACCAGGCTACATCGAACCATATCCCACCACTCCCAAAAGTATCTCAAAAACCGTACAGGGTACTACCAAGCTGTATATCCATCCAAGATATCAGTTTCCGGTTGCAAATTGATGTACTTCCGGTATGAGGAACTTACTCTCTGTAGAGCGTAGAGAACCTATTCCATATACAACACGAGGTCAGTCTATATCCTTTGAACCTAGTCATGTTGGTCGACAACTCACGTCGCGAGAATTTACCACCTAGATTTTAGAAAGATTAGCCAATGTCTATAATATAACATACTGATCCCTTTCTTTCTTGGTATTGTTATAGGTTAAAAGAAGAGATAGAGGGCGGGAACATTTACCTTTCGCTGGCGACAGTGGATATCTGAAGACTCCAGCACAAGGACCACAATTCTCAGAATCTTCATACAGTTAGCAAGCTTCAATGCAGGCTAGCTGTAAAACTGATATAAAGGGACTCGGTCGGTGTAGCGTTTCAAGATAGAAAGGTAAACAAACGTGAATAACCCCGGCCAGAAGTTGAACGTACCTCGGTGATACGGTCTTTGATTGCTTTGCGGACCTCATCGTAAATGTCCTTTTTCATGCGTTCCACTCCTCCACGGCGAGCGAGACGACTTATATATCACAGTATCAGAGATCAGAGAAAATACAGGATACGTCCGCGGATGTCATTTTAAACGGGAGTAAATTTACCGGATAGCAGGTCGTGCTGTACCCAATGGTCAGTAATATAAGCTTATATTGGCTCAGAGACGGTAAACTCACTGATTCCCATGATGTTGTCGTGCAGCTTCCTATCGCAGGCGGTGTTAATATAGTTGTCTCCATAGATGGCTTAGGTGTTAAACCAGAAATAAGACGCTCAGGGTGAAGGGCGGGACGAAGGGATATTGATATCGACATACTTATGGCGTTTCATTGGACGGGAGATAGAGCCCTTGGGAAAATTATCAGGATTCATTTCTGCTGGTTGAGTTGGTTGGATGGTTTTCGGTGTGCTGTGAGACGGGTTGTGATGTGTTCTCGAGGCCCCCCAAGATAGCCCAAAGTTAAGAAGTCTTCAGCTACCTACTTGGATGCAGACCATAATAATAGTGAATAATTTCCACGGAGAAACACAAAATGGTAGCAGGGGAAGCGTGGGTTTCAAGGTGCTCATCAAATATGTGACATTGATATTGAGATACAAATTTAGGTAGAAACATTACAGATTCTTGTATGATGTTTGTTAGATATTAGGAGTTGGGTTTTGTGTTGCATATCAGCTGCAACAGTAGGAAAGTCAACGATTAACACTCAATAACGCCATGGAGTCTCCGAAAATAGTGATCTATGTATGTAGCGTCATTCAAGAGATGAATGTCGATTCGGAGAACATCACACCCTCTTCTGTAACTTCATCATCTCCGATCTTCATCTTCAGCGTAAGCTTCTGTTGGGGAGCGTACTAAATATCGGTCAGTATGGTAGATCAACATGAGAAAGGAAGAAGCTTACCTGGAATATATACGGCCGCGTGCCAGCCACACTACCAGCGATGGTCTTGATGAAGCCGGGCACCTCTGCCATGACGTCGATACGGTCCAATCTCCTGCCAAGTGGGCCGTCGACTTCCGCACGGACACACTTCTCATCCTTGGACTTGCCTTCCCAAACCCACTTGATGGATTTCGGCTCCGGCCAGTCGCTATCCTGATCCTGGGCCGCCTCGGTATGGGTAGCCGAGTTGGTCACACCGGCGTAAATGATCTCTCCATCTTTAACGATACCACCGACATTGACCACGGTCGACCCGTAGGAGGGTGGTGTTGTAAACTCCATCATGACGGCGGTGTATGTGGGAGTCTGGAAGTTGATGAAGTTCCATCGCGCAGCTACCGTTTGGTTAAAACTCTAATGTTTTAGATATCTCTTTGACGATCACCACTTACCAGCGTGATGCGGCTTCATGCCTTGAAGACCATGAATGAACATACCACGACCTCTGAGGTCATATGTTTGCTCCTTGGTGGTGATCGTTCCCTCAACAGCACAACGGGGCCAGAAGGCATGGCTCATGGAACCCCAAGGGTTCTGCGGATCGGTACCAAAGTAGGAAGTACCATCTTTTCCAATGACGAAACCGGGGGAGGAACGGTTGAAGGTGATGTTCACCAGACAGTCTTCGTTCACGGCGGATTTCAATGTGTAGGCGTTACCCTCCTCGCTAAGGGTCAGGGAGAGGTTGTCGGCTCCAAAGGAAAGCATACTCTCATCAAACATAAAGTTGGACAAGGGATCAGAGTACCACTTATGGGCAGCATCTCCAGTTAGGTTAAAGATCTTCGCGTTGAACTGAGCGGTAGTATGGATGCCACTAAAACAAGTGAGAGTTGGTTAGAAACAAAGACAAAAGGATTTGGGTAATAGAAGGAGGACAACGCCCCAGCCGTAGCGAAGTGATAGCCTTACACAATGTTGCTGTAGATGATCTGCACAAAAACCAAGGTACCATTGTCGGCCATGATATAGAAGGTCTTCGTCTCCACGTTTGTGTATTGGTAGGCGCGCCATCGCAGATCCTCCTTGGCGAGTTCGGTATAAGGCACTTCTTGAGCTTGTTGGGCAACCGATCGAATAGCCTCAGGGCCATAGACCGGTTCCTGCGTACCCGCAACACTCGCGAGGCTAGCCGAAGATTAGTTACGGTTGAGATAAAAAAAAACCCTCGGGAAATGAGAAACGAGGGAGATGCATACGTTGACTTGAGCCAGTTCATGATGGCCTAAAGAAAAGGTGAAAGTGATGGAGGGGCCGGGGGTAAAGTAAGGTGAATAGCGGTCGAGGAAGGAAGTGTGAAGGAAAGTGTAGGTAACGAGAAAGGGAAATCGATAGCGCGCGGGGGGAGCCAGAGGGGGGCAAGTTTAAGAGCTTGATGGAGAGGGAATGGAATTAATTTGATATTAACGGGGATCAGAACAAGGAGTAGAGTTATGCATGATTACAGAAAAAAAACAAAAAGCACAATAATCTTAACAAGTCATATAGAATTAACTATTCGTTCATTTCGTTATTTATTCTCTTCAAACATCCATTTAATGACGTTCAGTATTTCTTCGCTTGCGGTCAATCCGGTAAGTAATTCCGTTGCCGCGGCGCCATTCCGAATGTAGACAACTTACCTCTCCCCAAAACTCTCTCGCGAAAAGACCCTCTTCCGCCCCGATACATTACATTCAAAAGAAAACAAGTTCCCACTCCCCCATACCGCCGTTCTTTTCCACTTTCGGTTCTAGATCCCGTTTAATTCACCATGGCGAAAAAGGCATTGGCAAAGGATCAAATTGTGAAGCTCATCGTGGGCGCTGGACAAGCCAGTCCCAGTCCCCCAGTCGGTCCAGCACTGGGTAGTAAGGGTGTCAAGAGTATGGACTTTTGCAAGGTAAGTGTTAGGTAGCAATTGGAAATCGGAGCTCAATTATATCTCTAACCTCTTCATTGGTGGAATTATAAGTTCATGAGAGGTTTAAATAAGGCCCGTCTTACTCACTAGCAGCCTACAATATAGGAATTCAACGCCCGGACCGCACATATCAACACAGGAGTACCGGTCCCTGCGCGTGTTACCGTTCGTCCCGATCGCTCCTTTACATTCGATCTTCGCACTCCGACGACGACCTGGCTGTTGCTGCAGGCCGCGAACGTGGAACCCCGCAAGAACCGCGTGCGAGGAGCCATGAACCCAGGCCACGACACCGTTGGCACAGTATCCCTGAAGCACGTGTACGAGATCGCCAAAATCAAGCACTCCGAAACTAGACTATCAGGATTGAGTCTGCAGGGCCTCTGCAAGAGTGTGGTCGCTCAGGCGAAGTCCATTGGCATTCAAGTTGTTCCATAAACGAGAAGGGGAGGAATAAGATCGACTGTATATCTATTTATATGAAGTCCCTGCTATTGTGCGACTGCTGCGACTACTGCTGTGGATTATGATACTGGCGTTCGTGGGTATGGAATCAGTTTTCGATTGTATTATAAGAATTGCATAAGGTATAGAAAGCGTTGTCAGATACCTAAAGCATCTGCATATTAGTCGATCCTGAACAGTGAGACACAGATGGCCGAAGCTAACCATCTACGTTCCACGTTTGGGAATTTTGAATGTCTTCCACCTCAGCGTGCCTTTTTCGCACTCACAAAATCATAATTGGGTCGTTGGATTGGCACCGTCTTTGTAGAAGAATCTTGCGATGGCCTATCTGATGTTGGTCCGATTAATAAACTTTGGTAATTTTTACATTCCCCTTCCCCCACGGTGATAGTTAGGGGAATAGGGGGGGGCGCACCCGATACATAAAAAAAAAGGAAAATACTAAGGAAGCTATGACGAAGGTCAGGGGTAGTAAAAATGAAGGGGAGGCGCACACAAATAGAGAGGTAAGGGATACGAAAGCGATCAAAATGGACAGATGCCAAGAGAAGCCATCAATAGTGGATCTTCGGGTCACCAAGGATACTAATACTCACCTGGTAAATAAACATATGTACAAGTAAAAACAAGTGCGAGAGGCTCTTGCTTGGTAGTTATTTGGCCTACGCAATCCCTCAATTATTGCCTCCTTGGTAACAGGCTGTTAGGAAATGGCCTTCGATGATGATCGCCTGGTACGCAGTCCGTGTTGCCATAATGAGATAAATCACAGAGCACTAGAGTTTAAATCCCCACATTCCTCACCCTTTCTCTGGTGACTTTGTGAAACGCTTTAGCCGGAAAATGGGAGTCATGGGTGGTTACCTGAAATGAATCTGGAAACCCCGTCACAAGAGTGGATAATAATCGAAGAGGCTCATGGGGAACCGCCGACGGGAGTCTGAGTCTTGAGTGGGTATCACTACTATCAACATGCATTTGCGATTAGTCTATATGATAAAATGCAGTTCAACAACGAAACCTCCCATCAATAATTTCAATGATTGAAATTGGTATAGTTTATAAGTTTTGATCCATGAAGTCTGAGTGTTATTGCGGCGATGATGATGTAGTTGACTTTGCATAGTATTTTGTTGGTAATGAGAAAACAAACATGGACCGAAGCTGCAGGGTTGCCAAGCTAACCGAGTCTGGAAACCTTCCAGATCCGTGACTAAACCCGGCATGGAATGGAATCCCTCCCAAAGCGGTCTCAAGCGCCCCACTCCGTCTAGATCGAATTGGGCTAGATGAGGTAATATGACCAGCATGGATCCAAGAAACTGGTGGCGGGAAATTGGACTTTGAGTGATAACTATCTACTAGGTTGATGGATGACTGACTGTCGAGGGTGGGAACATCTTCCATAGATAAGCGGACTCCCACGGATCTTCAAGTACGCGACCAGCCGAGTGGTTACTATGCATTAAAACTCCACGCCAGATGAAATCCAGAAACATATAGCGGGGTAGAAGGTCAGCCACCCTGGACGGTGTGTAGGGCCGGCCGATCGGGGTAGGGGTTGTGCTACAATCCTGTTCGCGGAAGAGTACCGGTATTAGTCTCCTCCCGATAACGACCAATCTGAATACTACTTGGCTCACACCAAATGACTTCAAGGCCGAGCATATTACTTGATCATTATAATAATAAATTACGATATTGGTTATTCTTAACTTAGCTATTAACAAATTACGCAAATAAAAGAACTAGAACATGGTCGAGGCACATGGGCGGAATTGACAAGTGCGTTACTTAAAGTAACAATTCAACATGTCACATGGTTGGAGATAACACTGGTAGGTTATATAATAACTTGACCATGACTTCTTTCCATGGAGAAATCCAATGTAAATGACGACTCTGTATTTACTGTCATATACCGACCTCCGCCAGATTCCGAAGCGATTGACAGTCACAAATCCAATCCTCTCGGCACGGGCGAAGAAAGTCTTCCATCCAGCTTCTGAATTATCATTACCCTGTAAAGTTTTTTTTCCTTCTTTTTTGGGGAATTTTCTTACTTTAATTTTAGATTTATTTTATTTTCCCGCTCTATTTCCGAGGACTTCCTCTTCATGACGGAAGTTCCCTGAAGACTTCCCCCCCCAAGAAACACAATTTTGAACTGTCCTCTATTCTTCTACCACTGCTGAGGGGAGAAATCAACCGATCTTAACTATCTGCTTCAAATGGTCCAGGCGTTTGGGCAAACCCACACCCCCAGCTGCGAACTAATCAACTGTGGCACTAACTAATCCTCCTCCGTCCGGCGCCGCTATTGCCGCCGGCGTCATTTTCTGGCTCCAAACCCCAAACCCGCCGCACCTGCTTTCTCTCTCTCTCTTCCTCTCTTCCCCTTCCTCGTTGGTGGACCTCTCTCCTTGACTTGACTCCGGATCCTCCGTGTATCATACTCCTCTTTGTGCTTGTTCGGTCTACATCCCTGAACAGTAAGAGGCGTAAGTACGACCCCGGCTTCTCTTTAATTGTCACCTGGTGACTCCGCCGTTTTTTGAATGGGCCCAATTTTCTTTCCGCCTACTATCGAGTGAGTAACAACGGCAACGGGACTTAACGAAAGGTTTGCTCCATCTTGCATACGAAATCCTCCGCGCATTTCCATTTCATCCCACGCGGTCTTTAGTTGCGTCCTACTACAACACCCAACCACTCTAAAACCCGAGGAGGGAAAAGGTTCAGAATTGAAAAAAAAGACCGTTCTACCACAGCCGCTTTGCTCATTTATCGCTATCATTATCCCGAGCCTATCAACAAAGCCGTGGAGGGGCATGTGTCCCGCAACGTAATCTTGGGAGTATGACGTCTGAAGCGACTGGTTTCGCCCATGCGAACAACAACATGGAATTCGGTATGTAAAACTATCCTCTCTGTAACTCTTGAATGGCATCCTAATACCATTGGTTTGGCCACTAGACTCTTTGACCACTCAGCAACCTGTCCCTGCACCAGCTGGTCAAAACACAGGACCTGCTGACCAGGAGAACAAATCCAAAGCACAACCAAGCCAAGTCCGTTTTTCTTCAACAACCGAGGAAATTGAGCCATCGGCCGCCACTGTTACCCCAGGACCTGGGTCAGTCGATAATCTAAAACAGGAAGATGAGTTGCGGTCGTTAGCGGCTAGCCTTCAAAGATCCCAATTACAAGAGACCCGGCTGGGAAGTTTCTCATATGACCCCGTGTCTTTACCATCTTCGAGGGTATGTGTCTAGGTTTTATATGGGGGCTGCATATGTCCTGCGAGGCGCCGCCCTCGCATCGGCCCGCCCGACTTGATGGAGAGAACAATAGCTGATCATTATACTGTCCCTTACAGGTTACATCCCGGGAATCGAGCGATCGCAGCGCACGAGGAGCTAATGGATCTGGTTTGCCGTCTCCCCATGCCTCCCCACCGGTGTCCATGATGCAGTCACCACCACTCACACCAGCGGCCACCCATTCGCGTGAATTCAAAACTAATGGAATGTCCTCGACGTCAAACAATACAGATCGAGGAACCGCCGAAAATTCAGCAGCAATGACACCGGAGACGTCTCCACCTACAAGCGGATCTACGAAGAGTAAAGCGCCCCAAAGCGCCCCAACTTCAAGACCTGGTTCGACCGATCATTTGTCTAAGCAGAACAATGTTTCGCAAACATCGTCTCATCCTCAGAATGGCGCAAAACATCGTGCACAGTTCTTCATTGGACCCGACGCCAGCTCCCAAGAAGAAAGTCCGCCAGCTACCCCTAGGGTTGATTACACCCCACCCGGTGCTATCACTCCGGTAGGAGAACCGGACGATCCCTATGCTCGCAGCAAGCGCCCCCCTCAACCCAAGAATCTCTCCCAGCTCGATCAGCGGTTCATCTTCGGAGGGCGTGATTTCAAGCGTCGTACGCACACGTCCTCTTTCGGTCGTCCAACCCCCCGGTCAGCTAGCGCGAGTGACCTGAAAGCAAGCGACAGGCAACGCAGTGGGTTTTTCAGCAGCAAAAAGGACTCTCGACAACAGGAACCCGAGGGTAAGCATCACGGTCACATGTCGGAACTCAAGCGATTTTTCAAAATGGGTCATCACAAGCAGAAACGTGCGGAGTCGCCCACGTCGGCCCCGAAACGATCGAGCAGGTCTTCTGGGAAGAACACGCCATATCAAATGGCACCCGATAATGTCCCGTTTGCCGATGACCATGGTCTTAATTCCAAGTACGGGAAGTTAGGAAAAGTCTTGGGATCCGGAGCCGGGGGTTCTGTTCGGTTACTGAAACGCAACAGTGACGGCGTGACCTTTGCTGTGAAGCAGTTTAGAGATCGTCATTCTTGGGAGACATTGAAGGAATACTCAAAGAAAGTAACCGCAGAGTTTTGCATTGGATCAACTTTACATCATGGCAACATTATCGAGACACTTGATATCATCCAAGAAGGGAATCATTGGTACGAAGTCATGGAATATGCTCCCTTCGACCTATTCGCGATCGTCATGACCGGCAAAATGCAGAAGGAGGAGGTTGCGTGCTCTTTCAAGCAGATCCTTAGCGGAGTGGCATACTTACACGGGATGGGCTTGGCACATCGGGATTTGAAATTGGATAATGTGGTTGTCAACGAGCACGGTATCATGAAGCTGATTGACTTCGGAAGTGCTGTTGTTTTCCGGTATCCTTTTGAGAATGATATTGTTCCCGCTTCTGGTAAGTCTAGTGGTCATCCTCCACCCTCTTGCAACAATTTGCATTCGGGCTAACAAATTCTTGTTCAGGAATTGTGGGTTCCGATCCGTATCTTGCCCCAGAGGTCTACGATGAGAAGAAATATGACCCGCGCCCAACCGATATCTGGTCTCTTGCAATTATATTCTGCTGCATGAGCTTGCGGCGATTCCCTTGGAAACAACCCCGAGTCAGCGATAACTCCTATAGACTCTTTGTCTCCACACCCACCCCAGGGACTCCGGTTCCAGACGCCGACCCGAAACGTCACCGACCGATCAAGTCCGCTCCTGACCTCTCTTCTTCCGCCCGTGAAAGCCAGTCTTCGGAATCCAAGAATGGTGTGTCCGAGCCGCCATCAGAGCCTTCCAAGAACCAGGATGCATCCAAACCCCAACTGAAATCGGAACCGCCCACCCGCGAGGAAAACCGACCTCCGGAGAGCCCCCAGGAGAAGACACCCAGTGACAATCAGAAGAATGGCAATCTTGACAATAAGCCGAGACGTACAACCAGCAAAGAGGCACCCCCGCTTCCTCCCTCAGCTCAGTCATCAGGACAACGTCAGGAAGTCATCAAGGGCCCATGGAGGCTTTTGCGGCTTTTGCCTCGTGAAAGCCGTTATATCGTCGGCCGGATGCTTAAAGTGAGCGTGAAAGAGCGAGCGACCCTTGATGATGTTTTGACCGATGAATGGGTTCGAAACATCGATGCATGTCGACAAGAGGTATCTGGGGAGTTGTACAGGGCTCCAGGCCATACACACATTCTGGAGCCCCCGTCCCCCAGCACCGCAGTGGCCAGCAAGGCCAAATAAGCTTGTGAACCTTAATACTAACTATTACTTCATGTTTGATCTTCCGATAAGAGGCCTTTACTTTCCTCTGAGTACTCGAACTGTGCTACTGTTACTGAATTTTTACCACATGCTTATTGTTCCAGGCTCGTCGCCCCTGGTGGTCTTCTGTCGCTCTTTATCCGTTTTGTACGGTCTAATATAGTCATGAGGTCTTTTTTTTTAAATGCTACCTCAGTTGTTTTTTTTTTTTTTTTTTGATTATCTTCTTCTTCTTTCCCTCGGTTGGAAAGAGGAAGCGAATGCTTCCGCTCTGTCTGCCCCCCCACTTTTCATAGGCGTTCATGGTCGGTCACTGTCTTATGAAACGGAGCTGCTCAGGCGATTCAACCTTCCCAGTATTCAAGGGCTGGCTGCTAGACCTCTATTGTTCTTTTTTACTAGTTTGCATTCTTCTCTGGCCTTGATATCTCCTATGAAGTATTATATTGTATGCATCTGGCTCGTTCTGAGGGCCATCTCCTCCGGTTTGTCCATTCATTTGACATGCCCCTAATTGTATTCGTCGAGGAAACTTAGCCAGGTAGATATTATAAATAAATGAACAAAGGAAGTGTCTGCAAGAATCCAGTCTATATCACTTAGTTTGTATATGTACATACTTCATGCATGTACTCTGACGTATGTGGTTATGTAAGCGTTAGACCCCGCGGAGATTGCGGATTTAAAGTTAAGGTGCGATTATCGGAGTTTGGTATCAATCGAAAGCTACGTTGGGAAATTCCTCTGCTGCTCGCTCAGCGAGTTTACTCACGGTCACATAATCCTTGAATTGAGACCTACAGTCCTTGTCTGTCTATATATTTCCGCAAGGAAATCATTTCTTGCATATTGAACATTCCAGCCATCATCTAATTATGGTGAATTGATGCCACGCGTCGCAATAAGGAGAAATCGTTCAAATCATTCCTTGCCAACTTCAACTTCCCCAACCGACGTTTGTCGATCATGACTCAATCACCCGAAGCTGATCCATTGGTCTCCTTATGGACGAGGTCTTTGATTGTACGCTCAGATGTTCCATGTTAAATGCTCAATTTTTTTTTAATCTTCCAACTAATCTTGTCCTCCCTTCAAGTCGGGTGCAGTGGCTGGTCTTACCGTCGACTGTTCTCTGTACCCTTTAGATACGATCAAAACTCGCCTTCAGAAAGCTAGGCACCATGCCCCCTCAGTTCCTTCTACCAATCTATCCCTAAAACAAACCATCCGGGGAATCTATGCTGGCCTTCCTTCTGTCCTCTTCGGCTCTGCACCATCAGCCGCATCCTTCTTCATCGTTTATGATGGTGTGAAGCGTGTTCTTCTCCCAGCCTCGAACTCCGAAACTTCTTCACGAACGCACATCATTCTTACACACTCTCTTGCTTCTTCAATGGGTGAGGTATCAGCTTGCGCGGTTCGCGTGCCTACGGAAGTTGTCAAGCAGAGAGCTCAAGCAGGTCTCTTTGGCGGCTCGAGCTTGCTCGCACTGAAGGATATTTTAGCGCTGCGCCACGCAGACGCTTCCCGCAGTGTAAAGGGAGGCTATGGACAGGTCGTTCGGGAGCTGTATCGGGGAGCCGGTATTACCATTGCAAGGGAAATCCCGTTCACCGTTCTGCAGTTCACCATGTGGGAATCGATGAAGGAGGCATATGCCAAGCGCATGCAGCGTGCTTCGAAATCTAGCTCCGTGGAACAGGTACCGGCGTCCACAAGTGCCATGTTTGGCAGTGTGGCTGGCGCAATTGCCGCCGGCCTTACTACCCCCCTCGACGTCATCAAGACGCGAGTCATGCTAGCTCGTCGGGGAGACGGTGCAGAAGATGGTCGCTACCGGATTAAGGATGTGGTTCAAGAGATTTCCAAGGAAGGGTTTGGGGCCTTCTGGAGAGGTATCGGGCCACGAGTAACCTGGATCGGAATTGGAGGCGCCGTGTTCCTGGGCAGCTACCAATGGGCATGGAATGCTCTTGAAAGGAAGAGCCACTTAGAAGACGAATAAAGAGACCGTATATTCTTGTGTCATTGCTTGTACGATACGCCGCCGTTTTGGGGATAGACGAGATATGCCATAATATATAGAATAATGCACTTTCATATAACCCAGTCTTTGAAACGGCAAGTCTTCAATCACGAAGAGAAACTGTCCTTGTTGAACGGACTTCATTAAGGCATGGATTCCTGTCAGTCATGGCCATAGAAATCTTACCCTGGAACAACGCTTTGACAACGGTTTTTGGTCGATCGTCAGCCCCTATCTGTTCCCCATTCTCTGGTTGATATTGACATGCCACTGACCTCACTAATCAATAATCCGTCCGACTTACTTTCACCAGCAACATATAGCTAGATTTAACCTTCCCACCTTCGACAATCCATTGCAGCCGCTCCCCATTCTCAATCCGATGGCCAACCACAAACGACTCTATGGGCAGCTTTCCCTCCGTTCCTTACCGCCTGGTCGGCATGGATGAGGACGTATCGACCTCGGCTGCGATGGAGGGTATGCACCGATGGAAATGCCCTAGCGGTGACTGGAGCGTGATGAAGTAGTAGATGGTGGTGCTTGCTGAGCGAGTAGAGTGTTCAACCTCTTGCTCCTGGGCGGTCTTGATGTCGTCCTTGTCGTCTAGATAGGTATTTCGGAATCCAGAGCGGACGGCGATCGGTTTCGCTATAGAAACCTCCCTCAGTTTGAGAAGGTACTTGGAGGCCCTGGGTTCTCATTTGGATGGTGGGTGTTTCAGTCGCAATCCCTTTGTCGCGCGGGGGTGGCTGGTAGTAGGGTTTAATCTAGGTAATTGGTATAACCATCTTGAATTATCTCTCTCTCTTTTTGGATATTGTAGAAAGACATCCCTTCAAGTATTACGTGCCAGGCGTGGAGGCTAATATGTGATGTAGTTTTGGTCAGGTGACCTCATCTATGAAGTTTATCACTAGTAAATCTCGCATTCAAGTTAATCAATTCGGTTAGCTAGTTTCTCACCAAAAGATCAACCTACCGTAGAATAAACGATGTACGCAGTACGGAGTGTCCATATACCAGTAGTAGCATGTACCTACTAATTCGGTAGGTATTCATAGTCTATGTTTTTATGTACGTATATATACATATATAGAGGATATGTTGGTTGTACTGGGCATAAAATGAGAATGACCGAGGGCTAGTTATGTATCGAACATCCTACTACTAGTAGTACGGAGTAATAAGTAGTGGTTGTCAGTTACAGCAACGAATGATATCACTGCCCGTACAGGAAGGCGGGAGTGGGACTGTTATTGTACGTACTACTCTGTACTAGTACTGAGTGTGTATATGTATGTATTGATTGTAATTGAATATGGAGACTCGAGAGATGCTACGATGTAAAAAGAAGGAATGAACTCTGTCTATATATCTGTATATATTAACCTGTTCAGGGACTTACAGACTGTATTGAGCAATCATTAATTAACCCATTTATTAATGAAACCGATTAATTTTGATTTAAATGATTGAACTGATCATGTGATGGGAGTGGTACTGTACGCAATACTACAGTACTAGTATGTATGTAGTGGTACAGAACTAAACTTAAGATAATCACTCATTCTCAGGCACACCAACTCCCTCATTTGCTCCTCCTCCTTTCACTTCTGCTGTCCTCTTTTTTGTTTGTTTCCCCTCTTCAGTTGTATGTTCTTGTTATCTTTTTCTTTTCTTCCTTAGTCGTGTGAATTTCTTGAGTTACTTTTGATTCCCCAACTTCTCTATCAGAGGGATGCGCGCTCTCTTTATTCTCTCTCTGCATAAGTGATCGACCGCCCACTTGGTGTAACCTCCACACTGCGCGCCGTCTCCTCCGCACTTCCTCAACTCTCTCCGGAGGACCTCACGCTACATGGCCCGGAAACTAAGTCACCAGAGGATCACTTATGGTATGTGATTTCTGGGAATCTATTCAGTTCTATTGATCCCATTCTCGCGGTGGGGTTTTTTTGGTTGCTCTGTCTTAACTCGTCTCCCCCATAGATCCTCCACTAACAATTTCTTTTCGCTCTCCTCAGTGCTCCCTCTGCCCGATGTCCCCGGCGGTCATCGCTTAGGGGTAAACGGCCTGGAAATCGACCCAGACAACTCCATCCTGTGAGCACCCTCCTACACTTCGACCTCGGGGTTTTTCTTGTCGGTGCGACGCGAATAATCGCCTCCTCATCGTCTCCAGTGTCGCTGTCAACTCATCTCTGACCATTCTCTGATAGGTATTCCGCTGGTCGCGATGGTGTCATCTGCTCATGGGATCTAAATTTATCGCTCAATTCATCAGCATCTCCGACCTTAGGCGCTTCGAAACCGGCACCCACGACGTTCCGAAGTCAAGTCCAGGCGCACAGCCACTGGATCAACGACATTGTTTTAACCAAGAATTACTCCGCCTTAGTCTCTGCATCCTCCGATACTACTGTGCGACTGTGGCGACCGCACTCCGAATGTACGGAAGTCCCGGACCCGATCGGAAAACATACGGATTATGTGAAAGCTTTGGCTACACCGGGGAGTCATTCTCCTTGGGTTGCGTCTGGAGGTCTGGATCATAAGGTCTCCCTATGGGATTTGAATGGCGGTGGTGAGATATTAAACATTGATGCCTGCGGGGGAGATAGCTCTGCCAAAGGTTCTGTGTATGCTTTAGGGGCCGTGTCTTCCGTCATCGCCAGCGGTGGCCCAGAAAGTGTAGTCAGATTGTGGGATCCAAAATCCGGGAAGTTGATCACCAAATTTGTTGGACATACAGATAATATCCGGGACATCCTGGTGAATCGTGATGGGGACACAATCATGACAGCATCGTCTGACCAAACAGTCAAGATCTGGTCGCTTACCGCAGGAAGATGTATGCACACATTAACCATGCACAATGACAGTGTCTGGTCGCTTTATTCGAATCATCCCCAGCTATCTGTGTTTTATTCTAGCGACCGGTCTGGCTTAGTGGCCAAGACTGACACACGATATTCACCAGATATTGAGCAGGGACTCTGCGTCGCAACATTACAAGAACACGACGGAGTGGTCAATGTCGTAGCAGCGGGAGACTACATATGGACTGCGACTCCAAAATCGAGTATTAACCGTTGGAATGACGTCGACACCACTGCGGATATCGAGTCTCCATCATCGAGGGAGCGAGAAGGCACTTCAGGTGCTGAGACTCCTGCCCTGGAGAAAGCATCGGCGGCAAATAAACAACCAAAGAAAATCCCGTATGAGTCGGTTCTCCTGCTCTCGAGCACCTCGACTTTTCCCAAAACAAGGGTCCCAGAAAGCGCCCGGCCACACTCCACTGCAAATCCACAGTCACCGTCAGCCGAGATCGAGGACGAATTGGGGCTTACGCTTCCCGTCCATACGCTTCCAGATGAGACAATTGAGGGTCAACATGGCTTAATCAAATATTTCTTTTTGAATGACAGAAAGCGTACATTAACGCAAGATTCTGCTGGTGAAGTGGTTCTCTGGGACCTCTTAAAGGTATGTCTTGTCGATAGTAGCAACCTGGACGGTGAATTTCTGGTAAAATGTCTCTTTGACTAACGGCCCATAGTGTATACCGCTTCAGTCATACGGCAAGCGTCATATAGATGATGTTGCGTCCGAGGTCAACACGACTGAGAGTATTGCGAATTGGTGCACAATTGATATCCGAACTGGAAGACTATCCGTGATACTAGAACCAGGTCGCTGCTTCGATGCCGAGGTCTACGCCGATGAGCTGGACTTGCCAGATTATTCACAAATTCGCGATGACCAAAGGAGTACGTCCAATTTTATTCCCCTTGCCCTCAGCCCGTAGTTTGGCCCCCACTAATGACTATATTATAGTCAATCTGGGCAAATGGATCTTGCGCTGGCTCTTTGCTCCTTTAATAGAGGAAGAATTGAAACGCGACTCTGAATATCGCACCGCTGCCATAGCAAAGGCTGAGGAGCTCGCAAAGCTGAGCATGTCAAATACCTCCGCACCCATGGATATACCGTTGGTAGATGGTTCGAGAAATTTTGCTACGTCTTTCGACCCATCTATATCATCTTTGCGTCTCGGGTATGAATCTATGGGTAGCTCCTCGACCCCAGGGTTTGGGATAGGGCTCGCCAACAGCCCCGGATCTCTAGCGACACCATTGCTTAACCCGAATGTCGGTAATAATAGCCACCTTGGCACATCACCCGGAGAATTCACTGACTATCTCACGTCTCAACCAACCCATGATATGACTAGGAGCTCGCTGTCGGACAGGTCGAGTGACTATCTCTCATCACCTAGAAACCATGGCCTACCTCCGTTAGATACCGATAAAGCATTGCCTACACCGGGGGAGTCAACACCAACAGCTCTTCCACTATCCCCGATGGAGCCCGATAAAGAGGAGCGGAAGAAAGGCAGTTCCTTGTTTGGGAAGAAGTTTCGGATGGACTTCCCGAAGAAACTCGGGCGGACTTCAACAGAAGTCAAGCCTCAGATTCAAGAGGAGAAAGTGGAGGAGTCCGACAAATCTTCCACGAAGGAAGAGAAGGTGTTTGAAAACAACATGAGTGGTTTCATCGAACGCGTCCGCCATGAATACGATGAAAATCTCTCTGCACACCCAGAGCAAGAGCTGACGCCAGCCTTTGCCCCGAGCCCGGAGAGCGAAACCCCGGTATTAGATATACCGGACCGTGTTTCAGTGCTGATTCAGGAGGAAACCGGAGAAACGGCTGTAGCCTCGGACCTCTACAGAGGCAGTATCGACAGTATCAGAGACGAGGTTGATAAGCTAGAGAAATCAATTCCTCTGTGGCTTGCTGATCTGCTACTTAAGGTTAGTCATCCCTCCACTGCGTGCCATATCGCGTCTAACCTGCTCTACAGAACCAAGTACCTTTGAAAGAACCTGTCAAGATTGCTTTCACGTTGAAACCGTATGATGATCTTCTGCCACCTGTCGTCAAACCAGAGGTGTATGTAGATAATAAATCTAATGAGCTAACCGCATCGAAGGCAGTGAGCTAACTTGTCGCGTAGGAATGCTACAAACGGCAACGCAACCAATAATCGCCTGAATGCAAACCGCATGCTGCGAGCAAAGAAAATCCTTGCGTACGTGGCGGAGCGAATCGATCCGCCACACCCCGACGAGCCCGAAGAAGACGCTCTGAAGCCGGAAGAGTACTTGGAATTGTACTGTCACAACATGGTACGTTAGGTTAATATTCGATGTAGATGATGCGATCACTAACCCTGAAATAGCTGATACCCCCCAATATGACTCTGGCGACAATTAGGACTCATATTTGGCGCTCATCTGGTGATATGCTTCTCTGTTATAAAGCTAACGGGAAGAAGGAGATCCGAATGCCTGGCTCTAACCTAGAGGATGATAAAGGCAACCAGAATACACTTCCACCTGCCGAAGGAGAAGGGGGGAGTGCACCGCCAGCGAGTATCCATTCACAGACCCCGTCTGGGTCTGCCTCTGTGTCTATTCATAATCCTTGATTTGAGTGGAGCACTCTATATCTTAATTCTGTGTGATATTATTTCTATGTACAGTGTTGGACATAGCGCAGATCCGAACATGACCATAAAGGCTTGTACTGTACGTATATACATAGCGAACCCGGCACGAGAGCAGCGTATGCGAAAGTAGATCCTCGTTATCGTAGTTAGGGTGTATAAATATAAATATTGAATCTCGGGAGCGAAGCGGATCTAATGCCAAGACCCAAAATACTGATGACTTCCTCCGCAACCACTTTTCCTTAACAACTAACATCTTCCCCCCCCCCCACGAGAAGGAATAAGTAGATCTATGGCCACATCCTCACTACTGCGTTCCCTAGGTACACAAGCAATAAGTGTCTCACAGTCCTTAGAATCCTTCCAACGAATATGGCTCGGTTCCCGATTGTCACGACCCTTCCCACGTCGATTGGGTAAGTTGCTATCACGAGGGTAATACTAGTCTGTAGAGTATCCTACTAACTCTGAATAGGTCTAGCCATCAGCGGTGGTGCAGACTCCATGGCTTTAGCATACTTGAGCAAGCAATGGGAAAAGAGTGAACCCGATGAGATATCCGTTACAGCGCTCGTGGTCGACCACAAAGCGAGAGAAGAGAGTACTCGCGAGGCTCAGATGGTCTCCCAATGGTTAAAAGACATCGGTATATATAGCCCTGTATACCCCCAAGTAGTCAATACAGGCAAATACTAACTAGGAATCAAGGTATAAAGTCTGAAGTCCTCGAGCTCACTTGGCCTGAAGCTACTAAAGTGACTGCTTTCGAGACACACGCTCGCAGACTTCGTTTCCAAGCCCTTGGCAAAGCATGTCGAGAGCTCCAGATTGAGGCCCTACTAATGGGCCACCACCAAGATGACACCGTCGAGACGACCATCTGGAGGCTCTGTACCGGAGCCAAAGGCGCCGGATTAGCTGGTATCCCCCAGGTGACGCGAATCCCAGAGTGTCACGGTCTCTACGGTGTCTCCGAGAGCGGGTCATCATACACCATCCCATCCAAACAGCAACCCCAGCGTCATACCACTATATCAACTGGAGGAATTCTCATCTGCCGCCCACTCCTCTCCTACCCCAAAACCCGACTCCTAGCCACCTGCCACGAAAACAACATCCCCTACGTCTCCGATCCAACCAACTTTGACCCAACTCTAACCCCCCGCAACGCAATCCGCAGCCTCCTTTCCAACAACCAGCTCCCCAAAGCCCTCCAACCCCCTTCCATCCTCTCCCTCGTCAAATCAAGCCAATCCCTCCTCACAACGAGCACAACCCTCTCAAACACCCTCCTCCAAACCTGCAAACTCACCCACCTCAACCTCCCCTCCGGCTCCCTAATCCTCCACTTCCCAAAAACCCCAACCCCCCTCCTCACCTCGTCCAAAAACCCCCACGAAAGAACCCACCAACTACAATGCCTAACCCTCCGCCGCATAACAGACCTCATCTCCCCATTCCCAGAAAACCACTTCCCACTCCGCAGTTTCGAGAGCTTCACCCACCTTGTCTTCCCAAGCGATACCCAAGTACCCCACACCCAAAAGAAACCCTTTACCCTAGGCGGGGTGCTATTTCAACCGCTCCAACAGCAAAAATCAAAAGACAATGCAGCAACAAAAGAAGCACAAGAGAAGAGCCCCGATGATAAGGATATTGACGGGAATGCATGGCTTTTATCCCGCCAACCCTTCATGCGCAACCGGTTACCAACGCTTCGGGTCGAGGTGCCTTTTTCGGACACTTCGGTGAAGTACACGTCCTGGAATTTGTGGGATAATCGATTCTGGGTTCGTTTGGCTATTGTTCCAGGACAAGGGTCTTCGGGTGGGACGATGGATGGAGATGTTGGTGGAGTTGAGAAGGTTCCGAAAGGGGGGGAGGGAGTGTCTCTTTTTATCCGTCCGCTTCAGCCGTCTGATTTGCAAGTTATTCGACGGGTTGTGGATGAACGGGGAGGGAATCCTGGGAGGAAGAAGACAGATCCAGCTTTGGTTGCGTTGATGGAAAGGCTTGCGCGGGATGCTCCGGGACAAACTCGGTTTACGCTTCCTTTGGTGGTGGTTGAGAAGGGTCCTTGTGGACTTGAGTATGACTTACCGGTGGCGTTGCCGACGTTGGATCTGTGGATTCCTGAGATGTGGGAGTGTTTGCAGATTTCGAGGTTGTGGAAATTACAGTGGGAGTGGATGTATAAGATGATTGACAACGAGCCGTTGGAATTGATGGGCTGGTTGTAAGCTATTGAAGCTATACTACATTAGAGAAAGGAGAGTGAAATATGACATAGTAAAGGTGATAAGACAAGAGGAATACAAGTAGAAGTCAAAGTATGAAAGGAATGAAGGAAGAGAAAATGATTAAGAAAAACTCCTGTGGCTACGCTATCTCAGTGCAAGGTGACCAAAAGAAGACATCGAATACATGAAAAGAGCCAAGAAGATTTGCATCGGCTTCCAAGGAAGAGAGAAAGAGAGTGTGTATCAACAAAGAGTAAGAAAGTGTTATAGGAAAGAATGGAAAAAGAAAGAGACCATCCTGACACTCAAAAACCAAATAGCCATACAGAGCAGTCATACCTCTTTCTTGACATATTCAAAGACTGCGTTGACGCCGTGGACCAACAATTTTCAAGGATAAACAAGTGAAGGAGAAAAGGGAATGTCTGTCTTTCAGTGATATGCGTGTAACTCGTGTTCAATCAATTCAATCCGATGATTTTCGGAGAAGAGCAGGTAAGAGGTCAGAGAGAGAGAAAAGAAAAAGTATACACCCAAGGCAGATGCTGGGAAACCGGTAGCCACTATACACATATGGCTTGAATCTCGCAATCATTTGCCCTGATTGTTATTGTCGTTATTCGCTCGCCTTTAACAAAGCTACTGCAGCTTGTTGAGCTCTTAGACCCCCAACCTCTCGCTTTAGTCGGAAGTTCTCCTTTTTCAATCGCCCAATCTCTTCTAATGCTGAAGAAAGTTGGGATTTAAGCGCATCTTCAGCATCTCCTGCCCGCACATCTTTCGCAACCTTGCTCAGCTCAGAATTGAATCGGTCGTAAAGGGCTTCATTCTCGGCACTGGCTTCACGATATAGCTCGTCAAGCTTCTTGGCTCGTTTTTCACTAACCACGAGAGATGACTCTAAATCCTTCTCTATCGCAGATGTCCGACTGCCGAACTCCGAAGTTAGCATATCAAACCGCATCTCGAGGTGGCGAACACGCGAGGCGAGGGCCGTATTGCTTGCGGGTGAGTACGGTTCGTCTAGGTGTTCGGAATTTTGTCTTGCATGTTTGGTCTGCTGGGGTGATGCAATCTTCAACGCTCGTAATTCCTCCCCAATTAGAAATAGTTCGTCCTTTAGTCCTAGCTGTGCGACGTTCTGTGCTTTCTTCTCGTTCTGAAGACGATCCCGGAGCTGTTATCAAGGCTTAATTTAGCAACGAACCTCGGAGACGAAACAAACAAAGAATAAAGAAAAGCTGCCAACGTACCTTCTGTGGGCTTTGCATCCGCAGCTTTTGCGGTTTCTGTATAGAAGCTCCGTTAACAGGAAGTGATCGCTCCTTCAGTCCAGGAGCCCTTGATGAGGGCACACTGGTTGCTCGGGACCTTCGTTTGGAGTCTTGTGTGGGTGATACTGAGGCATCCCCTTTCTTTCGCAAAGACGTTCCGCGTTCAGCCTGTGGCAACTTTGGGTCAATATTTTCTTTTCGGCTGGGAGTGGAGGGTCGCGTTGGTGATCGTCGGCTAGGTGAAATCATCCGAGTAGGCGAGCCGGTCTTTGTGGGAGAAGTGCTCCGTTGTGTAGACCCTGAGCCGTGGCTAGCCTGTGGCTGAGTTTGTTCTGTTGGCGTCACTACATCAGAGTAAGACCCTGGCGTAGTTGGCCTCTGTTCCTGTCCCGGAGATACAGCCGAAGTGTCTGTTGATGCTGTGTCCGGCCTTAGGTCCGACAAAGAGCTTCGCCTCTTTCTGCGAACTTTCACAACTCCATTGGTTGGCATACCTCTGATAGAGGATACTGATGATGTCTCATCCTGGGAGCTTCCTGGTCGTCGAATATGCTCTTGTGATATAGACGCCCCGGGCCGGTCGCGCGAACCAGGTCGTAGGAGATGGCCCAAGCTAGTGTCAATGTCTATCGATTTGGAACGTAGTAAAGAGCCCCTCGGAGTGCCCGGTTCTGAATCGCCAGAGCCTTTGCTTTTGCTCAGGGTTCTTAAAATCGACGTGACTTTGCTCTCCCCCTCAGTTCGTTGATTTTCTCGGTGCAGACTGAAGCCAAAACGCTTTCGGAAGGAGGATGCGTTGGAGCTTATCGAACCCATGGTTTGCGAGACGGGTTTACTTTGATCGCAGTTTAGAATCCCTTCCAAAGATGCCCCTCCAGGAACGAACTCATCGAAAAGATTATCAAAATCGTCGACTAATCGATCAAGGAGGGAAATGTGCTGCATTGGATCTCCTTCGGCTGTTAGGATCTCTGCAAAAGCGGCCGTCAGAGCGCCTCGATCACCGTCGTTTCCGGAAGCATCAAGTAATTCTGCGAGTAATCGCACTAGGGAGGCTAGAGCGCGACGGTTCTGGGGACTCGTCTCCGCAATAAATTTCCGGAAGTTCTCTTCAAATTCGCGCGGATACATAGTGTCAAACTGGCTTTGCAGTGACTTCAGTGATAATGAATCCAGCACTGGACCCATTTGCTCCTGCCATGCGTTTACCATGAATGTTTCAAAGGCTACAAAAAGCGTGTCGACCGGTACTTCGGCAGCTGCTTGGATTCTTCCGGGATCTTCTAAGAGGATGTTGTATAGCTCGTTGACTGCTGCCCGATCAATATTGTCTCGTCCGCGAAGTGTCCGCCCAACAATGTTCCCACTGCGGGATTGTAACGCCAGAACGTATGCGGCAAAGCTCTGTTCCAAGACGCTAAATGGACTTTCTGAGCCCTTGGACGACATGGTTCCTACAACAGATATCTTGATTGGGGAGTCATCTTTCTTGTCGTCTTTGCCCGGGAAAGCCGAAGGCAGGGTATTGGAACGTGAGACACTGGCTCGTGGGGGAGGCATCTTTGGAAACTCGCCTAACAGAGTTGCAGAACTTGGTGCCTTGGCGCCTGGGGTGCTCTCTCGTGATTGATTCCCGCCCAGAAGACTAGAGAGTAGTTTCGAGGGCGATGGAGGGCGAAAGGTACGAGGAACCTTGAGTTGAGCTATGAGATGACCAGAAAGGTACCGAAGTATGTCAAAATTGGATTGCACAATCGACTCGGTCATCGTCCGGTTTTGAGTGCCATGCAACGGCAAAAGCAAGTTCAGGACTACAACCGTCAGCAAAATGGGGATGTTCGCACGAATGTGGTTTTCTTCATTGTTGTATACTTACGGCGTTTGGAGATCACGGGAACAAAGCTATCCGCTGTAACAATATCTGAAGAAGTGATGCCAACTACAGAGTCTATGTCCACTCGATATTGTTCTTCACTCGACAAAGATACGGACACAATAACTTCCAAATCTGGACTGTTCGCCAGCTTGCTGCGAATAGGCTTTGGGATGTCGAACTCGACCCTTATTTTCGATAGACCGGCTCGATTCACGGCAGCACTTGGTTCCTCCTCGAAAACACACGCCAAGATGCCGATGTTCCCAACAGTTCCCGTGGGACTCCGAAGAGTCCATTTTCCATTCTCCCGCTCACCTTCGGAAAACCTGCCCTCAATCTTTGCCTTCACTATTTCTTCGATGACACGACTGGCCCGACCCTCATACATTGAAGCCGGCTCCAAAGCAAGAAGATCTACGGTTGTGTTCTGATTGGGCCGCGACTTCACTGATGTAGGTGAAAGGAATAAGATCCGTCCGCATGCGGATTGCATGCAACGCACAGTGTGGAGATCGTAGACTTGCACAACACGAATATCGGTTGAAGGCAAAGAGTTACCCGGGCCATTGGCAGCTGACGCAGCGTTGTCTAGCTCGGCTAACAGACCGCGCGCGGTTGTCTTGCTACCTGGAATTTTCGATAGCAGCACTAGGCAGTTCTTGTAAATCAACATAATGCCGGCGTTAGGGTCGGATGTCGGGTTGTCCAGCTGATATGGTGGTGACAACTCGTAGAAATCTACAGCTGTGATCAACCGGCCGGTGGGTAAGATGGTTGAGGGCCAGCCATCTACTAACTCCTTTAGCCGGCGGAAGCTTTGATCATGGTTTGTCGATGAAGGATCGTCTAGCGAACATATATCCTTGATAATGTCTCGCGCTTTCAAAAATGGTCGGACAGCGGGGTGTATCAAAGGAAGGCTGCTTGTCATCGTGTCAATCAAGAGACTGTAACGGGGTAAACGTTGTACAGGCTCCATCAGCAGCGACCGCAGCAATTGCTCTCCAGTGTCATGCACACGCCTCGAGAAGCTGGACTGTTTGTCCCTCATGAACGAGTTAAGTGTCTGGGTAAAGCCGGTATGGGCACGCATATAGTCGGCATAAGGCTCGGAAAACCGGGGGAACCACTCAATCAGTGCGTGCGCAAATGTGACCGCCCCAACTGCATCTCCTTCTTCTCTCATTGGGTGTCGTTGTGAGACGGATGACTGGAGTTCCGTATCCACTGTGATGTCTTCAATGGCCTCCTTTTCCGTTTCTTCGAGGACCTGACGGATCACCTCTAAGAAACCCATATTAACGTCGAGGATCTCGTTGAGGCATGGTGGAAATAGAGTGGCCAGCGCCGCCTCGTCGGGGCTAGTACTAGATGGCGCTCGTCCTTGGGCCTTCATCCGATATTCCTCCGCCACATGGCGCACAAGAGTATAGAGCTTATTGACATATCTCTCCTCCGTGTCCACAAATTCGCACATCTTCAGGCGAAAATCTTGTTTTTGGCTTTTCGTGAACACCTTCGACTTGCTCACATTCGTGGGCTGAGATGGTGCTCTTTTGAGTCGCGACGTCGGCAAGAACATCGGCGCTCCCAAGCCTCGGATGAGGGAAGTATATTGCCCGTATTGGAGATCCGGATTATCCTCGAAATCAGCGTTGTCATCCAGATCGTCGTCGCCGGGTCGCTGAGGCGGCTGGATAGTCCCCGCCGGAAGCATTACATCAATATCCACCCATGGCACTTTACGTTCTTGAAAAGCTCCCCGGATGTCGCGAATTATATCCGATGGATGCTCTACCCTCGCCATCCGATTTGCCAGATCTGCCGCATGCATCTCGTCAAACATTTTAGGGATATTCCCACCTGCTTTCCCCGCACGGGCTATGGCTTGCAGACATTCCTTGGCGGGTTCCGACAGCTCTGCAAAATACTTCAACATACTGACGGCAAGACCCCGACACACTTCATCGCCTTGTTTCTCGCGGGGTAGATGATTGACTGCAGCGTATAATGGCGCGGCGGGTGAGATAGTAATTCGTGGGTAACTCTGGAAGCCCGCAGGGGTCAAGATATGCGCCTGGATGCGCGAGCTGCTGACGGTGGCATTTGCAGTTGCAACGGGGCCGTAGAAGACGAAGATGGACGACAGGTATGGATCGGAAGCCTGGTAGAGAGTCAGTCGCTCTAACGGCAGGTCCGATGGGGCGTTAGTGACGGTCGCCATGGTGGGCGTCAAGGAAGCCGAGATCGTGCGCAACGAGTATTGGGCAAGTACGAGGCAGAAGTGAAGGTCGAAATGAATTAAACCAATCAATTAAGAAAAGTGAGTCAGCAACGAGAGTCCGCGATTTACAAAAGATAAATCACTAAAGCAAAAGACCAAAGCGATTCCAAAGAATGACACCAAATTAGTGAGAGTTGTACCCAGTCCCAGCGGTCTAGAGAGAGAAAAAGCGACGCAGGGCAGGAGACATAATAATCAAGTCGCAAAGGAAATCACAGTAGCGAACGATGGTCCTCATGCAGTCCACAGAGGGAGTGAAGGATTGCCCTCCATGGGAAGCCGAGGGAGATGATAATCGCAAGACGCGTTTCTTCGCTGGCGCAACCCACACGGGCTCATGAGACCGGAGGGGTTGTTTATGTGGGCGGGAATTATTGTGGTCGTTGGAGAGACAAGTGTAAGAAAGGCTGCAGGTGATTCGTGCACATTGAACGTTAGCGACAGAGATCGTATGTAGACTAGATTGGGGAGGGGGGATGGAAAATCGATGAGGGGAGGGGAAAGTAAGTGGTCGCTGAATTGACTGGCTAGTCGGGGGCGACGGGGAGGAGCGTGCAACTGAAGTGGGTTCTTCTGCGCGCGGGGGAGTTTTTTCCTGAGCCAGTGCTGCTAATAATAATCCTCATAACAATCACTCATTTCCACTTACCAAGAAAAGTAAACAGATGGGGTCTTTTTTCTTTTTCCTGGCTGTTGACAGGAGAGAATAGTAAAAAAAAAAAAAAACAAAGGGATAGGAGCAATTATTACTATCACTACCAACAAATGATAAATTCAAATTAATGAGAAGACAGAGAGAAAAGAGAGACTAGTTGCTTTCCCCTCATCGATAAACAACCATCACCCTCGAACACGTGTTGATAGTTACCCAGCCAAGCGATTAATCTTCCGAGTAAGAGAAAAGAAAGAACTAAAAGATTAAAAGAGAGACAATTCAAAGAAAAGAACAATAATATGCAAGGGGAGGAAATGAGAGAAAGAGAAGGCAAAAAAAGAAGTAGATAGGAATTGAGGCCCAATGCTAAGCTTGAAGATCGGAAATTGTTTACTTTTGGGCAGTGGAGAACTTTTAAGGTGAAGCTCTAGATCTAATCCAGTTTAACCCTTCCTTTTCTTCACCGCCTGTGCTTCAACCATGGATTAAAAGAGGATCTCCCCACCAGAACAAGTATCAAATATCAAGTACCTTTTTCAATACAGGTTGATAATACCTAACATCTAACTACGCATTAAATCTAACTAACATGAATACTACCTACTTAGATATAACGCTCAAGTAAGGGTCTTCAAAAGTATTACTGAAATTATGTTAGATATTCTACCCTTTCGCTCTTTCTTCTCCTTGCATCATATCCCCGTGATGGGGACTGGCGGAGGTTACTCCAGCGACTATCTCGCGATCAGATCATATAAATTGAGATATATCAACTCCTTATTGTATTTGATAGTAGCTAGTATCCAGGTCATAGTAAGTATACTTGACTATGGTAGATTAGTTGTAAAGTAAGCATTTACCATTACCATGGGTTTCGTATTGGATCGGTACTTTACTTCCCATATCTAAATCCTCCGTTACTGCCCAGTATCTTATTCCCCCGGCCTAAGGCTACCACTAACTACCCCACTAAACCGGATCAGGTAAGCAGTTCTCTCCGCCTCGGAGCAAAGCAAAAGAAGACATGCTGTTCGTGTTCCGCTTGACTCGACCTCGACCTCCGAGTCTTCCTTTCTTTCCTTCCGTCTCAACAAGGGCAAGGGCCATGCTCTGAAATTGCTCTTTAACTGGGCAACCTTAAATCCCGCCATTCGCTTATCCCTCCCCCACCTCTCCTTCTCTCCCTACTGATATGTCGTCCTCTTCCTTACCCATTGCGGTCGATCCGGTCGCGTTGGTGACTACAGAATGTATCACCGTCACCTCGGCTATGCGCAAACATGCTCGCTGGGCTCATTCCTCTGTCTCAGCCATATTAGGTGGGGGCGCTGCCTCTCGAGTCTATGACCGGGACACGTCCAATCCCCCTAGCCCCCGCAATGGCCCTGCAACGTCTCGCTCCAGATCGAGGTTGTCCGCCGTCGACGAAGATCATGCCCTGGCAAATCGATGGGGCTTGCGGGGAAAGAAAGGCAAAAGCATGCAGGACAATCCCCTTATATCTGCATTTGCACGACTACGGAGTGATCTGAAGGACTGCAGAGACATTAGGACCTTTGACACACCCGCTTTGCTTCATCCGTTCCTCCAAGTCATTCGTTCCTCATCCACCTCCGCCGCAATCACCTCGCTCGCCTTAGTCGCGCTGACCAAGTTCTTTGCGTACAACATAATCAACCAAGATTCCCCGCGACTATCCATGGCCATGCAGCTCCTGTCTGCTGCAATCACCCATTGCCGGTTCGAAGCTAGTGACTCCGCGGCGGATGAAATTGTTCTGTTGAGGATCCTAAAACTGATGGAGGGGATTTTGTCACGGCCAGAGGGAGACTTACTAGGCGATGAAAGTGTCTGTGAAATGATGGAGACAGGTCTGAGCATGTGTTGCCAAGTCCGTCTCTCGGAAGTACTACGGAGATCGGCTGAGATGGCCATGGTCAATATGTGCCAGGTCCTCTTTATGCGACTGTCGCATTTAGATGTGCCAGTCGACTCGGATCCTTTCAATCCAGCTGTGGGTGATAACGAGCCGACCATTCTTAAAATGGACCCTTCGGTTGATGGGAACACGGTCACCTCACAACACCCTTCCGCCATGGGTTCAGACACGGCAACCCCGGGCCGTGAACGAAGTAGCGGGGATGAACATCCAGAGCAAACGCTCAATGGAATTGCTGTAACCGCTCCCCCCAATCCGCAGGACGACCTCGGGGATGAAGTCAAGCCGTATTCGCTGGCTTCTATCAAGGAGCTGTTCCGCGTGCTCATTGACCTTTTGGACCCCCACAACCGGCAACATACAGACCCTATGAGAGTCATGGCGTTACGTATCATCGACGTGGCTCTAGAAGTCGCCGGCCCCTCTATTGCTAGGCATCCTAGCTTGGCTACTTTAGCTCAAAATGACCTCTGCCGACACCTCTTCCAGCTGGTTCGATCCGAGAGCATGCCGATTCTGACAGGATCGCTCAAGGTCGCGGGGACTTTGCTGCTGACGTGTCGCTCCGCCCTGAAACTCCAACAAGAGCTTTACCTTTCATACTTAGTCGCCTGTCTTCATCCACAAGTAGAAATACCGAGAGAGCCTGGTATCGATCCGGCCCTTTACAATGGAGTGCCACAAGCACCGAAGTTGGTGAAGCCCCCTCCCTCACAATCCAGTAGCGGAAGATCCACACCGGTACCTGTGAAGGACAGGCAGAAGCTCGGTTTGGAGGGCGGTTCCAGGAAGCCGGAAGCCCGGGAAGCGATGGTTGAAAGCATTGGCCTGTTGGCGCGGATCCCAAGCTTTATGGTGGAGTTATTTGTCAACTATGACTGCGATGTGGATCGCGCGGACCTTTGTGAGGATATGATCGGATTACTTTCTCGAAGTGCTTTCCCTGACTCCGCCACATGGAGCACGACCAACGTGCCACCGCTATGCTTGGATGCCCTTCTAGGCTACGTTCAGTTCATATTTGACAGATTGGATGAAACACCTGTACATGAAGGCTTTCCTCCCATAGAGAATCTTAGAAGCCAGCGCAAAACGAAGAGGATCATTATTCACGGGGCTCAGAAATTCAACGAGGACCCCAAGGGCGGAATCGCTTACCTTGCAGCTCAGGGTGTAATTCAAGATCCGGATGATCCCGTCTTGATAGCCAAGTTCTTGAGACAAACGACGCGAGTCTCAAAGAAGGTTCTGGGTGAGTTCATCTCGAAACGGAACAACGAACAGCTTCTGGATGCCTTTGTCGATCTTCTCGATTTTTCTGGGAAAACAGTGGTTGATGGGCTCCGCGATCTTCTTGGTGCTTTTCGTTTGCCCGGCGAATCTCCTCTGATTGAGAGGATTATAACTACATTTACCGATAAGTTCATGCAGAAAGCACAGCCTCCAGAGATTGCCGATAAAGATGCATTGTTTATCCTGACATATGCCATTCTCATGCTGAACACAGAACTTTATAACCCCAATGTTAAATCACAGAATCGCATGTCCTGTGCAGGCTTCTCAAAGAACTTACGTGGAGTCAACGGAGGACAAGACTTTGCACCCGAGTTCCTTCAAGCGATCTACGACTCTATCGAGCAGAACGAGATTATCCTACCAGACGAGCATGATAACAAACATGCGTTCGATTTTGCATGGCGGGAACTCTTGCTAAAATCATCCACCGCTGGGGAACTGGCAGTGGGTGAAACCAACATCTATGACGCGGAGATGTTTGAAGCTACCTGGAAGCCAGTTATCGCAACCCTTTCGTACGTTTTTATGTCGGCTTCTGACGATGCCGTATATTCTCGTGTTGTCACAGGCTTCGACCAATGTGCTCAGATTGCCGCTCGCTATGGTCTGACTGAAGCCTTTGACCGCATTGTCTTTTGCCTCGCCTCGATCAGCACCCTATCGACGGACAAGCCTCCAAGCACCTCGCTCAACACGGAGGTACAAGCTGGACAAAAGCGGGTGATGGTCAGCGAGCTAGCTGTAAAATTCGGAAGAGATTTCCGAGCACAGCTAGCTACTGTGGTTCTCTTCCGGGTCCTTGCTGGCAACGAAGCTGCGGTGCAACAAAGCTGGGAGTACATTGTTCGAATTCTCAGCAATCTATTCATCAACTCTCTCATTCCTCCATTCAATGCTAGCCTTAATGCTGACCTTGAAATCCCTCCAATTCCCTTGCAGCCGCCGTCGCAGGTGGTGGACCGTGATGGAAGAGGAAATGAAACCGGACTGCTCTCGGCTTTTACGTCCTACCTCTCCAGTTATGCTGCTGATGATCCTCCGGAGCCATCAGACGAGGAACTTGACAACACCCTTTGCACTGTGGACTGCGTAACAGCGTGTTCGATTAACGACGTTTTAGCCAATATCAAGTGAGTATAACCCTTTCCCCATTTCGCCGTGATAACCATATTCACAATGCATTTCCTATAGGTCATTACCCTTGTCGACAGTCTCAACAGTGGTGGAGACAGCGTTGGCCCTTCTGCCTGAAGAGTCTGCTCCAGCAGTCATTGTTGTAAAGTCAGAACGGCCATCAAGGCCGACAGGTGGCAGGCTCGACGCTAACAGGTCAAACTACGATCCCGGAATGATGTATCTCTTGGAATTAGCCACTATCCTTACCCTTCGCGATCAAACTACACTCGAGGCAGTTGGCGAGAGACTACTGGCTGCCTTACAAGCCTTCATGCGTGATGCAAGAAATCTGCACTCGCTGGCTTTATCGCGAATCATCTATTATCTGTTGAATCTGCTACGGTTGAGCCATGTATGACCGGCCCCAACCTCGAAACCTTGGAAACCTGAATCTAACTATAATTTGCTAGGACCAACCTTTCATGCGAGTACCCGTCATTCTTCACGGCATCTCCGGCTTTGATCAGGATATTCTGGAGAGTGTCGCTGCTCCTGTGATTGAAGGGCTTTCGCGCTGCATCTCGAATGCAGGCCTTCTAAGAAATGAGATCACTATCTCGCCCGACTTCTGGTCAATCCTGCAAAGGTTGCATCAGCATAAAGAGGCCGCTCCTCTCGTATTTGATCTACTTCAAACGATCGTGGACACAACGCCGCCAATTATTACCGGTGATAATTATGAGTCTGCTGTAAGCCTTGCGAATGATTTTGTTAGCGCTGGTAGCGTGGGCTACATTGATGAACGACAACGAGATGCGCACTCTCGGCGCCCGAAAGGGGCTAAGCCATCAAAGTCAAGGTTTGTCTCTCATGTACAGGCCACTGGAGGCAACAAAGATTGACAGATGTCAGCAGTGAAAATGAACTGGTTGCTCGTGGATTGACGGCCATCGGTCTGATCTACCAACTAAGCCAGCGTGCCCCTGCGCTTATCAAACAGTCACATCTTGAAGAAGTCGAAGGTTTGCGCGTACTCTTCCCCAATATATTGCACATCCTTTAACTAACCTTTCCTGTTAGCCTGGTCCGCCTATTGGTCTCCCATCTTCCATTCCCTGACAGCTCAGTGCATTAACCCTTGCCGGGACATCCGACACCATGCAGTATCGACTCTGCAGCGTTCGCTCCTCTCAGTTGAGATAAGCTCGTCCAATGAGAAAGAATGGACCGCTATTTTCGACCAGGTTCTTTTCCCCCTCACTCTCCGGCTGCTGAAGCCAGAGGTTTTCCATTCAGACCCTATTGGAATGGGCGAAACCCGGGTTCAAGCAGCCACTTTGGTCTGCAAGATTTTCTTGCGTTATCTCGATCAACTTCCCAATCCCAGTGGGATACTCGACCTATGGCTCAAGATACTCGATATCCTTGACCGGATGATGAACAGTGGCCAAGGAGACAGCATGGTAAGATATCACTAGTCACTTCATCCCTTTTGCGCTTTTGAGGAGAAAACGGCGTTCAAACCGCTGACTATCTTGTGCAGGAGGAGGCTATTCCAGAGAGTCTCAAGAATATCCTTTTAGTCATGGCTGATGGAGGTTACCTGGTCCCACCGCCACAGGATGCTAATAAAGAGCAGATCTGGACAGAAACGAAGAAGCGCCTAGAAAGGTTTTTGCCAGACTTATTCAAAGAAATATTCCCCGAGGTTCCTCCAGTGCAATCCATGCCAACCCCAGCAGAAACCTCCGCAGATCCGTCGAACCGTGACGTTTCCATTGACGACCAGCCCCAGGAGAACCAGCCATCTTCTGATACCCCAGAAGGCGAATCTACGAACGATGAATCCAAATAATAGAGCAACTCCTTCCAGACACGGGCCCGTCATGAATCAGCAGACTACGTACTATATAGACCCGGCATTTATAGCATAGGTAGCCATTTGTTTGTTTTCGATTATTACAATACATGTAAATATAATATACAATTGATCCCAGGGAAAAGAGCCCTTGGGATATGGCGCTGGCTTGAATTCGGCCCATATTTCGTATATGTACTAGATATTAATACGTAACTATACTTGTACTTGATCACGTATTTATTTTACATTGATTGAATCGTAGACTTTACGGCTGGCGTGGTCTGGCAAATTTAATCTGGAGTTTCCCTTTAATCGAAGGAATAGACAGGGGGAGCACGTGTCGTCTCAGGTAAAATATCCGTTTGGTATCCGGAGCTGGACTGCTGCTTCTTAATGGGTGTTGAAATGCTCTGCAAAGTTATAAGAGAGATCCACCCTAAACATGATCTATATCGATGTATTCAAACCAGAATCGGATGCTGGGACCATCGCCCTTCCCAACCCTTCACTTTCGTCTCAGGTTGTCATCGATCATATCACCAATTCCATCTGTTTCAGCGTCCTAGGTTATGAAGTCAATCTTGTGGTCTATAGCAGCATGTACCCCAATCGGGTTACCTACCTGCTATCATACGGAATTACTCCTCGAGAACAACACCAACACTCCGAACCCGATTGATCTCTTCAATATCCGGCTCAAGGACCTTCTCAATATTGAGCGCCCAGTTTCAACTAAGAACTCAGGCAATCCAAGACCCATTTAGTGGTATTCCGGAATGAATTTAGCGGTCAATGTTTCCAATTCTTGCATCAAGGGCCGCTGTTCGTCCAAGATATGTGGAATGTCATCTAAATTTTCCGTGTCGCCGTCCAAATTTCCCTCTTCAAACCATTCCCAGTAATTCGTCACATGCCAGCAAGTGTGGGTGAGCTCAAGTTGATCGAAAATGCAGAGGCGAAGAACAGTTGAAGCGAGTTTGTCGTGGCAGCCTTCTAGTAAATCGGGTCCCATCATCTCCCCAAGAACACGAACGACCTCAACTATGACTAGTATCTTAACAGGCCCATCTACCTTAGTTAAGAGTACAGAAAATACTATCTTACATGGGAGACATCCCTGAACTGAGCACGCACATGAGCACGCATCGCAATGGTCATCCATGAATAATCATTCCAAAACCTTCCAACTGCTGTGCTCTAATTGAGAACATTCGGCGAGGAAACTTTTCCAGGAATTCCTGTCGAAACTGGGGCGGGGTCTACCGTGCCCTTCATCCATTCTTCCATTCGAATCTCGAGCAGATAAATCATATTTATGATGATCATGGCCACATCGGGTCCACGAAAGTGCAACGTTGTTTTACCATCACTGCGCCGCTTTTCGAAGGGATCTGCGCCCTTGGAGTTCAGAAATGCCACTATTTCAAGTGCAGAACTATAGGATGTACAACTGAGGCTTAATCTGTAAACACTCATCAAACACCTGTATTAAACAGCACTGCTGCTGTGCCACAGTCATTATTGATATATGAATAGACAGTTGAAAGATGCCGCGAACCGTTGAGATATGGCTCTATAGGGATACCGTGATCCTCTAGTTGTGAATGAGCTCGCGCTGCGTGAGAATCCAATGCACTTGCAGTGGATAGCTCCAGTTGATTCAAAATGTCCACACTGGCAAGCTGGACTCCGCTAATTCCTGGAGTTGTCTCCTTCTCCGGGCCAGTCCATCCACGATCAAGTTGGAAATGTCAGAACTGTACGTGCGGTATGCAGGGCGAAAATGACTCGGCGGTATGAGAGATTTGCCCTCTGTGAGTAGTATCCTCACCGATTCATAACAACGAGCTTTTATTGCGTAGTACAAGGGATCTGTCGTATCTGGATGAAGATCAGTGCTCAAGAGTACTCGAAGTCCCTCGGGCCACCCGAAAGATAACTTCCAAATAGCCAGTAAGAGTTGAAGAAAGTTTAATTCTTTCTTGGGAGGATATTATCTGCTAGTAGTCCCTTTCTGTTTTCATCAATACTGCCCTCTCTATTGCAGACATTGAAAAGTCTGCTTCGAAGTCAATTTTAGTAACCATTACTGACACTATTCTTCTCCCTTATGACAGAAGCTGATAACTGTCACTAGCTGATCTACATACTTTCATCCAGCTTTTGGTCCATAATGGTGTGAAGGTGTGTACTAGGGCACCTTACCCAGATGTCCCTATCATACAGGCTAGGTAGCCATGGTTTCCTGCTTGAATCAATGAAAAAATACCCCGTTCGTGATCTTGAGTGACATATTTATACCGTACGGTACCCAATCCGAAAAAGAAGCACTAACTGGTCCTAGAATGATTAGGACCTATAGGTGAACACTTGGGTTCCTTGACAAAAATAACATGCCCAGTGCAGTTCCACTATAGCGACTTGCCTCCTTACTAGTAGCGCCGAATGCGATCACACATCTAATCAGCTTGCGGTAATCCTCCATCAAGCTATCTGGGACAAAGCAGATCCACATCCGTATCTTCTAAGTTCCCGTGTCAGCTCCTGGACTTGCTGGGCCTTTGCCCATAGGCTGTTTTCAAAGTCCTTCGCATACATGTAAAAGGCCGTGCCGACTGAAGTGATCGATATTTTTAGGTTAGCCTTTTTGTTCTTCATACAATGATTGCAATCCGTGCAGTAAAATGTTGAGCAAACCCTTTGTGTCTGGGCGCAATTCTATGAGTGCTTCATCGACAAGCTTAAAGGCCGGGGAATTATACCCATCCACCATCCGCTGGAAACTCAGGGATGGGCAGATCGAGAAGCTGCCAGCCCCCCCGACACTCTTCAAGCTGAATTCAACCGAATCACCAAGAACCCCCATAGTAAAATAGTTCTCTCGTAAAGATGATCCTCTCGTTTTGTAAATATAGGGGGCAACCGAATTTATGCGATGAGCCGAACAAGGATGCCAATATCCCTGTTCCTGTTCTAGAAGAACCGGGTGTGGTTGAACAAGAGCATCTTGCTCGAGGCCCAACACTTATTATCATTTGCTGAGCAGCAACAGGTACTAGAACTCTGTTGGAGCCTAGCTGACTGTCAGGAAGGGGCTGCTGTGATGCTCCCCGTAGCATAGGCTCGCTTTGTTGGCATAGCTGAGAGTTCTATTTTGTTCCCGAATATCGGTTGACATATTAAATCATCGTCTGCCTCAACTGTAGAGAACATACCATTTCTATCAGCCGTCGGTCAATCTGATCCATCTTTGCCATATAATTGGGAAGTCTGGCTGACTCTGTTGCAGCAGTCTCGGCAACGACATGCAACTGTCTTGTTCTCTCCAAGGCATGGCATCTAACCATATCTTGAGAGCCAGGCATAATAAATCTAACATAGACTCAACTCACAGTGACAAGACCTGTAACGGCATCCCCAGATTCGACCAAAAGACCATCGGCATGTTCAAGAAGGGACTTGATTGTTCCCCGCTGAAAAGGATACCTGTTCTGTTCATATTTGCCCGTTTACCATGCGACTGCGGCACCTCACAATTTTCCAGAATCGACTTGAGCTTCTCGAGCCCATTTCCACAGGCTATAATGTTCTTTTTAACCCCTAGAATCGCAAGGCTCCCATTTTGCTGATTTTTGGATTGTTGTAAACGCATTCGAGCACCCCTAGGACACCCTGTAGACCTTCAAGCTGTGTGACAACATTTCTCGTCTCCTCTGAATACGCTCGGTAGGCACTGTAGTAGGAGATAACGCCCTGGCATATTGTCAGACCAAGGGAAATCAACCCAACTACGCTTCCCGCGACAGACAGTGGATGGCTCATAGAAGTATCAACGACAGCGCTCTGCTAACCTTCTTCAAGTCGGCGTGAAAAGCTGATAGGTAAGAACTAGAGAGTGAGGAATTCTCTTCAGAAAAAAAAAATCGCTTGCTCCTTGTGCGAGAGCCCTTCTTTTCCCACTTATTACTGTCGCTGGCGTCAGCAAGCCTGAGTTGAAACGCCCAAGAAAGCAAACTGACTCGGGACCAATAGTAAACGATAATTACTTTCGTTACGCATGATAATCCCAGACTGACCAATCGAGCTCTGCCACATTGGTTTCCCTGTATGTGCTCAAAAGGAATGTTCTTGCCTTGGGCCGGGTATCGGAGGTCCTAAAATCAATAAGAACTATGATTCTCTGCGTCGTGTATTGAAATCTGCACACCTTTGTTCAGAGGCCTCTTTAAACGTATATGTATACTGTGGATAGTTGCTCCTCATCTTCTTCTCGAAGGAGTTGTTTTCTTAGCATTCTCGATGAGGTTGGCGACATATATTTCCCTCTCTAGTTATTCCCTCACCTCAACCTCGTGCCTATACTTCTACCCCATGCTTGAAGAGTCTGACACGCGTAGTCGGAACTCCACTTTAATATATGTATATGATCTATGCATCTATCTATCTATAGTGTAAAATAAAGCATGAAATATAAGTTTGACTATAAGGAAAATCTCTCACACAAGTCTATATCATCTGAATCAAACTTTGTGCTAGAATTAAAAGGCATATATGTACTTCTTAAGTTTATAATATACAGAAATGACACTTCGCTCTAATTACACAGCAATTGCGACGGCCACGTCACTTTATTTACCCACATATCCGCCTGACTTCACACTATTAGTTCAACTCTGATAAGATCTCGTCAGCCGCCTTCTCAGCGACGATGTAAGTCGAAACAGCCGTAAAGGTACCGGGAATCTTTGGGTAAACCGAAGCATCGACAACCCGGAGTCCGCTGACACCACGCACCCGGAACTTGGAGTCTAGGACAGCCATCGGGTCGTCGTCCGCGCCAATGGGGCACGTGCAAGAGGCATGGTGTCCCCAGGCAGTGTCCTTAGCATACTGCTGAATATCCTCCTTTGACTTGACCTCAGCACCAGGGAGCACCTCGGTGACATCAACGACCTGACGGTCAAACGCATCCCGACTAAGCTCAACTGCCTCATAGAGGGCTTGCAAATCAGCATCATAATCACCCACACCCGTGTCAAAGTAGTTGAACAGGATATCAGGCATATCAAGAGGATCGGCGGAGCGGAGAGTGACACTCCCCGCCGTGTTGCGAGGGTGACCCTTCAAAATAGCCCAGGTGAACCAGTCATGCTCGCTTGTCGCGTTGATGCTGTAGTCGGGGAAATATCCTCGGAAATTGACCGGGCCACCGAAGACAAACACATCATAGGAGTCGTCGGCCGTTACACTGCTCTTGTAGAACATTGTCGCTGCCAGCCCGGGGGAGGAGTAGATGCCCCGGTCCTTCAGGAGAGGGGTGGGCGTCTCCCACCGGCTGATACAGGGGTCGGCTTCACCGTGCTCGCTGAAAGTGCAGCCATCCAGAACAGCCCAGTCCTTGGGGACATGGCCTTGCACAGAAATTTCGTAGTGGTCTTGCAGGTTGGTTCCCACGCCGGGCAGGTCAGAAATCACCTTGATTCCGAACTTTTTGAGTTCCTCGGCTGGCCCAACACCACTCAATTTTAGGAGCTGAGGGGAGTTGTACACACCACCGGCAACAATAACCTCGCGTGAGGCTTGAGCAGTGCCTGGGGTTCCCTTGGGATTGTCGGTTGCAAGAGGGCTAGCACGGTAGAGATGCTGACCGTCCAGGAATTCAACACCAGTAGCGCGTGGCGGGTTCACGGTATCGTCGAAAGTAACCTTGGTAACGAAGCAGTTGGTGCGCACGTCCAAGGGATACTTCTTACTGCCGTCCTCATTCTTCGCGTCCCGGACGGCGATGATGAACTCGCGGGGCCCGTTCCGGTGGGCATCGTCGGTGGAAATTGGAATCTGATAATAGCCCGGTTTCGTATCGCGAGCTTTCTTGTCAGCATTTGCATCACCGGCAAGAAGGGTGCCAATGTTAAAGACCGAGTTCGTCTGGTTACCCAGAGCGAAGGCGCCGCCAAGGAGCATGCTGAAAAGCTGGGGATCCTCCAACACAAGGCTAAGAGGGGCGGTCTCGGTATGGAGCCAGCCCTCATAGCCATGGCCTTGCCGTCCTGCTGGGAGGTAGTTGTTGTTCTCCATCTTGGCAAAGTACTGACGCATGTTATCCGGAGACCAGGAACCATCACCGGTAAGGGTAGCAATATATTCAAAGTCGGATTGATGAGGATAGATGGCAATCAAGGCATTGTGCGCAGTGCAACCTCCAAGGGTTCCCGTGCGAGGGTAGAGGGTTCCCTTCATAGTTGAACCCTCCGGTGGGTTCAGACCGGTATATAATCCACCATCAGGCGTTTCGTAGCTGGTTTTATAATCACGGGCTTGCCTCTCGTCATCTGCATAATGGCGAACAAAGAAGTTCCAGGACAGCTTCTCATCCTCAGAGGCCTTCGCGGAGTAGGCAGGGATTGTATAGTTGTAGTTCAATCCCTGATCATCACCGGCCTCGATTAGCAGAGTCTTGTGTCCTGCGAGGGCAAGACGAGCAGCTAACGGGCCACCACCCGCTCCAGATCCAACAACCACATACTCGTATCCAGTGAGATTGACGGCCGTGGCCAGGCCAGTGCTCAAGACCAAGAAGCCCAAGAACCGACGAACAAGCATGGTATGATAAGAGTTTAAAAAGTGTACATGTCTGCCACCGAGGATGGGGCTCCCAACGGTCCTTTTATAGCAAATCTCATAACCCTCAAAAGGGGCGAAATAAGAGTCTACTGTAGAAACCGTGCTGATCAATGCAAAAGGAAACTCGCACGCATACCGATCCTTACCCGTTGCGGCTGAGCAACAACGCCCAAGAATAACCGGCTGAAGGTCTAGTAGAGACGGTCTTCTACATGACGGCTCCTAGACTCCGCACTTTTTAACATACAGGTCTATTTCACCCTATCTAATCCACGACGTTAGTTATTTTGTGTCCACATCCTCACAGGAAAAGATCTGGGATCCTCAGCATACCCTTAACAATCTTTCATATCGATGCCTTATCATCGCGTCACTTGAGAAGGGGCAGCTCTTTCAAAAACTTCTTTGGCGACAGCTTTGACAGGTGGGTCTTTGCCAAGTTGTACTTTAAAATGCCGATCGGCATTGTGCTCCGGCGTTCATTCCCATAATGGAATGAGGTGAAGATATCCACCTCGAGAACTGGCGAATGAGCTCGGTTTCCATGTGATGGGCCTTGTTCGCTACTCCTCAGGTGTCTATCTACCGCGGTCAATCTCGTTCAAGGCTAGGTTCCGAAGAGGGTGGATTTACCCTGTTACTAGCTATGATGATAATTGGAATCATCGAGCCAGACTATAGTATTTTCATCCAAGCTGGTTCAAATATATCAGTAGCTAGGGCAATAGGTATATACTATGCGAGGATTAGTGGGGAGTACAGGGGGGAAGATTGCTCTACTACCGAGCGAGGCCTTCCTTTAGTGCAGGCTAGTCAGTGTACTTACATATATGCACATTCCAATGCTCATTCTTAACCCTCGTAGTGAGCCCGAACAAAACTAGAGCACCCCATCAGGTACTTTGTACTGGTTGGAGCTTATCCCCAGGGAATTATATCCACATTCAACTTTATCTAGCTGTTTACATCAGCATCTCTGTCTTTTTTTAACAAGACCTGGACAGCCACATAGAGCAGCTAAATTCCTCAAACACAATGATTAGAAGATTTGAACCGAGGACCCCCATTGCATTGAAAATAGAATATTCCGTCGGTAGTATGCACGCTCATGAATTCCAGTTGACTTTATTGTATTCGTCAGCAATTCAATCCACGGCCATAGTGGGGAGGGAGGTTAGACTATGTCAATGGGCTTTTCTAGGTGTTAGTTCTTTCTCCTTGGCAAGTGACGAAGTAATCGTGACAGGACAGATCACATGAGTTGTAATTTAAAACTTCTAGTCCCTTGTTCTGCCAGTGATATGGTGATACCCTACAATATTTCTAGCAGACTTGTTCCAACTTTGTAAAGAGGCTCCCCCTGGACTTCAAAGGTCGGCGCCCTCGGGAAACCTGTCTTTTAGCGGGGCCGGCTGCGATGGGTCTGATATGACGATGGAGCAACGCTTTCTAAAGAGAAATATTCAGGTGCCGAGTGGATATTCTTCTACAATATAAATGGTAACTCGCGCGATTGATTCGTGTTTTCCTTCCCTACTAAAAGGAAGGAATGCAGAAGGCATTATAGAATTAATATGGCAAAAAATATTGCTCACACTCGGATTTGAACCGAGGATCTCATCATTACTAGTGATGCGCTTTGCCAACTAAGCCATGCGAGCTGATTGGTTAGACTTTCTTTTCCCTATATTAAGCTATATAACCTCAAAACGGCTTGTGCGGACGGAGTCACGAAATCATTATGTTCCTACACGAAAGGGGCAGGAAACAGTCTCCGCCACGTTCCTAGTATCCTACTGAATTGGGAATCCCAAGCGTTTTCCTCTCTAACTGGCTACGTGTCCTACAGAATGTATGGTTGGTTAAGCGCTGTGCCTTTGGTAACCTGGTAGTAAGACCTTGTGTAGTTAGCAACTACGGAGTAGTGAACGTGCATCACGGTTGACATAGTTAAGAAGTCTTCCTGTAGATGATCTACCTTCCGAAGTAGATGCTACTTACATATTTGGCCTATTTGAAGAGATGTGGATTTAGTAAAAATGATATCATTTAGGTAGACATATGGTAGATGATGTCTACGTACACGGTAAAAAATGCTCACACTCGGATTCGAACCGAGGATCTCATCATTACTAGTGATGCGCTTTACCCCTAAGCCATGCGAGCTGATTGGTGAACAAATTGAGCCAAATTTGAATCAATACAAAGCTCTAACCTAGGGGCCATGATGTCTTCCACCATGGCGTTCAGATTCATCCTATTCATTTGATGCCATACCCGTGTACTTACTCCAGAATATTATCCGTAACGCTGTATCTTATAAATTTCACCCACCCTCCTGCTATCTCGGGCATCTGAAATACAACAGGGTGGCAGCATTTCTAGTGCTTAGTATCCGAAACTCCTGCTCATGTGCATTCCACCGAGTCCTGCCTTGCCTTTCTATTATACGCGCTCAAGAGCGTCGGCCATATTAGTCCCTATAATCTTGTTTTCATCTAATAATCTTATAACCCCGTTTTTCCTTCACCAAGGTCTTAAGGGTGGATACTGCTGAACTTTAAGTGCAGACCCCGACGCATTTGCTTGGGGTAAGGAGACATGCCATGAACTGCCCCCACTACATATTCGTACATGGAAAACAGTATGTAACTTGTAGGACCCTCGAAACCATCAGGCTGTGAGGGTCAGACATTTAGGTATACATAGCAATCCAACTCCGATCTTCGTCTCATCACAACAAATCCTCTGACTTCGTATACTTGGGATCATGAAAAGGAGATTGGCCGAACCAAGGAGTGAAGGTGTACACGATACCTGGGAAACTTTCTCGGATGATTATGGCCTATAACTTGACTCGTCAACAATAGTTTGGGTTCTCCAGCTGAAGAATGTGCTCAATGTCCAGGAGCTGTTTGATCCAAAGTGTGAAACTTTTGATGAGCTCCTAGTCAACTCCAACATTGCTAGCTCGAATTCTTTTAGAAGATTTGCTTAGTGCAAGGGAGATACACAAGTAAGCGGGTGGCTTCAATGGCAGTAAATACGCAGATTCTGCATCAGAGTCACCCCATGAATCCGCCTGTGAAGCCCGTTTTGAAGACGCCGGTGAAGGCTCTGGTGAAGGGACCCGATATTCTATACACGAACAGTTAGCTAGACTCTTATAGAAGGAAGGTTAGTTTATAGAACAAAATATAGTGGTTTTCAAAGAGTTGTAATATATGGTATAAAAACGGGGTGCGTCGGGTCACCTATATATTAAACCTTCGAAATCCAAGGTTGTACACAAAAGTCATTACTAGATAGTAAGTTCAACCGCCTTCGAAACCGCCCTCGAGTTTCACTCAGACTCTTCTATTTAATTATGCACCATCTCCCAACCAATCCGCTCGCATGGCTTAGGGGTAAAGCGCATCACTAGTAATGATGAGATCCTCGGTTCGAATCCGAGTGTGAGCATTTTTTGCCTTTTATCAGATCTATTTTGAACTATGAAAGGCTATAGATCTCTCTAGAACTAGAGGGTAGATATCTGGATATACATCAGCTCTAAATTTCTGAGTAGCCGTGTTACCTCTTCTCAAATAAGATCCAAACTAAAAATTAAACGCGTCCACCTCTGTCCACCCATGGTCAGTTGTGCTCGCTACCCTTGATGATTGGAATAGGAGAGGGGAATTTGAGGCATAAAGAGCGAAAGTGGTAGCTAATGGTCCGCAGCAAGCCCAGACAATAGAGGATGCGACTGGTATGGTATCATAGACCGTCGGAACATAGAAGTTGAGGGATGTACAGAAGTGATTGATGGGTAAGGCATGAACACAGTATATACATAGTGGAAGACTGAATAGACCGTACTGGTTTAGGTACCTAGAAGTTGTTGTCGGGTGTACAGCCCCAGGAGTCAGTAGCCTGCGACGCATTTGGTTCCGGCAAGCTTTCAGTACTACAAGATTGATCGATCACCTTTATTTCTTAGATGGGGAAGTATTGGACGGGAAAAAATCGGCGTTATCCTATACTCAATACAACTACTTGCAGTTGTTGGTGTCTTGCTATGTGGGAACTGGTATCAACTACCAGTGGAGTATATATATGCCTTGGTTCCATGTGCAGTGCTATGCACTGGGGGCTTTCCTTGATCAATTGTCTATAAGTGACTGCCGCTATACGGTGTGTAGATGTCCTGTTCTAGCTGCACCATACCTTGCCTAATCTTCTCTTCTGGCAAGGGCAGGTAGTTCCCCACTTCTTCTCGCCTAGCGCTGTTTATGCCTAGAAGTATGATATAGCCGTGTCTCTCAACAGTTGAGCACAAAATTGCTACATCCAAGCTCTTAGCCCTTGAGTATACCATGCCAATATTTGCAGTCATCTTTTTATCTTACTACATTCTTTCTTATCCTGGCATTGCATTTCTAGTATCCCTGATCACAACCATCTCGCGCTGACACCTCTCTTATTCAGGTGGCTAGCTTCGATAATTCACATCTTCTTTATGCTCCTCGTCAATTGACTTACCACCTACCAACAGCTTTGTTTGGCTTGCCTCTGCTCGACGGTCCTTCGTTGACGTCTGCCCTATTGGACCACAATCCTACTCTACTCCAATTCGGCGACTCCCGGGTTGCGGACCTTAGTATGTGCTTTTCTTTGAAGAGCTCAGTCGCCAATGGAAAACCTATATGTAACTAGGACTGAATTATTGCTAGACCCTGAAAATAACTTCTGTAGAGCTTACCGAGCAGTAAACTGCAACCTGGGAGCAGTTGGGGGCAGAGAGGTCCACTCAAAACCTCCTGGCCTTGAGCGGCTCTATTGACTTATCGCTTGCCCGCCATCTTGTGAATCAGACGTTTACAGCCGCCAAAGTCGAGTGACTGATGAGCCCACTTGGCCAGCAATATATTGGGTTTTCGTCAAGGGGCTATTGAAGAGTGACAAATTTGCCGCAGGGACGGAACTCGGTATGTCCCTTGGTTTTACAACCAAGATCTTTATCGAGGCTTTTGTGTGCAAGCTTCGAGAGAGTATGTTAGCGGCCGTGGAGATCTGCAGGGGCAAGGGTGACGAGAATTGAGAAAACCTACACTCAGATCAACCGTTTTCCTTTATGATGAGCTTTTTAGTGCCTTAACCCGAAATGTTGAGACTGCGACCGCAAATGTGCGTACCAGCATGCCGTCAATATGATACCAATAGTGACTGGTTTTCATTTGCGCTCAATTTTGGAGGCGTAGAAAAGTCGGATGCAAGGTGGTTGAGTGTTTTAAAATCCCAGGGATCATCTTTACAGGATTACAACTTGAAACATTGATTTGAGACGCCGAAGAATGCTAATTAGGCACGATAAAGTCAAGGAAACCTAGGTGACATGGTGAATGAGACAACCAAGGAAGCGCAGACAGGCAGATGCAACGGGAACCAAGGGCTCAAAATCGTTAGGAAGAAGAAGCGTGAGAGCGTAGCCTAACTACGCCTATAACCGATGAAGTGACGAAGTTTGGAAAGTCGAAAAAGGTATAGTTCCCCTCTTCTTCCACCTTCAGAGCCACACATTCCTTCCTCTTAGTGGGCAAACAGCGTGGGATCAACGCTTGAAGGGAAAGCTAGATAGTGGTAAAGATAGACCCATGGTACGGTGTTTATACCTAGTACCTACAGAATTAAGGTCGTTAAGGTTAAAAAAACCTTCGACCTAAAAAGGTTGCTCACACTCGGATTCGAACCGAGGATCTCATCATTACTAGTGATGCGCTTTACCAACTAAGCCATGCGAGCCAACTGTTCAGTATTTGAGTTATTTCGATAACAAAACCAAAGAGTACAGAATACAATCACAAACTATCAACCAATGTCTCTCAGTGGATTTACAATACTCCTGTCGCTACGTGTTGGATATGGATCTCAAACAGAGCAGGTGTTGTCGCTAATCACTGACAGGGTTTAATAAAGTAATTTCTAGGGCTTTGTTGCGTTGTTGCGGTTCTATTCCTATTCCACCATTATGCCCCTCTGGTCTCCATGTCGCTCCCGTTCCTTTCTGCCTACCTTGCTGTACCGCCCCTTTCACCGCTTTGTATGTAGAACTTAGCAGCATCCTGCTCCTGCAGCTTGAAGAAATCAACCTTTCGACACCATAATCAGAAGTACCCAACAGGCTTGTTTTCAAATATGTATAAAGAACATATAGAGAATCAGGCACAGAGGTGTGAGTCATAGAAGATAGTAAAGAGGTAATGTAGACATAGGCTCGCGTCACCAAAAAATATGTAGCGCTGTAGCAGTACTTGGGTCCATACATACATAGCTACTATTATTTCGACTAGATCATTCAATAGGTAAGTCGGCTGTCTTTTCCAGCCCCTCCAGAGTCATTCTACACCGCTTTCCCTTTCCGTAGCCTACCCCTCATTGAGTCCATCGTGTGAGTAATATCCTAGATGTATAGATCGTAAAATCTAATAAATTAACAGCATTATAATAGATATTACTATGTACCATTTCAGGCATTGGAGCTTAGTCCAAAAAAGATCAATTCTGTAAGGTTTGGGGTGAACCACAGGAACACCCAGAACTAGATAGATTAACACAAGTCACGTGGTGGATATACTACCGCAATGCACCAATCAGATGGGTGTCCAAACTGGAGTGCCCCCAAGGTCCTCACGATGTCCTCACGATCCGCTTGCCTCCAAGGTCCTCGTCCACGGTAACTCGACGAAGTTTCGAAATCTCAGCATTTTCCCCTTCCAATATGAAAGCCTCCTTTGTCATTCTTCTTCCTCTGCGATTTTCAGTACCTCCTGAAACCATTACCGTTTCAATATCGGAGGGTCAGTGAGGGTCACCATTACGTCGAGCGACGAAAATTCTACACCATAAAAGAAGGCTCGTTCTGTCTGAGTCGTGTCCACCCATACATCCCACACTGCATACACCCCAAGGTCCTCATCTCGAGATCCGATCCCTATCAAGCCACTAAGAGCACGCCGGGAGTGGGGTTTAAGGACCTTGAGGATACTCCATCGTATCTGTCGACATTTTGCCGCACAATAGAATTTGGCATTAGAGCGCGGGGCACGAAAACCCATAAATTGGTTCGAGATACCGAGAATACCAAGCATCGGTATCCTGCACCTTCCCTTGCGCGAAGGCTCGTCTGTTTCGGCTCCCCCACCACGTGGTTTTTGAGATCTACGAATTCCTCGTGACCTTGCATTCTATTGGGCTATCATCCAGTATTCTATTGACCGACCTCATACCCTTGGCCGGTGCCATCGTGCATAGGCTTGTGGAAAGCCACCTGAAAATCACTTTAATTCATTCCAGCCGTTCATACAAGTGAGACAACATGGATATTCTTCACACCCTTCTCGCCCGGCATGAGGATGAAGGGCCCGCCCCCGCCTGCGACACAGGCAACGAATACGACGGTCGCATGGGCCTACGTATCTCCTCGATCTTTGTCATCATGGTCGGCTCGATGTTCGGTGCTGTCTTCCCCGTGATTGCAGGACAGTTCCGACGTTCGAAGTATTTAGACTGGGCTTTCTTTGTTGCCAAATACTTTGGGTCCGGTGTTATCATAGCTACGGCTTTCATTCATCTGCTAGCTCCCGCAGAAGAAGCTTTAACAAACGAATGTCTGACCGGCCCAATCAAGGAATATTCCTGGGTCGAGGGCATCATTCTCATGACTATCGTGGTGTTGTTCTTTGTCGAGATGATGGTTATGCGGTATGCTCGGTTTGGTCAAGGTCATGCCCATGATTTGGCCCATGAGCATCATCATCATAAAGAGGAGCATACAGACAGTAGCTCCGAGGCCTTGGATAACAAGCACATCCCAGGACGGGATCACCTTGGCCATTCCCGCGAACACCAGGACCCTGAGTTGGCGATGCATGATACGTCCCTTGAGGAGTATACGGCTCAACTGACCGGTGTCTTCATTTTGGAATTCGGCATTATCTTTCACTCCATCTTTATCGGTCTGACCCTAGCTGTATCCGGAGATGAATTTACCACGCTTTACATCGTCCTTGTTTTCCACCAGACATTTGAAGGTCTCGGTCTGGGGTCCCGCCTGGCTACAATCGATTGGCCCCGTTCGAAACGGCTCACCCCATATATTTTGGCCATCGCCTTCGGCCTGTCGACGCCAATTGCGATCGCCATCGGATTGGGTGTTCGCAAATCGTACCCTCCCGAAGGCCGCACGACTCTCATCGTTAACGGAGTCTTCGATTCAATTTCCGCCGGTATCCTCATCTACACGGCGCTTGTGGAACTTATGGCGCATGAGTTCATGTTCAGTAGCTCGATGCGGAAGGCGCCTATCCAGCACGTCCTGGCCGCGTTCTTCCTTCTTTGCTTAGGTGCTTTGCTGATGGCCCTTCTTGGGAAATGGGCTTGATTTATGAATATTTCTTTCACGATTGCTATTTATTGACTGCTGATTGCTGATTGCTGTGTTCTATATACCCCATCATCTGATTCTTGTATCTTGATTCTTGTATCCATTGCTCTATCGCTTCTATGGTGTGTCTCAGATGAAATACAACTTGGTTCATATCATCATATTCCCATAGCATCTACTATACTTTGTAATCAATATGGGTGCCTTCAGCCATTAACAAATACCGATTGTCCCATGGTTGACTTCCAAATCCATAACTCTCACTATTGCTGTATGGGAGCACTACCAAAGCACCTAGATACTTACTCTTAAGTACGAAGTACTAGTAGTAGCCTGGAGTCCCGCCAACCCAGCCCTTTATCTAATCTCCGCATTAAACAAACCCAACCAACCAACCAACCACGTTTCCTCTTCACCAAATCTCCACCCTCCCTTAACCATCTTTCAGTTCTCCAACTCAACTGGAAAACAACTTCTCCTCAATCACCCAAACTTTCCCCCGCAAAAGGATCCATACAAAACCAATATGCGTCTCTCAATCCTCCCCACTCTCCTCTTCTCCCTTGCCCTCGTCAACGCCGCCGAGCTCGGCATCGAAAAGACCCACGAGGTAGAATGCACCCGCAAGACCGTCAAAGGCGACACCGTCCACATGCACTACAAGGGAACTCTCCAGTCCGACGGCTCCGAATTCGACTCTAGCTACAAGCGCAACTCGCCGTTGAAGTTCAAGGTTGGATCCGGCATGGTGATTAAGGGGTGAGTCTTTTGTTTTCTCTCTTTTTTGCCACGTTTTTCTTTGTTCTGGGCTCAGCTAATGTGTGTTTGGGATGTAGGTGGGACGAGGGTCTTTTGGATATGTGCATTGGTGAGAAGCGGACGTTGACTATTCCCCCTGAGTATGGCTATGGGTCTCGTGGGGTTGGGCCTATTCCTGGCGGTGCGACTTTAATCTTTGAGACGGAGTTGGTGGGTATTGAGGGTGTTAAGAAGGACGAATTGTAGATTTAGGTTTGAGGCTAGGGGTGGATTGTTCGATTGAGAGACTGTTAGTCCGTAATTGATTGCTACTCTTTGGTACTTTCATGGAGGGTAGATAAACACAATGACCTCTATTCTCTGTATATCGATGTATTCTTGTTCTGTATGTATGTATGTCTGTATCTTCGGGTATCATGCGAAGCCTCTATTATAATACAATCGGTCGTCTCAAGTCTAGCGATCCAAGAAAGGAAAAAAAAAACCGAATAGAAGATATAAATCAGTCCATGGCATCGAGAGCGTTCTCTGCCACTGCGTCGTTCTCCGAAACTAGGATCCCTACAAGACACTCCCCCAGAATGGCATCCCAGTTCACCCAAGGGTGAACCTCCATGAATAACTTCGCCGAATCTTTCCCAGCTCCCCGAAGGAGTTCTCCCTTCCCGCCTGGATGGAACGGGACGTACGGCGTGATGTTGTATACCTTACCTTGGTACGAGGTCCAGGCATCGTTACCCTTACGCCCGTTCTGCGTCTTTAGCATCGACGGTGTCACTTTGACCAGAGTCGGGGGTAGATTGGCTCCCCGCAACTTGTTATTGGGGTTGGATGTCAGCGCCGCCCAGTCTAGGGGGGAATAACCCGGCTCGAGAACCGCCCGCTTCGAGGAGCTGGAGGGCTGTGCGGTGAGTTTGACGGGCGCGAGGCTATTGCCTGTGGGACGGCTAGAGGGGGGTACGCGTAGGGAAGCCGCTGCAGATGGTGGCGGACGGAGGGAACTGCCTGCGTTCAGGCGCGGGGGGTATCGTCCCGCGGAGGCGGATTGGGGTTGCTGGGTTTGGGAAGTTGTCGGGCGGAGTCGAGGAGGTGGAGGAGGCATTAAGGAGGAACTTCTTGCGGGGAGTTGGGGTGGAGGTGGCATCATGAGTGTACTGTTGACTGCGGCAGCAGCCAGTTCTGATGGTTTCGCTGAGCCATTCTGGACAGACTTCGTATCGGCTAATCTCTCGGTAGTTTCGTCGGCCTTGTCACCGTCTAAATGGAGCGTCGGTACTTCAAGTGTTGGTGCACTTGATGCTGATGCTTTGGGTGTTGACTCCTCTGTAGCTCCGTCCTCTTGAGGGGATTCAGGGTTATCCTTCACTACCGCTTCATCGCGAGTGGTAGGTGGCTTTTCGGAAGTTGGGTTCGGCGGCGGGGAGATGGGCGGCTCGGATGTCCAGCTTGAAGGGGGATGACGGTAGAGTAGGAAGCATGCGGTCGCAATGAGTGTAGCCACTCCAAACCAGCCCATCCTGGGCCAAGTGATAGATACGTACTTGAAGATCGAAGGCAAAAAATGACGACAAAGGAGAATCGGTGCCTGAGGAAGATAGTGTGGCCCGTGCGTCCGAGTGCAAATATGGCGGTGGTATTTATTGGATATAAAGCATAACCTAACCACATAGCTGTTCAGTCAGCAAAGGGTTTATATTGGATTTCTGTACGATTTGAATAAATAATAGAGGGAATCGGTCCGTAAATTTTCGCTATTCACAGAATATATCTCAGAAACCCTACTTCAGATGCTATATATGTGAACTGAAAATATCCCAAACGATGTCAAGTGTACTAGTAACCCGAAAACAAATCTAACTAAAATGGACTGAACATATTAATAAAATACTCAATCGAGAGGGCCATCGCAGTTCTCAAGCTTTGAATATATGTCTCCTTCATAATCTGGGTGCTCTATGCCCAGTATCGTGGTTTGACTGTCAGCGTTCGACAATGATCATGGGCCACGGAAATAAGCATTCCAGTGGCTACTGTAATAACAGCCGTAATGTCTTCTCCAACAGGGACGTGATCTGGACACGTCATGCTTTAGTGAGCACAATAATGCTAATCGTGCCACCAATACACCCTATAGCTATCAAAACATCGGTGCTTATGGCCCTATTTGCAATACGCCGGCGTAGCCAGGGTTCTGGTAGATCGTAGGATGGAGCACTGTATCTCTCTAAGGGGACTGTCCTGCTGAGTAGTAAGCCGATAGGGGTGAAGAAAGCTCCAAGAGCGCAAACCCATCCGGAGAAGTCGTATAGAATAGAGCGCCATTTAGTCTTGAACCCAGACAAAGATTATGGGGCTGCGCCCTCCGGATTAGAAGAGAAATTTCACAATGTGAAACACGCTGAGAAGGCTCGGAGCCTGTCCATGGGTAAGGTCCAGACTTTAGTGTCGCCATGCATGCTACCGTTCCGCATATAGTCACAAATACCCATATGTAGAACACTGACCGGGAGGGGCGCGAGATATTCCTCATTGTCATCGATCATAGCTTCATGGGGACAGGAAGTAGGGCTGCGGCTTCGGTGATGGCAAAGACTGGAATCACGTCTAAACCCACAGTATTATGGCCGCACCAGGCGGCCAGTGCGATGGCATGTATGGCAGCTATGGAGCTGGTAAGCATTGCCGGGCCAAGAATTACCGCAACGGCCCATTCTCCGTTGTGGAACACGAAGGAAAGGAGGCGGAGTGCGTAGCGCGGGATAGGACCGTAGAGGCCAGAAATACCATATGCGCAAAAGCCTTCGTCAACGGGCACTGCGGCGCATCTATGAGTAATGAGCGAGATAGCTATCAAGTCGGCGCCTCGTTTACAACCCTTCAAATAAAGTATGTGATTATCCACTGAGTGGAAGAATATAAACTCCACCTACCATATCTTGATCGCCTTCCACACTTCTGGTACTAAGGACACTCATATGTGGCTAATCGCTCTCGCTATCGGCAACTCAAATATATAAGCAACACCGCAAATAACTAAAGCAAGCTGCAGGCACCCTGTATGGTCAACAAATCTAGCGAAGTTTCTTTCTCAGGGAGTTATTTGGACTAAATAAAGCCTAGCCTCCGATCGCCAGTCCAAACGGAGTTGGGTGTCTAGTCTAACCAAATGACTAGAACTGGGAGCTACTTGAGTTCTGGGAGCTACGAGTCTAGATAAGCCTCATTCTGGGAAATTTCATGAGAACCATTCAACTGCTGTCTTTGCCTCGTTCCGAGCTGAGCTACTCCAGTTACTGAGTCCTGCGCGAGGCCACTGTAGTCACCGAGACTTTTAATGCATTAAAGTAACACGTCATCATGCAAATGATCTTCTTTGTCTTTTTTAACTATTGATACAAGAAGAGCAGTACAATAGGAGTGATAGAAGTCTTATTGAAATGAGCTCAGAGAACCACCGCCCTAAAGAAAAAGCCTATCATCGCCAAGTGTAACTATTCACCATGCTTATTATAAGCTAATGCGTCTTTATTGAACAACATGTTCGTTGTATTAGACAGGTATGTGCGAAGTATATTGCACATAGATAGATAGTAGTTGTCGGAAGTGGATTTCTGGTCGACATCTTAATTTTTATACATTTTTGTTTTATCAGATACTAGTAAGCAATGGTACACATGCTGAGAGCTGATAGACATATGCCCTAGGGTCCGAGATCGCTATAGTACTAATTCGTTCTGAAATGGAGGTCATATAGTTCCCTTCTTATCTAACCCGACGAATTAAAAGAGGAACAGAGGATGTATCGGGGGAGACCCGCAACCCTAGATAACCTATGATGACCCCCGGAACGGATATTTTGTTGCCTTCAGTTATGGTCGGCAGCTCAAAGCGGAGGGTTTCCGTAGCACTGGATGTGGGTGATAGCTTTGTCTAAGCAATGGTAGACTTCTCCAACCTTGCTCTTGCAGCCTGGATCACTGTACCCGTTGCAGGTGAACCTAATACCGTTTGCACCAGTGTCCTGCTTTGTAGAATGTCCATTTGCTGCGACGCAATGCTCCGTTGCCTACCGCAAATTCACTTTGTGCGCCAGAGCATCCCGAGCCTGAGTAGATCTGGGCTTCAGCTCGTTGGTCGCGTTGGATGTTGGCACTCTGGACACTGAGGGCAAGAGTGGTGAAAGTGATGAAAATGGACAGACGCATGATTGCTGGTGTTGATTAGAATCTGTGCATGAAGCTATTGAGAGCATGCTAACATATATATGAGATCAACAGAGACTAGAGACAGAGGGTTGAAGTACGGTGATAGTTAAGCTGCGATTTATTAGTTTTGTTCAACACCATGGCTGATCTAGGCTTACCCAGAAAGCTGAGAATAGAGCTGTTAGAATTCCTTGATGAAGTTTCCTGAAAGCCCGGCCTCGAGACTGTACTTATAGGTGTTAATCCCTCACACCACATCGCTTATATGATACTGTTCTTGAGGTCCCTCGCATAGAGTCCTAGGCCTCGAGCATGAGCTACGCCGAGTACATCAGGAAAATGAAGCCATACAACCACCAGATCGGTCGAAGAGAAAAAGCTACGGGTTCACGCTCTTCACAAAAGGAATGAAGGCCTTGCCTAGTTCTGTCTGTAGTTCTACTAAGTGAGTGGAATATATTATAAAACTTGTCCAAAGAGATGCCTTACCTGGAGGCTTCATGGTGTAGGTATCTTATCAAATAAGATATGACAGGCGGCAGAATCAGAAAGTCCCTTCGATTAGATATTTCAGATGTAACACATATTCACAAGTGAGTATCTTGGGAGTAAACAGAGTGAGCTAAACTGTGATGGCACCCTCATATTTGAACATCAACATGTAGCTAGGCAAAACTTGTTCCTGATGGACCGTAGTATAGTTATGGCGCTTAATATGGTGCCTAGACACTTTATTGTTCCATAAAGAGGGTAGTATCCTCCTGGAACCAGCGGTAGTGCAGTCCCTGCGAGGTTTCAAGTTTTAATAACTAGTATAGGAAGTGATTATCAGATATGCCCGTTCATATACAAGCCCATGAGGCACATGGAAAGTTATAGAGCGTTTTTACTGATGCTCCTCACCCCAATCTCTTTGACTGAGACCAAAGTGGTTACGCTCCATCGACGGCAAGTTAGACAGGAGGGCGTAAGCTATAGGCAATGGGACATCTACTGTTCTCGGTCATAGCAAGTAGCCCGTCACAGAGCATCATATGATCAAGGATGGACATATTATTCGATGTGGGACAAAAAAATCTCAGCACAACCCGAGCACAGGTACGCCTCCAGCTAAGGTATCCTCTATTCAACCTGACTTGTTTCTTCCTTGACTTGCTTGGGAGACTAGTATAGTTGATGACTATAGTAGTAACAATGCTCAAATGAAGACACCACCTCACGTCTCGACAGTCAGCCCTTTTAATAGCAGGAACTGCCCTAAGCTCCTTTCACGCTCGAATACTCGAGTGCTTGAATCCTCGATTCCCGCTTGGAGGAAAACGATATTTGTAGGGGTTACAGCTTTTTCGTCGTCCCGCTGAAAGTAGAGACAGACTCCCGGTCACATTCACAAAGTTGAATTCTCGGAAATAGCGCTGACCAACTGAGATAATTACCCATAGCACCGGGTGTGAAGCTGCTACCTGCTAAATCCCGTCAGCTATGTCTTTACGTTTAAGAATGCGATATAGAATGGAGACATACCTTCTTAAATTAGAGATGCACGCGTGGCTTTGTATATGCCAATTGCTTGGCTACATAGGTGTAGGCCTGCAGCGAGCGTTAAGCTCTTCTCTGTGGCCTTTTACGGTGGCTGTGGCTACATAAACTGGTGTGATCTGACTGTTTAGTACCTTTTCCCTATTCAGTTCCATGGAGCCCTCTCCACTGATGATATTGCTGTCCTGTGTATAATGGAGAAACGTGTGGAACTGTGAATAAGATATCTATCAGGGTGAATATTTACTTCAGCGTAAGTAATAGTTCCTTGATGTGAGCTTGATTAGATGGCAATAGAATATACGCGGATTTCAATGTCTCTTCCTTCAGTGATTCAGAATCTAAATCGCCTTTCATTCTGTACCACAACGTTATCTATATACGTTGTGTGCATAGGAAAAACTTTGTGCCGCCAATTTTGTACAGTTTTCAACTGCATTATTGTCTCTCTTCTATGCCTTTGTACTCACTGTGGCCCATAGTGTATGCTGTATTCTTCATATGTCCGCCATAATAATAGATCACTTTGCGTTATACTATATCATCTTGTTCATACTAGTTCTGTAATTGCTAGACACCCATAAGTCAGTCTCTGATTACCCTGTGACATAATTCTCAATCGACCGGTTAGGGCCTGTGTTACAGACTATGCCCATACTAGTCCAGTCTCGCAGCTCAAGTAATTATGCTTCTAGAACTAGTAATTTATCATATGATATCCCTAAATCAAACCAAAGTTTTATGAAATAAGAATCATTATCTTCCCAATAAACCTAATCTATATACATCCTTGTACCCTTAAGTCACATGACCACGCGATAGGTGCGTGTCACAACCGAGACCCCCAAATGAAGCCGAAGCCACCAACAACACTCAAGATATCCCCAAAACACATGGATCCCATCCTCGATGAGCTGAATCCCGCGCAAAAAGCCGCTGTATCCTCCCCGTCTCCGATCCTACAAGTTCTCGCCCCGCCTGGCTCGGGAAAGACCAAAACCCTCACGGCGCGCGTCGCGTACCTCCTCTCCTACTATGGATATCGGCCGCAAGATGTCATATGCTGCACGTTCACGATCAAGGCGAGTCGGGAGATGCGGGAGCGGTTGGCGAAATTGGTTGGGGATCAAGTGCAGTCGAGGCTGATACTGGGGACGTTTCACTCGATTTGTCGGCGGTATTTGGTGAGTTATGGGTATTTGATTGGGTTGCGAAAGGGGTTTGGGATTGCCGATTCGGGGGATAGCTTGGCTATTATTCGGGTATGTGGTGTTTTTCTTTTTCTCGACCCTGAACTATGGGGCCGGGGTCATTGTTTGGTTAATTGGTTGCTTACCTAGATGTCTTTTGATGTAGAGGATTGTCAAGCGGTTACAGCTTAGTATCCAGCCTAATATGGCTCGTGGGCGGATTTCTCACCAGAAAGCGCATGGTGTGACGCCGGAGGATTTGGCGGCGAAACGGATGAAGGACTCTAAGGTTCTAGAGCATCGGGAGTTTGTTCAGGTTTACCGGGAGTACGAGAGGCATTTGGCCGATTCGAATCTACTCGATTACGATGATTTACTTTTACGATGTGCCCAGCTGCTTCGACGGCACCCAGAATGTGTTTCAAACGTTCAGTCGGTCCTCGTCGATGAGTTTCAAGATACAAACCATATCCAGTATGAGTTGATGAACCTTTTCGCATCTAAAAATAGACGCATTACCGTCGTTGGGGACCCGGATCAGAGTATATACGGGTTCCGCTCGGCGGAAATCAAGAACTTGACGCGTATGCAGCAGCTGTATAACGATACGTCTGTTGTACTGTTGGAGGATAATTATCGGTCGTCAGGTTCCATTCTGAGCTCGGCTCAAGATGTCATCGAACAAGATTCCTCACGACCGGCTAAGCGGCTGCAGCCGACTCATTGCGTAGGAACGATGCCTGTACTGCGGAAATTACCAACAGCGGAGGCTGAGGCCCAATGGATCGTTCTCGAAATCAAAAGGTGTATTGCTATGACAGGGAAGCTGCTGAAATATTCCGACTTTGCGATTTTACTCAGGTCAGCCGCACTTTCACGACAGATTGAATCGGAAATGGGGAAACAAGGCATGCCGTATAGGATGGTCGGTGGTTTGCGGTTTTTCGACAGAGTAGAGATCAAGCTACTTCTGGATTATCTGAGAGTTATAAGCCAGCCGGGGAATACCGATGCCCTTCTACGTATTATCAATGTCCCATCGAGGAAAATCGGCGAGGAATCGATTCGATTGTTGTTGAGTGGCGCAGAGAAAGCGAGCAAGCCTCTTTGGGATTTTATAAAGGATGTAGCACAAGGTCGGAGGTCGACCGAAAAGTCGTTGTCGAAGCCTACCAATCATGGTCTATGTACCTTCGTCGGCCTGGTTGAGTCGTTGAGACAGAAACTTCTCGAATGTACAGACAGCTCAGCTCCGAAGAAACTTCTTGAGTTTGTGATCAAAAAGCTTTCCTTCCGAGAATATCTTACGTCAACGTACGGTAGCAATGAGGAAAACAAATGGGCGAACGTGGAGGAGCTTCTGGGACAAGCGGAGGATACTGCTGCGCATGGAGATGACAGTGAGCAGGACGACAGCCTTCCAGAAATCCAAGGTCTCTCACAGCAGCAGGCTCACCCCGGAGAGGAGGCATTGTCGCGCTTTCTGGCGAATGTGGCGCTCTCCACGGAGGCCCGTCAGCAAGAGGGCGAAGAGGGCGAGCAATCACAGGAGCGAGTCACGATCTCCACTATCCATGCCGCAAAGGGTCTGGAATGGCCGGTGGTGTTCGTGCCGGCTGTGTATAACGGTATCATTCCTCACTCGCGTGCAGAGGACTCGGACGAGGAGAGACGGTTGCTTTACGTGGCGATGACTAGAGCACAGGCGCTGTTGTATCTGAGCTATCCCCTTGAGCAATCTCGCAGCGGTGAAACGACGAACGTATCATCGTTCCTTCCGGAAAAGATTATAGAATCACGATTTCGCTTAATAGGGCCTAAATTGCATGGACAGATCGTCTATGGAATTGCTGACATCTTACGGCGACCGAGACCGACTTCCGAGGCTATGTCCAAAGGTCAGGTCTCCCTCCCTTCCACGCTTGATGACCAATGGACGGTAGACGGTCGAGAGGCTGCAGACGCAGTCTTTAGATGGGACGGGACTAGAGCAATGGGCGAGGAGGAGCCTAACGCTAAAAGACCACGGCATAGCCATGCATCTTCGACATCAACCACGACCACGTACGTTTCTTCCTCGACGTACACGATGAATGGGTCGAACTTCTCCGTACCCACTACCATGTCGCTCGGGTTCTCAACGGCGCGGGAGTATATTGCGACGAACACAGTCGCAAAGCAGGAGCAAAAACCAGGAACCGGGATCGAAAACAAACCGAAAGCCACAGGCGCCGGAACATCTGGACGCAGTGCCATTGGTCTGTCGCAGAAGAGCATATCGGGGTTCTTCAGCAAGACTTTTTCTCGACCCCAACCGAAATCCAGCGAATCAGCTCCGGCGCACTGCCACAAGCCCCCTGGCGATCGAAATAACGTCATTGAACAGGGGGGGTACAGCCAAAACGTGCTCCCAACGAACTACTCGACTTATCGACCTCAGGCGCAGCGCCTGCAAGCAGCCCGGCCAATTCTCGAACCGTCGGACCCCAATCGTTACACGTGGCTAGCGACATCTTTGAAGGATACGGAGAAACCGATATTGAGCGGCGGTGAAGAGGGCAAGGAAATGACCGACAAGGACGAAGCCCGGAGGGAGTGGGCAGCGAGCGAGGTTAAAAGACCTCAAGGGCCGGTAGGAGATGAGAGACCAGCCGCCACGTATCACACGACTACTATGTCAACATTGCAGGGAGCGGCACCCGTGCCGACAAGGAGAACACTGGGGATTCGACGAAGTATGAATGGGTGGGAAGAGCGAATGAAGAAGGCAGGCAATCAGCGGCCATGATGACTTGTCCGGAAATACGGATTGGTTGTTGTGGTGTGCTAGGCACCTTAATCTGGTACGGTGACGGTTTGGGTGTTTAGGAGTTAAGGTCGATGTTGATTGAGCGCCTCACTACGGCGTTTGGGCTGCAAGCTTCCCATCTCGTACTTTTCCATTATTTTTCTTTTTTACCATTATGAGAATGTATTAATGCCTAGAATACTGCCCAAATCTACTATTCATCCACTGGTGGTCAATCGAGACCATGACTAAGCCGTACAAGTCATGTATTATGTAAGCCAGGGTGAAGTAACGTATTCGGCAAGCGAGCCGCACATGTAAGCGAGCTGCACACCTCTGTTTTCCATAGAAAACCGTCTATTTTCAAACAACAGTATCTCAACCAATTTAGTTTCTATCTACTTAAAAACTTATATATAGCTTATTATATACTAGAATAATAATATACTAAGCTAAGAGACCTTTCAGATTTCTAGTTACTGGGAAAAGATAAATTACAGTATTTTTTTTATAGTATATAGTTAGAATTCATATTTTCTAAGACCCCTTTCCTACTAAAATCTAATTTATATATTAAGAATTCTGATATTAATAATATACTCTGATTGTAAACCGATAAATCCAATAGTGGTCAAGATACTGTTGTTTGAAAATAGGCGATTTTTTATGGAAAACAGAGGTGTGCATCTCGCTTACATGTGCGGCTCGCTTGCCGACTACGTTAACTACTGTATTTCGACAGCAAGTATTGCGACCATCAACTGTTGTATCAACTTACGTACAGGACGGTCCATACACTTGGCACCACTCCACGCATATCAGTCAAGAGCGTCGTGCAAGAGTGACAGACCACCCCCTAACACAGATTGAATGACTCTGCCGCCGATGATCTATGGTGTCCCCTCCCCACCCCCCAAAAGAGAGATAATTAGAAAGGAGAGGGAATAAACGATACTAGAACAATTCTAGGGGTGAAACTCATCATACTTACTGGCGAAATTCCCCGTTTTAATCAACAATTATAAACAGTAATAAACGTACGATCAGGTGATCGGATCCATCGCGTCGACCAAAATCAGACTAGACTGAGGCAGCTTCCTCTCCCATTTCGGTGGTGCTTACTAGTGACATCCTTAGTAAACTAGCTTATGGTAGTTTACGGAGACGGTACACCGCATGATAGGTGTGGTATGTCCTTTTTATGAGTTATTTTTTTTTCTCTCTCTCTTCGTCCATTCGGTGCAATTGTTGAGTGGGCTACTAGCTGGTTAGGTAGGTAGGTTAGATAGGTATCATAGATGCATTTGTACTCTGTACAAGTATAGGTAGTGGCAAGTCTGGCCTTAAGCAGGCTAAACTGTGCTGGTTGTACTCCATAGTCTAGACTGTTTTGGGGCACACCTGAGCTGGCACCAGTCTTCCGGGGCTATTGTGGACGGGATTAAATGAACTGCCAGGGTTTTAGGTCGTGTTTCGATTAGCTCTAGAGGGTTTTCCTCTTCGGTCTGGCCGGGATCAACTACCCCGTGTTTTGCTGGCTGATGATGAAGTGGCATATGCTGCGCATTGTTGGTAGTTTGAGGAATGCATGTATGTGAGGTAGTTTAGTATCTACGTATGTGCTGCTAGTAGTGGTAAGTACCGGCACCCGACTAGTGGGAGCTACCTGACGCTCTATGGTTGGGAAGGTTGACAGAGTGGATGGATTCCACTGAGACGGGGTTACCTTAGTAACTCTTAGAGCTACGGGATAGAAAAAGGTTGAGGTGTTAATTCCAGCCCCGTACCATGGGCAACCACCTCTCCATAGTTTGCTTAGTGTTGTCCATCCCCATCAATTAGTAGGGGACGCTAGACCCGGTTGGAGAGTACCATATTTAGAGTTACAGCTTATTGGAGGTACTGTAGGTAGGGAAGATGGATGATGGGAATGATGGGGAAAGGGTGTAGAGTGATGCTTCAGAGTTAGTTCCCCAGTTACTCTTCCGAGTAATGATGATATGTTGATAATAATAGAGGAATGTCCAGAACATCCATATAAATAGTAATCAGGTGATTGGCCTGTATTAGGTGGCGTATGCGGCGGTACACCGCCCTGTAAAATAACCACTTGGAGGTCCCTTGGCCAATAGGAAGAAGGATGGTCGGTTTCAGGACGTAAAATACAAACAACGCATCGTTCAACTCGACGTTGGTGAAACTGAGGCAGACATGAAAATGGATCTTCTCTCTTTTCCAAGCGTAGTCACGATTGTCCCGGGCCAGTTGGCTGCCCGGCTCTACTCCCTAGTAGCCTGTCACCGCCACATTAGGGCAAAGATTGGGAGACAAGTTGAATCGGCCTCATCGGCGTTGTGAGGCACCCGGAGTGTGGCTGGAGGTGCCCTTCTTTTGCCTGGGTGACTCTCAGATAGAGATTAGTTAGTAGTAGTTGGTGGTAATAGGCAGCAAGTGAGAAAGATCCCCAAGATGAAGATAATCATCCCAATGATCCCTACGAACATCCCGCCGGAATGACCAATCAGAGGCGGAAGTTGTGGCCATCCGGTTCGCCGCCTCGTCTTTTTTAACTAAATTTAATTTAATGTAATTCGAATTGAATTTGTTATTTTATTTTTTTCTGCCCCTGGCAGTTTAAGAAAAAGGAAAGCAAAGAAAGAGAGGCGGTGGACCCTGAGAGGGTTCTTTTAATGGGGATCCCATGATTCCAGAACCTTGGATTCGGGGATATTATTGGAAGAATCTCTTGGGAGATTGTTTTGAATGACGTTCAGTTAATACTATCTAGTAGTAAGTCAGTGGTCCCATCCCATCCTGTTCACAGTAATCCACCCTCTTGGTATAGCCCTGCAAGATGACCGATCTCACTTGACTAGTTTGGTTTCATTTTCTGGATCTGTTCTGTGTCTTGGGGGTTTTTATTTTTATTTTTATTAATTATTATTACTATTACTATTTCGATTTTATTTTATTTTTGATTTTTGGGTCCCATTTCGAAGCTAAAACTTCCCATGATGATCGATTCTATTCCCTTTTGGATAGATTCCCTCATACTTCCCCATACTTCTGGGAAACCTACAAAAAGGCCACCACTTCCCCCTTCCGCTCCTATCACTTGGATCAATCAATCAATCAACCAACTAACCTTCAAAGACTCATCTGTGACAAGCAATCAATCATCCTATCTCCCTTTCTTACCCTCCGAACTTCATTGTTCTGCCTACCGATTGCCCGGGCTCTCGACTTTGCCTTGCTCCGCCACTGGTCTTGCTTATATACTTATACTACCTCTTTTCCCTCCCTCCCTCTCTCTCTTTCTCTGTCCTCTGGGATTGTTTATTTAAGTCCATCCGAATCTCTCCTCGAACTTTCTTCTCTTGATACATCGTCAATTTTCTCCTCTGAACGATTCCACATCAACAAACATGCCTCACAAAGTCAACCAGTCCAACTCTACTCTGGCCAGCAGCGGCAGTAGCGGTGACCGGGTGGTGATCACAGACCTACGAGGTATGTAGTATATATATATTAATATAGTACATATTATATATACATTCTGCACCCTGTCCCATCCATGTTCCCCCGAACTGGCACTAGAGCTGTCACTAACGCCGTTCTGGTTCCATAGGGTCCAACGCTGGTCCACGCCGAACGCAACCTCCCGTTATTGTTCACAACCAGGGGGGACAAATCTACGACGAAACGAGACCCTCCGATTGGGACAAGCAGCGGTGGAAGTAAATGAATAGCTTTCAATTGACGCAGGTTGAAGGGAAGAGAGGTCACCTGCTGCTGGCCAGCGGGTGAGACGGCCTTAGTCAGCTGATTATCCGCGCGGCTTTCCAAAAGTGAGGCGACCGATCGGCAACTCACTTCCTCTTCTCTTTCCGTCTTCCGCGTCTCTCCTTCGAGACCCGGCAATCGACGGATGCCCCTAATAATACCGTGGCGTCGTTTTCTTGTCTTGTATACTACTACGATGCATGCCATACCTGTACCTTTACGAGCTAGGGGTGTTTTTCTCTTTCTTCCTTTCTTGTGTTTCATTTTACCTCCTTTCCCCCTTTTACCACATCCTTCAAAGCACACGTTACATTCTCTCCCTCCGGAACTGGCACGAACTCTGTTGTCTCCAATCGAGGATACAACTCGCAGCCCTTGCATCCAGCCCAATCAATCGTCACCTCCGCAGTCAATTAAACTTCTTCAGCAAGTGGTGTTTCTAGTGGTTGAGGTCCTGACAACAAGAGCCAGTTCTGACATCCCCCTTCCTTTGTTACCTTCACAGCACGCGTGTACATTATTTATCTTTTTCTTTTTTTTGATCCTTGGTTTGATTCAGGTCCGGCGTTCCGCATAGCGTGAGGGATTGGGAAATTTCTGTAAGCTTCATTGGGTATACTTCCTCGATTAGGTCATGTCATGTCACTCCTTCGCTTGGATCCTTTCCATACCGGCTATTGAAAGGATCCACCTTACACTCGCTCACTCGGTTTATCATATCACGCCTGACATGTCTAGATGGTTTGCTTGGCTTAATTGTGGAGTTGATGGTCTGCTTACCTATATATTATATCTCTGTGCAAATAGTGCTCTTGATCGATCTATATATGAGTTTGTATAGTATTACCGGATATATAATGCTACATTATTGTCATTATCATTGATATATTCTCGCTGCGTACGGAGTATGGTGGAAAGAGATTGTCGTTTTATGTGATTCAAGTCCTTAATTCCATGTCTTGGTCATTCCATTCCGGGATCCCCTGGACAAAAAGTATCCGGGGGTATAGTTGACAGAAGAGATGAACGAAGACCGGCAACGTGGCAGGTTAACAGAGATACATACATACGGTACATACATTACGCGCTTTGTAGACCCAGTAAAGGGGGGCGTGATAATCAAATACCTATCCGAGCAGGTGTAGATCTAAGTATGTAACGACCCCTTGGACAACATAACGGAGACTCAACTCAAGTAATCTTTTTACCTACTTCATGGATCTGTGACCCAGCCTACAACAGGAAACTACAAAGGCGTGGTTCGTAAGGTATCGTGTATTGAATCTACTCCGATCTTGTTATCGCAGTAGTATACTATTCTCATCTCATATCAGCTCATCCACCAGAAGTAGGAAACTCCCCGGGTGATTGTTGGGAGTCACAAAAAGGGTAGGAAAAAAAGTAGGGTTCCAAATAGAAACAAAGAAGAGGAAATCTAGAGAAAGCAAAGAGGCATGTGTGTTCAAACTGACACGAAAACGCTCAAGTTTATCCACCTGTCCAAGTACTTTCTCACTGTCCAAATCATAAGATAACAGAAGCTGTATCAACTTTTCTTTTTGCCAGCTCTTGTCGAAGGTAAATTTTTTTTCTTTCTCCTGCGCTTTTGCTTTTTTTTGTCTTTTTTTTAGGGGTTCGGTCTTTTTTTCTGCTTTTTTTTTTGGAGGGGACCTCTCTCCATCAGCCAAGATTCCGAATAATGCAGGCAGCGAAATGCTCTGCCCACGTAAAAAAAAGAAGTATATTGCATGGGAGGTGAGAGGTAATGCCACATTAGTGTATGTATTTGAGTGGGATGGGGGGAAAGTTCGGCGAAAAGGGTCAAACAAAATCCTCAGGTTGGCAAGTCCAAACCGCCGCCCGAGGTGCCGTTGAATGGGACAACTCCAACACATGGACGAGAAACGGTATAACAAATGAAAATGATTTAATAAAAAATTTAAACAGGCAAATGCAATTTAGACTCGAACGGCTCGCGCTTGCAATGCTAGATATAAGAATGAAATGCAACTTGGAACTCCCAAGATATGATGGATAAAAACACAAGGAAATGGGTATGCCCTTTAAAAACGGTAAACGGAAATGCGAAGGAACAAAACACGACCACGTCGGTAATCGGTCGAGCATTGAATAAAAAGATCAATGATAGACATGAACCAGCATCGAGTACCTAATGGCACAAGAGGCTGGTGGCACGATACTGGTGTCGACTAATGTATTGATACACTATTGACGGAAGGCACCCTTAACACATTTGTTGGATTCAGTAGCCAGTGCTGAATGACATCTGTGGTTGAAGGTATTGCTGCCCCTGGGTGAATGTGGAGTCATGTTGATACACATGGGAGCCCACATATGACATACTCGGCGGTGGCGTTGGGGAGGGCGAGCACGCGCTCGTCCCTGGGACCCCTTTCACGAAGGTAGAGTTACCACCATTGACAAAGGCATCATTTTCAGGGGTAATCGGAGGCGTAATATAGCCATGAGGCATATTGGAAGGATGGGGTGCCTTCTGTGGAGTAGCAAGTCCAATTTCGCCCTCATACGGCTTGGACTCGGAGTTGACGTCTGAAGGTGGGCTTGGAGGAGTGTAGCTGGCAATTGAAGCCTGACGGGCCAGAAATTGTTCCAGGATCTTGGAGACCCTAGAAAAGTGAACCGAGGAGTACTTCCGGAACAGAATCTGGGAAGGCTGATGGAGCTGCTGAGACAAGCCCACCAAAGTCATCGAGTCATATTGTGAAGCCCACTCGGTGTGACGAGGCTGTGTTCTATTGAGAATGCACCGCGCAAGAGCTAATGAAGCTCTTGCAAGATCAGATGATGGTTTGGACACAAACTCTCTGTGAAACAAAGAGATTTCGGAGATGTATAATGCCATGTGTTCCAGCTCGGGGTCGTACTGTGTGTCCATGACAGCCATCTGCAGAAAGCTGTCGACAGTTGGGTGTCCAATCGTCCAACCCAAAGTCTGCAGGACATGCCACTCCATCTGTGTAAACATATCGTCGTCATACAGAGAGCAACACATTGATTTCAGCTCCTTGATAGTGGGTACTCGATCCTTCTTGTCGCCGTACTTTGCCGCGATAAGCAAGGCCGCACATCCAACTAGTTGATAATGTCTCTTGTAGACCACGCGCTTTGAACAGTATCTATCGAGGAGATTAATTGTCAAGAACAAAGTCGATGGTAACAGCTGGAAGGCCGTGTGGGCTTCGATTAAGAAGTCGAGCAAGTAAGGGCGCATAAACCACTGAATCTCCGTCTGAATATCGATTGATTCAACATCTGGGAGGGTAGAAGCCTGAGACAAGTATGAGATTAGCCAAGATCGAATCAGACCATTGAAGGTGTACGGTAACGAACATCCATGTCCAGCATGTGTGACAGAATATCATCACGGAGTTCATCGCTGGCAACTTTAGACAGCTCATCCGCAATGGCATACTGCCGCTCGCGAGCAATCAATTTCGCGTGCTCTTTAGGGTTCATATGGGGCGCAGGAAAGTCCTCGTACGATTCCACAAAGAAAGTGTCGCAAGGCTGATAGCTGGACGACGGACGTTTATGATAGGCCATGGTGTCAAATGGTAATATTATTAAATGAGTGGACCTGATCAGAGTCGAGCCTATCAGGAAACGACGAATTTAAGAGAATGACAGTCGTCAAATTAGTTCGAATTAATGAGCGGAATTAGTTGGGAATATTAAGGGCCAGCACAAAGACGATAAGCCTGAATGCTGGAAAAGGGGCAAGGTGTCCGGACAATTGGTTGAAACACTTCGTGGCCGGAGCTAAAAGAGAGACTGTTAGTAGAAGAAGTATTATTAGATATTAAAAATTAGTAAGGTTGAGAGAACGACGGGAGGAGAGAAGAAAGAGAGGTAGAGACAAAGCAAATGTACGAAGGAAAGTTTCGAAGGTGATGAAGGGAAGAGCAAATGAAAGTGTCGAAGATGACAAGGGGGGTTACCTGGGGATAAGAGTACTAACCCAGATAAAGAGCCTTCGGGCAGAGGGCACGGTGCAACCCTTACCGTGACGGCGAGTCTGGCATCTAGGCTGGGACAAGACGGAGAAATGATCTGTCACTTGTGGACACTGTAGGATACCAATTCAAAAGGCGAAGGACGACTGAACGTCTTCACCCTAGGAACCGGTGCTTGATTGCAAGTCTTTGGGGGGTACTCCGGAATGTGGAAGGGGAGCGTAGGCACGAGCCCTATGTAGGGATAGGGAGATCGTCAGGGGAAGTCAGAATGCAACAAGAATGTTACAACGTACAGTTTGCCCTCCAGCGTATGAACGGTTTCTTGTACGCAGTTGAGATAATGTAAACGGAGTAGAGCGTTCGACGGCCAGTTCCACAGTTAAGGGAGTGAGGTCAAATCGAAGCTGAAGGTATCGAAGGTCAAAATCGGTGTTCCTGGAGCAGGACGAAATCATGTCAGCCACACAATCCTTCCCAAATGTTCTGTCTTCCATATTTCCTCTTTTGAATTGTGCACAAGACCTCAATTGCGGGACATTGTTGGTGTCTCTTGGCCGTGTCATAGGTTGAACCAGTTGCCGAAGTATGCCCCATACTGGCAGCTTCCCTTCCCTTTCAAGAACCTGAATGCTCCTTGAACCGTCTAGGTCCCAAAGAATGTGAGCCCTTCTTGCAGATAATATGAACCGCCGATGAGATAAACTCCACGCAGAACGTAGGACCCGTGTTTTGAAAGTATCCTTGTCTTCCAACCTCACGAGAACACGTCATTCCAGCCAATTCTTATTACCCAAGACTCTCGACCGGTCGGCGACCTGACCCAACTTATCCATTATCTAGCAGAGTCGAATGTTGAAATTCATATATAGGAGGCCAATTGTGTCCATCGGCAGGGTATTAAGTCGCGGAGGTGTTGAAAGTTGCAACCGATTCAAGGTTCTTATGCAATTGATGGTGGTTTTGCACCATTGGCATTCACAAGATATTGGGCGTGTTCACACAGTGAATTTTTACCGGATTCACATCGATAAAAGAACCAACGACACATGCATTCCACTCCAGTCTTCCCCCGAACACACGCAATTGACGCACGAATGGGGATGGGGTGGGTGGTAAACAAGGAAAAGGGAATTTTCTCTTACCTCCCAAGTAATCACAACACAATACAGATCATATACACAGAAAACGCTTATGAAAAATGAGATGAAGGATGAATAAGAAGAAAATAACAAGCCCTTCTTGGTCGTTCTTCTAACCGGCAGAAGCTAGATCAGGGGAACTAATCATCGACGTCACGGATCGAACACTGGCGGTCAGGGGAATCGCCGTTTGAGCTAACAAACGTCGAAGTAGGAGGACGTCGAAGCAAAGAAGCTGACGGACACGACTCGACTGGAGAGCTAGTGCAACGGGCTGAAGATGAGGTCGACAGATATAGGCAATCCGGTCGACAGTATCCTTGCCGGCAGACCAGTCTCAGATCTCTCCAAGAATTGGCGGGAGGCTAGAAAAGGAGGAGGGGAGGAAGGAGGAAAGGGAGAGGAGGAGAAGATGAAAGAAAAAGGAGGAGAGAAAAATTGAGGAGGAGTGATCTCTCTCCAGGCGGGTGTAGGAGAGGAAAAGAAAAGAAGAGACAGAATAAGAAATGGGGACAAGAGTCGGAGATAGAAGTCTCGAGAGTCGCTGCAGGTTACCTCTGCCCACGCTGTATGGTAAAGCGTGACGCTTTTTCCGTATCGAGGATCGTGTTTAGTATTCCCAGTATTAATATTAGTACTAAGAGTAATATCCATGAAAGGTACCGGGTAATCGTATGGTTCAGTCCTTGTTTCAGTTCCGTCTCAATTATACCTAACCACCCGAACTAGTGTTGGCTGAGACTTTCTATAGTGTCTTGCATCTCCTAGAAATGCAGAATAAAGAACAATAAAAAAAAGTTACGTCCAGTAGGTTGTGAAACAATTAGATGAATTAGTCAAATCGCACCTTGTCTTGTCTCAAGCCCGCATTCCAACCACCAGTGGCACAATAATAGGATATATAATGGTGGCCGGGGAGGAGCTAGACTGAGTGAGTTACTGGATGATAGAAAATAAAATTGAGTTGGATTGGAAAATAGGAGCTCCATCCAATTCTCAGCGACGCAACGATAGTAGTGGTCATAAAAAAGGCAGGTAGTCATACTACTACTAGTACAAATTGGCAGAACCTCGCATAGAGCATCAGAGTAGGAAATTCTGCCTAGCGCGGTCTGAGAGCCCGTCAGTACAGGACTGAGTGGCCCTTACTGAAGGGTGAAAGCTAATAATACCTTTAATACCGCCAGGTACGTATTTCTGGTCCGTTCAGGGAGGTATGGACCGTACCTAGGTACCAGGTACACGACCTACCGTGTATGGTACAGGTGGTTACTTCACCTAATTATCTCCGGCTTTCTGTGCCCTTCCGAGGAGCCAGCCTTTTTCGCATTCAAGGTATATATCATCGACTTTCTGGACCCATTGAGCCCTAGATCTGGGTCAGAGAAATAGTGCGATATCTTACGTTTGCTTTACCTAGTACACAAATTTGGCTACTGATCTCTGTTCATATTGTTGGAAACCTCTTTGCTCATTCAATTTGTTTCATTTCTTTTCATTTTATCATATAATATTCTCCAATCCTTTTGTTCTAAAAGCTGCGTCTAAACTCTCTAACCTGCACGGCGTCCAGCACCAGTGGCCCAGCGCTCCTTCGGTGGGCTTCTGAGTGGGGTGATCTCCGTCGACACCGACCAGTCCTTACCAGCCATTGACTCCCTGATTCAAGCCAGGAACATCTCGGGTCCTTGGCTCATTGACCTCTTTTTTTTTTCCCCTTTTCATTTGACCTGCATCCTTGGGCCCTAATGTGTAAGCTGCGTCACAGTAGCTACGCTACTGTAGGTAAGCCAGCATTTGATAGTGCTTCCATTGCACATTGTCGGTCTGCAGTAGTAGACAATAATACTAATGAGTAATTGGTTACTTCTCTCTATTTTGCTTATAATAATTTACTTCGCTATGGAGTATTGAAAGGATACCCCTTAGTACATACATACATTTGTAAATGTCATTCATTACCAATGAGTATGGAGTATTGAGGGCATGGCGAAGTCACTTTCTCATTTGATAGAGATATCGAGCAACCCTAGACTAATCAATTCCTAGGATATCAAGAATCGTAATACTATTTGACGACTTTACCCACAAATTGCGGAGTAACCAGACTTTCTGGAGTTTTTTTCAGCTGCTGACGGCCTGTAAATAATCATCCATGAGTGGTTCGCATTTTACGGCGAACTCGGTAGATGTACGATACTATACATACAGCGGTCGCGTCCCAGCGCACTCTCTCGCCGCCATAGACTGCTGACTGGTTCAAACCCTGACTCCTTGTCCGCTCCATCGCGTGTCTCCTGCAGCCATTCACGACCAGTCAATGCCATCTTCTACGCCCCTCGCCCGAGCTTATGTACATCCTTCGACCAGTCGACTTGAGTTTTCTGGTTGACACACCCAGAGTCTCAAACTTGAATTTTTGGTAGCAATAATTATATGTCAAAGTTTTCCATCGAACGAAGTATGAACACGACACTCTCCTCGACCGATGCCATCGTATCTGGTCTGGGTCGATCTACTCCCGTGAGTTCACTACGCGAACCGACAAGGATCACCATCAATGATTGGTTTCCCTATGATCATCTAAGTATTGACGTTATTGACGTGCAGTCCCTCACACCATCGTGAACGGACAACCAATAATAGAGTGAATGCACTACTCATCCCACCTGGTCATATCAACAAACTCATTGACATTTTCTATTTCCGACTTCACTTCTTACGCACTTGTACAACTCGCGGTGAATTGTTTCCCTTTTTCTTTTTTATGAGGGCACATGGCTTGACCAGTACTCATGACTCACAAATGTCACAACTATTAAATCCCTATGGTCGCGGACAGGAATACTTTTCGTCCACGGTGGATCAGTAGAAGCCATGTATGCGTCGAGCCGTTGCCAGTGACATGCAGTCTGTTTTATGCGATGCGACACATCTAGCAGTGCCCGGCTCAGACGGAGCTAGTCATATCCATAATTTTGAACGCTTCCCATCCAGTCGATGGAAGGGATCATCTTGGAGTAATGGGGGGGGGGGGGGGGTGTGTCACCCCTTCTTTCATTTACCCACTTGGGGGACAAAAAGGTGGCTAGATTTTGAGCATGAATGTAACTTCATAGGCAGACATTGTGAGATGGTGTAAACAAAGCAAGGGGTTCTATTGACGGGGTTCCTCCCTTATCAGAGGCCCGTCTTATCAAAGACAGATTGATTGTATCGATCTATTTCAACCATCTTCCTCGAATATAGAGTAGTAACATAACCAACAGCATTCTTATAACTCTTTTTCTATCATATCCTTTTGGCATTCTTATTATCCTAGGTCGGATATGATCCCCAGGTAGCCTATCAACCATGGCTTACCCACTCTGCATACATATACATATACTGTACATACATCCATCAGTAAGCCGGCAGTGGCTGGCAGTAGTGTTCAAACTTCACATTTCTTTCTCCCCGCCGGGGTGTATTGCTTGAGTATCATTATTACCCCTGCACTGGAGCTCATTGTCCAACCCGGAACGGCCATGTCCTTACTTAGTTTGGGGGCTGATCAGTTCCACACCCTACGTTGGTCGCACCGGCTTGAAAACTCGGAATGTATGCGCATCTCTCCCCTATAAAATAGGCATCCAGAGGAATCCATGGTAGACTATTGAGTATCGTTTGCCGATGATGGGTTGAAATGCATGCTGGAGTGTGGTGCCGATAATCCCCTACTCCATTCTTCTGGGGTTGTGTTATCCAAACCCGTCATTCCCAACAGTCACCCCCCCTTTCTGTTATCGTAATATTAACCTGTCATAGTTAACTATAAACAAATTACTTAAGCAAGGGAAATTGCCCTATCTCAGTAACCTACCAAGGCACGTACGTTGGACTCTGCACGGCGCAAATATAATGTGTAAAAGGGGTTAAAGGGGGCGCTGACTAGCAGGAATGGGTCGTCCTAAACCCGCAAGTTTCCAAGGAATCGCAAGTTAGAGACCCGTATTCATCATCTGATTCCATGTAGCAACTAGAGCACCTAGTCAATGTTGACAGCGCAACTAAAGTTAGAAGTTGACGATGGGTATTATGAGCATAACCAGGCCATTGTGACACAGACAAGAACTTAAAGGGGGAGAAGTTACGAAATAGATAGTCTTCCTATATTAATCTCTTGGTCATTGGTTCATTCCACACCTTCTATTGCGATGAACAACACCCCAAAATATGGGGTAATCAGGGCGTAGCAGTGTCCTTGCCAATAATAGTAATGAGTGGCATCCCCCCATAGACCATTCCGCAAACCTACTACCTAATAGTATGTTCAATTTTTAGGAAACAGTCAATTGTGGCGATTCCACAATAAATAGACCAAAAACAGTTGCGTTAGTAGTAGTAGATACATATCACCGCCTACCTCGTACGGGAATTATATCTGCATATCTCAATTTTAAGGTGATTTGGCCACTTGCCTTCGGATGCTGGGGGCCCTATTTCCGAGATAATTATAGACCTCCCCTTGCCGTGTACCTGCAGACTTTATATTCATTGCTTTTCTCTCACAATTCTCTCATTTTAACTTGCAGCTATTATTGCACAGTCCCATGCATATTCCGCCTATACTTAAATTGCTCAGGATGGACGGACAACCGTGCATACTTGCTGTTATCCATGATGGCCAGAAGATTAGGGAGGCCAGTGTTACCACCACCCTATTTACCTTCTGCACACTGATTCTGTGCTCCCCTCGAGATGTATATCGTTGATTTCTCTGTATATAGTTTAGATAATGCAGAGTTCCTCGAATATTTCGTGTAATACATGTCCTCTGTCCTGTAATTCTGACTTTTAGAGAGGGATATATACTCTTGATGTATCGCTAAACACTCCCGTTTTAACTTAACCCTCAAAAAAGCTAGGCTGAAAACGCAGTAGTATGACAATAGTAGCCCGGTTTGTAATATAGCGTTTGTAAACGGTTTTTCCCATTCTCTATCTAGAGTCGTAGTTTACTGCGCCGTAAAAACACACCGCAATCGGGGACACTGAAAATTTGCGGCAACCCACTGCGGATCTCGAAAATTACAGTAGTAGAAGGGGATACTACTTCCGCCCACTTACCTTGCCACCATGAAGCCGAACAGTATCGATCTCTAGGCCTCAGTAGAAACATATATGTAGATCATCTAGGCCTGCGTTTAGTTGCCTAGAGATCCAAGGGAAAAAAAAAAGTAGGTAAATTCTACCAAATGACAGACAATTCGATGGTTAATTAAGCAGTTTTTTCAACTTCGCAGGAAAAGCCAGTCTGCAGCCCCGCAATTTCCGACAAATCGGTCCACTCTACCAACAAGAAATGGTTCACCGTTCACGATGTAATTCATTACTGCAACGTTTGGCCACTTTTGTACAGTTACGTACCCACGAAACGGCGTAGCCGGAAGTAGCGGCTACGATACGTTGAATACTCGTACTAAGCGAATCTGGATATGACGGTATGGGAATATGGGATGATGTGGGCCAGACAGGGCGAAAAAACCACAAGGCAAGAACAAAAAAAATTGTCAAGAAGCGGCGTTCTGGAAAAACTGAAGAACTTCATGGAATGGTACATGTATCAGCTTTCCCGCTGCATATTGGTCGAATTCAATCCTCAATTGATCTGTACATAGTCGGTGATCGGATCCATGTTATGTTATTGGACAAGTCGAAAGATGCTCAATATTCTGCAAATAATCATTCTTCTTACACACATGGCTGCACATCCTTTGATGTATCTACCGTCCCAATCGTGTGTATCAGGTACTTCTAGATCCAACGAATGCAGAAGGTTCCCTAGATTTTCTTTTATTTATTTTCTCTCTTCTTTATTTCTTGCTCTCAGTACTCTCCTTATGGACCGTTGTTTTATACGCTTTCTATTCCCAAAGACACAGTGGCACTACATGGATCCATTATGTTCTCCTCTGACAGTTCTTAAGCTAGCATTCTTTCGATGGTAGTGGACGAAACACAGAGTGTCACCAAAGAAGAATTATGTGGGAAGCACTGCTGGAAAACAAAGCGAATCTATCCGATTGCCTCTCTGCTCATATAAGCCGCAAGTCTTGAATCCGATCAAGTGATCTCACCGTTACCTACTTTTTAACCTTCAATTTCCGTGTCAAAATAGTACATGCAGCTATATCTCAATATTGTTTCCGTTCGCAAGAACACACCGTCAGATGTAGTACAGTATTGTGCCCTGTTTTATCCGACACACTCCGGTCATTGAGGCATTTTACATGCAACATCAATTATTGCATGGAAAGGTTTTTAACCAAGTGGAAAACCATGCAGGATGAGAGCCTTTAATATACTTTTTAATATACTTGAACAGCGAATGAACAGTCTGTTGACTGATAACAACTACTAAGCAGAAACGCGAAAAGACAGAAACTGCAAGACAATATAACTATTTATGGTAAGGTCGAGTTCAGAGTTGGGGCAGCGGGGAGCCTCAACCATGGTTCATTCTTTTTTTTTCTTCTCTCTTTTTACTTTTTAGCTGCGTCTTGACGGCATATATGGAGGCGTTTTATGTCAAGTTCGCCATTTCTCTTGGCTGATAGAAACACTGTACTGTATACTGGTTTGGAAAGCCTGGGACGATACAGAGTAAGGTCAGTACATACATACGAGGCAAATACGCTAGAATGGAAAATGGACTAGCGTGAAATCTAAAGCGGGTCCGATTGTAGTGTAAATAAACGACTCCACATTTAACCCCAAAGCTCCAAGAAAAAAAAAAAAAGAGAACGTAAAAAGAAAGAGAATACTACAGATTATTCAGCTATCCCTCAAACATCTCGTCCAATAATAGATCGCGAATAAAGAAGTTTGACTCAGTCATTGTTGAAGTATGCCATTTGATGCCAAAACTACATATAGTCGGCAAGTAAGCTGCTTTGAATTTGTCACAGGATTGCAGAAAACAAAGAATCGCGTGCATAAGATAAACGCTGCTTTTCGTTCTCTCGACACTCGCATGGCGTCATTGATTGACCCGCGTCCCACGTTTCGGGTGTCCAGCCTGTCCGTTCTGGGAATTCATGAGCCACGATCTTCGAGGAGAAATTACGTTCCAAATCATTTCTATTCTAGGTATCCAATCTCTTCATTTCAGCGGCTGACCTCCGTGCTGGTGCTTCTCCTTTTTCGATCTGAGGCTGGACTCGCACCCTTTGTCGCTACCGCATATTTAAGCCATTTTGACCAGAATCTGACAAGATACACAGACACTACACTGTTGATATCGTCAGACAAGCCGCGTTTCCTCGTCGACCGTTTGTCCAAGTTCCTGAAAAGTGTCGCGGGACTATTCTCCCCGAAGTTAAGGGGGTCAGAATGACATAAACCGTAATCTCGCCGCGATGCTTGGCGTGCACTCCAGAGGCCCCTTACGCGCGCTGATTCGATGATCGCCTTAGAAAGGCCAGCGCGCTTATTGTCAAACCGGCGTGTGCTTTTCCCTCCCTGACGCTCTCTCATTTAACCTGGTCTAGAAGCTTACTTCCCGCGCTCGTTCGTGCCTTGCAATCGGGATGGGACCCTGGATTAATGCTTTGCTCCGGCGATAGTTTGTCAAGTTAATGGCTGGGTTTTCCACTTTTCTTGTCCAAGTGTTGGAAACCTTGCAAGTTTCTGGGGATTAATATATGGAGCTTGCCTGCAATTGGACACGTACTGCCCAGCATATTAGGGTGCCCATTTCAGCTGGCACGCCTGGCCCAATACATCAGCCACCTCCTGAATTGAATCATAGGTGATTCTGCGTTATATAACCATTATTACTAACGCTATCGCTGATGGCTACACATAATGCTCACATGCATTATAACACCAGACTTATGGAACCCGGGATCCGACCGTCTCATCTAGGGGATGAGACCGTTGACCATATTTGGGATCTCCTCTTCAATTAAGTTCGCCAACGAGACCTTCGTCTGGCGTACAAAGCATCCTGATACTGATTCACGTTGTTGAATACACAGTGCTAAGTCTCACCAGTCGACATCGGTAACTTGCCACTTTCCGTTAACGCCAGGCTGTATCATCTAGTGGCTGAACTTTAATGGTGTATACGAGCAGGGCTTGACTATGTAGTTGCATTACTTATGGAGGTTGTTTGGTACTGTACTGTCAATGCTAGGGATCGTCGACGGCCAGTTCCGAATCGAATTGCTTTAAGCAACTCTATGCCACGATGAGTGTATGCAACGACCGTGAAACAAAGTAAGTTGAACGTAAACATGGGGTTGCACAGTCAGCTCTCGCTATCCTTTTTACCTTGTAGAACTAGAGCCTAACTATCGCATAATGAATGCACAGCGCCAAGGTTCAGGTATCATCCATGAGGCGATAGTCGCGGAGTAGACGCCACCAGGAGAAAGAAAAATAAGAAAGGGCAATGTCTAAGCCTATATCAGCAGTTACACTATGCCCTTTCTATTTTACTTCCAAAGAGCCATGGATGTCATCATCCTGGGGTAGTCGGAAGCTGAATAGTCCCTATTTGACTGGAGCTGGATTCACTGAACCGATTTGAGAAATCAAGGCGAATTAATCGAAGTTCTTGATTATGAATGCTTATCTTTCCAGGATTTTCTTTTGATGGGTTGAAAAGTGGCGTCTGAATGAGTGCGGCTCAGGATGATTCCTACTTACGGCATAGATCGTGCCTATCAAATAACAACCCCGCAGGCGCACAGCCCGAGAACGAATTAAACTGCATATCGACCATCTTGGGGAGCCATTCAGCTGAGCCTGGTGAATCCATCGGGGATTTTGGGGGAAAAAGCCCCTTCCCCATTAGCGAACAATGTCTTGTTTCTGGACATTTCACACTTGATGCCTATAGGGATAAGGTTGCCTAGCCATACGGTGTACCTTCCTCCTCTCTGGCGGAATCCCTCCTTTGAGTCTCCACAATCCTCGACTCCCGTGAGAATGACCCTTTTTATGGTGTCGTACCCCTGCAAACTTGGGATCATTGCGCCCTATCACATCATCCAAATGACGGAAACTGAATCACTAGCCTTCTGTTGGTGACATGCAATGCCGGAATTATAACCGGGGTTTCTCTGACGTGGCAGTCCCTTGATATTAGATGGGTCTATTAAATGCAGCGGACATGCGGCTGTCTATTTAGTACTGAGGTGAATGCAACAAAGTTCGCTTTTGCTGGCATCCGCTTTCCATAGCATTTTAAACCAACTCGGATCATGGCAATTTGGAATTCGACAGTGTCCAATGCTTCGCATGCGTATCCCGCTTACATACAGTAGTCTGCAGTGCGCATTTTGTTTGTCTTAAACGATAGGGAACATGCATCCCTTGACTATCTGCACGCTCTGAAAACCTGGTCACATGGTGCTTTGACCTGCCGCGATGCTGTACCACAAGTACTGGAGTAACAATGATAGGCTCTGCAGGGCGTGTTTTCCCTGTCAACCTTGCTCGGCACTATATCTGGAAAGTCAGAGCAAGAAGCGCGCCTTGCTGGCCTTACGGAGTATTGGAGGGTCTCCAGAGTGGGAAAACTTGGTATTCAGTGTCGCGCGCTGCTGGATGTAATCCGCCCTGAGACTACCTTCGTGTAGAACAAAGAATACTTGTGCATTCAGTTCTGTACATCAAGTCATTGGGAACGTCCTTGATGCATATCAATGTCTCTTTAAGTTGTACCATGACGCTGGTGTGCAGACTGTTTCACTTACCAAGTCATTTGACATTTGATTGTATCGATGACATGGGATTATCCCTTATTGACTGAATACTCTAATCATTCCTCCCTCCCCTCTAAATCCGTTTCTGGCCGCTGATGAGGAGAAGGGAGATACTACTGAGTACTATATTGATATGAGTATAGAGAGTACTATTGGCTTGATTATATCTCAATTCGCCTTCTCCCAGCAATAATTATTGGAATGATAGTATCTGTACAGGATCAAAGTAATCAGCTCAAGGCCTTTAAATAGAGTGCTAGATCTAGTCGAAATAATAATAATAATAGTACTAATAATATAAGGTCTTCAAGTTTGGTGTAAGTGAAGGTCCACGAGCGAGAACTGAAGGATCACGTGATCTCACACGCTTTGGGTGGAACCTCCGCGGCGCTAAAAATTGTATCAAAAAAAAAAAAGAGCAACATCAAGGTCACTACCGCAACAGTGAACACTTCGGGACCCCCTTTGACCTTCCCTTTTACCAATAACGGAATGACTGTATAGCGGTCGGCTCTACAGGTTGAGAGCCCGGGTAGGTCTTTTTCTGCTCTCTAACGAGGACCTACTTCATTTTACATTCCATCCATTCGTCAAGCTTCGTCGATTTTTAAGCTCGATTCTTACCGTATTACGCCATTAATCACAATGGATATTCACCGCTGCCGTTTCGTTCCTTTCAACCCTCAAGCGATTAATGCGCTCGCATTCTCTCATCCCCCGTCCGCAGAGCTTGCGGGACGTGGTGTTCCTACCCTCCGACTCGCCGTTGGTCGCGCAAATGGCGATATTGAAATATGGAACCCGATGCGCGGCGCTTGGTTCCAGGAGACAGTTCTTCGTGGAGGAAAGGATAGAAGTATAGAAGGACTTACGTGGACACTTGACCCACCCCAGCCTGGTCCCGATGGTTCCAAGATCCCCGGCAAACTGCGCCTGTTTAGCATTGGATACTCGACTGCGGTGACAGAGTGGGATATCGAGCAAGGCCGTCCGTTGCGTCACTCAAGTGGAAACTACGGTGAGATCTGGTGCATCGCAGCTCAGCCAAGGTGGCAGCCGACAAAACGGGGCAAGGATGGTAAATTGTTGCCCGCGGCCGAAGGAGAGTATACCGGACAGCACCTCGCTGCTGGCTGCGCGGATGGGTCCATCGTGATCTTGTCTACCGCTGATAATGATCTGAAGTACCTTCGTCTTATGCGTCCTTCTACGAAGAGAGCCAGGGTACTTAGTGTCACTTTTCAAGATCGTAATACCATCGTCGCTGGCTATGCGGACAGCTCGATTCGTCTGTTTGATATCCGGAATGGTCAGCTCCTGCGAACAATTTCCTTGGGTAAGGGTCCAACTGGCGGTACGAAGGAATTGCTGGTCTGGTCTGTGAAATGCCTGCCCGATGGCACTATCGTTTCCGGTGACTCCGCTGGTGAAGTTCGATTCTGGGACTCTAAGAACTACTCGCTCATTCAACGACTTCAATGTCATTTGGCTGATACTTTGGATATCGCTGTGAGTGCTAATGGAGATACGGTTATCAGCGGAGGTGCGGATCAAAGAACAGTCGTCTATAAAAGGAAGGATGGAGAGAAGGGGGACAAGAAAGGCAGATGGGTTGAGGTAATGCACCGACGGTACCATACCCACGACGTGAAGGCCTTTGCTGTCTATGAGACGAGGGATATTAGTGTTGTTGTATCCGGAGGTAGGAGTTGGTCCCATCTTCCTAGCGTTGGCAAAATTGGCTGATAGCAACCAGGACCCGATGCCACCCCGATCGTCTTGCCTTTGCGCGAGTTCGGAAAAGAACACCACAGGAAGCTGTCCAGCTTGCCTCAAATACCGCAGCTTGCATCATCGCCCTCCTCTCGACTGGTCATGAGCTTTTGGGATAGGGAGATTAGCATCTGGCGCCTGTCCCGTGGTCCCACCTCTTTGCAAGAAAATATCGATGGGCAAAGGCATCGACTTGTTGGAAAGGTCTTGATCCAGGTAAGCAAAGACCACACTGTGTCGGACGAACTTGAATTTCATTTTCTGATGGGTCGTTTGCATGATAGGGCGAAGAAAACATCACCTCAGCTATGCTATCCTCAGACGGAAAGGCCTTAGTTGTCGCTACGATATCTAGCGTCAAAGTTTTCGCTGTTCGTCGACGCAAAGGTGACGAGAAAGGAACCCTCCGTATACAAAAATTGGATATCCCATCTGCGCTTGCTGATGAGGGAGCTCGGCTCGTTACCGTGTCCCCTGATAGTCGGTGGATCTGCGTCGTTCGCCCCAACAGCTCTACCTATTTGGCCAGGATCAAGCCATCCTCGTCTTCTCAAGACAAGCCTCAGGTCTTGTCCCAGCTTGTCAGGCTTAACAGAGCTACGCGCCATTCCCGGTTTGAGAAGGCCTCTCATGGTACCCTGGGCGAGTACGAAAAGACCATCCGTTGCGCTGTGTTTTCCGAAAATAGCAAGATCTTTGCGGTTGGGGATCTCTCTGGCTGTATAGATGCATGGTCACTGGACAAAACGGCAAAATCCTCAAAATCCTCAACAAAAGCCAATCGTGCTGCAGACTCTGATGACGAGTCTTCTGACGATGATGATGAACAGCCTGTAGTGGAGGGAGAGCAGTGGAGTCTCACAGCTTCCGAATCACCAATCCCTCGTCTTAAGTCTGGCGTGCTACTGTTATCCTTCCGCCCTTTTAACCCAGCCGGAAAGAAGTTGTTGACCGATGGTGCCGCTCAGAACCCCAAGGTTGAAAGCCGGTTGATGGCCCTCACAAGTGAGCACCAACTTGTGGAAGTTGATGCCCTTGATGGAAAACTGTCGGATTGGTCAAGGAGAAATCCTAAGGCCTTTTTGCCGGCAGAGTTCAGAGGTGTTAAGGATCGCGCAATGGGCTGGGTTTGGGATTTGAATGAGGCCCGTGAACGTCTTTGGCTATACGGCACTTCTTGGTTGTGGATGTTTGACTTGAACCAGGATTTCCCTTCACCTGAAGAGCTCAGCGCTTCTGCGGATACTTTTGAAGATGACGAGGGGTCGATGCAAGTTGCTAAGAAGTCGTCATCCCAAAAGCGCAAGCGTGTGCTTTTGGATGATTATGAGCATGAGAGAAAGAAGACGAATAGTGGTGCTGGTGACAAGATTTCATTAGCGCAGTCAGATGTCTACTTTGGTTCTAAGATTCGCAAAATTGTAGGACGCGACGAGTCAAAGGCAGAATGGATCTCTCTCGAGAAGGAGCGTCCTCGTGGTGCAGATGAGGATGACGAAGCATACGATCACGACGAAGCTTATACAGCCAATCATGATTCCAGTCTAGCACGTCTAAGGAGAGGAAATCTTGAGGAGAGCGAAATCAACACTCCCAAGAAAGGTAGCAAGAAAGCTGTCAATGGCGATACCCCTCCTGGGAAACAGTTGGTGCATGCCGCAGATAACTCGCAACCAGCACGTCGGTGGTGGCACACATACAAGTACCGTGATATTCTTGGAATCGTACCTCTAGCTCCTCTGTCAGCTGACGATGAGCTGCAAGACAATGGAGATGCTGGCAACTTAGAGGTTGCAGTTGTGGAGCGACCCATGTGGGATGTTGAGCTTCCGGGTCGTTATGTTAGGGACTACGAGTGATGAAGTCTCCATAAGCTACGGTGTATTGGACTCGACTAAAGATGTGGCATTGACATATTATGTGCGGGTCGACATAGCAAGCGGCTTATCATTATTCGTTTTTTCTCGCTTTTAACACTGTCTGCTGGACGTCCTCCCAGTTGATAGGGGCCTGTAGTCTGGCGCTTTGTAAAGGAATATCCATTTCTACTTTTTCGGCTAGCAGGATATGTCATTTTAGAGACACATACATACAAAAGTTATCCTTGGAATGGCTGTGTCTGGTCTATAACTTAACCCATTGTAGGCAACGAGGATATTGACGGTCCTCGCCCTAGGCGCCATGCGGCTAGCAGGTGACTTGGAGTCAACCATCAAGGCTCGCTTGCTCTTTGTCCATCTTCAATCTCCTCCATCATTATCGTATTTGGCCACGTCTTTCTCCTTGGTATTGACAGGAATAGAATTTTGTTTACATCTCCCTGGCCATCATTCTAGAATTGTCTCCGTTAAACCGTTGGTGCCTTGTATCGCTGTACTATATACAGTTGCTTGTGCCCTTGCAGTCTTGCGGGCTACAGTGGTATAACTTCCATCGAACTATATCTTTTAGCTTCAGGATTATATTCATTGCATTGAAGATTATCTTTTTTCCCCCACGTACTTTTTCTCTACAGGCGCCTTCAAATTGTGAACACCATGTTGAGCAGCGACCTGCATTATATCATCTGTGGCGCAAAGATTCCATATCGCCAACTTGCGATCTCTTGGAAACGGAACTTTCGCGCAAGTCCGTCCTGATTCGCTTCTTTGTCTCAATTCCATTGCTTGCCAACTGATGTGCATCAACTGACATCTGAGTAGTTAGGTGTGATGGTAACTCTCAGCTGGATGGGAGGCCTTTCGTTACGGGGGTGAGTAGTTATGTCCCCCCAGAAATCATTCCCTATTGTATAGCGCCATCTTCTGCAGAACAACGATGGGGTGATAGAGGCGTTGTCTTGTCGACGGAGGACACATTTCCTCTGCTGATTGGTGGTCGAGTCCATCACCAACCTGGATTTCTTTTCCATGAGTCATGCTGGGAACTACTCCAAGGCACGCTTCAACCCCGTGCTGTTCCTATTCAACGACTGTATAATATTTGCCTATCATGTCCAGCGGACAAGGAAGGGTGGTTGGATTAGGGTCATAACTATGGTGGACTCATGGACCAACGTCCTATTGAAAGTTATCCGTGGGAAAACGTATACATTGTGGGCTACATAAAACGATTTCTGGGGAACACAAGTTCCCCATTGTCGCTGGCCACAGCGGATCCACTAGACGTACTGGAGGTACAGCAAGCTCTTGTTGATTTCCAAGGCAGACGGGATTCAACAACTGTGATAAGTTCCATACCCTCCAGTTGTATTGACGCAGTTGATTGTGTCGAAGATTACCTCAGGAGATACTAGAACAGATTCAGATGTTTCTTCCGTCTCACAGTGTTGCCACTGCACGTTTGGCATCAGGGACAGCCACCAGCTTACCGCTCACCCAGTCATTCTGGGCTTCAAGGGTTGCTTGCCACCAAGAGCGTGGATATTGCTTTGAGGCTAGGGAACAAATAAGCGGAGCTCACGCACTACGTAACAGGGACTGGAAGCTTTTCTATGAGAAAACAGCAGTGATATCATCTTCATCTAATCAGTTGAAAAAAAAAAAGCGAATCTGGAGTTATCTGAAAAATTGACTGACTTGATTCTCGAACAGCCTTTAAGCAATGAAAGCATGACTAGAGAGCTTGAATTATGGCTAAAAGAGGCCTCGAAGGTGTGGAGGTCAGTTGGGGGAGAGTTTTCCGCACGATTAAACGGGAACGCCCCCTATCAAATGAAATGTAGGGTGATATACGAACAAACAATCTCAATTACCGCATCTATAAGATCAATTGGGGTTTCCTTTCGAAAATTAATGATAAAGGATATGCCACCGGCCTTCGGGTAATACTTACAAACAACGAACAGCTTGGACTGGGTTATGTCCTTCCATCTAAGGAGAAACAAGTTGAATTAATTGGTGAATGGTTTGATCTAACTGGGTTTATCGTCGCCGTCGGCCCTAGAGGTATTATTGGCACTCCATGTTGTAACCGGACAAGGTGGAATATCCGACTGGGTGGGCTCACCAGAAGGCTTGCCACAGACGGTCCGCCTGTGCATGAAGACAGCAATCCACCATTTGAACGGTTCCTTTGACGTGACCTCGCTGATTTCTGTTACCTATAATGACAGTCTTTACTGACAAACATGACTGGGGGCTCCAAAATGGTATCCTTAGCTGTATCCAGTGGTCTCCAGTCTCTGTTCCCAGACGATTCAAGAGGTGAACATCTCCCTCTGCGGACCACTGAATTCTGGTACCCAGAAGTCCCACCTTCCTCTCACTACCTCTACGACGATACTTTCGCCGGACGAAACGTATCTCTTTATGACTACCGTCCGCTTGTACGTGTTATGTTTGGTTGGCGGGGAACGGGGAGCCCTCCACAAATACCTAAGCCGCATATCAGTTACAGTGTCCAACGCCGCAGTCGTGGGAATAGACTTTTTCTACACAGATGATTCTCCTATCAAACGCCTCCAAGCCTGTCCCTCAACAGCTGGCGGAGACGACTCCGTCAAGATCCCCTTCCTAATCGACGGACTAGGAGGCGAGCGGATAACAAGTTTCCAATCAGACGGTGATTTCTTCTGTGCCTCCGGTGGCTACTAGTTGTACAAGATAAAAATAACATCTCTAAAGGTAAGACCAGCACGTGTGATTCAAAATCAATCTCCCAAAATCAAAAACAAATGGCGCACCAAAACCGAATAATCGGGCACCTTGACCTTCAACAATCACTCAAGCCCAATATCCGAAAAAAGACAAAATGACTGAATACAAACCCTAGATCACAACAAACATCAAACCAAAGCCCTTCACCTTCCAACCAGGTGCCATCCCGGCCCTAAAACTCCCGGTCGGGCTCTTTGCCTTGAAAACCCCCAAGAAAACAGAAATACTACCTGGTACGACCTTGACGGGTATGTATTTCATGTATGTAAGTGTCACCATTTCACTTGTTGGGCTTTGATTTGCTTCCGAATGTGTACACGTGCAATCCTGGCTATTTATTCGTCACGCTTATAGAGTTATTGCCGCTGATATGGGTTTCCGTAGGATTCTCAGTTTGCCATGAGTAGTATCTATATCTGAGCACTTGAGCGGAGATGATCATCTGCGGGATGCTACTATAGAAGAGGAGATACAGGATCGAATGCTGGGACTGAAACAGCGGTGATTAGCGAGTGCTGGGGCTCATCCCATAGCGTGGAACGACGTGTTATGACCGTTTTACTTCGGGTTCTGCTACAATTGAATACATTTATTCTCTTTCAAAGAACATATACATTGATTGGCCGATATCGTAAGTAACATTAAGGGTAGTCATCCGAGAAATATCTAATTGTGCTTTAGAAAGCAACCCCATGTCCGATGCAATAAGAATAGAAGGATGGTAGAAACAGCGTCATATGAGACAATTTGCAACAAGGCGAGGTAAAAAAGAATATCATGACGCGTCAAAGTATGCCCCATCGTCATAAGACTATTAGAAGAACAGAAAATGGTCAGAAATACACTGAGACTCCTGTCGCCTTCAGCTCTCATATGGGTTTTCACAGGTGGTAGGGATCTCCTTTTTTACTTGTGGACCCAGTCTATTTTATATGCGAGGAAAAATCGATGGACCCGTATAAATGGCCAAGGCAAAGCACAGGTCGCTGAGCTGATGTAGGACTGGCCGTGGTGAGATCGACTTGGGTGCGTACCGTGCGTACCCCACGGGACGGGCAAATTGCATGCAGTAAGGGCCCTGGTAACGATGAAGGACGGATCAAAAACTGCCAAGCCTGCCAATGGCAAGCAAAATGGCGTTTGGTTGGGAGTCGGCATCGCTGCGTTGTAAATGAGAAATCCCAGAAAGCTGGTACCCGAAGGATGCTGTACACATTGACGGGAAGTCCAGTGCAGGGCCCAATGTTCGTAATGTGCTTGCCCAATCAATTGAGAAGGACTACGCTGAGACTGAAATGGCGAGCTTGACGTCAACTGAGCCCAGGCCCAAATCGCTCCAGTGGTGACATATGGTGGATGTCGACTTCTTGGCAAGGAATCACCAGGACGCCTAATAACTTTGTGCAGATACAATTGCAGGCTGCGGCCGTTAGCAACTAGACCAAAATACTCATCAAAAGAGGGGGTTTAAGGGACAAACATCTCGGCATTGTTGCACAATGCAGTAGTGCTTTGCCTTGGCGAAAAGGGAATTAAGCAAGGGAGAACTTACAGGACTGTTGAGCACGCTATTGCGCTTATTCCGTCCCTTCTTGATGTGGTTCTTAAGTGCCGTGGAATCCAACGGTTTCAACAGCTCAAAACTGCAGAGGAGTTCGCTGGAGACTGACATGATGGCTCCCCAGTTATCAAACTCTCCACAATACTAAAAGGAATCGTTAGTACATACCAAAATGTCACGTCAAATACATAAAATATCATTAAGTGTGGAAGACTCACGTTCGGGGCCGAGAAGACTGTGACTAAAACGCGATCCTGGTAGAACTCATAACCGTCCTCGACCACCATGTGGGCTCGGCAAACCAGGTCGAAGTCGTGTCGTTGCAAGAAATTCATGATCACCTTTTTACCGAAGCAGTAACTCACACCTCGCTCATTAGGCTCCCAATCCTCCTCCATATCCGCAGGATCACTCCAAAGAAGGTCGTTAAGCAACCCGTAGTCTGGAACGTCAGTCGGACGTGCGATCCCCCGGATATCATCCATGTGTGAGAGACTGGGTGAAAGTCCCCCATGGACGCAGAAGATCTTGCCCGCTACGATAGCAGCGATTGGTAGGCAGTTGAACGTATCAATGAAAGTCTTCCAAATCTTGATGTTGCAACGCCGTTTACATTCATCATAGAAACCGTACACACGGGTGACGTTGGCACATTCGTGATTGCCCCGTAAAAGGAAGAAGTTCTCGGGATATTTGAGCTTATAGCACAGCAGAAGCAGGATTGTCTCCAAGCTTTGTTTACCCCGATCTACATAGTCACCTAAGAAGAGGTAATTCGAAGACGGAGGAAAGCCGCACATTTCGAATAATCTGATCAGGTCGGTGTATTGACCGTGAACGTCCCCCACGATCTTGACAGGAGCTGACAGCTCTAAAAGTGCCGGCTGACTGAGGAATAGCTCCCGCGCTGCTGAACAGATGGCTGTAATTTCCGCATTTTTCAGACAGACAGTCTTAGTGACCTTCGTCGAGTATCCAGCATCAAGTAGACGTGTGATCATGTCATCCAGGTCGATAGATTTTAGAGCACCCATTCCCATTCCGGGGGAGGAGGATGGCTCATTGAGAGGTGTGTTCATGATAAAGTCTAGGATTGGGTTCAGCTGATCTTGCCGCTTGATCAGGATGGATTCTCCGGCTTTCTGGGAAGATCCAGTGGGTGCAGCACCAGTGGGAGGCGCATCAGACACATGGTCGACCTCGCCACTTTGCTGCATGGCATCCACATCCTGGTGGCCTCGTTTTAAGCTGCTTGACAGTGAAGGAGACGGGGGCGGATCCGGAGCATCGAGTTGAGTAGTGGAGTCATTGGCACCAGGAGATTGAGCGCCCAGGTTAGTGGAACTCCTTCTACTCCCAGTCGACTTAATAGACCCAGCATCAGACCTATCCGTCTGGCTTCCCGTGGACAACGCCGAAGTGGACGCGCGAGGGCTATCGGTGCTACGGATCTTGGACCGAATCGAGCCCCGAAGGGATCGAAGAGATTCCTTGGTGTCGGAGCGAGAAAAGGATGGGTAAGACTGCAAAGAGTCGCCAGGGCCAGAATTGCCCTTGGAATGCGACTGACCCATTACTGCAGGGTTGAATATCTGCCAAGCTCAGGAGTGGACGAGAGACGACGCACAGTCTACGTCAATAAGATGAATGATCCAGGACTCTGCTTGGCGTTGGAATGCTGACAGCCGTCTTGGCTGCTGCTGACTCCCAACGGGTCGTGAGAATTATATAAAGGAGGGGCGAGATCTGCCGTTCGGAAAGCAGGAAGAGAAGGGCGATACTTTGTGAAGAGGGAACCCCAGAGCCAACAGGATCCAGGTTCAATGCGTGGAATTACTGTGGGAAAGATATGGTTGCGATAACCGATTCCAGCGGTGAGGGCCAAGGTAGGACAAGCTCAGTGAACAAGGCCCGGTTGAGGATTTGGCGAGGTTCAGGATGAAAGAGAGGAGAGCGAGGTATCAGTACACAAGCCACTGCAAGCTAGTTGGTCGGAAGGGAAAGTTCCGATTCGCCCGAAGTAAGCTCCTGAGATATGGACGGTTAGCGAAGTTTGTCAAGGCCGCACACGCACACACACACACACACACAGCGTGTAGGTGAAGCTGAAGCTCGGAGGGGGTGTGGTATGTGGAGGCGGGAAGAAGGGGAGTCTTGAACGGGGGGTTTTGGGTTAAATGGTGGAGGGGAGGGGAAGGAATGATAGGGTGAGAGAGAGAAAATAAATGCGTCATTATGGGGGTGGGCGAAATCGAATGGAGAAATGATTGATTGACTGATGGATTTCGCACAAGACCATTCTAACTTACAGACAGACACACTTCTGGTTGGAATGACGGGGGAGAGATCAGCGAAGAGGGGGGTGTAAAGAGGTTGTCGAGAGAGAGATCAACGTGAGGTAACAGAACGCAGGGTAACTTTTTCTCTCTTGTCGTTCTCGCCTCAATCCCCAGGCTGTCGTTTTTTGGGTCTCGATCCTGCAGCAACGGGTGTGGCATGTCCGGATCATCAGTCGGCCCGGGGAGCTCAGCTGTTTTGCCTCGTGGCCTGAAGATGGGATTGGTGCCTAGGGGTGGGTAAGCCAGTGGAGCTACTAATAGGAATTGTTCTCATCCTCAGATATCCACCTCTTTATAAAAAGAAAGAAAGATAAATAAAAAAATTCCTAGTTTTAAAGAAACGAATGATAAAATTCATAACAAAGAAGAAAAACAATATTTACGAGTCACCGTTGACCATTCTATCGTTACTAAATTAGTCCCTTCTGCCCTCTCAGCCTATGAATGATGAGCCTCTGAGAACGCTCGTGACAACGGATTTGACACCTCTTAGCACAGACACTCTGTTCGCATACCCTCCCCTCCTTCCAACCTCTTGGCTCCGGCTCCGCTTTAGAGCATTATAGAGCCTTTAACTTAACTGCATCCATGGAAATTTCTTTTTTGCCAGGAGTCCAGAACAAATCAGTGGATGTTAACAGACTCAAATACTGATGACAGGCCACTTGCATATTCCGCAGTTACCCGACGTGTTCGCATTACTAGTTAGTGACTTGATACAAAAATGCTGCAATTTTCCTGCATATATCGGACTTGTCTCCTCATGATAATGCACCCTTTATCGACAGGGGCGTTGGGATCGCTGCCCTAGTGTATCTACTACCAAGGAGCTCTGCGAGATAGCCTTTCGAGCAATCAAAAAAAAAAAAAAAAAAAAAAACACCGTCTTTGCAGTAGGCTCTAGACTCCACCGACTGCAGGAACACCGCCACTTCAAGACCATAACACCGCTCACCATAGACACCACAGTGCCCACTGCTGCCAAGCCCACACACTACGCCAAGCTCCAAGAATATTTCTCCTTTTTTCCCTAACCACGTTGTGGAGAGTGTTGGGTAGCATATCTTAAGTTCAGCCTTGGGCGATTCGGAGACGCGGTAAAGGGTAAAAATGTCCCAGCCAAGATGGCCTAAAAGAGGATGTGCAGGCCGATGTTGCCAGACTTGCATGATTAGTGTAGTTGACCGCTTGTTTTCTATGTCTTTTCCTCCATTGTCATTCGGTATTATGTGCCATGCCGGCCGAATCGGAACTGAAGGGAAGGCTTGAGGTTAGGGTCTAGTCCAACACCTAGGGAAATCCATCGGACTGTAGTGGACAGTTGCCTTCTATGATTTCTTGAGTGACTCCCGCACGCGACTTTGCTGAGGGGTCTCTTCCAACTCGATCTTAATGATATGCTGACCCGGGACGACCACAAGACCAATAAATCGACTTGTCATATTCATTTTAACATTCTGGAATTCCGCGGCTATCCCGGACTCTTGATTATCTGCGACCGTGGCAGCATCTTGAACTGCTGAGGGGCTAGGGAAGCGATATTCGTACGTGCTCGCGAGGATAATATTTCGCGCCTAGAGACGTTCACCAGTCAGCAACTATCCTAGTTCTCGTATTCCTTGCTTCCTTTTTTCTTTCTTTCTACCCCCCGCCTCACTGTTTTTTTTCCCGATCGATAATCAGATATTGGTGTGAACATGACCACTTACCGAATCCGTACACTTGAACGTGCCCACAAAAATGCGCGTATCGCTTGCGTGCACTCGTAGCGTCTGACCAATCAATGACTCTAGGTATTGAGCAGCTTGGTTTTCATCCATGGTGCCCCCTTCGAGTAGCCAATCTGGGTGTGTTGTGGTAGGATCGACACTAAGAAGAAGGGAAATTTGTCCGGGTGTTCCGGGGTATTCTCCGTAGTGTCGATAGAGGCAATTAAGAGGTGAAGGGTGGGACACGAAAGTAATGATAATCTCCAGAAAGCTAATGTTTCAGATGGTTGTACGAGTTCTGGGGACAAGCGGCCTTGACGAGGTTCCAAGAGCCGCGAGAGATTCTCAGCTCCCCGTAATTACGTTTCCGCATGTGACATACTACGAAACTGAAACCACGAAACACAACTGAATGTTTCAACCTTACTATTGTACATATAGATGTATGACATCCGAGATTTCCCCGCATCTATGCCATTCACGTTCGATTCCATGTTTTCGTTTATTCCCCGCATAGATAGTGCAGCTTGAAATGGACCAAGATGCCTGGTGAAAAGCAGATAGCACTTTCTCGGCGCCACACAGGTCTCTTGTGAGATTTAAAATTAGTTTTATAATTGATCACTAGGCTAGTGTTATGCTTTCTATCTCCATTTAATTAAGATGAGCCATGTCACTACAACGCGACAGACAACGAAGTGAGACCTCGTCCATCACCAGCATTGAATCGAGAACGTAAATTCGATGTAGGAAAATGCACATAGATATAATTATATTCGTTTTGCGGAATGGTTTAAAGCGTCAGTGGTCACAGATATATATCGAAAGAGCACCAATGATGTCCAGCAGTCGTTGGGTCACTCGAAAAGGCATGTCGTGGGGAATAAGTAGTCGTCAATGGGTATAAAGATGGAGAAATTCCACACGGAGCACTGATAATCAGGTGCCATATCATAGCCAACCGTGCCCTCCATTCCATCTCCTGGTTGACTCGTCGCTTCCGGAGTCCCTTTGCACCTCCATATCCGTCGCGGATTCTTGTGAGGATGGAGTGGCTGCGTTACTACCGATCGGGTTGACATTTGAGATAACGTAAAGATCGTGGGGTTTCAAAAAATTGGTATTGATATGTGACATGTTGTCGGGCTGTTGCTTTAACTGATTGAGCCCGGATTGAAAGGATGATGGGCGGGCAGGCAGGAAGAATTTATGCAGCGTTTGCTGTCGTGAATCGATGATTTCTGATGATAGGACATCCGACTCCATATTTTCGACCACATCTTCATCTGCAGGAGGAAGCTGAGGTCCCTGCTGCTGCTGAGCAGTGAAGAGCCGACGGAGTGTATTTTCTATCGCCGTCAGCCAAAGTCCTTTCAGGTGCAGCGGTGACGAGATACACACCATATACAATTTGATCATCCGGACGATCGTTCCTGTAGCGTTTCCGTGTCCGACTATTGAGATGTTTTGGGGAGTCATCCATCATCAACGACCGTACTGTGATAACTGGCGCAGCATTAGGAGACCCAATGCCAGAGAATGAAGCCTTGCGCTTGAGAGACATGATTTGTTAAGGTCCGACTTGGCGTCTCTTCGTGTTGAAGGGACGCGGATGGTTTCTGTGAATATTCAAGTTGAAATACGTGACACGCAAGTGTTTTAATAAAGGCTTCTAATTTGTGTCAGTCAGAGGTTTGACTGCATTGAAGTAAGCAATAATGTCCTTGCAGGGAAAGAGTATGCGAGGGGGAGGTCTGACGGTACGATCAAAAAATGGAGTTAGTTGAAGGCTGGGTACTGCCTTTTTGATGTGGTTGGTTGAAAGCGCGTCGCGCATGTTCCTGGCGTAGGGAAAGGTATGCGCTTTTCTATATTTGGATTAATTGGTATCACTAGGTGGAACTGGGTTGCTGCATACGTATTGATTAATTAATATGATAATATTTGAGTCAATGGTCTTAAATGAAGATAAAGATGAGACCTTCGCAGAGGATGATGAGGTTTTCACAAATCAGTTATCCTCCTGTCATCTTACCTTCATGTTAACTCTCCCAGTCACACAATTACCATGATGTTAAAGGAACGATTCGGTTTCACATCGGGACACCTATAGAATCAACCTACATTGCACGGACGAAATACTTTTTAACTTAGAAAATTGTTCTTTAGTGCCTTTTTGGGCCACTCCTTCCCACTACATGGTTTCTGATTGCTTGAGAATTCTGTATTGTATCCTAGAATCTCCTGTATTGTGGCAGGGAACAGAAAGGAGGGCTCCCTTGGTTATCTATAACCCTACTCTGTATCGAATCTTGATTAGATACGGTACGTAGATTGGGCTACCCATGGAATAACTCTGTTTCAATCTTGTTAAACATGATCGGCATGCCGCTTTTCGGCATACCGCGGCATCAGAGGCAACCTTAGGCACTCCACTCAATGACGCCGCTTCCCCGCTTCTATCCTAACAGACAACTAACTTGCTTAAACTCTACGCAAACAACCCCAATCAAGACAACTTCATCACTTCCGCCTTATACTAGATTTGTTCATTTTGCAGTTCTCTCTTCAGTACGAGATCATACAGCATGCAGTCTCGGGAAGCCTCTCACTCTGGTTCGTGGTATTCCGATAGCCAACGCACGCTAACCCGTCAACTTGATCAATGGCTTGCCCAAGTTCCGAATGACATCGAGGGCATAGGTTCCCTACCAGTGCCTGGTGCACGAATAATAATTGCTCCGTAAGTATTGGAGAATATTTCCTCCACTACACATCGTCAATTCGTATGCTGATCTCTCAGCCATGCGGGCTATGCATACTCAGGACCCTGTGCCGCATATGCATACAAGTCTCTAGATCTTTCGAAAGCGTAAGTATGAAGACCTACGCAACTTGAGTCTGCTCTAAATTATACTGGGGGGGGAAAGTAAGCGAATCTTCATCCTTGGACCTTCGCACCATCATTACCTCTCGACCCTTGCTCTTCCAGAGCTTACTTCATACTATACCCCGCTTTCCGACGAGCCACTTCCACTTGACACGGAGCTTATCGCTAAGCTACTATCAACCAAAGCAGTCAAGTCGAATGGATCGACTGTTAGCTTTACAACTATGTCACGATCTATCGATGAAGATGAACATAGCATAGAACTCCATCTTCCATATATCCATCGACTTTTGCAGCTTCAGTTCCCAAGCAAGCCCACCTCTCAATACCCCTCACTTGTGCCGATCATGGTTGGAAGTACTTCAGCATCAACCGAGAGTGCTTTTGGGGCCCTTCTTGCTCCGTATCTGGAGGACCCGGCCAATGCGTTTGTCATCAGCTCGGACTTTTGCCATTGGGGCTTACGGTTCCGTTACACATACTATGTTCCCCAGGCACCCAAACCGGGACCAAAGCTCCCACTTTCCGCTAACTCTCTCCCCCAACCAGGAGATGATATCAGCAATGTAGAGGAAAAAATGGAATCAGTTTCCGCCGGGCAGTCTTTGCAGCGGCGGGATCGCATCTCGAGTCGAGAACCAACGATCCATGAAAGCATCTCGGCCTTTGATATCGCAACTATGGCTGCTATAACTACCGGTGTCACTGCAAATTTCCTGGATACGATCCAAAGAACAGGCAATACGGTTTGTGGCCGTCATCCAATCAGCGTGATGATGGCTGCTATTGAGGAAATCACGAGCCAGGAAGAAGGAAAGAAGGGCAAGTTCCACTTCGTAAGGTATGAGAGAAGCTCGGACGCCATTGATGTGGACGATAGCTCCGTGAGTTATGTCTCGGCATTTGCTACGCTATAGTCTGTTCTCTAGCCATTTCTTTCCTCTTTTTTATCTTTCTCTTTTGTGTTAGGTTTCTTTGATCTCTCACAGTACAGCATGCCCGCCTTATTACTTGAAAGAGCGCTACTATACTTTGCTACCCAGTGAATAGGATTGTTGGTAACAAGTGATCACAATTCAGTTAACATGCAACTCTCCCCACACCATCTTGCTTTAGCACTGACACCGTGAACTCTCTTCCACCTCTTCTCCGCAGTTTTACCATCATATACAGACATATTTCGTCCAATTGAACCGCTCCCTATTCTCTCTGGGTAGTCTGTGTGACAGTAATGCTACCCAAGGCCAGACAGAGTTGTTCTGTTGCTAGACCTTGATAGAGGAAAGAGAAAAGGCCTCCTCCACACCCATCCCCCTCTCCTTCATTTCTCAGATGACTGACCAACGGCTGCCCACTTCAACTGACATTTCCCTGAGGCCTTTTGTGAATACTTGGATCTGTTGGTGAACATGGGAAACCCCAGATATAAGGGCTGATTGGTGCCGGAGAAAGGGAGAATGAACTTAAAACAAAGAAGCATCACATGGTCTGACTGTCAATCCAACTTCCAAACATCAAATGTTACACTGCACTGTTAGATAAATCTAGTTAGACAACAGTATGCCGCTATGCGGGATGACCAGTCGAGTTCAGTACTAGTCAAAGAAAAAGCCGCAAGGCTGTACGCAGGCAAGTAAGTTCCCTTATAATTGCCGGCGTTATAGGATAATCCTCGATGTCTGGTGATAGCATCGCGTGGCTGACTTTCCAGGAAAATTCTTACCCCGCAGTCTCGATCTGCGATCCTAAGAAGAAGTCAATCAGGATCAATTAAAGTATGCTTCACGGGTAACACCTTTATGCCCAATGTGCATTATTTGGGAGTCTGTGCGTCGATCAACCATATTCGTTGTCATGCGTCCCATCATCAATGTATGGCGGAAGATATAGCGGAAGGTGGCGCCTCAGAAATGCCCTGAGCCAACCAATTGACGGGGGCAATATATAACTTGACTGGAATGTTACATCTGAAATCTATGATCGACACCAGGGCTTATGGATGGTCCTATAGAAACACCCTTCTAGCACAGTGCACCTTCGGATATACCCGTGGACATCAATGTTATTATCGTCGAATTCGGAAACGCCACTATGAAGACGCAAGAAACAAGGCTTAATCTTGTTTGCTTGATTCAGAGTCACGTATGACGATAGTAGTTGGCTTTCAACTCTGCCAATAATGAAGAGCCTACTAACACCCAGTGTCAACCTTAGGGCAAGTTTAGCAGCGGAAACTGACTTGCTTCGTTACTATCTCGCTTTCCATTCCATCTCATGTGATAGACATCCAATTGATTCTGTTCCATTTCGAACCGCCTGATCATGAACCCCCTTTGTTGGCCTCAATTCAGGGGGGCAGCCCTTTGTTAAGATAAAAGGGAGACCGCGGTGCGGGTAGATTGTTCCATTATGACAAGCAGAAGCATTGTGTTATTCAGGCCATTGTCTGAAAGGTGACCGTTCTTTCTCACAGACAGACTATTTACAGCCTTAGCTCTTTTTTCCTTCGCTACTATTAGTCTTTCCTTCTAATTCTTCAACGAGTTGATGCTCGTGTCGTCTGGTTGTCCTTCCTATAGTATACCCCATCTAAAACGGTCTACCTGCACATCGTTGTGTCTTTTTTGCTTTTCCATAACATCCAAAGGAACGTAACTCACACCCAAGAAGCCATGATTTGGAAAACACTCTCCTTGGCCCTGGCAGGCTTTCTGGCATTGGCCGCTGCCACACCAGTGACACAGAATAAGACTGACGATAATGTCGCTGACAAGCTTGTGTTCTGCCACTTTATGGTACGTTGGGAAACCCACCTACCCCCAAGCTGAGTCATAACCAAGGGGTTAAGCATCGCAGATTGGAATCACTAGTAACCGTCAAAGCGCTGCCGATTATGATGACGATATGAAGCGCGCGAAGGCTCTGGGCATTGACGCGTTCGCGCTAAACATTGGTGTAGACCCTTACACCGATGCTCAGCTAAACTTGGCCTATGAGTCTGCAGCCAAGAATGACATGAAGGTCTTCTTGTCATTTGATTTTAACTGGTACAACACTGGACAGGCCAGTGCCGTGGGTGCAAAGATCAAGCAGTACGCAAGTTTACCGGCCCAACTTAAGGTGGACAATAAAGTCTTCGCCTCATCGTTTGCTGGTGATGGCCTTGATATCCCTGCCCTGCAATCCGCTGCTGGTACGGATGTATTCTTTGCTCCGAACTTCCACCCTGGAGTGGGGGACTTTAACGCGATTAATGGAGCACTGAACTGGATGGCCTGGGATAATAACGGAGAGAACAAGGCACCGACCCCTGGCCACAAGGTTACTGTTGCTGATGGTGACAAGGCATATGTTGATGCCCTCAAAGGGAAGCCTTATATCGCACGTAAGTTTCATTCATGACGTTATAGCTACTCACATAATGCTATGACTGATATAGCTCATAGCTGCCTCTGGTTGGTTCTTCACCCACTTCGGGGGTGAGGTACCCTACAGTAAAAACTGGGTCTTCCCATCGGATCTTTTGTGGTACGATCGCTGGCAACAAATCCTGACCCTCAGCCCTCGTTTTGTGGAAATAGTCACCTGGAACGACTACGGCGAGTCTCACTATATTGGGCCACTGGCTTCACCGCACACGGACGACGGTGCGTCGAAATGGGTAATGGATATGTGAGCAGCCTTGACGTCTAGGATATGGAATCAAACTAACGGTTCAATTTAGGCCACATACTGGCTGGCTCGAGATGTCAAAGCCCTTCATAGCCGCTTATAAAGCCGGAGACGCATCAGTCGACAAGTATATTACCGACGAAAAATTGATCTACTGGTATCGACCTACCCCGAGAGATGTTAACTGTGACTCCACAGACTCTACCATGGACGGGAGCCCGAACAACTCTAGTGGCAATTTCTTCCGGGGTAGGCCTAACGGATGGGAGACAATGGAAGATGCAGTGTTTGTCGTTGCACTGCTCAAGTCACCGGCTACAATTGCAGTCACCTCAGGGAATAACAGTAAGACATTTGAAGCTCAAGCTGGGGCCAGCGCCTTCACCGTGCCAATGGGGGTCGGTAAGCAAAAGTTCGCAGCTACGCGTGATGGTAAGAAATTTATGGAGGATACAAGCCTAAAGGATATTGTTAATACTTGTATTTGTGGGCTCTACAACTTCAATCCTTATGTCGGTACAGTCCCAGCTGAAAGCACTATTGACAAGCTCGAGCAAGCCGGCCTTGCTATGCTCAGTCAAGGATTGAAGGTACCGTGTCCCACCAACACTCTGGGAGCTAATGGCCCTCGTGTTACTCCCTGAAAGGCACTTTGTTCCCTTCTACCGGTTGATTTCTGCAATGTTCACCCATATAGCTATTTGATCTTTCCGATAAGTCTTCCTACCGTTATTCAGGCATTGGTGATATATACGAGTGTGCATAGCAAAAGGATCGCTCATATCAGCCATTTCTAACCTTGAAGGGTAATCTGTTTGAATGAACACTCTTTGACAGGATTAAATCGAGACTGCCAATGAACCTTAGAAGTGTAACCAAGATATGCTTCAAGGTAGGGTTTCGAACTTCTGTATATGTGTTAAAAGTGTCGGTCAAGAAAATGTCTTAATTAGTGACATCCAAAGCATACTGGGGTAAAAAACACTATTGATTGGTTGTCATAACTGGAAGAGCGATTTATGAAGTAATAATAATACATCGGATATAGGAAGACGGGGCTGATCTATCAGGCCACAACCGAGGCTGTACGGTGATTGGTTGTTGATCCTGAAAGGTACCTTATCATCCAGTCCTTCTAAGTACCACTACTAACTAGTACTTGTTGTCCTCTGTCTCTCTATCTAATCATGATAAGTTTCCAAACTTCACCGACTCTTCTCCTGTTATTTATATTACATGTCCACTATGGATGATACTTCTATCCGAACTTCTCATCCCATTCGAATTCACAGCTTATTATGTATCTCATCTTCGGTCCCCGTCTGACATTCCCTGTTTAAAAATCGCGCGCTTACTGTCGGTTCACATTTCCCCTCACTCGCCAGCCACACGTACATCTCGCGTGATTGATTTCCTTGTTTTCACTCTCTGATCCGTACCTGCCAGCTAGCTTTCCACGGACTACTCCATTGACTTTTCTTGACGATTAGACTGTTCGCGAAGACCATGATTTGTTAATATGTTGTCGGACAAGTGAGCAGTCGTCAGAATTGGGGGAAATCCATATCATACCTACATCTTTTTCCGGTGTCCGTTTATATTCAGAGTACATACATAAACCAAACACATACATCAAGATGGCGAGGATCAAACCGGGTGTATTTTCCTGGGAGGATGTGCTGGCTCAGCGGTATCAGAGTAAGTGGTTTCGCAATCTCCCGTGTTTTTATGCATCTTCTCCATCCTCTGCCATCGGACTTGTATCGTACATACATTCTACCCTGATGAGTCTGAGTTTGGTCCCGTTAGACCATAGCGGGCTCAAATTCTTGTATACTACGCTAAAGCCGAGGAACGGATGCATACGAAATCGCTATTAGAACTATATGCTAACCAATGCAGATAACAAACCGACCCCATTGCCTAAGGCTAGAAGAGCCAGCACACTTTCGGGTCGAGCCCAAGCCGAAAAACAGCCAGACTCCGCATCGAATTGGACTGTGCAGGCACAAAGTCCTTTGTTAGCGAAGTTGTCGCCAGAGCTCCGCCTGATGATCTGGGAGATGGTCCTGGGTGGGATGCGCATTCATATTGTACAGCTGTCCGATCGCCGGATGAGCCACGTGGCATGTCCTCTCACGGACATCTGTGACATCTGTCGGGGGGATTCATTGCAGCCGGTCAAAGGAAAGGGTCGATCGATCAGTCATCTGTTGGCACTTCCGATGACGTGCAGACAGCTGTAAGTGGGCTCTTTCTCAGCACAGGCTTGGCTTGAAGGTTGTCTCGCTGCGTGGGATATGTCTATTGACCATTTTTGCCAGGTACTCTGAATCTATCTATCTACTTTACACTATAAACACCTTCGAGTTCAGTAATACCTGGTCTCTCACTTACCTCCGTCCAACCATCCCCCCGAATTTCTGGGACGCAATCCGCGAAGTTGAGCTTCGTTGGGCATTTCCGGGCCATTGGCTCCCTAGCAAGGATCCCGTCAAAACAGTCTATTTCTCCGCGGGTAGGCAGCAGTGGATAGAGACCTGCAAGGCATTAACACGGATGAAGAGTCTCCAAACCTTCACACTGCAGCTTAGCGGGAGCTGGTTCTGTGAACCGGTGGAAAAGCTCCCGGTTTTCTTAGCTCCGTTGCGGGATCTGAATCTCCAGCGTGGATGGAAGTTGCAGTTACCTAAGCAGCCGTATTATGCGAAGGAGATCCGAAGCATAGACGGGGATCTACGCAAGAGAGGCATCGATTGTTTAGTTCGGGCGGCGTGAGCTAGAGCTGTCGCACATGTTATCTTTCCTCTTTTTTACGAGGGTCTGATTCATCAATATTGGTCCTGGGTTTGCGCTTGATAGCCGTCTTACTATGCTAATAGGTGCATACTGCGCAGGTCAGCCGTCACCATAGAGATGGAACCCTGGTACAAAACAGAGTCTCCGATTCAGCAGGCATTAAGATGACTAGTGATATAGCATGCGTACATACAAAGAGAAAAGCACGATCTCCACCGGAGGTCCCAAATAATGCTAATATCAATTTCGGGGCAAAAAGGGACTTTGAATCCTTCAATATCAGCCCAGCGTAAGCCCCGAGTTGCCGACGACCATTGCGCGTCGTTATTGGAGCAAAGTTTATATAGCCTAAACGGGGGTAATAGGAAGGATTCCTACCGATATTAATTCATGCAGCAGAGTCAAGGCTGATGGTTCTCTATGGCCAGGTTTAGGTGTTATCAGATGTAATGCAAGTAATCCAGCACATCCGAGCACTGCGTAGAGTTGATCGGCCTGTTGTTACCTGAATAGGAATATCTTACCTCAGGTTAGTGCCAATATCATCTCAAATGAGGTGTACCAAAAAATAAATAGAAGAATTAAAAGGATATTACACACAATCGAATCCAACGTTCTATTGCGCTTCCGCGAAGACCTAATTCAACTAGTCCATAGTCCCATACAGACATCATTACATATATTAACTTCTTTAACATTGAAGCAAAATCTTAGCCCTTCAAAACCAGGAACCAAACCACCCAGCCCAACCCAGTCCAGCCCAGACCATTCCATTGAAACCCAAGCCCTAACCCCAAATTCAATCCCAATGTAAAAAAAAAAAAAAAAAAAAAAAAAAAAAAAAAAAAAAAAAAAAAAAAAAAAAAAAAAAAAAAAAA